TAATACAGTATTATTAAGTGTCAGTTTGACATGTTATACTGTTTTGTAGAGATGTAAGTTTAAACATTGTACATACATGTTATACAGAGCTGTATATTTATAGAATACATTAATTGTCTTTACTCAAGTATCTTATCAGTTTGTTGCAGTACCTCCAGCATCCATTGCCAGGTTTTATACCTAGATAGCTTGATTAAACTGGGTTTATTTCTTAATTTATTAATTGACAATAAGTCATAGTCTACAAAGTTTATAACCAACTTTTTATGTAGTTGTGTGATAATATCTGATAAGTATCAACTGCATTTGTTTAAATGTCTTATTAGTATGTAAAACATTAAAATATATTTGAATATGTTTATGTTTGCGTTTCTTATATCGGAGACTTTTCTGTCCGAGTGGTAGGCAATGGGTTCTGTCCCTACGGCGAGAATGCCAAAGTCCTTAACATGCTAATAGCTGTTCCCTGCTTAATGTCCAGCATTAGATCCGTGCTGTCGCGTATTTATAACGACGTATTTATATTTATATAAGGAGGCGCCAACATACCCGGACTCTAGCAAACATACATGCATACATTACACATACGAAGGCATGTCCTTAAATGACCTTAGTTGTTAATAGCACCTAAATCCTTTACAACCAATCTGCCCATTGTTCATCCCGTTTATACAATGCAGTATGGTTTATGCACAAAGTGTGAAATTCTTCGAAAAAAAACTGTGAGTCACGATGATTTGGTACTTTTATTATGTATAGTTTTGTTGCATGTACCAATCATACAGAATGAATCGAAATGGTCAATGGTCTTTGATGAGCTTACAAATTCAGTCGCATTGAACGGTCGTTATTACTATGATCAATCCAGATGGACCCTTTGGATTTCTGTTGAAAGGTTCCTTCTGTACAAGTTCCCATTAACAAAGTTATAATCAGTAGTATATGCTGGAATAGTTGTGTTCCTCCATCCGTCATCTACATTGCTAAAACTTAACATTACTTTTAGCTTGTGTGGTCACGAGGATCCTACATGTAGTTGATCTTGATTTGTGGTATAACAAAAGAAGCTAAAGGTACCTTACACCTAGATCGTTCCCTGTTTGGTATACTTCCACCACGGATATCTAATAGACTTCACAGGCTGACCACCAACGAGATGAAGATTACTCCTATGGACATCCTCGATATCCAGGGGTTACGCTCTCTTTCGCTCTCTAAAGTGAGCGTAACCCCTGGATATCGAGGATGTCCTATGGAGAGTTGGGATCAAAACTGAATGTCCAGTGGCCTGTTGTGTGGAAGTACCTTTAAAGAAACCAGGGAACTGATTTTGTTAAATTAAAAAAAAATATTATTAGGATTTCCTGGGGTTGAGTTTGGTCCTCTGTCGAACTTAATTCCTCGGACTAAGAATTCATTATACATTAGATCTCGGGTCGTCCGTAATTCCTTTGCCTAAGAATGAGACATCATGTCCCTGTTCTAACAACATTCATGAGACAAAGACATTAGATTTTCATTGCATGCCATCCATCCCTATGACTGAATGGGACAGGTTGCAGGGTCCATGTCCTTTCCGGAACTTAGAATAGGACACTAGGTCCATGGCCATACGAAGTTCCCAGGACTAAGAATAGGACACTAGGTCCATGGCCATACATAGTTCCCGGGACTAAGAATAGGACACTAGGTCCATGGCCATACATAGTTCCCGGGACTAAGAATAGGACACTAGGTCCATGGCCATACATAGTTCCCGGGACTAAGAATAGGACACTAGGTCCATGGCCATACGTAGTTCCCGGGACTAAGAATAGGACACTAGGTCCATGGCCATACGTAGTTCCCGGGACTAAGAATAGGACACTAGGTCCATGGCCATACGTAGTTCCCGGGACTAAGAATAGGACACTAGGTCCATGGCCATACGTAGTTCCCGGGACTAAGAATAGGACACTAGGTCCATGGCCATACGTAGTTCCCGGGACTAAGAATAGGACACTAGGTCCATGGCCATACGTAGTTCCCGGGACTAAGAATAGGACACTAGGTCCATGGCCATACGTAGTTCCCGGGACTAAGAATAGGACACTAGGTCCATGGCCATACGTAGTTCCCGGGACTAAGAATAGGACACTAGGTCCATGGCCATACGTAGTTCCCGGGACTAAGAATAGGACACTAGGTCCATGGCCATACGTAGTTCCCGGGACTAAGAATAGGACACTAGGTCCATGGCCATACGTAGTTCCCGGGACTAAGAATAGGACACTAGGTCCATGGCCATACGTAGTTCACGGGACTAAGAATAGGACACTAGGTCCATGGCCATACGTAGTTCACGGGACTAAGAATAGGACACTAGGTCCATGGCCATACGTAGTTCACGGGACTAAGAATAGGACACTAGGTCCATGGCCATACGTAGTTCACGGGACTAAGAATAGGACACTAGGTCCATGGCCATACGTAGTTCACGGGACTAAGAATAGGACACTAGGTCCATGGCCATACGTAGTTCACGGGACTAAGAATAGGACACTAGGTCCATGGCCATACGTAGTTCACGGGACTAAGAATAGGACACTAGGTCCATGGCCATACGTAGTTCACGGGACTAAGAATAGGACACTAGGTCCATGGCCATACGTAGTTCACGGGACTAAGAATAGGACACTAGGTCCATGGCCATACGTAGTTCACGGGACTAAGAATAGGACACTAGGTCCATGGCCATACGTAGTTCACGGGACTAAGAATAGGACACTAGGTCCATGGCCATACGTAGTTCACGGGACTAAGAATAGGACACTAGGTCCATGGCCATACGTAGTTCACGGGACTAAGAATAGGACACTAGGTCCATGGCCATACGTAGTTCACGGGACTAAGAATAGGACACTAGGTCCATGGCCATACGTAGTTCACGGGACTAAGAATAGGACACTAGGTCCATGGCCATACGTAGTTCACGGGACTAAGAATAGGACACTAGGTCCATGGCCATACGTAGTTCACGGGACTAAGAATAGGACACTAGGTCCATGGCCATACGTAGTTCACGGGACTAAGAATAGGACACTAGGTCCATGGCCATACGTAGTTCACGGGACTAAGAATAGGACACTAGGTCCATGGCCATACGTAGTTCACGGGACTAAGAATAGGACACTAGGTCCATGGCCATACGTAGTTCACGGGACTAAGAATAGGACACTAGGTCCATGGCCATACGTAGTTCACGGGACTAAGAATAGGACACTAGGTCCATGGCCATACGTAGTTCACGGGACTAAGAATAGGACACTAGGTCCATGGCCATACGTAGTTCACGGGACTAAGAATAGGACACTAGGTCCATGGCCATACGTAGTTCACGGGACTAAGAATAGGACACTAGGTCCATGGCCATACGTAGTTCACGGGACTAAGAATAGGACACTAGGTCCATGGCCATACGTAGTTCACGGGACTAAGAATAGGACACTAGGTCCATGGCCATACGTAGTTCACGGGACTAAGAATAGGACACTAGGTCCATGGCCATACGTAGTTCACGGGACTAAGAATAGGACACTAGGTCCATGGCCATACGTAGTTCACGGGACTAAGAATAGGACACTAGGTCCATGGCCATACGTAGTTCACGGGACTAAGAATAGGACACTAGGTCCATGGCCATACGTAGTTCACGGGACTAAGAATAGGACACTAGGTCCATGGCCATACGTAGTTCACGGGACTAAGAATAGGACACTAGGTCCATGGCCATACGTAGTTCACGGGACTAAGAATAGGACACTAGGTCCATGGCCATACGTAGTTCACGGGACTAAGAATAGGACACTAGGTCCATGGCCATACGTAGTTCACGGGACTAAGAATAGGACACTAGGTCCATGGCCATACGTAGTTCCCGGGACTAAGAAGTATCTACTGGATCCCTGATAGTAAATAAGTCCTAGGACTCGGAATAAGAAATTAGACCCAAGAACGAATATCATTCTGGGGACTTAGAACTTAGGTCACTGATCACACGTCCTTCCTAGGTCGTTGGAAAAGCTTTTTTTTTGTTTAAAAAAATTGATTAAAAAGTGTTTATGAAATTAAGAATATATATAAACGACATCAAACGTCCGTTTTAACTGTGAACAATGCAATTCTGTACTTGGTGTTTATTTAATCAGATAGATTATCCACGAAGCGTGTGGAGATATTCCCCGTACTGGTATTTTAAAACAAGTGTTACTTTTATTGATATAACTTGTTAGGATCAAAGGGAATATTACTGTAGATTTTTACTGTTTATCTTTCACTCAATAACGCCTTTGTCTCTGTTCAAATTTCACCCGAAGATCAATTTTTGTTGACGATAGTGCTAATGTCCCTATATGGACTCCCGGAGATAGCCTGGCCAATCGGCGCTATTGCTTGATGAAACAATCTACAATGGTAACTTGTACTTACGGGCATTTATGGCCACAAAATGGCTCTGGTAAGTGTTATTGATACAAATATATATACACCGTACATACAGGTCTATATTTGATGGAACAAAAAACTTAACAAATTGTGCCATTCAGCACCTATAAGTTACACCACGGACTTAGATAACAATCTAATTTCGTGGTTACACTGTAGTCTGAATATGTCGTTTTAATTTTATCTACATAATTGTAAATTTGTCGCAGATAACGACCCTCAAACAGTTAATAATTCCCGTTAACGTCGTGAAGGTAAGTTTATATAAATCTCAACAGGTTGTATTTTGTTAGCTTTTTTTGATATTTTTTACAAAAGAAATTTCAAAGCTCTGACACTTAATAATTTCGTTATTGACAGACCTAGATAATTACTCGTGAGCATTTGTGCTTGTAGATCGAACCCTTTGAAGAGCAGCGACCCCTAAATAATGGCGGTCTTTGAGAGCTAGTGGCGCGAACAGGACCAGGTCGACACTTGAGATGATCGTAGACCGAAGCGCTCGGGCGGAGATCAGCTAAGGCGTGCTTAACTGTACTTATATAACGGAAGAGTAGTTACATTGGCGTTAATTAGTTACAAGACATGTGAATGGACTTATAATTTTAAAAAAACACAGGTGTGTATTAGCGATCAGGTACCACGCACAGGTGTGAACACGGATTTGTTTAACGTCGGTAGATTAACTTGTTGACATTATAAGTTCACATTTTACGACAAGAATTTTACTTCTAAACCAAATACGTTGTAAAAATATTTGACATGTGTCCAATAGCCTGGCCTAGATGACAGGGGCAATATTGTGTATTGTGAGAATATTGACTCGTGTTACTGAGTAGGGAAAGCAAACTTTCCTCTACAGCAGTCCAGATAAGGTTTGTTACAAACCCTATCGTTAGCCTATCGATTGTTTAGCCTGGTGCTCGTCGTTGCCCGGACGTAATTGATGAACCGCTGGGACGGCCCTGAGAGAAGTTGGGATCTACGTAACGAAGTTGAGAGGCACATTCGTGAGTCGAGTAGACCTACAGACACGTATATATTATGTGACAAGTGGGCTGTGCTGGAATTTACAAGTAGATATTTATCTACACGAACTAGTATGATTGAAAGAGTTCTAGTAATTTTTTTCCAAAGCCGTTAGTTCAAGGAAGTATTCACCTTTGGAAACCCGCTGATGGAGTGTAAATCCATTTCAATGAGCGCGCTTATCGCATGCCGGGCGAGCTGATCATGAAAAGCAATCGCGTGCTTTGCTAGGTATTTGCATTAAGTTGCATTTTATTGCTCAATTCACTGAGGTATAAACATTAAAGCTAGACGTCACTGCGTTATATATTGAGTATCGGATATCTCATCAGTGTTTACAGGACAAAACCCTGTTGACGTGGTTCCAACTGTCAATAAGCTCATGACCATACCGGCTCGAGCCATTTTATTTAACGACTAGGCTGTCCTCAACGCTGGCAATACCACCGCCGAGGATGGATTATGATTTCTGTGGATGATAGCTGAGAAAGTGGTATTAAAACTGGATAAAAGTCTGTGAAGGATTATTCACTAAGTTTTAAGGAACTCTCTGTAACATTTACAATATGGATTTGGAAACGCAAGCTCGTGAACGTCGTCTCAGTGACGTAGCGCGCGGGAAACAGTATCTTCGTCAAATCGACAGTCTAGCGGAGAAGCACTGGAACAAACTCGAACCTAGGAACATAAGCACAAGGCAAGTGTCAGTGGGTCCTCTTAAAGAATATACATTCATTCTAAACGGATCATACCAGCAGGGAGATGACAGTGTTTCAAACAGGGTAAAGTCAAAACGTAGGATTCATTCCGAACAAATCCCGAAAATAAACGGGAAATTGTTAACAGATCGTGTGCAATCTGAGAGACTGGGCGGACACTATGGCGTGAATTCTCTGAGAGGAACGCATTTGTTTAACCAATGGGGATCGAACATCGATCCTTTGGCTGAAAAGGTGACTCTTAAAAAAGGTGATATACAACAAACATTTTCGTTTGGCGATGCAAACCGGAAAGTTCAGAAACCAAGTCCCAAAAAGGGAGTCTTAATGAGCCGAGTAAGCTCGGACTTCAAGGACCGACAAATAAAAACAAACACCGACTTCCGGTCATCGCGGAATGGGATGGTGGCAGTCATACATCCGGTTGGTCCGTCACCGGACGCGGAAATCGCGCCAGACGTCATCGACCAACAGATGATAGAACGCGAACAGACATCAGTGATGCTGAGCAGGATAGACCGGATGTTACACCCGAACAGATATGCGTTGAAAACAAAGCTGGCCCCAAGTGAACAGGAAGTGTCTCACAATTCCTTCCAAGCGTCGTCAGACACTTGTAAAAGTCTAAAAAAGAACATCCAGCAGGCCCATTCTAACGGTGGACAGAAACTTGTTCCTCGGACAAAAGAAGATCGTCCCAAACTGTTATCTAACCCCGCCTACGCGCCAAAGACCTCTGGCAATCCAGTTAAAACGTTTGCGCAGATGCTGAACGAATTGGACAGTACACAAATTAACGTGGACCGGAAGTGTCGTTTATGGATCAATAAATTGACGTTCGATTCCTACGAGTGACAAACGGATGTTTATAACTTATGTTACCTGTTGTTGTAGACGCAGTTCCTTATTTTTGTAAACTAAAATCTGTCTCAAAAATACATGTCTTCTTACATATAGTTACTATGAAATTGTTTATGTTATCATTTCAACTAAATTGCTCATAAGCTAAAAAGTACTTTATTAATGAAAACACTTTTGGGGACGACTTCAAAGAGTAATGCAAAACTATTTTTATGTGATCTGTTGGAAGGATTTAAGTACCATTCGTTTTAAAATCTTAAATACTTTTGCTCAGTTATTGACGAAAAGTCTTGATTTTAGTGAACCGGTTGCTGTAAGTTTTACAGAATCATGAGATTGTTTCTCAACAAACAGAAAAATTGTACAGTGATATGTTTATTAGAATGTAGCTTAAGAGAACGACGATATATTTAGTCTTGAATTTTTCGCAACTGCGTACATTTTCATAGAACACCTATACCTTTTACAGTTTCTGTCTATCGATGATGGGGGCCGCGGTGGTCAAGTAGTTTAGGCGTCGAAACCTACGTGGGGCAGTCGCCAGGTACTGGCCGTAGGTCGGTGGTTTTTCTCCGGGAACTCCGGCTTCACCCAAACTTGGCATGACCAAAGCTGTTGATTCATGGACCTAGTCTGAGAAATTCATCTATGTATTCACCTCAGCCTTCGGCCTAAAAATGGTATTGCTGAGACAAGATTCGAAAATAGCGGACATACATCTATAGCAAGTCAACTTATCATTTATTCAAGTAGCAATGTCGATCCTGTATTACATCATATTACATAAGATATCTAGTATAATATATAAGATATCTTATTGGTATATATTGCATAAGATATTTCATATACAATGTATATCTCATATATATGATATATCATGCGTAATAAATAAGATACCCCATGTTCTACATATTCTATAGGAGATGTTTTATTTAGTATACAGTATACGATATATAGTATACAACTTAAGAGATCTCATATATTCCATAAGATATCTCTTTATACTAAATTAGATATCTCGTCTACTACATCATGTATTTTATATACTTTATAAGATACCTCATATAATACATAAGACAACGTATGTAGTTTTATAACATTCGGGATTGACATGGCTCTTTGAATAAATGTAAAATTGGCTTGCCTTTGACGTCACATGAAGTCCATAATCGTCATTGTTATCTCTTTTGCGTTGCAATACGTTTAAAACTCGTTCACTAGATTTCTGACCCAAAAATGCATATATGTTCAGAAAAAAGTTCTTTGAAAGGGATATTTCTTGAAAATTACCATCTGTTCATGCAATGAAGTAAAATAATGGGTCTTTGGAATTTATTATATTTTACCCGTATATATTTCCATTTAAAAACTTATTAACTGATGATGGAACATCGATTACTGTTGCATTGTTTTACTTTAGAACTGATATTTGAAAATTTAGAATTTGATAAACAGATCGCAAAATGGATAACAAAGTTTATGAAAATATGTAGATGACTTAGTGACGTTATTTTTTCTTTAAAAACAGGAACGATACTCCAATAATAATATCTACGGTCATGTGTGACCCCTTATACATGTAGTAACGGTCTGTAATGGTACTCGATTAGAAAATGAACATTTTAATGTACTTATCAGTTAGTTTTTGTTTGGCCGTATGTTTAAACTACTTTGGACCGTTGGTGATAAGATAGTTACACACAACAACGTTAACACTCTAACAATCTTTCATGTTAATCGTACTAGTTTGTATAAACACATAATTTACCGTTATTGGTATGTTAACAAGCCCGGTACTGTTTAGCAACCCAATGTAAGTGTGGAGGAAGCACACTGGCGCTCTGTTCGCTATTTACACACCAATTTACCAAATTAACACGTTGACACTTGACTGAGGAAAAGAAGTACATTATGTGCTGGATAGGGTAAGGATAATTGTCTATAAACATAAGTACAAATCACGTTGTCGAGAGACTCTGATCTATAATTACTCGTGTTTCTGTATTTAAGTTATTTTGGTAATGTTTACATCCATCCCTCCAGTGGTTTAGAGTGTTAAATTAAAGAGAAAGTGACAGGGTCATTTCTCTGCCTGCCTCTTTCGGTACTCCTGTAAGGATGCAATCTCGCTTTGGTCGTGTCCAGGTTCTTCTAATCCTTTATCTCTGGACTGGATCCTACCTGGCGTGTTACCTGTACGTCTGGGTCGCTTGTAGGCAGTGCTATCTGATGAGAGCGAATGTCGTCTGTTTGGGAGTTGAGAGTTTAGTTCCCCATTCTCCTTCAGTGAATGCATGTATTGGTACCTGTCACGAATTAGAATACATTAAGTTCATAAGACTATTTTTCTCCTTTGCGACATGTACCTATAATGGTATGCTACTACCATTGCCTCTCTTACTTCTTCCATGCAGATGATTGTGAAATAGCAGATATTGCTTGGGGTATTACTTTAAAAATGTATCAGCGGTCCATATTGTTATGATAAAACAGTTAAAGTGTGGGATTATATGGATATAGCAAGTTTTAACTGTATTTTAACCCCGATATTAAACGTCACGCGTCATGTAAACAGACCCAGTTATTTAAGCCCCTGGTGTCTATTGATCCGTCCCTTATCTATTAGAATATTACAAGCTGTTAGAGTTTACGCAATGGTGTCACTTAAGTCACTAGTTATCTCCTTAGGCATTGCACAAATTGGTAAGTATGAAAAAATGGTTTGTTCATCTGGGTTTTTTTTATCTGCATAATGGGAGATGTTTTATTGACAGTATTGATTTGACTCAGACTGCAACACATTTTATTTTATATATATATATATGTATGAACTTCTTCTAGACATTCGTACAAACATAGGCACTTGGCTTGATACGATCCACAAGAGCTAAAATGAAACAAATGTAGCCATGTCCTTGTTTTCTTTACTTATTATATTTGACTCGTATTTATAATGACAAGTGCCTGTGGGACGGTATGTACACCATATATATATAGCGATGTCGACATTCCACTGTCTTATCTACTATCCCAGACCTAAATTCGTCTCCAAAGATTGTGGCCCAACCTTGATATGTCCTACTATCAGTAGAGTTTGTAATTTAATCTATATAAATAATCCTCACCGATAGTGTACAACCAGACGCTAATATGAGAACTTTTATTTTATGTTTGTTTATTATATGATATCACATATGGTGACACTATTATTACAGCCAAAGAAATTTGAAGTAAACACGGCGTGTCATACCTTTATGATTGAAATTATTGTATCATCCATGCATGCACCTGTCGTACAACTAATCAAAGATATAAACAGAAAGGTGGCTCAAGTGCTGAATATATCAATACCGTTCACTCGTATGATACGGTAATACCTTGTCCGAGTTATCACAAACGTGGATTTAAGTCCTATAGGTTATTAACCCAACCATAGCTAGCTACTGGGTAGATCTAGACCATGGAACGAATCAGCTGATAATTCTGTTGGAAATACTACTCGGGGATTGAAGACCGAGGACATATCGTAACCATTTAATTCTGCCATCTTAACTGCTTCGATTTTCCTCCTGATCTCACAAACTCACTGTAATTTTTAGTCGCTAGGAATCTGTCTAAGAACTTTGGCATGGTATCTGGTGTACCTTCTAGACAGAAGGATACTACTAATTGACGATACGCTGAACACATGAAACAGCTTGGACTCTCGCTGATTGTAATGAGAAGACTCAGTCGGTAACATTCCATGTTAGAGATGTCCTTTCGGTAGATCTAGCTGATAACTCGGCTAACCTCGGCTTATTCCGGTACCCTTCATCAATAGGTACGGAATCTGCCGAGATGTGACGAGTGGGTTTGATGTGCCCAACGTTGTAATTCTCAAACTGTACTGTCAGCTTCTCCCACTTCTGTTTTCATGCTGTTGTATAACATGACACCAGTCCATCTCATCCCAAGACGCCTCCAACCACTTACTGTATATACTCAGACGCTGTTGTCTTTTTACTCTATTCCCAGAAAGGTTTACTACACATGTAAAAACCTTTCTTTTCTTCTTAGTTTCTTCTAATACCGTCTTGACAATATCACAATGCCGCGCACTGGACCTTTTCCTTTGGTGCTTCTACTTTTTCTAACATTTATTTACCTGTGCTCCCGTGTGTATGGTCGTTTCAATAATGCTGCACACCTGTGCCTAATATCTACTGAATTTATGTGACAGCCCATTAAACGTTTGTTCGTCTTTATAGTGTCCTCTCCACTTGTCGCTCTCTCTACCCCACACAACCACCCCAGGCTACGGTCATGTCAGCACACCAAGGGCGACAATAGCAAACTCTTCAAGATAGAGTTGTCTAAACCAATTGCAGCAATAACTGTTTTGTCGGAATCCAAGTGATCAGCCTTTGGATATGGTAGGCATCACAAGTGTAAACTTCTTCTAGCAAAGATTAAACTCATAGGGGTCGAACATTTTCATCAAAGTTTGAATCTTACTTTTAAGAACCGTATTTAAATGCATATGCTTTGGCCTGCGCACAACATCATATGACATATAGTTTGTATTTTTTATTTTTTTCATTCTCAGCTTTGGCCGTATGCCCAGACGGCTGGATCTGACGAGGCCAGTCTTGCTATTTTATTTCGGAAGATCGACACCGAAATGGGGACTCTGGGGTAAGAACCTGTTTTTTGTATGTTATTCAAGTTCGTTTAAGGTAAAGGATACCGCGGTAAAAGTTACAACTGCGAAGAAGAGTTCCAATTCAGAGCCCGATCCCTTTTTTCTTGAGGGCATTTCCATTTCTCTATAGAAGATGAAAAAACATAGAGTTTTTTTCTGTGTTTACGTCACTTGTATTATCCGGGAAGTCATGTTTCGAACTGATGCTGTGCATTTGCTATTCCTGGATATGAACATCGGTAAAAGATTAGAAACGGGAGTAGATAGGTCACGAGTTTGCCTCCATGTTCATTTTGTGGTTTGTTTAATGTCTTGCTGTTTTCAAACAACATCTTAACATAGAATCCTCAGACAGCTGATTAGTCATGTGAAATAGTTCCTTGAACTCATATATGTGTAAAATGGTTCTACCTGCCTACTTCCAGTACTGTGTAACAAATATGGGAAATGGGATGTTTATTACAAATTATGTCGTCTGAGAACTTCCAAATGTCCGTTACTGGCTTTCCTTTTTTATGTTCTTTACAAGACAATGCAAAATCTTCATTCTGTTTCACCAGTGTATTTGTTTCTCTTGGAGTTGTTCTCCTTTTTTTGTATTGAACACACTTTGATGTTTCGAATAGTTTGGACTAGTTTCTGATATGCTGTCAATAGATACATTGCGCGGCCTTTGACAGTCAGACGGAGGACTTATTCGGAAAGTTGCTGTACGAGAAGAAGATAACATCATTTGAACATCTTAGTCAATAAACATTTCACAGGTCATTGAACATCAACGGACGGAATGACATAACAATTTTCTGACACCAACGAAGCGCAATTAGCAAAACGTAATGAATTACTTTATACCGAGAATTTTTCGCCTCTGTTTAACTACCGCCCTTTTTACTCTTGGTAACGAGGGCGAATTTATCGTTAGAGCAAATATTAGTAAACAACTTGATAAATAGCAAGCAAATGTGAAGGGAGAAATTAACACCTTGCAAATACTGATTTCAACAGCTTATGGCGAAAGTTTGATTGGGCGAAAGTTTCACTGGACATAAGTTTGACTGGGCGAAAGTTTCACTGGACATAAGTTTGACTGGGCGAAAGTTTCACTGGACATAAGTTTGACTGGGCGAAAGTTTCACTGGACATAAGTTTGACTGGGCGAAAGTTTCACTGGACATAAGTTTGACTGGGCGAAAGTTTCACTGGACATAAGTTTGACTGGGCGAAAGTTTCACTGGACATAAGTTTGACTGGGCGAAAGTTTCACTGGACATAAGTTTGACTGGGCGAAAGTTTCACAGGTTAGCATTTGCATGTTAAAATATAGGTCTGCATAGTCACATTTACTGATTAGTTATTCGGATTATGCACAAAGACGACCATCTGCAGATAAGGGTGAATTAATCAAGTACACTGTACATGTATACATATGATATTACACATACAAACTGGTATGTTTTAAACTCACATTTGTTTGTTTCAGATGAAGTGCAGGTCAGAAAATGCGACTCTAGCCCAAGTGGATGATACTTACGAATTAGAATTCCTCAGAGCATTGGTCAAGCGATTTCCAACAGGTATAATGATGCATAGTATACTTTATGGGCGATATGGATGGACCACATTATTCAATACATTTAAATCCATGCAGCTTGTTATAATGTATCGTTTATCGCAGGCAACTCGCATACAAAGTGTATCTTGTAAATGGTTTACTCCCAAACAACTAAATACAAAAAGGTATGAAGTATAGTCGCCACATCAAAGATTTATTATAAAGTCAATATGATGTATATGTCTGCAAAATGAACTTATAAGTTACATCCACGGAGAATATTTTATAAATTCCTTGCAATTACTTACAGATCCAACAAGCAAACATTTCTACTGGATTGACGGTGTGCGAGGTAATAGTAACCATTGGTTACGAAATAGTGACCATGCCTCTCTTGCCTTTTTCGCCTGGGGTTCCGGGGAGCCTAACAACAGATTTGGAGGGAACGTTTGCTTGGCGTTATATAACCATGTAGACTTTTACTTCGCGGACACTTCCTGTTACGAAAACGGCCAGTTCATCTGTGAGTTGAGGTAGGTAAGTCTAAGGTTGTGTTTGTACAGTCATAAAATGATAAACAGGTCTACGATTTGATACGCGTGTTCAGTTAACTGAAATCGATGCACTAGATATTGTGCTACATCCATGTAACAATAAAAAAAATGCTGGTTGGCCTTGGATATTTGCGACATTAGCTGATATTTTGAGAAACATGCCCCGTTGGATTTGATCTTTCGTTAGCAATTTTCGGGGCAATTGATCTCACAAATTGAAACCTCAAAATTATATCAAGGTAATCTGATGTAAATGCGTTGATTGTTTTCCAGTGATCCTGTCAATCCATGCATACAGACAACACCGCCTCCTACTAACTCCACAACTGGGGCGTGGGTACAATTAGGCTAACTAAAAGGTGACGTAAAGGGCCTGTCACACCTAGCCGATTTGGGTCGCCGGAGCTTTACCGGAGCACAGATTTGGTGATTTTCGGGGATCGGTACTAGTACGGCAGAGCAATGGTATCACATCGCTAAGAACGATAGGACATCGTCGGGACATCGTCAGAATATCGGCGAAAATTTTAGCAACGGGCGGCGACGTTGAACATGCTCAAAAATGTCCGCCGTTGCGCTGCCGGAGCGAGCAACGGGACTACAACGGCAGTACTCCAGTATGACTTAGTTGATGGGTAGCGCCCCGTAATGGATCAGCGGCTCTCCGTTGGCCTCAATGTGTACCGTACTGGTACCGATGTGATACCAAAGTACTACCGAATACCACCGAAGTAGCATTGATGCGCCTCCGATGTACTAACAACAGAAAAGTAGTATTTGGTAGCACATCGGTCAATTTTGATTTTATTTTTGAAGTACTTTCTCTCCGGAGCTCTGCCGATTTTCTCGCTGTAGTCAATTTTCTGCTCCGGTTTAGTCCCGGCGAGGTACATCGGTAGTGTGTGACAGGCCCTTAATGGATCGGTGGATGGCCGGTCGGTGTCACATGCTTGTATAAGCCTTAGTTTGTACTGGTATATGGAATTAAAATATACACCAATAGCATCACGTGTCTTAGTTGTATTATTTTTTTAGCAGAAACCTATGCAACATACACCCAAATATGTTGAAAAATAACCCACCAGCTAAACGGGGAGATTTTACAGATCAGAGAAATTTATTACCGCGGAGAGTATATGAACAAGTAAGTCGAACTTGCTTGCTAAGCAAAATTACAAAAAGGATAGAAATCTTACGATCAGGCTTTGATTTATACTGAATTTCCAACGTGATGCAAGGTATCCATTAAAAAACCCACCACAAACAAAATTTTGACAGCAATATCACCACAGCAGTCAAAAAGCCAGCCAAATAATTGAAATTTGGTTTCAGACATTCAGAAGAACGTTCACATACGCCTACCAAGGAAACTAGGGAAAGCATCATTCTGCACCAGTGCATGCATAAAGTTCGAAATTGTAATTCTATTCATTAGAATGTATACAGGTTAGAACATTACATATGATCTGATGATGTGTTTGCCTGCGTCTGCTGAAAATATCTGCAGAGTTGGCACTTGCAATATCTTGCAATGAAATGTTCCAAATTGTTATGCTGATGAAGAAGGTTCGCTGCAGGGATCGGAGCGAAGTGTAGAGCTTTAAGAAAGAAGAATAGTGGTGGCTGGCTTCAAGTAAAGTTCTGTCTTGTTTTAATGAATACGATGTACATAGTCTGGTTGGATAACTTGATTTAAAGTACATTCCTTCCTGGATGAATTGTCTATGTTGGTGTGGAGTACGATCTTGCTCTTTAGAGTTTTGTATCCGGGCTGATGAAAGGCGCACACTGCTGGTATATTTTAATAGTTGTTCATTACCAATCAGGCCCTCTTAGTTGCATCTTTTTAAACAGAGTGTAATTAAACTTGGTAACGGGATCTCAGACAGCGTCTACATACTCCAAAGTTAGTCTTTCACATGTCTCGAAGACTGGTCATATTGCTGGTAGCGAGCATTGGCTCACGAACTTGTCTTTTTCTTTATCAACTTGGTGTGTGTTGTTACCCTGACGATATATAAATAACTTCAATGACGTACCAGGAAACATACCCTCAACAGATGCACATCAAGCATAACTATGATCGGGAAACGCTGTATACCCGTTGACATAGGACTGGTTTCTTGGTAATAAAAGAACTGATCCGATGACGAATGGGTTCTCATTTAGGCTTGTCACAAGAAATACAATTTGTTTTGTTTTTACCTCTTTGATGTTATTTAAAAGTCAGAGTATCATGGGCTATGCCTCACCAGATATAACATAAGATGGGGATAAAGTTTTTCTTTTAGGACTGCAGCTCGGGTTCTGTGGGATAAAACAACATTTATCCGTCGGAATTTTTCATCTCTTATTCCATATTGATGCTGCGAGTGAACAAAACGTATATCGGATCGCCAGCATCGTTTTCATGGGCGAGGGACTAGCGTTCAAGTTTTAGGGCGTGATCCAAGTGTTGAGGGTTCGTAGGCAAGAGATTGTATTTTGTCGAAGAAGATTCAAAACATCGATATTTTCGAAAATTACGTTGATTTCGTCGGGAAATATTTCATGCCTTGTGTGAAATGAAGGTCGATGCTTTTGAATGTGCTCCTTAGTGTGTCATACGGTTTTGTTGTCATTACCCAGATTCTCATTGGCTTGGATATGATTTACATGATGACAAGTATCGCGGATGAAGCAGAAAACGCTTCGTTTTCCTAAATACCTGGGCCCGTATTCATGAAACCGTTCTCATGCTCAAGAATGGATTATGTGCTCAAACCAACTTTCTTGAAACAAACTTAAATCATGTCAAACGATCAAAAAATTAAATGTTAACATTGAAAACAGTATTTGGCTTTAAGTCATTTAAATTATTTTCCAAATCATTGACAAAAAAAGATTTTGTTATTAATTTATAGCCGGAACAAGAAATTAGACTTGAGTACAAAAAACATGCTTGAGCATGAGAACGGTTTCATGAATACGGACCCGGGTCTTACGTTCATGGTGATGTTTCAAGGATCTTCATGTAAATCCTGACTTCGTTCATAGTTCGCTCTAGTTTTACTGGTTAACCGACATTAGCTTAAAGTGACTAAGAGTTGTAATTTATACAACATTGATGGTTTTCTTTTCTTGATCTGTTAAATCTTCGTAACAGCTAAAGCCATATGAAAACGGAAGCCCAAATCATACCACCGAAAAGTCAGAGTAGGTAGGAGAAAAAAGGAAGACTAGAGATCTTCTTGCAATACTATGCAAAGTATTGCAATGGGGATAGGGGGGATTTTGTTTCTGTCGATGTCCCCTTAGAGACGCAGAATAATTTCTACTCGTTGGTTTGTTTCTCACTCTTGTGGCTTTTCTGACTGACTAGGTTATCCAGGGCACGTTGATTCAAATTCATGTTTGATGTCTTCAAAGTTCCAACATTTCCGGTTAGATTGTCCTTAATTTTTTTGTACATGGTGTTTGGAGTTTTCTTTTCAAGATATACACTTATAACACATTATTCTGTGACTATGATTTAAGTTAACCTTCATATAATGTTAAAAATAACACAATGTTATAATTCAGAACTATTGCAGGAGATGGCTGAGTGGAATTTTACCAGAAACTTTTCTTGTGTCTTGGCATGGTTTCCATATTTTGCACTTTTATCGATTTATTTCACCGTACTTATTAATAAGCCTTCCAACCAAAGTTCGTGTGCTGACCGACGTCTTCAGAAGAAATGGCAAACGGATGATAACCTATATATTTGGATTGTGTCCTTGACATCGAAGTGTTGAGATACGGTGTGAACAATATCACAGAACTTCGTCTCGGTAAACTGAAAGATAAGGAAATACATGATAATTACCAAGTTTGTGCAACATCTATGGCGGTATAGCGATAATTGAATGCACATTGTCTTACGGTTTTACATGTGTGTACTTTCAAGAAATCTCTCAAATATAGACAGAGGACTAAGACCAGGTTACACTATCACGATCCTTGAATAACAAGCGTCTACAACGCTCAAAACCTTAAAATGTCCTGTCAAATATAAGCAGCCATATGGGTGTTGTATCAATGCATCGTGAACATTATTGTTTTACAATGAATTAACTGTTTTAATAATTGTCCATATTTTGGCACAGGTAGTTTTATAGTATGTACAAAAGCGTATTGGAAAACGTGACCTTATCTCACTTTAGCATATTAAAAGCAAATTTATCGAAATAATATAATATACAAAAGATACATATTGGCGTATCATAAACTACCACAAACTAAATGAGAGATAGGTGAGTTGGTTCAGTCTGGCGTCTGATAGTCAGAAAAAAACACACCATTAGATAGTTCGAAAGTAAATTTCTGAAAGCCCTATATAGTCCGAATATTTAGTTAACCGAAAACGTGATCTCACTTCAGCATATAAAAGGCAAATTTATCGAAACTAGCACGATTAAAGAAACGTCTTCACTGTAGCCATAAACACGAATGAGAAAAGTACTATGAGAATTTACATCTGGGCGCAATTCGTCACGAGCACGTCAAAATTGAGAGCGGCACCAATGGTGCTTTTCCTAAATTTCATATAAGGTCAAATAAGCGTATGACATAAGTCTAAAGGGAGGAAGTATCCTAGATAAGACATCGGGAGTATGTTCTGAACCGAAATCATTCAGGAACTTGAAGAAAACGTCATGCTGACCCTGACTTATAGAAGTCCCAGTGCACAGTGCTCCTGACAGAAAAAGTTTCCAGTGGGTTTTTCAACAGGCCACCTTAGAGCGACTGACAGGGAGGCAGTCTGAATAAAAAAGGCATTCTCTGTACAGATTTCATCTGTCTTCCTCTGTGTTCGATGCTAAAGTGTCTTCTTTCACCTTCTATTTTATTGACTGTCAGTTCCATTAGCTGTGTTTCTATGGTTTGAGAATGCTATCTGCTTCCAGGTTAAGTTGCTATGTTTAGCATTTACATATTGTCAGCATAAATAGCAAGCGCCTGTGGTGAGGAATTCAAAGCGTTCACGTGCAATTATTTGAATAATAACTGCTTTTGGTTAGGCCGAATAATTGAATGAAACATCAAACCATTAAATCTGGCTTTTTCATAATAAGGTTGTTCGTGTGTTATTCCCTTAAACCACAGAGTATCTTAACATAATTATGTGCTATTGGAAACTATTCAAGCCTTTATGAAGTCCAACAAACGATTCCTTACTGAATACTTTATTTAGACCCCACATTTCGGAAGCTCCACCTACCACTTCAAGTTCTCGCAGGGCTCAACGATGATAACGATATTTCATGTACAGTGTCTTCGTGTTGAGATATGATATTATACAAGACCAAACATTTATAACATCGTTTCCATTTCGGCGACTCGTGTTGCTGTGAAGCATGTTTTGTGGCTTGGTTTAGACCGCTGTAAGACATTTAGGTTATTCTCTATGAAATAGTTTTTAGAATTTGGTAGCATGTGCAAGAAAATCTCTTGATAAATGATGTTAAAAAATAGCTCTTGCCAAACTATGAAACTACTGTATTCGGTCACACCTTATATAACGATAATTTGAATACTAACCGGCGTGCGCCAGGTATCATCCACGTGTACGTAGATATTCACGTACATCTTTCGTAATGAACAAACACAAATTGTCAATAGTTTTTGAGTCTGTATTCACCAAGTTGTGATAATTAATAACTAAAAACAATTTGACGTCTTCGGAGAACAAAACTTGTTGACTGGTAGACCGAGGGATGTCAATTGACCTTTGACCTCCGTCAGAATTTCGCTACTCAGCTGCGGTATCCGAGAGAAGACGACAGCCCCTTCGTAGTACCAGTCGGTTGCCACATGGCCGCAGTAGTAGCCAATCATATAGCTCAATTTAGGGTCCTGGTACAGGATTCTCCAGTCAGTAGTGGTCTCGTGTCCCATCTGCATGCTTTTGTACTCCAGTAGTCCTTGAAACGATGCGTTGTTTTGCACGGCAGTCTCGTTAACTAATTTGTGCTTCAGCTTGCCGTCAATTGTGTGAACTTCAAAACGCTCGTTCACAGATATAGTGTTGGAAGTGTTCGAAAGGCTAAAGGTTGTAACTTGGCAGTCAAAACAGTCAAAATTAGGGTTCAGTCCCATAACGATGTACCATGAACCTTTCAGTTGTTGTCGGGACAAAGTTTTTAAAGGCAGATGTGGGGGAGTGCATCGGAAGTCGGGATCTGGCGAAACCATAGTAATGCATTTATATTCCGTAAAAGCACACTTCATGAAGGTGTCGAACACGTCATCCTCGTACGAGTACAAACAGTCAAACATACATGTCTGGTTTTTCGTTCCACAGCCCGTGATGCACGCGAGCGCCGACCGACAGTCTGGATCTAACATGCAGTTTTTAGACTCATCCGCGCAATGCACCATCATGCAGATTATGTTTTGACCATTTCCGCCTTTTGGACAAAACAGGAAAAATAGTGATATGAATAGAAATACAGATAACATTATTGCAGTTGGTTTACGTCCAACGTCGAGCTGTAGAATACCTGCACTATAGACAGTGGTGCCAAAGATAACAGTATTGAGCTCAAGAGGTCATATGTCAACGACTTACTATTAAACGTCATCTATATAACAGCGTATTTGATTGGATTATATTGATCACATGACTGATCTTGTGCGTGAACAGCTATATCTATACATCCATATATAGATGGCGGTTTTCTGTCGCGTTTGGGATGTTATTTTCACACCAAAATAACATATCTAGCGTCACGTATGCCCTAACTAGAGCTCTCTGCGATATAACAACGCAATCACATGGCATATAACTCGGAATGAAAATGTCATTGATGTACGTAATTGTTTGTAGATGGTCGTACCATTCAATTGTGATGTTCGTACCCTATCGATAATGCATGATTCCAGATTTAAGTTATCATATTTAGATGGAATGGTAATTAATGCTTTATTTCGTGCAATATCTATTAGTTAGAAATCACTAAAATCTGAACTGTCAGAAGGAAGTAAGCTGCAATGGAAATGTCAGTCATGGACAAGAGGATGTTAATGGACTGTACAAAAAAAATCTTCAATTTCCTTCTTTCACTTCCAAAACCATTTTTGTCAGATAGCTATCGGTTTAAAACATAGATTTTTACTTAATATAAACAATACATCTATTGGCTTATCGTAAATTACATCACACTTAATGGATTACCCAGCTAAAACTGACCATAATGTTGGTCTTAAAATTCTGATCGGTAGCCTATAGTACCGATCAGAATTTCGAAGGCTGTGATTTTGGTTAGTTTTAGCGGACAAGTAATGGAATCTAATAGAAGTTATCAATCTCTTATTTAAGTTGCGCTTGATCGTCGAAAATCTTCAAAACGTCAAAAAGAGTATGTAAGTTCCTATGAAAGGTGTTGAAAGGAAAAGTACAGTCAATGTATCATCTAGCCTACTTATAACGCAAACAAATTCCGGAAAAATAGTGGCAGTATAACAAGTTTTAACAATTTTACTTTATATTTTCTGGGCATCTCGGCGGTCATGCACATTTATAGTTATCTACCATACCCGAAATTCTTAAATGCGTAAGTTATAAACGAATATATACTAATATGATGTGCTTAGCCTAACGGTGTCAAACAAGAAATGAAACATTATTAAAAAATACAGACATATAAATGACCGACGATTCCCTAAATTTCACAGTGTCACAAGATAGCTGGCTCAGTGTGGCGAAACAGTCCTGATAGTCAGAAAAAACCCACCATAAGTTAAGATAGTCCGAAAGTAAATAAGTCCGGCCGATATTCAGAAGGCCCCATAGTTCAAAGACTTAGTTGACCGAAAACTCGGTCTGAGAGTCTAAAGAGTCCATCTTCAAAATATAAAAACTTAAACATGAAAACACAATCAATATCAAAACCTAACACGAAATCATTACTGACACGAAAACCTAAACAACATTGATTTTAATTGTTTATGTTTCCATTTTGTTGTTTTGATATTGGTTATGTTTATGTTTTCGTTATGTATGTATCTCAAACTATCGGCGGGCGCCGGATCTTTTCGGGTTTTTATTTCGGACTATCGTACTTTTTGGCTGTTAGATCATTGGGCCTGTGGAGTATGGCATAGACTGTTTTCCCTTTTGACAACCGGATCTTCGGAATACCGGGCCTTTTAATTCGAACTACGGGGTCTTCAGATTATTATACCTTACTGTTTCGACCAACTACACATTTTGGTTGTGATATCCTTGAAACCCCAGTGTTCAGCTCTCGATGCGCTAATATGTCATGACAAAATCGAAAGGTCTTTACGCGAGTCTTTGTGGATGATAAAAGGGGACTACTCTGGAATCTTTGATAAAGACCGGCAGCGTAACGGTAAAATTACCAGGCCTCATAGTTGAAGTAGTAATGTTCAAAGGACATGTATCAGCCTATACCTGAAACCTGGCAAATAACTTACAATGAACCTTCATCCGTTATAAAGGTCACAGGGGTCAAAAGTGTATACACATTTGACTCATGTGACCTTTATAATGGGTGAATGTCATTAAATAACAAAACCTGGTACTCCTTCATCCCAAAATGCTACTGGCCAAATGAAGAAGCTATCCTTTAAAGATTTTAAACACATTTTGTCCCTGTGACCTTGAAAGTGGATCCTGGTCATTCACTTGAACACAATTGATAGTTCTTTGTCTAAGTATGCTACTGGCCAAATATCACCACCTCGACTGGCTACCAGCCCCTCAGTTTTTATGGAGAATTTCTCGGCTGCATTTTACTACTAGCTTATCTCCCCCTAGTTTAGAACTTAGAATCAGGCATCCAAGTGATCAACATTTTTTTAGTTAAACTTTTTTCTTAATAATTCAATATTCTAGAGACGGGGGCCAGTCTAATCACCACCCTATCTTCGAAACTCCAGGTGTTACGCTCGCTTACGTTCTCTGGAATTTGTCGTGACAAAGCTGTTTGATTGATTTCAGGTAAAAAAAAATCAATCGCTAGACTGATACCGGTCTTTTAAATAGTACAGAAGAGCGACACTAAAGCCATTCAATTTTACCGGTACACCACCGCACAATTATTGTGATGTACATCAAAGGATTAAACTCGTCTACTTGTATCATCCGTAATGAGCTGCGTACAGAGTCTTCGAATTCACTGTATTCCAGGAATGCAAGAAGTGTGTGGAGATATATTACAAAAACATAATGATAAATTATAGGCATACATGTTGTAAGTAACACTCTTATAGTTAATATTTACACAAGTGTATTCCTGCAATGACATGCATGCTGTTTCTTTACTTCATTTACTCAAATATTTGCAATCATCCATATATCAATATGTGTCGTTTGCAAAGACAGAGATAAAGAAAGAAGAACAAACTGCAAAGAAAACAGATTGAAGAAAGATAGAGAACATGAGTATTTTCTGAGATATAGTATGCAATTTACAAGCAAAGGATCACTCAATTGTATCAGAAAAAAACCCCTATTTCTTCGTTTACTTTGAAATCTTAACGTTTAAGCAGAGACGTTTATATTAATATATACGTCTCTGGTTTAAGTAATATCTGTTGATCTAAGTTAATTGCTGAACTGATATATATAATTCCACTGTTCCAATAACTATGTACTTTGAAATAGCAAGAATGTCACCTATTTTATACGGTTATTGTAAAAGGCGGAATTTCTTCGAAGTCGTTCCGTCATTTGGTTTTTATGTTACAATTATCAAGCACTCTTGTGACGATGTTATTCCAATTACAAGCGCCTGAGCGCATCGATTCCCACATGTGTGAAGAGCCCGTCGGGCTAATGTTTATAATTGTTGTTATTCTTTAATCTTTCAATTTTATGTTCAAACTCTAAATCATCAAAGCTGAAATAGGAAATATGGGCAAACGTAAATTCAAGAAAAGTGTGGAAGGATCTCTGGGTAATTTGAAAACAAGCAGACGACTTTCACTGTCTGCAGTAGCCTGAGTTCTCTCTTGCACCACACACCAGACATTTACCAATCTATCTGTCAAAATGTCTATGTCTGGAGTCAGGGCCGGAGAAAGTCGGGCTATGTCTTAAGCTGTTCAGTATCAGTAGGCTGGTACCAGTCACCTGTTCACTGACTCTTTATAGTTACAATGTATGGCTGATATTTTACTGTTCAAAGGATGCATATTGAACTGTACAGTTTGTTGGCAAAATGTAATCAAGTCACAGCCTAAATATAACTGGTGGATCACAGGGGTTCGCTACAAATGTCTGTAATACACATATGCTATACTGATATGGTTCACAGCACACAAACATTTTATGTGTGCTGTGACCCATAACAGTATAGCATGTGTATTTCAGACATTTGTAACGAACCACTGTCGGTGGATGTTAAAAGTACTAGTACATGTAGTGTATCTCGGACCAGTGTCATAAGACAGGTCATACTTTTAATTAACATCAATGAATTGTCTGACACACAGGGAATTGAGAATTTGTTAGAGCTATAGTTGGACCTAAACTAAGGTGTTCCGGGTAATTGTACAAGTTTTAGGTGTTTAGATCATCTTTCAGTAAAAATGCCATCCCAATCATGATATTATACAGGGGGAAAGCTCTTGATGTAAGAAAAACATTTCTAGTTGAATCCTGTGGTTTGATTGGCTAAAAGTGAAGCCATTCTTTTGTCTAAAATAACATGCCAATCAACCCCACATGTTTCGGCATGTGACTGACGTCAGTCTCATGAATATGGAAAAAGTTGGTCTAAGACTGCAAAAATTTTGAAGTTCGGAAATGGTGTGTGTTTTTGAAGGAAAAGGAGACCATGCCTGTGAAAGGAGAATAAATTTTACGTTCATATAGGAGGTTTTTAAAATACAAATTGTCCATCTTTCGTACTTTGTACTAAGCATTTCAATGTATATCATTCAATGTCATCCAATAATGAATATATTAAAATTTAAGATGTAATGTCCAGTTCTACTCTTCTTCAGAAATTTATAAATTCCTATCAGTGTTAGTTTCCCTTAGACACACCATATTGTACTGTGTTTTGAATATGAAATTGAAAAATTATTTGATTAAATTGCCAGTTAAAACGAACAAGAAAAAATCTGAATTCAGTAGCTTTGACAAATCATTGTGTATCTGGTGTATGTTTGTATTGTTAAATATGTTAGAGAAAAAAGTGTCTGACTGTACCAGGAAAGTTATTGAATATGCTCTTGTTTTCATTCTAGTGGAAAGGAGGAGACGGATACAACAAGCAAAGAGGGAAGTGGCTCTTGAATCGAAAGGCAAATCCCCAAAATACAGTGTTGAGCAGCTTTTGGAGAAGGTAGATTGTTGCTATAGAATGACATTTATCACTGGCTACTGGTAACTCAAATTGAGTTATATGAGAAGTAAATGAACTTTTTACATCAGAGATTAACTCATGAAAATTTTAAAGTAGTTTACTAAACCTTTATGTAAGTTTTGATAGCTGCTATCTAGTGTGGATTGGATACTGTAATGCTTGTTTTAATGTTAGTCTATAAATTTCAGGAATAAAATGTGCCTCTGCTCTTTCTTGGTGCAACATACAATACAGAGATCAGAACTGGTTTAAATAAAGAATGATGTGATTAATTCAGCAGGGTTTTGACACATTCAAAGGAATAATTTAGGACCTAAATATTTAGTTGCAAATATAATGTAACATGGCATGAAATGGTGAACAAATAGAGTAAAGGGAGACAATTTGCTCTTTACTGCTGAGAAACACTAGGGCCGTTTTCGTTTAAATGGTTCAACTGGTGGGACCACAGTTGTTGGTTTATTAAATAATGTCGGACATAGTAATCTGATGGCACTTTCAGGCGAGCCTTGACAAAGCCTTGCAAGGCCTGCATAAACATTTGCAGGTCAGCCAGGATTAATACCGAAATTATTACATTTAAACAAACCAATTGTTCCGCATAAACGAACAGGTCCTTTTGCTATATGTCAGTGACGAAACAGACATTTGTTCATGATTCTGTTAGAGGGGATTTAGGCTGAACATGTGAGGATCGAAAAAGTCTCTGACATAATATGTTTTCTCATCGCTAGATAACGTTGTGGCTATCACTGATACGTTCTTTATATACATACATTATGTAGAGCGTAATGAGTCCATTTCTATGGGACATCAGATATTATCCAACAAGTTTTATCCAGAGTTAAAGGGAAGTTACCATTGAAATTACTTCTTTGACCCATAACTCATGGCTATCGGATGATATACCTTAAATTTTCATCTGTCCATACTGATTATCATTGGTTGAATAGTAATCAAGTCCATTTTTTTATACAGTCGTGTTTATGATATACATGATCATGTGTACATCCAGTTGAAATATTCACAAGCTAATGATAATAAGTCATTAGTGCTATGTTTTCCATACACAGGCAGAAGATTGTATAGACAGATTTGAATATGAACTTGCCCAGAAATTCTGTCAGAGGGCTTTGGAGATGGAGCCTGATAGCATTCTGGCTCTGGAAACAACTGGATCCCTTCTCTTAGAGCTTGGAAATCAGGAGGCAGCCAAACAGGTATGGATACTGACAGATGTGGAACTGAATATTTGTGTGACAAGCTTCTGGTTTCTCCACAATTCCACAGTAGATTTTAATCAGTTTGTCACTTGCAGATTACTTTTTCTGTATTTCAGTACATGTTTGGTCTAATTAAAGTCAGACCATTATTGACAACATAATTTGCAATGCTCTTAATATGTAGAGCATTATATTAATTTGGATTACATGTATTCTTAATATGTAATTAAAGTTACTTAGGATACTCTTTAGTTTTGATACATGGAGTATTGTAGTAAAGTAGGATACTCTGAATATGTAGAGTATAATAGTGAATGAGGATATTTGTAATACATAGAGTATTTCAGTAAATTGAAATAAAGGTATTCTAAATATAGAGAGTATTATACAGTGCCGTCAACTCTGTGTAAACCAGACTGTTTTGTCTAAGCAAGCCAAACTACTCTGTCCTGGCTCTAAATTCTTCTTTAACTATGATACTTCAGTAATATTGTCCAAGTGGCATTCAGTTTAGACCGAGTCCACTGTAGAAATAAGGATATGACCTTATTGGATTGACATGTACATAATTTTTTATGCATTCCCTTTATGTAGAAAAAACAGAGAAACAATACTTCCTTTTGTTTGAATTTCAGTACGAGGTACATATTCTGCCTTTTGCTGCTTGCAATACCAGGTTATTTCCCTTGATGTGTTATTCTATCTAGATCTGTTGGTTTTGAAGAATTCCAGCTTATTAATAATGGTAATTTTTGTTCTTAAGCTTTATTTTTGTTTCATTCCACTACCCTTGCAGTGTTTTGGCCGAGCTGTGGAGGTCTGTCCAAACCAAGGCCACTCCAAGTACATGTACCTGGGGCAGTTGTTTGAAGGTGCTCAGGCTGTTCAATGCTTTCAGAAGGGGATAGAATTGATGATGAAGGAACATGAAGCAAAGCAAGCATCAGAGGTATGCAGTGGAAAAGATATCTTCTCATATTCATTAGTTTTTGTATTCATTTAAAGTTGGAATTATTCAGTAGATAAGATTTAGAACGCTATAAATAAAATAGAAAATTGTATTTGGAGAATAAAGACCTCTTGTGATTTCCTGCAAACAAGATATTAACGCAAAAACATCTGTATTTTAAAAGAAAGCCATTTCTCATATATCAGTGATGTCCAATCTTTGTTGAAATTTATTTTACTAAAGTGTAATTGGATGTTAATAGTTGGCAGCCGCCTGCGGGGGTGGACCACGAGAGGGGGTCTCCTGTGAGGAGATCTGCAATGCTTACCTGTCCCTGGCTGAACTCTACATGACAGACTGTTGGTAAGTGTTCACATATTGTCACAGGGGAGCAAAATTCACATCAGCCCAGTCAGAACTATACTGGACCTGTATTCATGAAACAGTTCTCATGCTCAGGCGCGGATTCTGCGCACAAACCAACTTTCTTGTAATACACTTACATCATGTGACACGATCAAAAGGTCAGGTGTAAATACTCAAAATGGTGTCTGGCCGTAAGTCTTGGTAAAGTTCTTGCAAAATTGACAGGTGATTTTTTTATTAATTTATCATAGTAACATTAAATGGGGCTTGAGCACAAAATCTGAGTTTGAGCGTGAGAACGGTTTGATGACTGGTCCCTGGTGTTGTGATGGTAAACTTTTAAATGTGGGTGCCGATGGAAGACACCGCATCAGGTGGTCTAGTATTGCCATGAAAAAATAAAAAAAATATGACAACACCATTATTTATTATTGAAAGAAAGTTTAGTTCCCTGCTTAGCTCGCCGTCATCTCCAAAGACTTGCTCTTTTTATCATTGAAACTTTTGATTGTTTCTTAACTTTTCATATTTAAAATTGTAGTATGGAGGAGGATGCAGACAAGAAATGTGAACATAACATAAATCAAGCACTGGCGATAGACGGTGATAATGCTGAGGCCTATCAGATGATGGCCAGCTATCACCTCTCTAAAGAAAATGAGGAAGTAGGTATTCTTAATATCCACCACAGTATGTTTAGTTCTCTTGAGAGAGTGACGTGGGTTTTTCGTTTCATTACATACTCCCTTATCATTGTGCAGTTGCTAATTTGCGATGAGCAGGAGAGGGAGTATACTTCATATATTGAACTGTAAATAGAATGTGAAGATTTCATTTTCTCTTATGTTTCTATAGAAATCAACATTCATATTATCCAAGTCTGTTATTTTTGTTAACATTTATCAGAGATTTCATCTCTTAGAATTGGTATTTATGGAGGAAGTAAACAAAACCTTACTGGTTTTTAGGTCACCTGAGCTTTGCTCAAGTGACTTCTTTTGATCACTTTCCGTCCGGCGTCGTCCGTTGTCCATAAACTTTTTACATTTTCGATTTCTTCTCAAGAATCAGAGCATGGAATTTTTTCAAACTTGGTCAGAATAATCCTTGTTAGATGAGGCTACAATATTGTAAAATTGGGATTCCTACCCCACGTCCTGGGGACCAAAAGGGAAAATTAACCAATATTTCAAAAATCTTCTTCTTAAGACTCGGAGGTACTACAGTCATTTTCTCTGCATGAATGGAAAGATCATGTAAATTTCAGGACCCCCAGGCCATCCCTTCTCCCTTGGGGAGGGAGTCAAGTTTACTATAGGGAATGGCTTTATTGAAATTGTCAATTTCAGGACCCCCCATCCATCCGTTCTCCCTTGGGGAGGGGGTTTAGTTTGCTATAGTTTATATAGGGAAATTTTTGGGTATATTTTATCCATTTTCAGCAGAAAATGATTCAAACTTGGTCAGAATGGTCTTTGGTGGATGAGGGTATCACATTGTAAAATTGGGATTCCTGCCCCATCCCCAGGGGCTAGGGCGGGGCCCCAAAGGGAAAATTTACCAATATTTTAAAATTCTTATCCTTTGATGACATTACAATTATTGAATTTAACATAGTTTACATGCTGATTTCCACATCACATCTCGACAATGAAATTGAGCTGCCAGTACCTGTGATATAACTCAGGTGACCGCTTGGGCCTCTTGTTATATAATCTTTTAAAAAACTTATCATTGCTGAAGTCTGAATATTGCAATGTTTTAGATGGCTACGGAGATGATAAAGAAAAGTGTATCGTTATGGTTACCAAAGTACAAAGCAGCTGATAAAGGGGAAGTGCCAGACGAGGAGTTTAACCCACTAGAGGTAATCATTGATACTGTATATTACTTCACTTTGGATGTAAGAAGAAACTTTGTTTTGAATTAACACAATTGTTATACAACATCGCTGTTGTAGCAAATCCTGGGGGAATATTAAGAGAACATGTTGGTATTGCAAAGTTTGTTGTTGAATTGATTGTACACAGGCAAATTCAGTTGTTCTCAATAATATTAATTGTGAAAAAAAGAAATCACCTTGAAAAGTAATTTGGAAATTGTATTTAGGATTTTTTATAAATATTTTGTCATTCAATTGAAGGGAGATAACTGTGAATATCCAACTCGGTTATGATGTATTTATTACAACACATTATTTATCAGGGTGGAAACAATAGAACAGGTTGTTAGCTGAACTCACACATTTTCACAGCTTATTGGCATCTGTTGTAATATTAAACAAGGGTCAAACTTTGGGCTTTCAAAACATTGTGAAGTTTGTGATTTTGCAGGTTTTTGTGAGGGGTTAAATTGATCCCGAGGTGGGAGATGTACCAAATTGGGGTTTTGGCTAATTTTGATGGATTTTCCGTCACTATCCAGCACAATCAGGTGATTGACACCTACCTATACATTAATTATGTTTTCTATGTGGTGCCTTGGGACTTTTAGGACAACCGTTTCTTTTCCAGTTGACACCACTAAGTTATGATACCAGGATAGCAGCAGCCAAAATTTTAACTGAAGTAAAAGAATACGAGGTTGGTAATATGTATTTCCTTCTTCATTCTCATAGGAACATGTTCATGCACACTTAAATGATACTGAAAAGTCCCAATTTAGATCGTATATTCATGTTCTGAAAGGTAATTCTTTATTCATTTATCAAAAATTCATTTGTTTTTATTACAAAATTGTCATCTTAAAGTAAGTACTACTCTTGCATGACTCAATCGAATTCCCCATCCACCTCCAAAAATGGTTTCTACATGAAATATACCTAGTACTTATTTCTATTTAATTAAATGACATTTGTTTATGTTTAAATGAAAAGTTTTTAACTCGGCAAGACTAATATAGATGATCTTGGTTAAAAACAACAGAGCTTCGTACCGATGCTAAGATTACTTTTTTAAGCTGAATTCAGATGTAAAGATTAGTTTTGGTTTGCTTCTAGAAGATGTTAAGATTAACTTTTACAAACTTAGTTATCAAGACATTCAGATTAATTTGAGGATATTTGAATCGAGCAGTTTCCTGTCAAAATAGACAATGATTTGTTCACACTGAATCTATCACCTAGACTGCTGTGGATGTGCTGGAAGGTTTACTGGACGAGAATGATGAGGTTCCACAGGTCTGGTATATGATCGGCTGGGCCAACTACTTACAGGGCCCTGACTACAAAGAGAATGCCCGATACTACCTACAGCAAGCCAAACAGGTAGGTTCTGTCAAATCTTCATTAGTCACTGTGAACTTAACTACAGCAGGAAAAACAGGTAGGTGTTGACAAATCTTCATTAGTCACTGTGAACTTAACTACAGCAGGAAAAACAGGTAGGTCTTGACAAATCGTCATTAGCCACTGTGAACTACAGCAGGACAAACAGCTAGGTTTTGACCAATCAACATTGGTCACTGTGAACTACAGCAGGACAAACAGGTAGGTTTTGAAAATCAACATTAGTCACTGTGAACTTAAATACAGTAGGAAAAACAGGTATGTTTTGACAAATCGACATTAGTCACTGTGAACTACAGCATGACAAACAGGTAGGTTTTGAAAATCAACATTAGTCACTGTGAACTTAAATACAGCAGAAAAAACAGGTAGGTTTTGACAAATCGACATTAGTCACTGAACTACAGCAGGACAAACAGGTAGGTTTTGAAAATCAACATTAGTCACTGTGAACTTAAATACAGCAGGAAAAACAGGTATGTTTTGACAAATCGACATTAGTCACTGAACTACAGCAGGACAAACAGGTAGGTTTTGACAAATCGACATTAGTCACTGTGAACATTACTATGCAGTAACAATCAGTTCAGCTGCAAAATGAGATTTTCTGATATTTAACATGTTGTTCAATAACGCTTGGTGTATAATTAATATACAATCCTCCGATTCCAGTTGATGATTCTGATGTATAAAGAAGTAACAGCACAAATCTAGAAAAAAAGAAAAGTTTATTTTGTAACTGAAGGTTGCATTATGCATCTGTGAAGTACATTACCTTTGTGTAATCTCGCATGGCTACGTCTTTTACAGGTGTATGACAAGATTAAATGTGATGATCCGGATCTTTTGAAACACGTGGAAGAACTAACAGAGGAGATTGGCCCAGGTATGTAGTCTACTATCTAGTTCTGAAAGTTAAATAGATATATTAAGTCCAATTTATGAAGATTCAATTTAAATGAAGATATTAACTTGACTACGAAATTTCAGAGCGCTTGAAATTTAGATACAAATATGTTGTAACTGATTTTGGAAAATAAACCTTTGGTCTATTAAAGTCTAGTTTTCCTGAAGTTACTGGATATGTCCAGTCTTTCCCAAAATGATCTTTTCTGACCCCCTTCATTCATGTTGTGGGCTAGTGACACAGTATTGAAAATCCTTGATTGCATAATTTATTAAAATTTCATGTTTTTCTCAACCTCTGGCATAAAACCAGAATTAGGGGATAACCCTACTGTATTTTGAAATTTGCTGCGGTATATCATGATTATACTGTCGCAAATTGAGTTTTACTGGCGACGAGGAGCGGAGCCAGTAAAACTGATTGACGTCTTTGAAAAGTTCCTTGTGGTAGAAGTGTTACCTTGTTACCAATGCCTTTCATAGCTGCAGAAATGTTGCCTTGTTTTATACACAAGTCAGACCTCTATGGTTGTTGTAGAAAAGTTGTGTGTCAACTTTCAAAACTAGTAAGTGTAGTATGTGTTTTCAATGACTAGTTCAGTATGTACCCTGTCAACTTCGTAAGACAAATTACAAATCTAATTTTATGTACCCAAAAGTGCAAAATATATACCAGTTGGCAATATATAATCAAAGTCAGTCTGCATATGCCGTAAGCATATGACCACTTAGTTGTTATACATGTATGAAATGTCGAATCAAATTAACAATTCTATTCGGCTATGCAACGATACATTAACATGACAATATGATATGTATCACGATTCATGTAGACATATAACGTTACATGTAGTAACAGTAGAAGCAAAGAGAAAATATATGTTGCAAATTTTTAATGGCAATATTACAACAGGAAATAGACTTGGTCCAAAATTGTCTTGACTTTAAAGTTTCACACAATGCCGACCTTGGTGTCACTTACCATGTGGACACAGATATGAGTAGACTTAATTCAGAAATGACAGAATCCGGAAAATATTGCAGCTGTATTGCGCCCTGCCTAAAAGTATCGTGTATCATACTTTATTCAAAACATCGTGATATATCGTCGTACGACATATTGTTTCAGCCCTATTTAATACCTGGTCATAGATGTGCGAGAGTCTTTGAGCCTCTCATAAGTATAACAGCTAAGTGTACATGTTGCTAACTCGTACATACTTTATACCTCTGTGTACATACGCTTCACTGGTCATTTGTCTGATGAAAGTTGCAGGGTACGTACCATACTAGTCACTGAATCGAAAACGTCATGAACACTTACTGGTTGTAATACATAACCTGTCTACAATTCATAGTTACTTACCTCTTTGGTTTAGCAAAATATCTGTGTCCCGATTATGTTAAGTGTAACCATTACATACCTCTATAGCTAAAGAGTATAATTGTTGCCTTCCCTCACCATACCAGTATCTGTATTGTAGGGGAGGAGGAGGGCGAGGAGGAGGGTGCTGAAGAGGATGTGAATGAACTAGATAGTGACAGTGATGATGAAACAGACAATAAAACAAACGGTGAAGCAATGGAACACTGATGTCATTCATAATCAATAAATATTTACTGTTATAAGCTGGTTCCCTTCAGTTCCTTTGTCTACTTAAAGACGACAGAAATACCCGCCACACACAATAGATGGAATGTACACCTATGTGTCCTCAACGCATGTCATCTTGAAGAACAAGGCAAGAGAAGTTTTGCTACTTTCAATGTCATGGTTGACCAATGATCTGGAAGGGTTGCTTTAAATGTGATATTATTTATTACAAAGGCTGCCAAGTTTTTCATACTCACATTCACTGCGTTATTATTAGGTTGAGATTCTTTGCATGCTGCTTGTAGAGTTATGAGATGTGGTTTCAGCATTAATGGATTTGGTTCAATTTCTGTCCAAGGACTGTATACCTACCACAACCCACAGTTGGTCCTTCGTTCACATCAATACATCGTCTTCAAATAAACTTTTTTGTTTGAAAGGTTGTTATGACCATTCCTATTGACTTGCTACGGAGATAATGAGTTTGTCATGTTCCAGGACGGTCTCCACTTTGAACTCTCATGTCAACATAACAAGAGGAATTACTACAATAAGCATTACATGTATATGGTTTAATTCATCAGAAAATAATCCCCATCCATGATAGGTTCTGTTTTCAAAAAATCAGAATGCAAAATATATTAATCGGTACGTTTATTGTTAAGTATACAACTCTTTCTGCAAGCAATCGTAGATATACACATTTAGGAATGTAAGGTGATAAAGGATAGCCACTTTGATGTTAGTTGCTGACAAGTTTACCAAAAGCTAAAAACTGTGGCTGTAGGATAATTTCAAATTTTCAAGAGGCCATGAATAGAGCTGTATGGTCAATTCATATTGCTATATATTTTTATACCACTGGGTCGATTATCATTATTCATCTTCCTTTGAAATGGCAATAAAATTGATCCATGAAAACTTACAAAGATAGAAGAATTGATTGACACGCCCGCCGAACTTGACCAGATTGTCAGTCATGTCTGTTTAGTTCTATTTGAGGGGGAATATGAAATATGATATACACGGAGTGTTTAAATTGCCTTACATCCATATTATCAAAGCCTACTAAATAATAGATATACTGATACTGGTATTTCACAGGAAAAAAGGTTTGTAACAATAGCAGCTACAGTTGTATCTGTTGCTTGGTAGCCACCTGGTCCGGGTTTTTTCTCTCTTACACAATTTCTGTTTTTAGCTGAACATAAATGTAATAAGTGGATGATTCTGTTGCTAAAATTATATATCATATAAACTAAAATGATATTCTATTACAGCCACGAACTCTGTATTGTGTTCAAAATAGAACTTTGAGGATGTCAAATGTTGCCACACAGAGATTTGTTTGGACGCACTTATATTAATTACGATATAATATTTCGTCTTTTTTCCAATAAAACAATCCAAGAAAGGACTAGGATTATATTTATTCAGTTCGTTGCTGTAATAGAAAATCATTTTAGTTTATATGGTATATAATTTTAGCAACAGAATCATATTTCTTTAAAAGTCAAAGATCAATCCTTGAACGATCTCTAACCATCGCTCATGATATCAAACTCCATAAGTTGATATGTAGTTATCTTCATATCATGTGCTAGTCTTTATAATGTCCCCAGACCTTGTGTCTCATTTAAGGATACGATTTTTTTTAAGGTAGGAATTGAAATGGTTTAAACAATATACTACATCTAGTTGGACAGGAAAGATAAGTCACCTCAAGGATTACTTTGCATAATTATGTAGTTTTACCTTGATCGACAGAAACGCAGGGTTTAAGCTATTGTATTGTACCCTTGTTATTCAAGTCACTTCTAGCGTAACTAGAACATATCTACACCACTAAAAGGATCCCTATCCCATTGCACTGTGTTGTTTTTGTATATACAGTAATCTCCCCTTAATAACTGAAGTACAGTTAATTGGGCCAGGACTATTCCGATGGCTGGGTAGCTAATTTGGTTGGGCAAATGGTATAACAATCTGAAGTAGAGGGCTCGAATCTCGGACAAGCCCCACTTATTTAATACCGTCAGAACACTGTTTTGATTACTGCGAATCACTTGATTTGTCGTCGTAAAGCGCTGTCTAGATCAACGTGAAATGTCTAAACTAGGAAATAAGCGTTATCCGAATCATCAAAGTATTTTATTTAAAGTTATCGGTTCTACTCTTGCTCTATCTAAATGACAGAAAGCATGTTATTTACTCTACCCGTCTCAACTCTTAAGCGCTGACAAGAATCTAAGTGCTTTATTTAAACTCGGCAATGCAACTCATTACCAATATCCAAATCAAAGTAATTAGTACTGTCTAAATCAAAGTGTTTTGTACATAGTCGCCAAAACGCATCCGTTGTCACACATTTGGTTTCAAAAGTTTGAAAAAAATTCCTGTTCTTCTCTTGTATTCAGCGTGCTCGTCACTGTGATAGAAGAAAAACGATTAAATGTTCCCGTTTACAGAAACGGTTTAATAGAGTTACATTATATCGGTCGCTACATGAAGCTGATTTTCAGTTTCTATTTGTTATGCGTTTTAAACGAACTGCCGGCTTCATAGTTATTGACACGACATGTACATTGGCACTTACGCCATTGTAGAACCATCTTTGTATTCAAAGGAGGTATTATTATTGTTGTACTCATTCTGGAATGGTTTTGGAGTTGCTTGCTGTAACGAGGAATTGCACTGCTAGAGATGATAATAACATCAATGATATTAAACTTTTTAACGGGAAACACTAGTGGTGTCACAGTAACGCTATCGACATCGATAATTCATTACTGATTTTGGTATTCCAACGACTTACCTGACAAATACTACAACAACGCTGGTGATACGGCACCCTGATGTAGTTCTTTTAGCGAAATTGGCAATGTTCTGTATCACCATTTTGGTCTTCTTCACGGACTTTAGGCCTGGGCAGAATGTCACTTCATCCTGCATACTCCATCCTCGATAACCAAGGGTTACGCTCACTTTCGCTCTCTGCACCCCTGGAATATGTCATAGCAAAATCGAAGGCTCNCATACTCTAGGGGTTACGTTTATGTCATAGCAAGATTGAAGACAGCTGTTTGATTGGTCTCGGGTAAAAACCCTGACCATTCGCTGGGATGATATCTGTCCTTTGAAGATTACAAAGGGGTTACACACGACTTCAAAGCCAGTCAATTTTACCGCGACGCGACGAACATATTCTTTTGATGTATATCAAAGGATCAGACTAGCCTTCCCTTCCTGTAGTGAGCGACAGTGAGCGTAACCCCTAAAGTATCGAGTATGAATGTGACTTATGAGCTCTACAATGCGTTGCAACAGGTTACGTTAGCGAAGAACTACACTTACTTAAATTGATTAGTCTCGCAATAAATCCTTTGGAAGTTAGAGGATTGTATAAGTTTTTTCAGTATTGGAGTAAGTTTACAATAACCTTGTGGTGCTGTTTATATTCTATATTAAGTAAATTTTGGATGTCTAATTTGGCCGCGCCATCAGTTAGGTGACCAGATTCCCTTTTCTTGTTGTTGAAACATTTTCATCATATCAAGATCTTGATAACTTCCTAGCTGTATGTTATAAAAAAGATGACCGTTATGTACTTGTTACGTCACATATGTGGGCTACCCATATCGAGGCGATCACCGCTGATCTCGGAAACGGAGGCCAGCGCGACGTTCGCACTTTTTTAAGCCTTTTATTTCCTTATATGAGAAAATCATAGTGTTATATAGCAAATCATTCAGGGAGCACTTTAAATTGTGTAATTCATGTACCCACCAGAGCATGATTATATTGATCAAACTTTGCTTGTTCGAAGCAGTATCATGTCTGATTCCTAAATGTGTTGTTTATTCTTCGTCCTACTTTAAAATGTCGAAAGATGTGAATTATATAGCCTACGGAGCTATTTTGATATTTTCAAAGGCGGTTGTACGCTTTTATGCAATAAACCCCATTACAATTAGATGCGAAACTTTAGATTTAGTTTTCGCTGGTAAAGGAATTGAAGCGATTCTCACTATTGCATCTTTTTTCATCTTTTATGTATTCCTTAATTCTCTGTGACATTTATTTCCCATAAATTGTATAGATTTTAGCAAATATGTTCTAGATATTGATGCGGATGGGGCCTTAAGAGGATTTACTATACTATACAGATATTAATCACTGTATGTACGTTGTAGCCAGATTCAAATCCCTTGTCATTATTAATCTATAAGTGATCTTTCTATTTACAAATGGAATGAGCAATACTTTTGTCGAGTTTTCACTTGACAGTTGACTTGTATACAGATAAACGTAGATTTTGTATAGACGAATAGAATATAACGACAGTAAAATGTTCACAACTCAAAACACTTAATACCACATTTATAAAACATTATTTTATTCAGTTTTCGTCATATTCAAATTAAATATGTAAAAAATATATTTTACCTTTTTATTTCATGTCTCAATTCGGCAAATACATATTCAGTATTCAATAATAATATGACAAAAATAACGAAGAAAACATTTTACTTCAAGTATTTAACAAAGTCATAACCGTTAAGAAAACATTTAAGCTATAAAATGATTTGAGTTGGATATCGGGATAAATTGATAACGGGATATTAATTAAAATGCCCAAACGTGTTATATTCAGCGTGTATACCCGGCTCCTTACACCTGTAAACCCTTTATCCATGATCACATAAAGCGTTTTCAGTATGTGTATTGGTTAGCCTCCTGAATGGTATCGATCCACATACTGCCCGGTACGTGCCTGAACCCATAGACGGGCCCTGAATACATAGAAAGCTAACGAGGTTATTTATACAGGGAAGTGATTACCTGAGTCAGATAGACACCATTGTGCTGTAGACTCTTACGACTTCTGTGGACGGATCCGAGTGTTTATTGAGACACTTTACGTATATACTAATACATACGCCACTCGCTGCGCCATGACAACTATTTAAACAAGTATGGCGGCCTCCTGATCGTTCTGTAATGGAGTCCAGTATAGAAGATTGTAGACACGACTGTATATGGTGGAGGGATTATTTACCGCCAACCACTTACACTCCACAGATATGGTAACTATGTTTTTGTCGATTTGGTTAACACGTTTTTACCATGGTATGTTCTTATGTCTATTGTATTTATTATTGAACTTGGATTACAATGTTCTATTTTTGGCACATCGCATTCTAACACAATGGAACTAGATCTGTTATTTGCTAATCAGTAGTCACTTAAACAAGTTGAAATCATAGCCATATAAATGTGCCATATTAGCCTTGCTAATACATGAATATATGCTACCATAAGTATACATACACGATATTCTAAACACTGATGTACATACATTCTTTATCATTTCAGATATAAAGTGAACAGTTATACACATGCTAAGCACGATAGATTAGGAAACAATGGCATCAAAACAGAAGTATTCTGTGACCCGGCTCCAAAAACTGCCTCCCATACGTGAGGAATCATTCGCTGGCGCATCTCCCCGGACTCCCCGAGTTCCCTATTCAACCGCCTCAGTACCGGTCAAGGCAGGCTCTTCTATCCCGCCTTCTAATGAACCGAGGGCTAATCTGGCAGCTCTAAACACAACCTCACTAAGTAAGCCAAGAATACACGTCAGGCCGCTCCCGGGCGCCGATTCTGACGATGAAGTTGATAGACCACAGTTGATACAGAAGCCACGTCTGACCGTGGAGATGCCGATGACCCCGAACGATAGCCACACTCTGGTTGATGGACTAGTGGCAGACTACCTCCATTACGCGGCCTATGGCCACATTATCCCTGTGTACGAGGGCATCGGTCAGTTACAGTGTTCTTGTTGTAATGAAAGGAACAGAGAGAACGTCCGAAACCTTCTTGGCCTACCGTCCTCGGACAAAAAGGTGATAAAGCACAAGAGGGCACAGTTAGGTCGGCTTCAGCCTAAGTTTGTACCACCGACCAAACCTAAGGAGAATCACGAGGCTGACGAGAAGGCATGGAACGCGCCAAAGAAGAAACACAACGAGAAGATCGATTGGAAGAACGAAAGCTGGATGAAACACCAACCGCTACCAGCGGCAACAAACTTTTTGAATCCCGAGTTCAATCGTCCTATATATGCCTACCAAAAACCGCCCGAAATTGAGATACCTTCATTAGTGTTTGACTCTGTGCTTCATGCAAACACGAAGTACGACCAGTCTATGAAAAGATTGGAAAAAATGTTTCGTATTGACCCGGAAATTCCCCCTAATCCGGACGAGGACTACCTATATAACGGTGCTCCAGAGTGGAGCGGCATTTAGACTCTTCATTGCTCAATTAATTAATACTGTTATATTGCTATTTCTGAATGTGAGTTGATTTCATAAACATTTATGTCATAAACATGTTTACATTGTTACTTACTTTGTTAAGCATAATGCTATTATTTTAACATTTACTTTGCCCTACGTAATATTTTGGTTATTCATTGTTATTTCTTCAATTGCTTGAAACCAAAATTTGATACACCTCGGTAATTGACACAGACTATTCAGTGATTTAGTTGTACCTTTATTACCTTTGACTCTAAACTCCAGACGTTAAATACCCAATCTGAACAGATCCAGAAAGCTGTGTTAAAATGGAACTTCTAATACATTGCATTGTTAGTTTGAGGAACTGCTAATTCAATTATTCAACATTTTCTTTAAAAAAAAACAAAAAAAACCCAGCGGATAGACAGACAGACAGACATTCTTTATTTCCTCCTTTAGGAGATTTCATATGTCAAAACAGTTTTACAAAATGTGTCTTAATTTATATATAAACATCGTTTTGAGAAGTAAATGTATTAAATAATGACGTATTGGACATTCATATAACAGCATTATATAATTCATAATACAAAATGTTCACTACAATATATATTCCTCATACATCTTTTACATATATACGTTTACACTTATATATACATCAATAGGTTAATTATAGAAAACTCTCCATCTCACATACCATTCCTTTGATATTTCCAGCCATATTTATCATTAGTGTTTCCGACTCTATATCAGTCAAGTATACATGTGAATGATCGCCAAGTAAAAAGCTGCACTGGTCTTTGTTTTTAAATACTAAATATGAAGCGTTATCAACGCTTTTGTTAAGATGATATGGTTACAATCATCCTTGTCAAAATGGCATTGCATATAGCTATCATTTTTAAAGGTATCATTAAAAGTTTAGTCTGCAAGGGACGATCATGCGTCCACAAATTAATTATTCATTATTGAGTGTTGGTGCTTCCATCCAGTTCATGTCCTATTGCGTAAAATCATAATAAAATAAGTATTTGTAAGCTAATAAAGCGAGGTATTTATTGTTTATTGCACTTGTTCGGGTAGGTAAGCCATGACGTATTGTTTTTCCTTAGTTATATTGATATGATGTTTTATATTATTTCAGATTCCAAATCTGATTCAATCCAGATGTTTAATTCCACTCCGATACCCTACGTTCTTTGACTGGAAGGTAAATAATCGGAGTGGAATTAAAGATATGGTTTTGATCAGAATGTTATATTGTCATAATAATAAACTATTCCAAATTTTGAATTCACTAGGAAAAAGTTTGTGATTGGTTTAAATATCAAGCAAAAGTTCCTTTTGTTTGCATGTATTGACTGAGCATGACCGTAATTTATTGACACTAATGCAAGCTTAGACAATAGAATATAACAAATGATTAACTCCACATCCCGGAAACCAGTCACAATTTATTGTTAGTAAATTTATGGAAATAATTGTAGAAATATTTAACTTAATTAATAGAAAAATGTATGTATCTAATGTACGGTTGTTCAATCATTAATTTAATGGCATGTCAGTTAACTCAAAGTTATGGATTAATAAATTCGTTATCAATGCTAACATTTTGTTATTTAATAGCAAAAACAAGGTATTGTTGTTGATAATTTTGATATAAGTTGTAAAACTTTAAACCTCGAATACTTACTTGTTATTGTTCTTGGGTAATAGATATTTCTATTAGTTTTCCTCCGTATAGAAATGGTCGTTTTATCAAAATAACATTTTCGTGTCCATCGTGACTTAGATCTGTAGTGACCGATGTATAATCCTTGCAATGATAAGAGACATTGTCACGATTCAAATATCTCTGTCTGTGGTGCAGGAAACTCGCTCTTATCGGAGTTAACCTCCGTTTTGTGGGGATTCATGCTGTTTTCCTTTGTTTGTGGTATCTTCTTTGTTTCTGTCATTGTCTTTTCGTAAGTTGATAGTATTTAAACTATCAGAGTGGCTGTTTCTAATGCTATTTTGAGAGAAAAAATGAAGACGAAGCAACGGCTTGTAAGTGGTGAATACATTATGTTCAGATACTAGTTAGATTGCAAACTATTTGAATAATTATAATAACATGAATAAATGGGTTGGGTTTGGATGGATACATCGTGATCAGTGTCACCAGTTGAAGGTGTGTCAGTTTAAGTGCACATTGTAGGCAGCAGATAGTAGCGACGATGAGACGGAGCTGTTTTTATACGGTGTACCTAGATAAAAGTTGTAAGCATTTTAAGAGCAAAGTATATATAATCAATGGATTTTATGACATCAGTCCGGTTAAAAAAATATAGTTGGTGTGACTCTTTAAAGCACGTAACATACACAAAGGTGATTGCACCTTTTGGATTTGGTAATAAATACAGTAATCCAAAAAAGAATTTCACTGCATTGTACAGCTGTTTCGTTCTTCTAGGACTCGTCGATGATGCCAGGGGCCATACAAGTTGGAAATCACAATCGGTCTAAACAACTGTTGAACCAAACACATAAACCCAGTCGATCAGTTTAATAATTGAGTATCTCCAGTCGCTCAGTTTGATAACAAAGTATCTCAAAACACATATTCCTTATAGCTCAGCTTGATTAAAAAGTGTCAATACTTATCAATTCAGTGGTGTACTCGTTAAGTTCAAATTAATAATGTGTACAGTGTGTGAATGTTCAATGTTGTCAGTGGATTGAAGGATCGGCGAGACAAAAACATCTATATACGGTATGGCTAGTTACAAGTTAAATCGAAAATGTAATAATTTCAATAACAAAGTCATCAACTGATGTTTTTGTTGGTGTAGTTGGCGGATAGCTGGGTTGGTGGAGCTTTGAACTGTAAATCTCTTCATTTCCATGACTACTTATATTCGCGAAAGTAGGATAAATTACCTATCCGCCAAGTGAACGGTCAATAATTGCGTTTCTTCTTTAAGTATTCGAGAATAGGTAGTCGTGTTTTGTAATAGACAACAGATACAAAAATCGATAAAACTAGTCAACGATTTTATTTGACGTGCAAGCCCTTCCAATATCCATTCAACGTAATGCATCATTTTCTTTGAAATTTTCATCACAGATATATGATGACAGCGAATCAATAAAATTTATACTCAGCAATACTGAAACGCATCTGAAAAAGTCTTTATATAAATTCAGTGGTAAAACCAAAAGCAAAGTTCGAATTTGATTGAAAAGTTCAAATTTCTGGTTATAAAAAAGTCTAGTAAAAACCATCTGAATAAATACAGATATTGATTTGATAAGGATAGGCAGCATTCAATACAATGTCATTACATTAGCAAGTGTAAACATAGAAACGAAATCAATGCGACTGGATAAGGTGAGGGGAGAAAATTAAAAGTTTGTGCTTATAAAATATGCCAAACAAACCGCATATGGCATAAAACATTATCAAATGGGGGTAGGGTAGGGTGGTTAGGGGGAAGGGGATACATATGATATTTTCTGTCTGTGTATTTGAGAGTGCACTTGAGACCAAATATGTCTCTATACGATTTTGACAACGGACTTCATCTGCTCAGCACACCGTTGCTTAGTCAGTTGTTTTACGCTCTGTGTTAACCGGTCATTTGCACTCTTTGTTTGACAAAGAAAAATGTGATTTGAATAGGTGTTGTATACAAAAACAAGCACTGAGTTTAAATTATCACTTTATTTATACTATAAACAACGAAGCTATGCACATACTCTTTCCTAAACCATCCAGAAAAACGATGTATGATGTTTACATTCACCGTTATTCATGGAAGTGGTGAAAATAAAGACATTTCATCACATTTACATAAATATACTTTGATATATAATCATGTGAGAAAGATACTTATGTTTAACACTTATATCTAATGATTATTGATAAATGGACATTCTTGTTTTACAAGCATTTAGTTTATCGTTGTCTATTGGTTTTGGCACATTATATTAGTTCTAGATTACAAAAAGTGAGCTGTTTGATGATTTCTTTCGTCTACTAGTCCCGGTTTTCGTTTTGCAGTAATTCGATCCGGGAGTCAGTTTAAAAAGAGATTTAAACTTCTTATCTATATGTCTCAGATAACATTATCCCACTCTGCATGTTGGGTGCATTGTGTTCATTACTGGTTCTTAGTGGACATTAGGCACCCTGGTCAGATTACTAGTCGGCATTCGGACTAGAGTCATCCAGATAATGACCTTCAACAGACTCTATCACTTCATGGACAGCTATTCTGAAGGGATCCGTTGCCTCGGGATCGGCCATCAACCTGTCATATACAATATTATTAAGTATTACACAATAAGATGTAAAGACGTATTGTATTACTTTAGAGTGTACAGCGGTTCTAAAAAAGACAGTTGTGAGCCAATTTCAATATAAACGATAGGATCAGCAAATTACTATTATTAACAACATGCTAAGTGTTCTACGTAATTAGACAATCACTTTTATATGCTTAGCTATCCATAAACCTCAGAGAAGGAGAGGAACTCAGAAAATATCGAATGCTTTGAACAGGATCACTATTTCAAAAGCAGTATTTTTACTGTTTAAATCGTTGTCCGTGGAATGAAATACTTATATTTCAATTCATAAATAATTATATACGTACGTATTTATATTAAAAAACCCCAACAATTTTCTTTTGTATAATTGCCTTCAAATGCATTCATGGGGTAATTTAGAGTTGCACTGCATTCAATAGGTATTCTTTGTCAATACGACTGCCTTTTGGAAATGACAAATTTGATTTCTTGCGTAAGCGCTTCATGCTGAATTGTTCCATTTGAAAAATTCATATTTACTTTGAAAGCAAATAAAAATCATTTTTATTGAAAAGCTTATTATAATTATAATGTTATCTCACTGAAAATCACATTAATTTCTTCACCGTCAATGACTTCAGATATCGGGCCATGGCATTCATAAACTGATATGAATGTGATAATTTGCAAGGTTAGATTTATTAATTTATCGAAAATTGATTTTTATTGGTCTTTGAAACATGCGTATTAAAGAAAAGCTAGTTTTCTCCGTACCAAACAGATGCTTTGCCTTTTCAGATCGTATTTAGGACGTAACTTACTAAACAGAAGATTTCTCAGATCGTACTAAATTTAGGACGTAACTTCTTAATTCAAATGTGACTTACTGTCCAGGTGAAGTATTACGAACAGATTTTCTACCGTTTCACCACGTAAGACTATTTAATATTGAGATTAAGGAAATCGGACCCGGACGGTCTTGTGTAATCAACTTATTACCATTCTTTGGACATGTCCAGTATCCACTGTTTAGCTTCCGTCAATCCCACCGAGTCACATGCCTCTATCAACGACCGGTATGCATGAATGTTGCTCTCACTTTTCTCCCGGGCAACTACCAACATCTTAGAAAGAAGAAATATTCCTTATGATACAACATGTTTAGAAAACGTACATCTTAAAGAAATACTGAAACACACAGAAATTGGCCTACATAGAAAATAAAATTTATATAGTGTTGCGGTAGAACAGAAAAAAAACTTGCACAAAAACAGTATACAAAAAAAATCGATCATTCAATCAGTGTTATGTAATTTAATTGTCATTGTAATATACCACTTAAGGATCCTTGCAAGAAATACTGTAAATATGTATTGAAAACTGTTCTGGTATGACTTTAGCCTTAGTAAATCATTTCTGACAAGAAATCCGTACTTTGCAGGACGTTAATAAATATAATCAACAAGAGGTTTTTTATCGTAAAAGTAGCCAGTCTAGACCAGGATTCGAACACTTGGCATCATTGTTATACTATCATTCTAACAAACAGATATGGCTGGTCAACGAATGTCTAAGCCAACTGTGCTGAAGTTTTATCGAAAACGAAGTTAAGGAGAGGATATTCCATATATGGAAAACAACAGTGCAGTCAGACTGAGATCCTTCAACACAGATGCATATAAAAACGCAAATAATACCATGCAAAATTAAACAAAATACACCGAAATACAATTGAGAAAGAAAAATTAACAGGAAAGAAATAAGTTAATAATCTAACATACTTATAACATAAAAGTAGAAGTGAAAGAAACGAAATCTGGCGCTGCTCACCATTATGTATGCAATTAAGACATGCATGGGTTATTATTGAATATTGTTTTTAATCAGTCAAAGAATATCATGATTGTATGTCTTTAAATGAACGTTATTTTCAGTAATGGGACGTAAGTATTTCTAGTACCTGTCAAACATAGTTCATGTTGTAACATACTAACTGGTTATATTTTCAGTGGAGCTTCCAAGCTAGTCACATGCATATTTCTAGCTCTCTGTGTTTCTGTACAGAGAGCTAATTTAGTCAAGAGAGTTTTTTTGGTGATCTCTGAGAAAGGAAACACGAAAGCAATCAAAATATAAATGATAACGATATTGTAGTGAAAAGTGGTGATGGTTTATGTAAGGGAGACGTTCTAATGAGTTAAAATCAATTTATGCATTTTTGATGAACTTATTTCGGAGTTTTTTTTATTGACCAATGTTACTAAATTTGGACTTGCACCCCGTCAGGGACCCCTAATTCAGAAGTGGGATTCCGTTCGCGAAGGTTCAAGAGTGGGCATGAAAACTTGGAAATATATTCGTGCTAGGATGCTGATATCTAAGCTACGACTAATACCAGCGCTACAGTGTTGGGTCAAGTTAAAAGTGCATTAGATAATACATCAGCAGATAGCGGTATCCCCGAACTACAGGATACAGGATATGATTCGGGCGATGCAGAAGTGGATAACTTGGCTGTCACGAAAGTGGATAATCCAGAGAAACATATCTAGGTAGATGGTCGTACTTGATACAGTGATAAATATGTTAGATGATGCAGTGGCCGATACTTGGATACATGAAAAGGCATATAATTACATGATTTGGATGAAACATCAGTGGATATAGGTGTGCATGCGTCGGATGATACAGCAGCAGATACAGGGAAACATGAACGCCGTGTTACAGTAGCGAGTATAGGGATCAGCAGCAGGGTGACACAGTATCAGCTATAGTGTTACAGCAGTTTGATGAGAAAGAAGATGCAAAGACACAAAGGTTTATTTGTATAGATGGTACGTTACGGACACTTTAGGATATATGAATAGAGGATGCATTAGCGACACATGGATACCTGATAACTACTTAATCAGGAAAATACAGGAAATAGAAAATGCAGAAGGCGGCATCGGGATACTTTGTACACGTTACTGTGATGAATATTGAAAGCTAAACACAGGTGTATATATGTAGAAAATGTGGATATTGAAGCATGCATGAGGACGTTACCCGCAGTAACCTATGGCCGATGGGTAGGGCTACAATTTCCTCTATCTCCGCTGAACAGAGGTCATAAAACTGACCCAAAGACTGTAAAAAATGGTCATACTTATTTTTACACGTATTCAAACAGTAATCAGTAGTATCGCTTTTAACCTGTCACCATTAAGTTAAAAGCGATGTTATAAATGCATATTTTATCGTATTTAGTGGAACCTTGTTACTCTGGACAGATTCTTTTCCGATATAAAATTCAACCAACGTATTAACAAAATAGAAAGCACGGAAATACCGGAGCGTAAACATAACTGTAATTTGAACTAATATTTGATGAAATTTTATCAAATACGAACAACGGAAGGCTTTCAACAGATAACTTATAATAAACACAAGCGAACAAGCTAGATGTTCCGGAAGGGGAAGTGTCTCCCTCTTCTTCTACGACACCCGGCATGTAAATCAAGATAAAATCAAAGTAATGTGTCGTTTTTAAAGAGAGAAGCGATGAATAGCTAATGAGATGTGTTTGGATCATCGGAGTCCGGATACACAAGGTTCCACTGTTATATAAGGTTTGTATACTCAACGTTGTACATATTTTGTATCAGAGACACTTAGTAATCATACTACACGAACCTTTAGTCAATGGATGCTATTTTTTTTTTATATGAAACAGCAATGAACCTAACTGTACTACCTCGCTATAGAAGGTGCCGGTGGCTATCGATCGCAGGCTACACCATCGTAAGAATACCAAGCAGTCGTTAGTACCTTTTCTACTCATCGAGCCTCTGCTCATACCGACATTGTTTAATATTTAATTATTAACTTGGCGCCATATCTGAGACTAGCTTACATGTAGTAGTTTATGCTCGTCCTTGCTGGCCAACGTGTCTGAGAACAATCCGTCCAGTTCCGGTTTTGATAGGTTGAGATGACTTCCGGTTGACTTGAGATCAATGCCGCATTTCTCCACAAGGAGGACGTAGAACTGGTCCGTCATGGGTTCGGGGTGATCTACAAACACAACATGCTGACTTAACCAGAATTTAACTCTTTGGTGAGTAACATGTCTGTGAATTATTTTACTTTTCGTCTAATATACACTCAGATTATTTATGGTCTGTCTACAGTAAGCTCAACGACTATATATTAACTACAATTATACTGAAATGGTAACTATGTATTATACATGTAACAGAGGAACTTATTTTTAATGCGTCCTCCAGGAATCTAACCCGGAACCATTGACATGCTAGTCGGACGATCTACCATCGTATTTATTTCAAAGTATAGTAAACCGGTATACTACAAGTGTGATGTTGATTTGATGTCAATCGTACAAATCGGCCTGATTGGTGTTATTTTCCAGTGTGGTTTGTTTGTTCTTTACAGTTTTTTGAACAGTCATGGTCATTTAAGGACGTGACAGGTTTTTGTGGTGTAGGAAAGCCGAAGTGCCCGGAGAAAAACCACTGCTCGTAACCTGGTGACTGCACTGTGTATGCCTCGAACCCGCGATCCAGTTCTGAAGGGCTTGTGATCGTAAACGGGCAGACGCCTTAACAACTCGGCCACGCCCCCTCCCCCTTTCCCAATTATCTTACATTCCCAAATGTCTTACATATTTGGGAACAGTTTTATGGTATGAAAATAAGTTACTGTACCTGACTGTTTTTTAACGTTATTCTGCATATATATTACCTAATATAACAATTATGTAGGGGTGTAATGCGATTGACAATATTTTAAACACTTTATCTGTCGTTCGCTGTGTGTTGATAGTACTGACTGTTGGTTTCTAGGATGTCCTTGCTGGGACCTTGAAGGGCTTCCTCTAACCAGTGGTAGAAGCGGTCAGGCATGTCCTTTTTCTCCTCAAGCCTGCAAGGGTTAGGTCACAGTAGTCACATCATAAAAACAATGACCACCTCCTAATATTTTGTTAATTTAAACAAAAAACTAAATTCATAACAGTTTAATTTTGTATGCAGAATCCTCAACTCGGACCTCACTGACAGGAAATATTAATAAGCACAACACTAAATAGACTGTTTTGATTGATGCTACACGCAATATCATAAGGGGCCGACTTCAACAACAACAAAAATTAAACCTTTCAAAAGATACTTTGTACAGTTATTTCACACATAGTTATTGTTCAGTAGATACTCACCAGACTTTGAGTTGTGCACTGACATATTCCACCAGGTCGTCCCTTTTGGCCTTCCCGAGGGCGGACAAGAGGTCAGGAACACCCAGGTCCTGACGGTTTTTACTCATGTCTCGCCACAGCTGTAGAATCTTCAAGAAATATAATACATAGAAAAGATATTCTAACTTATCCATACATTATCATAGATTTACATCAGCCATATATTTCTTATGTTCACCAATTTACAAAGCATAATGTGGCATTTGCGTTAACTATTTGCTTACTTTGTAAAAGAAAAAGGTATGAAAATGTATTTAATTTAGTTGATGTATCGACTAATGTATAATTTAGTCAATATGTATTTCCCCGAGAATCTTTTCTTTGCATCAGCAAAATCGGTATAGTCCACAACCAATACGTTACTAAGCGTATTAACTAAACGGTTAAATGTTAGTTAATACATTTAGGAGAAATAAAACACTAAAACTACGTTTTAATGCAAATTAATACATTTCGGAGAAATAAAAAACTTAAAGGAAATAATTTATGTTAGCTAATACACTACTCAATAAATACAAATATAACACTAACGATTTAATGTAATTTAATACACAAGGAAGAAAGAATAAAAAACAAAACTAACGGTTAATGTGAGCTTATTCACAACGGAGAAATAGAAAACCCCAAAAAACTAACGGTTTATTGTGAGTTAATACACTACGGGAAATATACTGTTACTTGAGCCAATTAAAACGATTCACGGTGTGCGTACTACCTTGAATTTCTTTTCCGTGATTGTCTTATTGGGAAGCTTGGAGTGTTCCTCCACTGTACGATAGGTGAGCCCCAGTAGGACGCTTACTTTGATCCATTCATCCCCTGTCTCTCTAGCCAGGTGTTTCAGTAGTTTGTTCCTTGTGAATCCTTGCAGGTAGAATTCATAGGCATGGAAATACATTTTCGAGGTTAAGATTTTACTAGTACATAAAAGTATAATTGACGTGAGTGGTAGGGTATACAAATTGGAGAACAGTTAAGTGAATGTCAAACGTAGAACGAATCTAATTGTTATGAAACATAATAATGAGATTATCGTAACAGATGCTTAGCATCGCACTTCACTACAAACTTATAACAATGACGTTGTGACGTAAGTTTTCCGGTTGTTTACTCACCTCAGTAGAACCAATCTGGTCTTAACTGCTTATGGAGTTACATATCACACTTAATGTGCTACTTCAGAGTATGTTCCAAGTCCAAGTTTTTTTTTTATATCTATATATCCTGTTTACGAACAAACTACTTAACCAGTGGTGTTTATTTTCTGTTAGAGAGGCTTCAATAATTTGTATAGTCGTCTTGTCCTAATTGCCAACTTGAAATTTCAGTGTCTATCATATTTATACGCTTTTTCACTGTGTGGTGGGCCGTTTTTGGCCTCACAAGTTTCTTTCGAGGAGATTTAAAGGCTTTGGCTGTTGCCCGTTTCCCTTTAAATCTGAATGATTGAAAAAATATTTTGGAATGAAAACAACTTTCCTGAATTTGACAGTAGATATTATGATGATGACGGGTGTCACATGCAGTGCAGAATATGCCTACTTTACCGATCCTCCTGACTTCCAGAAGTACCTGTTTTTCCGAAAGGATCTGGTTTCCGGAAGTACCTCGTTTCTCGAAATACTTGGTTTTCGGAAGCACATTGTTTTACCTTTTTACTCGTGAAATCGTTCCCTTTTATATATTTATTTATATATTTATTTTGTCCTTACTTCCTCTTGTTTCTTTTCGTATTTAATTGATTTCGAAATTGATTTTCCTTCGTGCATCAACTCTCTTCTTCATGATCAAACCATGCTTAAAACGAATAAGTTAAGCTTTAATGGCGTAGCTAATAATTGTTAAATATTTCGTCAATTATTTATGAAAACAAAACACTACAAGAAAAATGATAAAATATTATCTTTGAATATTTCCTTTGCAATATCCTTAAATAAATTGAAGAATAGACTAGATAAATGCTGCAAATTTCAGAAAATATTATGTAACGTTAGAGCAACGATTGAAAGCGCATTTCAAGTTCGATGTGATAAAACGACCGAGTCCAGTGGAGAGGACGAATAGAGGTCCTGTACTGGAAACTAACTCTTAGTAACTCTAAGTTAATAAGCCGAATAAATCAGTAAGCTAGCTTTGAAACATGATGCAATACTATCTTCCCTTCACAACGTTACGGGCAGCCATTAAAGGTAAATTGCGTCTTGCCTACCTGGAAATCCGTCTTCAAACTCTCCTAAATCCTCGAGAAATGGAGAACCAGTTAAGTGGATAGGTAATCTAGAAACCTCCTCTTCACTGTCCTCATCATGCAGAATCACCACCCCAGAGTTCAGGTCAACATTCTTTTTCCGACATATTTGAAACTGTTGATAATTGAACCGCTTGGGGTGAAAGTCTAACGGGGTAGAAGGTAATCCTCCACATTTTTCAATTTCGGCACTAAGTGTTATAGAATACCGCTTTCTTGGAACAGATTCAAAGTCTCCAGACACGCTGGGTTTTTGATCCAGGTATCGATAACTCCTCCAGTGATTGAGTCTGTCGTCGGCCTTTCTCGCTATTGCTATCTCTACAATGACGTCATACATTTCATTACCCAATGGTTTCAGCATGACGATGAGTCTGACATGTTGTTTCCTTAGTGAAGCTCTCCGACAAAGTTTGGATGTCTGCTCTATCACCGCATCTTCTATCATGTTCGGTTTTGCTTCAGATGCTACGTAGCTGAAAAAAAATCAAAAGTTATTGAAAGATTTACATGCTGATATGTACCTGATACAAATTGTACTTAATTTGCTTACCGGCACTGTTAATAGTAAGTTATGATAATTCTATCTGGTCCTGATAGGATTAAGTTAATTACTAGAACTTAGATGTGATACCAGACAGTAGATGCTTGGAAATGTGTTGGCTACCTCATTGTGAAATTCGTACTTAGAGATTGTTAGACTATGTGGTGTTTATATATCCAGGTGATTTGTCGTGACAGATATATGAAATGATATATGACCGTAAAATACATACATCTCTTGAAAAGGACTGGATTGAATTGCTAGTCCAATACAGGACTGTACTACGTATTCATTTCCGGGTAACGTTGAAGCGGTTTTGCTACGAGATAATAAAATTAAGGTTCACTTACTATGAGAAATGTGTTACTGGGCATTTGATACATCCTTTGGCAGCTATAGGGTCTTTCTCTATAATACTCCAGCATTCCAGTATGTCTTCCTGTGTCTCTTCTCCATCCTCTTCCATATCCAAATAGGCTTGACTGCTTAGTTCGGCCCCCAGTATATACAGACTTCCCTCTCCGTCGTAGTCCTGTGGGAGAGGTATCTTCAGACCAACTTCTTTTTGTGGACGCTCGCGGTAATTATGGTTCAAGTCATAAAAATGACTAACAGATACAATGTTGTCGAAATCTCGCGGATCGAACACTGGGCTTGGCATAACCTAAGATGAAATCAAATATGGCATGATATTGGAAATGTTAGCAAGTCGTAGATGATGATCTTTCATATTATTACATCGTGCGAAATAATAACAAATTTTGAAATTCGTACATATTCACTGTTAACGTTCTTGTAGGTGAAATAATAAGGTTGCGTTGAAAGAGGTCAAAGAGTTACTCCACAGAAGAAGAAAAACACAGCAATAGAAAGGCACATATCCAAATGTCACTCGAAGGATGATAAAATACATTAATCAACCAAAATATGTAGTAATACCAAATATTCATTTTCTTAACATGAATGATGTTCATTATTTAATAAACCTTACCTCTAAAGATATTCTACTCTTAGGTTCATTGAATGTATTTGGTGGGACGGAGATCTGCACGAACTGGTCCACCTCTGACGTCACAAATGTTCCTTCTGGGGGTACATCAAAATTTTCCACTCTTGGAACGGTAACCAGACAGAAGGCAGACATTGTGGTGAGGTCTGCCTCGGTGTAACACACCCACTTATAATCACTTAGGCTGTTCTGAATATAATAATCAGTGATTAGTGTTATTTGTAATTAAATTTTGTTATAAAATGAGTCGATTTGCACAGACAGTTTCATACATTCAAGAAATCGTCAATAAGATTCATCAGTTTGGAAAAATGTTATATCAAAGTATTACTTTATACACAAACAATGTAAGTATCAAACGTGTCACAACGTTTCAAGACCGACTGATCCCTTTGTCAAGCTGTGACTGAACGAGCGATTTGTATTGTTTACCTGTACAACGATGTGACGGAATTGTATATTTCATATGCAACTAGACCCGGGACGTTTCGCCTATCAATAGAGTGTGTGTCGAATGGGTTACATTAACAAATCGTTATTGAGTAAGGAGTTGGGTTTCCAAGAATGCTCGATCACTTTTCAGAAATCAGAAAAAGAAACACACAATATGTGAATCTATTATCAGAGTAATAAATGTATGCAAAAAATGCAAAATTTTCTGACATCATTCTGTTTAGCATCGTACATCAAGCAGTATGCGCTATAATCCAAACATGAAAGTAACACATCCACCCAAGTGACTGCACCTTTAAAAATTGGTAATGGATATAGGATGCCAAAAACGATCACTACATCATATAGCTGTTTCGTCCTTCAATGACTCGTCGATAAGGTGATGCTAAGGGCCAAAATGTCGCAAATAAACAGAAGAGGAGGCACAAAAAAACCCATAAATATATGAATTTCAAACTTTAGAGTAAGATATTCATGTGGATAATGTGATTAATGTGACTTACTTCGCATCGGATTCTTTTGATGTCCATTATTTTGTTGGCGGGGTTTATTTTTGGTTGTGTGTCCGTCTTCATGTAGACATCCTCAAATGGGTCGGGATGATTGTAGAGAGGAATTTCCAAACAAACGAGTCCGTCAGACTTGGAGGAGGACAGACGATACTGGAATGTATCGCTGATGAGGAGCTCCTGCCTGCCGGGACGGAGGATATTGTCACTATACTCTGGTCTGACGCGGCGACACAGGAAGCTCAGACTGTCAGTGCTGAATGTTGGAGGGGTGAACACGACGAGCCCTATTTCGTTGAATGAGGTCTTGGCATCGGCCTCCAGTTGCTTATGTTCAATGAAGACATCACTTGACAAGAAAACAAATCACAATTTGGCCGTTCAATGCGTCATTTTGCATTAAAAGACAACAAGAAAATATGGAAATGTCAAAAGACAACAAGAAAAAAGATCACATTTTGGCTGTTCAAAGCGTCATTTTGCATTAAAAAATAACAAGATAATATGGAATTATCAAAAGACAACAGGAGAATCCTGGTCAACAAAACCGTAATTTTCAAACTAGGGCAATATGGGCAAGGGACAGTTTGACATGTAGACCTTTGAAAAAGTACAAGAAGAATAAGTCCATATGTTCCGGAAAGGTTAGCGTCGTCTGCTTCATCACAAACACCCGCAATTTAAATCCAGGTCAACTCCAAGTAATTTTACGTCATTATAGCGAAAACGTGATAACAAAACAAGACACACTAATGATCACAACTTTTCCAGAATCAAGCAAAATAAGGGCCAAAAAACCCCAGTAAAAACCATGTATGAAACAGACTTACTTATTTTTCATTCCATTCACTACTCGTTTTGACTCTAATAGAGTAGTCCCGATATCTTCATTTTCGCAAATTGATATTGGTGTTTCCTTTCTCTTAAAAACATAACAAATATTACACAAATTTAATACGACAATATTCAAAAGCATCCCAATTCTTTTTTTAATGAGAAGTATAATTAAACAGTATAATATATGTATAAAATTTCCATTTTCTCACCTGCATTACTGTTAATAATTAAATAGAAAACCGTAATAGTTTATGTAATATATATGACCCACATACGTTTGATGAAAGAGCTTAATACGATATATATATATATAGATTTGAAAAATTTATGTTTTTATTCTATATTTTCCTTCGCAAGGACTTATTTATTTATTATCTACTATATATATATATATATATATATATAATAAAAAGGGATTAAATGTCCATGTGAAGAAAGTAAATATAGAAAAAATAAGATTAACGACCGACTAAAAAAATAGCTGCTTTCACCCTTCACATGGCTCTTCAGATTTAAATAATAAACCTGAAGAGCCCTGTGAAGGGTGAAGGCAGCTAGTTTTTTAGTCGGTCGTTAATCTTAATTTTTCTATATATATATATATACATGTATGGGGCAAAGAAGTAATTCCAACAATGTGGACAAGTTTAGGTTGTCAAATTTTCAAATTATATATACAACTTGGGTTTTGAAAGTGAAAATCGATATGACGATATAAATTATAAAACAATAAAAGGAAGTGTATAGCTCTTATGTGGATATAGACTTCCGTTAACAATTGTGATGTGGTTGGGAGAAGAGCTCTGTTACCAGGTTCCGTAGGGTGGCGTCAGCTCCACAAAAGACCAGCAAGTCTGCAGCTCGGGCGTGGTCCCGGTTAGAGGCGTAATGTAGCGGGGTACACCCCACCTGTCGTACACATAGCATAATAATTGTACCACTGTCTCTAAAGGAAATTACTAGATTTATTTTAATCCTTAGTAACACATGATTTTTTTATCTGTATTATTATTATAGAAACGTAAGGAATATTTGACAGCTTTAAAATGAATCATAAAATAAATTATAATGATAGTTAACAAATTGATGATAGGAACCTATATACGGTAATCCGGGACATCAATGCTTCAATTTGATCAGGGGAAGAATTTCATTTGCAATTTTAAATATAAGAAATTAACTCGTTGTTTAGAAATAAGACTGTGTGTGTGTATGCGGGGGGAGAGGGTCCGAACTTATGAGGTTCCACATCAGTAGTATTGATTGGTTTACACACGTAGTCAGTGCTATCCATATTGGCATTGAAGGCCAGCAGTAACATCATACTCTCCGTGTCCCCCGCCTCCGCCGAGTAGTGCATCGCTGTTAGCCCCCGCTCCTGCCAGATAGACATAACATGGTTAGTAACGAAAAATACCAGGACTATACATTCATAGAGTAGCCTAGTCAATTACTACATGAACTTTGTGGGACGAAAATGGTGAGATAGATAATGGACAACCCTTGTTCAGTAGAATTATGGGAATTAATAAAGCAATTAAATGAAATGTTGTTAATGATACACAGAGTAACCTGCAATTATTTAGAAGGCGGTGTATTGTTCACAGACATAAGTGAAATAAATGTTTTGTTGCCTTTTTGTGGTATCGACTTTTACGTTATTACTATCAGGAAATTCAGGAATTCTTCTAACGTAAAGTTGCTGTGGTAGAAAATTCCTATAATGAAATCCTCGGCGAGGAATAGTATGAGTGTCTGCTGACTCGGTGGTTGACGCCACAGGAAGTACGATGTAGCTCAGTGTGTATAGTATATATATAAAGATGTATGGAGTGTGTGATAGCGGCGGATGTAGCACGCGAGCATTTCGGTACATTACACCAGGTACTGTAACATTTAACGCGGACGTAATTCCGGATTTTTGACGTGATGCAATAATGGTGTTGTTTTCTGTAACAGATGCTTATAATACCGTGTCAGGATTCAAGGAATCACAGACAAGGACCAGCAGAAGAGATGGTTACATAAGTATAAGGTACGTACTATTTGTTGTTTTGTATATGCATAAACATTTCATTACCACACGTTTAGAGTTATCTAAATACAGCAGGCCATACTGCAGGTTGGAATGTTTCGTTTAGTGTTTAACATACGCACTAGGTACGTAAAATATGTTGTTTGTAATTCATATACATAAACATTTTATCATCATACCTTTAGATTTTTTAGAAATGCAGCAGGCCATACTATAGGTGAAAATTTATCACAACAGTGTTAAATTTAAGCACTAGGTACGTACTGTCTGTTGTTTTGTTAAACATTTATTAACATTTTATCATCACACGTTTAAGTTACTAGTAAAGCAGCAGGCCATACCATAGGTATGATTTTATCATTTTAGTGTTATGTTTGCAGTGTTTGAAATAAGCACTAAGTACGTAATGTATGTTGTTTTGAAATACATTTGTAAACATTTTATCATCACACGTTAGAGTTACTAGAAATGCAGCACACCATACTATAGGTATGGTTTTATCATTTTAGTGTTTTTTAGTGGTTGAAATAAGCACTAGGTACGTAATGTATGCTGTTTTAAATACATTTATCAACAGTTTATCATCACACGTTAAAGTTACTAGAAATGCAGCATGCCATATTTTAGGTATGAATTCATCATTATAGTGTTTGACATACGCTCTAGGAATGTAAAAATGTATTGGTTTGTTATACATGTGTAAATATTTTATTATCACATATAATTACAGATATAATGTACATACTATACTATGGGTAAATAGTTAGCATTATAGTAGTTGCCAATTGTGCGTGATGACATGTATATAATAATAGAAATGTAGCAAAGCATGTAAGTAAGTACGTATACAATTTTATCATTATAAAATCATATCAATCGTAAACAAACAATTCTACGGACGTCCACATCAGACAGTACTTCAACTTGGACAATGGATTTCCTCATTGTACTGTAAACAAATATGTGTATGTGTATAAACACATAAAAAGTCAACACGTAGACAGTCAAATTACTGTGTGACTCTACATACTACATAACTAATATAAAACATGGAAACGTTGATTTCTCATACGATATGAATTTGCGATCATTTTACCTGGTGTGACAGGTATGCTATGTTTACCATCAGATTTCACATTTGTGTGGCCTTAGTAATAACTAAAATTAGATCCTCGCTCTCGCCCATATCGTCAGTGAAGTGTGACACGTACGTCAGTCAGTTGCCTTGTAACACATATTACCCTATTCAATCAAACATTCAGATCTATACACATTTTGTAGTGTTGTAGTTATACAAAACGATGTATAGAAACCTCATATGTAGTGGCATTGTGCATGATATTTGTTTTTTTCTAAACTACACTTAAAATAGGAAACGTTCACAATATAGATAGTAAAATCTGTATCAATATAATATTACTGATATACATTAATTAGGCTATATTATATACATTAAAGCTTGTCAAACAGCTTGTATCCGTTTAGCCAATAATTATAATTGCTAAACTGCTGACTTGCTGATTAAGGTCTACGTTACGAGACCGTCACACCCATGCTACATAGACAAAACAGTACGTTAAGTTACGGGATATATATCTACTTGACTGTTGAGTCGTTAACGGTATCTTTTCCTGATCGGCCTGACTGGATGTGCTTCCTTAGATTAAATAGCCAAGGAAAAAAAGCAGTGGTGTGTGTCGTCTTTAACCTAAATATCCTGCCTCAATTATACGAATTGTTTTAGATACAAATAAATCTGCCTGATTTCGTACTACCTTAACTTTTATACAATACGATTCTGTTCTGTGAGAATGTAACTGTTTCGACTCTAGTTTTGTTAACTAAGCAATTTGATCAAATGTGTCTATTGTCACTTCATGCAACGAATCAGATACTTCAAATGTGATCTTTTAGCGGTGTGGAAATGTTTGAGAATTTCTCATTCAGCAAAAATAACGCGAAAATTTTCGCAAAATATTTATGGATTATATATGTAAAAACATTAAAAAAAATATTGATTTCAGAATAACTGCTTACGCGAAAATTTCTACAACAAGGTCAGTTTGAAGTCACAACACGAACATTTCACCTCGCGAGAATTTCTACCTTTACTGTACATCTATCTAACAGATTACACACCCCGCAATTGTCAAAACCTTGTAAGAAGTTGAATAAGCTTAATTCAGAACCAATTTGATATACAACGAACGGTGCAGGGGACTGTTGTTTATTTTCTCTATAGATTAAACATCTATAGATCTTGCAATGCAGTGGCTAATAATTGCTACATAACACGACCCTTGTAAGGTTCACATATGCCCAGTAGGACATTTATTCGTAGTATTTACCCTGTATTGTCAGATTAAAGATTAATTGATTTGCAGTTCACTCTTAGGATTGGTTTATCGGTGTAGCAAAAAAAGTTTAAGCTGTACTAAACAACTAATGGGCCATATTACACAACATCTACGTAGCTTTATGACAAATAAAATAAATTATTTTCGGGTGAATATCAGTTTATAGTTACATGTTTATGTTTATAAAATGCAATTTTAAGACGATTCCGACAAAGAGTTACTTTTCTCATAGCCACTTTTATGAATAAAAATCGTAGTTTTGAAAAAAAGCTAACAAAGCTTTGTGAACTATGCCGTTTTTCCCTCTATGACTATATGGACTGATCACATATGGTTAGCTTTACATTGACTGATATGTATAATGCGACGAGTTGCACAAAAAAGGTATTTGCGTTATAATGAAATGTTGTGTGGTTTATCCAAGGATGCTTATAACGGAGCGAATACTAAAGTGTCTGAACTCAAACTCGATAGGAAAAAAGGGGACAGGGGTGGGGGTGGGGGTGNGACGCAAATTTAGGGGGCAAACGGAATGAGGGAAATTGTTTAGCATAATCACTGGTTACTGAGTATATACATTCATATCTCATTCCACTTTCTCGAAGCGGGTACAGTATCATATTCTAGGAGTGTCAACAACGTCATCATTTTCAGGCAGCCTTACTCACTTTATCTCTTGTGTTGGGTTTGGCGCCATGGAAAAGCAGCAATTTCATCATGACAAAATTTCGCCGCCGGGCAGCCTTCAGCAAAGGTGTCATCCCATCAGTCTGTTACGGTGGATAATGTCAGTCTACATCATTGATTTTTTTACCATGAACGTGATTTTTAAATTAGATTAACGTTAGTAGTAGTCTTCCATGTAAATCCCTACGGACTATGTTTTCCTTTTCTGATTTATCTAATCGATGTAACGAAACTTATTTAACAAGGAACTTATGCGGAATGGGTATTGTATTAATAAAACAGAATGTAAAAGGAAATAATTCAGAATGGGTATATCTATTATAAAACTTAATGTAATTAGATGGTATTTTTTATATCAAAAATCACCTCTTTAGAAAAAGATATACAACGAATTAGATTCATATATCATAACCACCATCTTAAAATCAGTAGGTCTGGACCCTGATGATTATCTGTATTTAGTCACTTCAGCCCGTCTCTCACACCGTCCGAATATTATTGAGTGAATGTGTCTTCACCAGCTTCTATAATCATTCTATCAGCATCAATGCTGGCGGACTCTATAGAATGCATTCGAACGGGGCGATTGTTCTAGCAGATAAAGTGTTTTGGGACCTGATTCCATCTTCCCTTCCCTTCCCTCTATTAATGGGAAGATATACCTACCACATCCCGTTTGTTGACGTCCGCTCCGAGTCTGAGGAACTTGAGGGCGTTGCCCGTCTGGCCTTTAATGACTGCATCGTACAGTCTGTAGTTTACGTCGTGCATCTTAGCTACTTCCTATATCATCACCAAAGCTACTTCCTATATCATCACCAAAGCTACTTCCTATATCATCACCAAAGCTACTTCCTATATCATCACCAATCTAATGTCGATAGCTTACTGAAATATAAAATAGAAAAAAATGCACTATGTCGTCAGTACATAAACAAATATTCTGAACTCAAGTTATCAATGACAATAGTAGGAATTAACTAAAGATACACTAAAGACTGGAAGCGAAACTAGGTTCTCCCTATAGGTAAGCGTTTCATGCCCCACAACCGTCACGACGTCTATACCGTTAAATCCATTAACACTGAAATCTTTAATAGACTTCGTTTATACCATGACATAAACTGAAATTAGTGCATCCGTGTTAATTCTCTACAGCAACGTCCTTAACTAAATCCAATACTTAAGTTAATGTATTGGCTTAAGTTCATTACATCCCTAACGGAATCTCAATACTTCAATAATAATTTACAATATATGAACTACAAGAAATATTTTTAAAACCTTACCAATATAATTGATATAACAAGAAAAACAAAAAATATTTGATAGTAGAAACCAAACTAATTGATTTGACTTACTATTTATATTTGATTTTATCTGTCATATTAATAAATTTATTATATATATATATAATGGATTTAAAGGACAATTATATTTTCATATAACATTAATCGGAAAGCATGTATATTTTTTACATATATTGTTACAAAATAAAATGCTACTTAACAGTTTATATGTGTGTTATTTATATACATACCCTTTATATGCCTATTATTTGTATGTATTATATATACAAAATTCATATGTATACTATTTATATGTATATATATATATATATATACTACCTATATGCATACATTTATGTTTGTAGATGTTTAAGATCTATATGTTGTATACTATTTTTGAAATTTTATATATATCAAATATGAAAAACGAACCATGTTGAATTCTGAATTCTGTGAACGTACATTTTACAGTATTACAAAACCTGTTTCTGTATGAAGTCACCACCTTTTTTTTTATCAAAATAAGGATAATTTATTTGAAAGCCAGACTCCTTCTGTTAAACAATGTATCAAACTTACCTTGTCATAACGTCAGTTGTAGAGCGATTATGTGTCTAAGTACGGCATGGTAAATATTTCCCCATTTTGCTTCAACATAGTTTACCTTCGGAACTCGATCAAATATAATTAAGAACATAGCAAGCAATAGCCATGTAGTGTGTTGACATATACACAGATTAGGTTAATATTTGATTAATATATGCTGTTTAAGGTACATACCTGGTTAATATTAAAGGAATTCCCGTCACATAAATACTACGTCTAAACTCCAAATAAACCTGGATAAAAAGTCTCCTTGTTTACATCATGTGAATAAAAATATGAACTAACGCTAATCACAGTTGCCTAGGTATTATCCCATGCAGCGTTTGGCACATAGGCTGGGAAATATGTATATCGGTCGAGCATTGCTAACAGATCTGTCACTTACAGGTACCCGACTCTTCTGTTTATGTATTATCGGCCATCTGGGGTGTCGACAGCTCATATAATTACTTCTTGTCACAGAAGTTAATCATATGGTCTGTTTTTGATCACATACACCGGCTAACAATACACATTAAATATGAATGGAACTAGCCTCAGATAATCGGATTATACAGGAACTGTGTCAGACGTAACAGTGAGGGAATAATCAAATTCAATAAAACATAACAAACATATTTACCTTCTTGATATACTTTGCTTCCAAGACACCTGTAACATATTACTTCCTTGTGTTGTAGACGCTGACTGTGTACAGACACGTTCTTGATTGTCCAGGAGACTTAGTCCAATAAACTCTTCACATTGGCAACAATTGGTCAGGCTGAAAGGGGACAAAACAGCCTAAAACAATGAACTATGGCCGAATAGCAGGTATTCTGTGTGTATCTAATCTGGTGAGGAGCGCTCAATTAATTGTCTATAAATAGTGAGCAGAACTGTTAACAATCACTGTCAATGGTAACGGAGACGCACTACAGAGACCCGGTGTGTATTCGGCCGACAACATGGCGGAGCTTGTTGTGAAGACGAAGAAACGCTGAAGTTGGAACTGACATTTCCCTCTCAATATGGGGTTTGTTAAATTGTTTATTCATTTATCATTTCAGGTAACATATCGTGAACATATCAAATGCACTGTCATAATCATAAATCAAAGCAACTCGTGAAATATTTGAATTAATGATTACGTACTAACCATGCATGTTAATGGTGAACTATAATCTAACAAAGTATTACACAATTATCAAATGATATTTGCTAACATCTGTAAAAAAGTTAAAATCAATATAGGACCCAACCATGCATATAACAGTAACATAGAAATATATGTGATTAACAAATACATCAGAACTCCGCGATGCATATAATAAGGCTACAGTGAGAGCCAAGATAATTATATATATTTGTAATCATTATTTGATTTGAATCACATTGTATTTATCATTGTTGCTTTAAACAACCCCAATACCGTATCGTATACATTGTATATAACTGGGTCCATGCTACTTACTTCATAAATTGTTTATTTGGATTTGTAGTAAGTAGCACCTTACATAAAAGTTACTGCTGTGAAGGAAGCTACCTATCAACTGTTCACTGAAGTTAGATAGTAGTTTCACAGTACATTTGACGTAGATTCAGATTATCTGTAGATAGGGCGCACATCAAGTGTTGACCCAGAGTGTATCTACGTCAGACACTACAGCTCTTCTTAAACTATCTTTAACAATCAATAGCTAACGCCGGCTAGGGTCGGCTCTTTATGGAACCAAAACAGTGTCTTTTAACAAAAGTTTATCTCTGCTTTTTTGGTTGTATAGCAACCCATTTCGCATCGATCTGTATCGATTTTGCAAGCGTCTTCGTTAAATAAATGTGTTTACATTATCCCCCACTACCTTTGTACGTGACTTTGACAAGTAAATTAAACGAATATTTTAGTATCCAATATCATATATATATTGGAAAACGTGGATCACAATGAATCCTTTAAGTTTACATGCGTTTCCCCTGTAGGTTTTCCGTTTTTCAGTAGTTAACAACTTCTAGGACAAGATATCACTAATCTAGCTTATCAACATATACCAAATTTACGTTAGAAATGACAATTAGGCGATTGATTAACATTTGTTCAGCGGACTATTACTTCGAAAAAACTAGAGCCAGATGACAAGCATTTCATATAGCTTTGACCTGAATTATATCTCCAAACACTATTGTTATTCAAGGAAGGTCGGCAGACTGAAGGATCGGAGTAGATTACGCTCTAAGTACACTTGGTGTACTGTGTTAGTCAATGTTCATAATGTATACAACTAAACAACGCGGTCTACTCCTCATGTGTATGTATGACACAACAGTAGGGAGTATTATTACATTCTACAAAAAGGTGTTAAACAGGAGATATATACATAACTGTGTAGAACAAATGATATATATATATATATATATATATGTATAATATAATATATATTTTCATAAAGGAATCCCATCCTAGATATGAATATTCAGATTAAAATTTAAAATTTCAGATACAATGCAGCCACATAAGATTTTCCAGTTCTTAAATTTTAAATATTTCAGTATCTACCTTTTAAGGCCAGGCTTGTTTGTTTGAATTGACGTTTAATATTAACTCCGTATAGAAGTCGATGCATTCGTATTTGCGTTAAGGCTTAATTAAATACATGCATGAACAAATTGGTAATTGAAAAAAAACATTCTGTTGAATTTGAATATAACGTATGTCGAATTTTAAACCATGAACATGGCCTTGAGTTGAAAGCCCTCGTCGCCTAGTGCAATGTACACGGGTCTGTTTCGTGCCTCTCTACTCGCTACACTATACTTACTGTAAACACACAAGGACAAATGCTATTATATAAACATCGATCCATGCGTAACGGTCGTCCCACACGAATAATAAACGACTGAAAGCTAACTTATGTAAATCAAAATATGTGTAAAATCAATCGCTTATACATATATTAAGTGATTTCATATAACGTGTATGATCAATGCGCCTGACAAACTTCTAACATGTCTATTCGAGTGATTCGTCCCATTACTGAACCATCCACTTGACGTTGATCTCTTTAGAAAGTCACACTTCGTTAATCCGGATATGCACATTTCAAATGTGAATAAGAGAATAGCATTAGCTGTGCTACATAGGGGTAAAGTTAGTCATTAGCAATCTGATATATGGTGTTTCATAGGTAATTGAATAACAATCGCCATGTAACAAAGGGAGAATGTTATTCATAAGCATTCTGACATAAGACATTGGATAACATTTACTGCGTTTAATAGGCATTTGGATAACAGTAGCAGTCTACGTTAGCTGTATTATATTATGGAATCCGTAAACAAAAAACATTGTTTTAAATTGCCGTGCTGATTCAATGTAGATTTGATGTAGATCAAGCGTTGGCATGAACTACGTCTCCATTTGTTTAAGAATGTTTTTGTTGTTCTTTGAAACAGAGTAAATTAATAGTATTGACTGGTGATAAGATGTATTATGTCGGTAGTTGTGTAAGATACTATTGTTAATAGTTTCTATTCGTATGTATAACATGATACAGTCCGTTTATGTTTATCGTAATTCCTTTTAGAACATTTTCATTATTTATTAAGAGTGCAATACTATACTAAATAGATACTTACATGTTGTTCACTAACCCTCATTTACAATTCGATGGTAGTGAAACTGTTTCGTTTGGTCATCTGAAATGGTACACCGTACATATATTCCAGATTGCATCTATTTTATAAATACTTAATCAGTATTAAAACAAACTTTGGTGATGGTAGGTCTAGGAAGTAGAATGGATAAATCTTGCATTATTTGGAACATTTATCTTAATCTTAATATATTCTCATAACTACTGTATGCAGGACATACTCTTATGCAATAATGCAATAAGATAACCACCAAATAGTAACAAGAGATAACCAGCTACCAATTTAGTAGATAATAACATGGTATGCCTAAACAAAATAAAGAAAGGGATGAAAATAAGTGGGATATTTAACTCTTTTTTTAAATTTCCTTTGAACGGCAGCCGTATTTCATTCGCACAGCAAATTTCAACCATTCAAATAAATCTTAAATCCCCGTCTTATTAACATGGAATTGATATCCCGTAATAAAGATAATATCGAGTTGTTTCATTCATATCCTTCGTTTGAACACATTAAAAATAAAATAAAGCATAGAATTTGTTTCTCTCTTTTTTCTCTCTCTTTTTTTCTCTCTTTTTTACGACATTTAAAAAAAAAAAAAATTCAGTTGGTAGTCTTCTTTCTAGGTCAGACCTTACAAAATACTTTGGGCCACAATGCAGCCTTAGTAGTATGTACATAAAAGGTATTTAACAGTAGCACTCAGTCAAAAAGAGTTTAATCGGCAGCAATCGTTTGTCTGCGTTTAAATAACTAGGTTTGTTTATTGTGTTTACATAGTCAACCTAGTAAGCTTGTTCTAAACACCTGTAATACATTATGTTTATTACTGTAAAAAAGCGCTTTGTTACTATGTTACGTCAAGGTGAAGTGTTTTTTTTCTGATATGTGCATACCTTGGTCTGTATTTGCAATTCTTATTTTGGCGTAAACTAGTCGTGTAACAAGTTGACGTTTCACTTGCAGGTGTTTATAACCATAAAACATTATTCTAAAGTAGGTTGCCAAAATGTATGTGGACTTGTATACTAGAAAGGTACTTCAAAGGTGTATCATGTGTAGAGTCCAGTTGCTATAGATACATAGTGTTTCCTGGTCTATACATGCTGTTATTAATCTTAATGTTAAAGTGTATAATTTTGACTGTTTTGATAAAGTTCATTTATGTACTAACAACTGTGTTAGTAACAAAACGGAGTAAAGTCGATCTGTTGACGTCATTTTTGTTTACATTTTTCGAAATCCTTTATATGTAATATATTCACTCACGAAAAGGTTTCTTTTTAAAAAGGTAAAATGTGCATGTATATTGGTGCCCCATAGAAATTAAAAATGCTACGAATTTGTTTACTTAGTTGATGCTTGGGGGAAAAACTTTCTTTACGTCGGAATTGTTATTCCATGGAAAGAAAGTTTGTATACGTATTAATGTTGATCAAACATGAAACTCAAACGTGCACCAAGAGACATTTACGTCCTTAACCTCACTTATATATTTCTATTGACATGAAATTAACATGACACGACCTTGTTATGACATTAATGTATGCAGCAAAACATGTTTAATAGTGTTTCCTTTTTGTCTATTGATCAGCTTAAATGAATATTTCTTAATTTAGACAGAAAAATCATATTCGAAGTAAGTGCACTGTACCTTTTGGTAATATGTTTGTTGTGGAAGACACCAGCACCGTGCCTTTCCCCTTAATATTTTAGTTTTCAAATTTAGGTTATTAAATTTGGTCAGGTCCTGATATTCAAAGACTTTCATTTCTTCGCATGATAATTGAAATCCCTATACAAATACTAAAAAATGTCGTAAAGTTTACAAGGCGTTGAAAATCTGTGCCAGTAAGCAATGAAATCTTTGTTAATCATACTGGCAAAATTAGAAGAGGTGACCCGAAAAAAGGAAATGAAGTATCGTGGTAATCTTTGTGAAATGATATCGTTTCATTATGACTTTTTCTTGTTGGTTGATATATAACCAATGCTATTTAAGCTACTAGACTAAACTATACTTTTACGTTGTAACTCCAGACAACGCTATATGTAGGATGGCGTAACAGTTGTATTAAACGAATGAGTATGACAACATTGGAATGTAATTGAAGGAGGTATACAAATATTTCATCATAATTGAGATTTATAGCAGAAAAAAGGTGTTTACATTCTCGTCTGGGTACATACTTGCTATGAATATCAGGGGGTGAACATATACAGGCATATTACACAATCGATAAATGTCCTGAACGGATACCTGTGGAACTGCAATATAATGACGAACATAGGGTAGAAATCCACTGACATGTTCTAACATATGTTTGTTTAAGCTCATGATTACATTACGTATGCGCGTTTTATCGATAGAGACTCAATCATTCGGGATTGGTTGGTACATGTAACATATAATAAAAGTCTCTTATTGCAATTTAGTGGTAACAGTCTGTATGTCGTTTTGTGAACCATTTAATTACACAACAATGAGCTGTATGATTTTAATGCCCGATATTTCAATGGAAAACGAAATAAATACACAAGCTTTAGATAGTCATCTTGTATTAAAGCGTATCAATGATATCAGTGTCACATCAGTTTACACGATCTAAGGCCAGTATATGCCATGATATAAAGCAAGTTTATGTTGTGACAAAACCAGTACATGATAATTTAAGTCCATGAAATGAATTTAATACATGGTATGACATAGGGCCTGTCTATGTTATGATATAAGGCGAGTCCATGATATAACATAGACCTGTCCACGTTATGACATAAAGCGAGAACATGATATGACTTTAGACCAATCCATGTTATGACATACGGCCAGTCTATTTTCTGATGTAAGATATTAATATTCCAAAGTGAATATATATATGTTACAGCTGCTGAGTTAACCAGTGGCTGTATCCCCCAGTGATTGTTTAAGAACATTTGTATTCTTCAGTGAAGGTTTATTGTTGTTGTATGGTTACACAATGATGTAAAAGTTGCTGCAGAGTGGTGATATGCTTATTATGTGTTCCAGGGTGATTGAGAGGACGAGGGGGGTAGAGCGAGACGATGACGAAGAGAGTGTGTACATGTACTCCTCCCGCCCCACCACTCCCGGGGACCGGAAGGGTCTGCTGGTCAGATTCCAGCTGGTCAGTCGGACTCAGCCGTGTGTAGCCCACCACTACATGTCCGTGAATCTAAATACCAAGCTCTCCGAACTCAGACGACCCGTCAACACGCACTTCAAAGCGCACTTCGACGGAGGTTTCATTTTCCTGTGTAAGACCAAGGAGATCATCAAGGCCAGGGAGAGACAGCTGACGATATTCGATATCCTGCCAAAGCTGCCGAATATTTCCCTGAGTGACAGTGCCATAAGGGGAGGCAGCAGGAAAAAATTGCCTTCTGACAGCTTTTTATATCCGGGTGTGCAATACAAGGAGGTACGAAAATATAGAAAAATTAAGTAAAACTGCAATTTCCAAATGAATTATTCCAAATAAAATGTATGTTTCACTTATGCATAATTAGATGAATTTATACTCATTTGGTTGTTTCAGCTGTCATATGACGATGATGGGACACGTCATTTAGTGATGTGTGCGTGTGTGGTCTTCCTGTTTGAGCGGAGTAAGGTCAGCCACTGGCCACCAGACAAACTGCAAGAGGAACTCAGTGCCGGAATGCTGGAGGGTTTCAGCTTCATTCCAAGTGACATAATGTCTTGGAAGGAAAAACTCGTCGGTAAAACACAATTAAATAATACTTATAAGACTATTTTTTAACCATTACTCCCTTCCATGGCTTATTTTGTGTTCGACTTGTTAGAATTTGTAAATATCTAAAATGGGGTTAAATAAGTATTTAACAATTTCTAGGAAAATCCTTTCCTTTTTGTTGGCTTTTAACAATATTGTTAATACTCACATGCATATAAATATTCATATCAGTCAAATTTGATAGCACATTAAAGAGTTAAAGGATTACCTACTGTAAACAGATAATTATTTAAGGCTTTATCTTTAAATTCTTCTTTTGTGAAAAAAAAGTAAATACTGTATGATAATCTATACATAACAAGAGTTGACCTATGTTTGCCAAATAATCATAAACGTTATCATCAGAAGTGAATTAAGCAAACAGTAATCTTAAGTGATGATTTTGCTTTATAAACGATCAAAAACAATTGTTTGCTTAAAAAGACACCTCTATTTATGTTGACCTATTAATAAATAAATCTATTGACGGAAAATATACGGAAATATTGAGGGAAATGATAGTGACTGTCCATTTTATTGCCATTACAGAAAGTCGGGCTACAACTATCCATGGTTATGCTGCATGCAACCAAAAGAAGGAGCTGGAGACTGCAATTCACCAACTACCAGAGTTCGCTTACGTGCAGAACATAAGAGATCAGAGAGGCGCAGTACCTCTCCACTACGCTGCAGAGAACGGGCACCTGGAGATATGCGAAATTTTGGTAGCCGCCATTGGTAGAGACCTTATATATCAGCAGGATGTGAACCAGAAAACACCCCTCCACTGTGCTCTTTACAGGCGAAAGATGAAAACAAGTGTATATCTCCTCCAGTTAAACTCCGATCTGGTACGTCCGGATATACACGGAAATACCTGTATAGATTTAGTCCTCCAGCAGTCGAGCAAGGATTTTGACTTCATCATTTCAAAACTTCAGATAGACTGTGTCGACGACGTCCTTAAATACCACCTCGCGAGATTCGTCATGAAGAAAGGGGATAAAAAGCTGTCTAAGAAATTAACTGAGAGAGTTGCACCTTGTGCTGATGATAAACTTGGAGAGGATCTACTTCACATTGCAGCTGACATGGGTGACAAGGAGATTGTGGAACATTTGATCTTAAATACGTTTGATTTGTCAAAAAGAGACATAAAAGACTATTTGCCGTTCCACAGAGCATGTGCCAAAGGAAATAAGGAAATTGCAAGTTTGTTGTTCTATCCAGATATGAAAGATTCTGATATCTGCAAGGGTGTTACATTAGCAGTGAAACAGAAGTGTTACGCAATCTGTGCAGAAATACGTGCGAAGAAGCCATCTCTCGTCTTAGACGAAAGTTCCGTGTGTATAATTACGCAACACTTAGACACAATACTCAGCAAAGTCAGCAAAGAGAGAAAGACCAGAGATAAAGAACTAAAAGACTGGGAAAACATCCTGAAGAACGTCATTCCACTGTTGCAGAAGGAAGAAGGTGTATTGGAAACATATGTTTTCGACTGTGCCCGACACAACCTACCAGATGCCTTGATACTGCTCAAGTCGTTGGGAGTAAGTTTCAATGACAGAGATTTCACGGGGAGATCTCCATTGCATGAAGCAGCAGAGCGGGATAGCTGTAAGGCAATCAATATTCTTTTGAAGGGAAAAGCTAATCCTAATGCAGTCGACTGGAGAGGAGGTAGTCCACTTCACTATGCATGTGCAAAAGGACACTTACAGTCTGTCACACTGCTGATGAGCTTAGGTAAAAAAATTGAAGCAGAAAATCAAAATGCAAGTGGAAGAACCCCTCTGCTTGAGGCTGCCTATTCCCGTAAATTTGAAGTCGTACAGTACTTGCTTTCTAATCATAGCAAAATTATCAATATACGAGCTACGGACAGCTGCGGGCAGAGTATACTTCATTATCTTGTTGGAATACCGGACAAAATGGTTGATCTTGTCCTCGCGAAATACTCGTCTGTCGAAAAGACAGACACAGGGAAATGTTTCAAAAGAACACTCTGGACGGATTCAGTAAAACACTCTGCTTGGTCTCGACACATCACTGCGTCTCGCTTCCGAGCAAGCACATTCTTTGAAAAAGTCGGAGAAATGTATTATACGGATTCAAAAACAGGAGAGCAGATGAAAGGACCCTTCAATAATGGACTGAATGTGGCGTCTTGGAATTCACGGACAGATGACGAATCTATTGAAAATTTGAAACATGGGAAGTCACCGAAGAAGGAGATGAACGAGTGCACAAGATGCAGAGATTTCGTTGGCAAGCTGTCCACATATCGAGGGTATGTAATCACTCTTCTACTGCATTGACAGTTCTTTAAACGTTTATTTTAAAACAAATAAATAGATGAAATATGTACCGAGTATTTAAAGTTATTTTAAAGTAGAGAGAATTACTAAGTAGCTCACATTATATACATTTGTGACAGAATTATAAGGAATTATAGGTAACAACAATGTCTAACGTTTTAATTTCTTCGCCAGGCCTCACAGATGCACGTTGGCGGGGATCCGACAGCATGAAGGAGAGGGTGCGATACGAAAGACTGTTCAGAGGGCTTTTAAGCATCATTTTGTCTTTCAGCAAGAAGTCCTCTCGCCCGTGTTTAACGCGGCAAAAACAGGAAATGTTATGTTGGTAAAGAAACTGTTGAAGTTTGACCCGGCATATATGAACGAAAGAGATAACTTCGGTAGGAGTTTAATAGAACTTGCCATCGATCAAGGATTTGTGAAACTTGTGCAAACTCTGTCAGATCTGCAACCATCACAGCCTAACCCGGGTCTTGTGTATAGAGTCCTTATGCAAAAGAAAAAGACAAAGAGCGACAATACACGGAAGGCATTACTGAGCTCTCTGATTGCTAAAGGGCATTTCGTCGACAAGAGGCTGGAGACAGGGAAAGTCACTCACGACGGATGTACAATTCGGAAAGGGAAATTCTGCCATAGACAATGCTACTTAAAGGGTTATACACCATTAGAAGTCGTCGTAAGAAACAATGATGAAGATTTATTCAAGTTAGTTTTAGATAAATCTTCTGGAAAGCACAAAGCTATTCCATTATTGCTGGCAGCTTACAAAGGACATCACGCAATGCTGGAGATCATCAAAAAGAAAACGTATTCACAGAAGAAGGATAAAAATGAAGAAGACGACGAAGATGACGATGACAAGGAAGAGGAAGAAATTGACGAACGCGTTTTGCTAGACATTACATGTCGAAGCCCACACATCACGGTGGATTTGATAAAGGTCATAAGTAAACTGTATCCTGAAATGTTGGAACAGAATACCGAGGGATTTCTGACAGATCACCCGAGGCGCAGGCGATACCTGCTGTTTGATATACCAAAGCAATCGTTTCCAGAATCAACTTCGCTTGGAAAACTTCTTTCGTTAGTGTATGATCGAAAAACGAGAATATTATCTAAGTCTAAGATAGAAGACAATGCTTGCCAGCTGATCGACGAGGGGATTAATCTGGGCAAAATTTTTCACAACACTCATTCCTCCCGTAGAAAAGACAACACATTCACACATGGATGTTGCGAATGTTTACTCACAGCTATGGAGGGAAAGTTCTATAAGGTAGCGGAACGCATTTTACAAAAATATGCATCAACACTTTGGAAGTGTGCTATGGGCTCTAAGCCATGTCAATTTCAACATTCTTTCAAGAAAAGGATGTTTAATCGGAAAACGAAGCACATGCATGAACCGCAATACATCGATTATATGCTGATGCTAGCATGTTCCGAGGAAGCACCTAAGAATATCCTACAGCTCTTACTACAAAATGGCTTCAAAGAATTTGATGCAGACACCGTCATTTCACTGGACGATATGGACGAAATGACGAGATCCAACGTAGAAAAAATTAAAGACCCCTTTATCCAGAAGATAGTTTACGTCACCCAATTAATGGCAATACAGCGTAAAGGAAGGCCTGACGTTCACAAGTTGGTCCGATTGATCCCAAAAACGATGAGCGTTCTCGAGCATATCGATCACAAACTCTTTAAACAACCAAAAAGACTGGATGATATCGGCCCTTTTATCCATATGTGTTGTTGTCTTTCAATGAATGGTCGGTGTGGATACGACATTAGGATGGTCAATAATAAACAACAATACGTACCAGTGGACCTACCTGAGGGTCTCTCTCTTCTCCACATGGTATGTGCGCTGGAAAACGTCGAGCATGTGAAAGACCTCATCAAGGTTTGTTTATTTTCATCATATCCATATAGTTTTCATTACCATTTTAATAATAATTCACAACGATTCTTTCCTGATGATTATTCACCACGAATCAAAGTCATCAATAATTTTTTTATTGGAATTCTGTTAAATGTAATACACCGTGGTTACATCAGCTGTTTTTAATATATATTTCATATTGTGTTTATGTAGTGTGGGACAGATGTTGACATAAACATGGAGTCAACCGACGGCATCAGGGCGGTTGATGTCGCATCTGCTTGTGGAAACTGGTCTGTGTTTAAATTCCTCCTCGATCAGGAAGCTAAAGTAAACAGTGACACCCTCCTTGCTTGCTGCGCCCAAGAAAGACACAAAGGTTAAAATGCGTATTCCTTCTATCTTTTGCTTATTTGATGCCAAGTTCGTATATATCAATCATATGTATCATATTTTCGATATCTGTAATTATAGGTAGCAGTGTACAGTAGCGTACGGTGGCCATGTGTGATATTTTTGTACAATGAATAACCCCTGTACAATTACATTTATGAAAACTTAAAAACAAAATCAGCACTAAAATTGGTATATACATGATGAAGTGGACTATGTAGGCTTCAGATTTAAAAAAAAAACGAATTTGGTTTGAGACTACATTTATAGCCATTTACAAATCTGTGTCTACACAACAAAAGCTAGCTTTTCATGTAGTCTATTTTTGTACTCGGCACATGTGTAAATATTGTGAAAAATCCAGTTGAACGAAAAACGATGAAAAACGTGAGTATTTCTGTTACCGTGTAGGTGATATTCAGTTTCAAGAAAAAAGTACTACTTGCGTGGGTCAAATTTTGGGTTAAAAATCACGGTTTTTTTTGCAATTTTTGGCGTTTTTTGATGTGGTTACCATGGTTTTCACAAATCACAAATCTGGGGAAATCACCTTTTGAAAAAAAATCATTCTTTAAAAAAAAATGTATTCAAAATGTAGTTGATAAATATATATATATATATGTAGGTGTGTTGTGAAGGATAAATCCGCTATCCATGTTTATCTGAGACATGCCCTTAATTTTTAGGATCAAGCCATTTCTACTGTACTCTGCTACCATAGCAAGCCAACTAAATTGTTAATAGGGAACAGTGTAGATAAAGTATTGCATAATATCAGATAAGAAATATTCACTAATAAACAAATAATATCTTATGGGATATATAAGATATTTCATTTGCTTTACAAGACGTCAATAAATTATACATATTTTTGATATATCACCAGTATGGCAGAATGTCGATATTCTTTACGAACGAAAAAAAAATCGGTATACCCTTCCAAGGGAGTAAAATATTTGACATTCAACGGGAGAACATTATATAACATGTTCATAACAATTTTAAAGTGCCTACATTAATTCTACAACATCGGTCATTTTATTGTATCAACATTGTATCAACATTGTATCAACATTGTGGGCCTACTCAAAGCGATTCTACCCTATTCTCGATCATCTGATAATAGCTCTCTGATGATGTTAACCATTGTGTGATATAACAAACACCAAAGTGTAACTAGCGAACATGTACCTAAACAACCTCTTCATCCTCTGTTGTTTAATATGAGTCTAAACAGAGATTCTGTGAATTTTAATGAAGTGAATAGAATGTAACGTTCTTACTTGTCAAATAACAGACGTGATAACATCACACTGTGATAAATATCTGTCACAGTAATATCCATTGTACAGAACCCGATATCTCACTGGCAAAACAAGTTAATGAATGATTGTTTAAAGAAATTAAGAAATTGACTTGACATGCATTTGACTTTTAGTTTAAGTAATTTATATTAGTGATGGTCACTATCTTCGTATTATTTTAGATTGGAAATTAAAATAGCTCATGAATGTTAATCCACATATATTTTTGCAAGGAATTTGCATACGTCAATGTTTTCACGAAGACAGAATGATAAAGTTGCTTGGAGTCAGTTTACAGTTTACAATCTTAACTAACACCCATCCACCTAACGACTGATTTCTGTCTGTACCTAGGAATGCACTATTGGATTGACCGATTGCATGCGGTCCATGGTATGACTCCGGTCCTGGAGAAACAAAGGCTGAAGATTGCAAAGGAGTTATGTGGCAGGTAATAAGAACATAAACAGTACGTTAAAACCCGCTAATCACACATATCACAAGTCGTTTAGGAATCCAGTATTATCTAACATGCTAATCAGGTGTTATAGCTTTTATGATTCGTGCTCTAATATACCATCTTATTTTAGGATGAATCCTGCAGTCAAAGGTAATAATAAAACTGTTACAACTTTTTAATGATATATTTTATTTGTCTCTTGAATCCCGTATAGCGGACCATTTTCGCTGGGGTTTAATTTGGCGGGGCGACATCTAGATCTCAAAAAAAATAGTCAAAAGTTACATTTGCAGGTCTAAATTCTATGAAGCAATGGCAGTGCCTTTCCTTATGAACGAAAACCACAAAAATAATAATCAAATTTATGGACTGAAGTCTACAAATTTCTTTAGGCCAGAAAAACTCCTTTTGGTTGTTTCATCTTAGATAGAGAGGGAGAATTATCTACGTCAAAAACATCTTAGTAGAACTAATCTTTGTGAATTTATCTGATGCAGTGGTATCATTTACCTTTATTTTTTTCTTGTGTTGACTCAGTGGTATATCTTTGTCTATTATGAAAAAACCACCACAGAAATTTTACTAGAGATTGATGACAAACAATATCATTTCTATGTAACTATAGGCACGACACGGTAAACCCTTTGTCGTATAGTCAGGACACAGATGAGTGTCCTCTTGGTGCAGCCCTTCACTCGAAGTTCTGGGGAGTGGCGGAGTACCTGTGTACATTGACGGCTGGAGCCGCTGCCATACCGATGTTACAAGGCATCAACAAAGACAGGTACAATCACACTGCTATATCAACACGGGATTGTTAGATCATACGAACGTAGTTGTTTTAGCGCACATTTTAGTGTTTTATTGAATTCTTACAGTTTAGTGTATTGATGAATACGTGCATCAACAATATGAAATCAATGTTAATTTACAAAAAGTCGATTCAGCGAAACAGCTAAAACGCTTAAATGAAACTACCGCTAAAATATGTACTTTAAAGGACACGATATCCAAACAAATTTGAAAGAGGCAAAGGCAAACTTATACGAGGTTTATGCTGAAAAGGCGACTTAACATTTAAATATTGAAACCCACGAAGTATGATACAAACAAATCCTTCTTTTATCTTACTCCGTAATATGTTTTGCAGCGTAAGTTGTTATCCAAAGCGTGTGCTTTTCCGTTTCCGACAAAATTACATTTGTCAACAACTTGACTTGAGAACTTTGATAAAAAAAATATCATCCTAGAAAGTTTAAATAAATACACGGAAGCACATTCATTGATATCATTATTGGTTTCCGGGGAAGAAGTGTTTATTTAGGATAAATTTCCTTCAGTCAAAATGTATTACATTGTACTCTAATGACACAATATAACATTGGGATTTAATGATATTGTATGATGTTATGTTTATACTTCAGCATGGCGTGTTTTGATGTTGAGATGTACAGTTCTATAAATATGTATTGGTAAACAAAATTATAGCATACATGATGTTCTAATATGACATGTGTGTATGGCAAACATATTTTTAATGTCCTTCACTATACATAAAACTACTATATTTTTGCTTTTTGTTTTTCTTTAAAGCAAAACGGAATGGGCTTTAGAAGCGCCAAAGGACCTGATAAGAATGATTGTGGAGGCTTCGGTGAAGCATTCCGCTTCTCCGATTTCAGGGAAATCCTCTTCTCCGATTGCAGGTCTAACACACGTGCTTCAAACCATTACAAAACGATCTGATTTCAAGCTAGTGGAAAGTGTTGTTAAACAGCTTGATGCTTTAATGGCAGATGATGGGAAGTGGCTAGAAATGTGCAGAGAGACAGACAAACACGACATGACTATTTTACACTATCTATCACAAATCGGACATGCACGTGCGATAGAGACCATTTTGAAGCGTTTACCGACATACACAAACAGAAAGGACGTCATTAACAAGTACGACAGAGCAGAAGCATCCACTCTTTGGTATGCTCTTGCAAACAAACACTGGTCTACAGCAACCCTTCTACTAACATTCGGAGCAAACGGAGATACCGTAAGGGCAATACCTGACTTTGAACCCAAAAGGGCATGTTCCTCTGAAAAACAGAAAATACAGGATAGAGATTTCAAACTTAAAAGTGAATCTCACAAGAATGGAGTTCGTGCTTTTCCAATTGTGAGAAATGATTCAGTTGAAGTTTCCTTGTGTTTTGTTCCGTCAAGCGTCTTCTATACGGGCAAGAAAGAGGTTATTCCTGAAACAACGAACAAACCAATTCAATCCAATCAAATCACTCATATCTTACCGGCAACTGATCCGGAAAAAAATGCTGTTAAAAGACTCATTAGAATCGCGCAGGCAGCGGACGCAGTAGGATGTGACATCATACATGCCGCGTGTGGTACAGGAAACACTGACCTTCTTCGGGAAATCCTGAGGTTACAGCCAAATGCTTTTAATCAAAAGGATGATCAGGGTTACTATCCATTCGCTTATGCAATTATTGGGGGAAACCAAGAAGTGATAGATTTGCTGAAAGAAAACATGACAAGTGAAATAGCTGTTAATTCGTTAGAACCCTTAATTTGGAAACTGGCGTCTTCAGAAAAAGGCAACAAGCTTCGCAGAGCATTTTCACAACTTCTTGGACATATTTGTGTTAATTCTGAAATGTGTAAAGAGGAGGAAAAAGATCGAATGAGACTCAAGAAGAAACTTTTTCCTTTCCGCTGGGGTGATTTTTCAGACTTATGTTCAATAGAAAAGCAGACATTTGAAAAGTGTTTACGGGAAGATGGCGCAGAAAAAGACAGCATTGATCAAGTGATGAAATACATTGATATTTTACGCAAGATGCTTCTTAGTAGACATCCATTGGATTCGTTTCTCTATCTAAACCCACAAAAAGACACCGACTTGTCCGACGAGTGTGCAAAATTACTTCTTACGGTTTTACTCACCCACATGAAGGACCTCGATTCTGGAAGCATATTATCTCTCGTGATGATACAGAAATCTTGGATCTTAAAAGAACTAATGGAAAGCAACGTTGCAAGGGATACCCTCATGACAATGAAGAAGCAAATATTGTGGAAATATTCCATTGTTGATTGCTTATTCATATTTGCTAACCCCGAAGATGAGCGGTTTTATAGCGAAGGAGGTAGTCAACACAAACTTGACAAACACGTTAAAGAAATGATGAACCGATACAGTTTGACCTTGTCGCCAGGTATAGGAACGTTAGCGGTGCACAAGAACCTTTGGCTTTTTCTTGAGCATGCCTTGTTTCAAACATTTGAAAGCGAAGGAAGTCTCAGTGACGAATGGCATTCTATTCTTGCGACCGGAGCAGAGCGTGGACAACTACCGTTCCTCAGGTCGATACTGGACAAACTCCACATACCACGAATGACAGCCGATCAGAGGTCTTGCTTTACTGCGTATCTCTGCCTGGCCTGTATGGCGGGGAAAACAGATGTTGTCAAGTACTTACTGCGGCACAACGTACCGACCGTCGGTTCTATGGATGAATACCCAATACGTGATATTCTTGGAAAACACCACAAAAAGACATGGAACATTTTACATTATGTGTTTTACAGTAAATCAGAAAGTACCCTTAAAGAAATATTGAGTGTTTTAAAAACCGAAAGGGAATTTCTGAAAAATCTGCAAGTCGACGAATGCATCATGCAAAGTGGAAAGACAGGTCGTCCGGGAATCGTAAATCAGATGGTTCAGTTCCTTTCAATGACAAAAAATGAAGTTGTTCGACAAAGAGATTGGGACAAAATGCTGCAGAAAGCATCGAGCAATGGACATGAAGATCTATGCATTTATCTCATTGAGAAACAGTCGGCAAACGCAATTACGTCCGACAATAGCAATATGTCACCGTTACATTACTGTGGTTACTTCGGGATGGAAAAATTAGCAGCGATTATCGTAGAAAGGCAACCATCTGCATTGGAGAAAGTCGATAGTAGAGGTCTGACTCCAAAAGACTATGCAAACGCAATGGGACAGCTACGATTACTTAAGGGATCCAAACAAACTCTGAAACAGCAAGCTGCTGAATGTGACGGCTGGCTAAGATGTCTTCTTCAAGGAAACGCCTTCATTCAACATAATTCTACTGAAGTGAACATTTCGCCGCACGTCTTTGCTCAGAAGAGAAATCTCACTTTAAAAAATCTACTACTGCGCTCTGACGACCATGCGTCGGAAAACATCATCAGATGGTCTTCTCACGAATTCGTTCGTATGGCAGTTGAAGAACCACAAAAGTGTGTCGAATATTTTATCTTGGCAGCATTTTACAAATGCAATAAAGCCCTGAAAGCTCTATGTGACATATTGCATACTTCGACTGACAAAACTCATAACCTTCAATCGCTGCTGCTGAGGGATGGACACGTAAGGGAGACTTCTACATCTCGAAATGGGGATCAAGACGAAAGTAGGAAGTTAACATCTAAACGTGGAAATGGTCTGACGCCACTGGGCTGGGCAATATGCTCACAAAACATGGAAGGAGTTGACATCCTAATGGGAAAGGAGACATGTCTAACATGGAGAGACAATTTTTCCCTGGAAAACATACTTCACCTTGCAGTCAAAACAGAAAATGTTTCAATCGTAAATCATGTCAATGACAAAACTGAAGGCAAACTGATATCCGAGGAGGACAGACAAAAGGTAACACCTTTAGCCGTTGCTGTTGCTCTAGGTCTTCATCGGATATTAAGAGTTTTGACAAGAAACAAACTGAAATCAATATCATCGTCTCATGAAAAGCATGCAGGAAACCGTGTGGACTATGGGTGTACCGATTGCTTGTTAGACCATTGCATTGGTTGGTCTAAAAACTATCTCAATGGTGACTTTGAGATGACTTCATCAGAAGAAGAAGAGGCAAGGATTATATTTCAGAAGAAGAACAACAGAGGCTACGTTTCGGAACGTTTACCATTCAGATCGGTTTTTAAAGTCCGTAAAATACCTTTCTCTGTCCGACACTTGTGTGTGCTAAATGCAGATGAAGAGTCATACCAACTACACAAAATTCATTGCATAAGTGCATTGGGTGGACCAAACAGCAAACTTGTAAAATCAGCATTATTTTCTATGGGATACAAAGTAAATGAGGAAATGCTACAGTGGATAACTCTGCGCTCACTTACAGATCCATTTGAGGCAGCGAAGAAAGCAGTTAGAGCTGGTTACAAGGGGTTGGCTGTCAAATTTATTCCGCAGTTAAACGATGAACAAGCACTCGATATATTTGAAACTGCAGCAGTTGATGGGAAAGCATACCTCGTTGAACAATGCCAGGAGAGGTTTCTCTCTCTAATCACAAATACTGCAGTGAAAACTTCAATCGTCGAGTCATCGGTGGCATTTGGACAAATAGCTTTAGGTATTCGCTTACTCAGATTGATACAGACATCAGGAAACACAGAGCAGTTTGATGCCTTTCGTGATATTATTGAGGCTATCCCACAGAAGATTCGTTGGTTGATGGAGGACCAGATTCCTGGGAACGATCAATGGCTTACAGATATAGAACAGGGTGATCGGTTGACACTTCCTGACCTATGGCTTTCCATGGACGAAACCGACCCACTACGGCAATATATTGAAGAGAAGATTAAGGTTGACAATCTCCTTCCTGAAACTTTCAAGGGGAAGAAGTTTGTTCCGGATAAAGAGAGCTTCCGAAGGTATTCTTACTTCAAAGAAAAAGGAGACATATGGATTCGGTGCTTCATTGTTTCTAGTCAGATTTTTGGTCACGTGTGTGATGTGCTCAATATAGATGATCCAAAAGCAGCAACGGTCAACACCGTCAAAGTCGCTTGTCTACCACCTGGATCTTCAGATCACCCAAAGATGAGCGTCGAGACGAACAGTGTACTGACTGACAGCATTGCAGTTACTATGCATAACGAGAAACCGGTATTGCAACATGACCCCAGCATGATTCTCCGTTTTAAGGAGTCTTTACTGAAGGATGTTGTACAGCTCGAAATCATACCAGCAATGGAAGAAAAGGTAATATTTTGTGTCATTTTCTTTTACATATTTAAGTTTATTCTACTTATAGTTACTATGTATCGGATATTGGTTGGTTCTAAATACAAATGAATACAACTATTTTTTTTCTGTTTATGTGGAAATGATAGGCAATCTATCAGTTTGATGCAAAAAACTTGTTTTACATGTAATGTCTAAAACAAGTGGTTTTGGCTACAGTTGTTTATACATATATAGTTTTGAATATACCTCTCTTTGTTTGTAGATAATGAATGAATTTGGAATGCCAATAAGAATCAGGGTAGATTGGAACTCTATTGAAACACGCAAAAGAACAACTGGATCCGAAACCATTATGAAAGCACTGACCGGAGACAATTTCCGAAACGAGCTTGGGGGTCTACAGGACGTACTGGCTGATTGTACCGCTATAATAGACACCATCAAATATTTATTCAATGACGAGACCGTACAGCTAGCACTTAAACCGGTGGCTGGGATTAAATATATAACAGTCACATTCGTTGACAGTATTTCTAGCAATGACGGACAAAAGAAGTCGCGGATCGCCACACCAGACAGCAACGTCTTGTGGAACTTTTCCATGGACAGGTCAGCTTTGAAATACGACAGGTCCACGTTCCCACTTTTTTTCCATTTGAACAGATACCGAACTGCATGTTTGGCATTCTGTGACAGTATATACAGAATGTCACATCGCAATCCACTTGCTTTAGCTGATGATTCGGTAAATTGGTTCGAAATCCGGAAAAAGAGATCGGTAACTCTTGAAGTAGAATGGAGCTCGTTCCAAAGTACAGACGAGACAGCATTCATGGATCTAGTCGGTCACGGGATAGCAAGGGAGTTACAAGTGATGGCTTCTGAAACCGAAGCAATGTTGCGTCTGACGATAAACTGTGACCGTGTCATAGTTAAGAACTCTGCATCTGCTCTTTACACCGGTATCACTATTGACACTCACGGGAAGACTATCAGTGCCTCGGTTTATGCTCACCAGACTGCAAAGAAAACTTGGGCAGTTGAAGAAGGCAGAACTGCAGCAAAACTTGGTGACTTAGAAGACAAACAACTAAGTAATGGAAGCTGGCAGAAGAGTACACATTCAATGGTTGAAGACCACATTGCAAAAACCAGAAAGGAAGTAGAAAAGCGATTTGGTTTCAATATCGAAATTCTTTTCGATGAAAAAAGGATATTTGTCCCGTTACTTTTGAAGTGCAGAAGAGAAGCTGAGCATCCACACAATCTCATACAGCGATCAATGAAGGAGTTTCTGGAAAACTTAATCGTTGTATATGATAAAGCCATGTATGAACTGTTATCTGGCATACATGCATCGTATTCGATTTTCATGCAAGAACTCGACGTGCACTCTGGAATATGGAAGGACTACACAAGAAGAAACGGAAAGAACTCGAAACAAACAAAAGGACTAGTTCTACGGAAGTACGAAATATCTCGTAAACGTAACCGAATTTTTTCATACAAGAGCGTTGGCTTACCAATAGAAGATTACATGTACGTTGACAACTTCAAAATGCAGCAGGTGTCACAAGATGAAATTGAAGACCAAGCCGTTGTATCAAATTCTTACGAGTTTATGTATCCAACGAGCACGTTAATAGACAGGAGTCATACTGACAACGCCCAGCATGTCCGTTTCGTATCATGCAACGGCAGGATGTACGAAATTGTCGACCAGAATGCACTGATGAGAGCACTCTACAAACTGACCACAAAAGCGGTAATGGGTCACGAAGTACTAGATATCCTCGATTTATTTGGCTCTGAGCGGCTGTTCCTCAAGCTCTTTCCCACACTCGTCAAGGATATACAGACCAGCAGCAAATCTACCACAATACCGCTCATATATGACTCGTTGTATAGGATCAACTGCTTATATGGAGTGCGTCACATACGCAACATTGTGGTCAATTGGGATGAACTGTTTGATTCAAATATAACTTGCCCGGATGACAGAGTAAGAAAAGTGCAAAGAATCATCGGAGCTCTAGAAGATGCAATGGAGAAAGCATATAGGAAGGAATCATTACCATGCAATATGATGGAAAGAAATCACGAAGTGTCCAACAAGTCACTCATGAAAATATCAAGCATTCATTTAACCAAAGTTCCCGATGATTTCAAACCAGACGCTTCAGTTCTTAGGATAGTTCAACCAAAGGAGAAAGGCCAGCCCCATTTACATCTGAGATCAGGCAACGAATTAACAGTAGCATATCAGAATTTCAAGAACATTGCTTTGTTCCATGACATCCTCCTGACAGCTGTAGTTCATGTTCTGGAAGTGGAAGTGAAAGCACATATTGAAAGGGGCATTGCTAAAAATCCAGAGAAAGACAAATGGAGGAGGAAACAGTATGATGGACCCAAGCTAATACGACCTAGCCTGTGCTACGTTGAAAGAGTTTTACCAAGAGTTTTGTCTTCTTTGAGTGAGATTATGAACACCACAGAAGGAAAGGAATGTTTACTCTCACATTTTTTTGATTTCCAGTTTGCTAAGGCTGAATCAAATAGGACGACGGTAGAGCTGGAGGAGGGGTGGTTAATATGTTTTCTATCACCGGAGGACATGGGTGCTAACATAGGACAACTTCTCATGTCAGCTCTCTGTATCAAAAGTAACGGATCTCATTCTCCTGTTCTGCATTACAAAGGCCCTTGCTTGAACTTCGCATCCAACGAAGAGAACACACTGAAGGTGATGGCTACAAATGGTCATGGAAACTTACTTCGAACCATGTGTGACCCACAATCTTTCACAATACAGTTGTGGACTAAAGACAAGGAGGAGTCCAAATCTGTAAACCCATATCAGGTTGTGATGGATGAAAGTCAGCAAGCTATCAAAATAAACTGGAAAAGAGATGATGAACTTCCTTCTAATCACATGGGACATGCACAGCTGATGTACAGGGATGTGCCAGTGGGGAGCCAAATAAATACATACTTATGTGACAAAGTTGGTGTGTTAACAGAAAAGTTGACAGATGGAGGCGGACTTGAGATCCAAAAGGGGGGAAATGTACTTGTCATAGTAGAACATAATCCCCATTGTCATGTCCAGAGCAGACACGATAAAACAGCTACCAATCAGAAAACTGATGACATTCAAAATGGCATTCAATTTGTGACCAAAAATTGCGTGGATTTCCTGATTAAGACGAGGAAGAGAACATTTAGACAACCTCGTCATCCAATCAAAATCAGAGTTTTATCTGGAGATCGGAATGCCCAGTGTATCAAGCTTCTGTGTTTAGATAAATCTAGACGTGTACGTCTCTGTGCACGATGCAACATATGTGGCAGCATGCTGAGGATGGTAACACCATCTGTTGTCATTCCACCAGGAAAGGACCTGATTGTCAACCAGTGAACTTGGACCATTTGCTGAACTTTGACCTGTTCTATATTGAGAATGAAACATTCCATACATTGTACAAAGTAGCAAACACAATTTTCCTAACAACATTTTTTTAATTTTTCAAATAATTAAAAAATCAATACATATTTTATCATTAATGTAATTTGGAAATATGTGTTTGATTTATTACATTCTCATCAAATCACTTTCATCATGAAAATATTGTAAATAAGCACAGAAACATAAAAGTAAGGGCCTAATTAACATATATACCTTAAGTAGACTTATAGCATTTTGTAGACAATTTAAAAAAAAAAAATGTAAAAAGATCTGAAATATTAGTTTCTTAAGAAATTATATACAAACAAGATGGTACTTGTTAAACACATTTTTTTTTGCTGTGAGTGTACTAAATGTTTTTTGTCATGTCATTTTTTTTATATATCTTCAGTCATTTTCATTTTTTATTGAAAATGCAGAACACTCTCATTAAGCATAATGTTTTTAAATGCTATGAGAATTACACTGGTTTTTTTTTTTTTGTTTTTTTTTGCAATTACTAATGTGCTAATAAGTCTGTTGATGCTTTGCTATATATTCTATTTAACTGTATTTTAAGTGCTTCTGTCTTGTCTCTAGTTCAGAAATATTTTGTATGTACAGATAACTTACTTATTAGCCTAGAACACATTATATATTGTTACTTGTAAATAACTTTAATATCTCATTTTTACAATTACCACTTAGTATAGAAATGACAGGAGCACTTCTCTAAATTCAGAAATAATTTGTATGTACAGATAACTTATTAGCCTGGAAAGCATTATATATTGTTACTTGTAAATAATTTCAATATTTCATTTTTACAATTTACCACAATAGTATAGAAATTATCTAGATTTAAATTAGTTATTGATATATTATAAACTCATAACATGTAAATATTATTCTATGAAATGTTCAAACTCCTTTTAAACAAAGCTGTGATATACTTGTTAGTTAATACTGTTGTCATTTAACTCATTCACCCCTAAAATTTCATAATGAACTATTCAAAACTTTGAATTGGAAGAGTTCAAATGTGTCTTCAGGGGTGAATGAGTTAAATGATCTAATCATTATTCCTATTGTAATTGTTGTACATATGTGTGTATATCTTCATGATTTTTTTTCAATATGCTTTTACAGACAAATGGCACTCTGTGTATTTTTCATGGCAATTATCAATCAAGAATATCTTTAATAAAAGCTGAACTTTTGCAAAATTATGAAGTACAGTGAAATCTGTTAAAACAGAACTCCATTGATTGGGACCATGTAATCTTGTGTTTAAAATAACAAACTTTTATTGATCACACAGATTGCATTTATACGCAAATATATACTCTTGAAAGATGCATGTAAGACAGTTCACTCCGAGTTGAAGGTTTTGTTTTATTTTGCAGAAATATATACCCTGAGGCTTAACTCAGAGTCTGGTTTAATTACACAAGTCTTTGTTTGGACTGGTAACATTATGCCTTTAAATCTCATTTTGAGTTTCAGTGAAATACCCTTTTAATGTAAATAGTTCAAAATATTATAATTTTTGTAACGCTTTATATAACATTTTTACTCATTATTTTTTTTATAAGAAATCAACAACATAAGCTGATGTTACTGTTGTTAATATTTCATAAATTGCAACTTATAAAATATTTATGCAGGTTTATTTCTGCAAATATTTTTTTAAAAGCCAAAAATTGATTTATAATTGTTGTCATTATTGGTTTTTTAATTTCATTGTTTTGTGTAGATTTGAATTAATTTTAAAACAGTAATGTTGTCATGTGTTAGTCTACTATACTGTGATACTTATATTTTGTATGATTCTAGTTTTTACCGTTTATGGTGCCTTATCTGTGATGTTTGTATTGCTATATTGTTTTACAATTGTGACTATAAAACGTTAACACAAGTTATGTCTTAAGGATCCTTGTACCACTGCCAAAAACTGTAACTACGCATCGGAAACAGATTTTGCCAGCATAACTATAGCAATGAACAAAATATTTCTGAAAAGAAAACCATACCTTGCGGGAGTTGTATGTAAAAGTAATAAAAATGAATTAAATAAAACATTTTCATCAACAATGTTCCAGGAGTTAAAAAAAATCAGTGGAGGTAGATCGGGATTTGAACCCTGACCTTTAAATTGTTATACTTTAACACCGACTGATTGAACTATCCTACCAACAGAAGTGTTTTGGACCAACTGTGCTACAGTTATAGCCAAAATGAAATAAGGGGAGGTAACTGTATATACTTAAAACCGCAGTGCAGTGTGACAGTGATCCTTAATTTGTTTACGCATGTATGTGTGTACAGTCCAGCATCATTCTCACTGCTGTATACAAGACAGGCTAACAGCAATTTGAATATGCCCGTCATAATGATGAAACTTTATCCCGACATAAAGTCGATAACATTACAGTACTTACCTTCCCACCTGTTTCATTTGATATGGATTTTATCAGTGACTGGGTTGGTTTTTGACTGAGCAAAAATGTACCACTGTACAGTAAGCCTTAGGAGACCTCTATAAAATGTTATTTTACGCTACTATTTCTATAATATCATGTTGATATAACTTAACATAATATTTTATCTATAAAAATATCGGTTAAAATATACTTTTATTGGCTTCAAAAGTTTTTTAACGGTATGGTGCATATCTATTATAATCATGGAAACTACCATATTATAAGTTATCATTACTTACAATATTTAAACGTATACTCACATAATAGCGAACATCAGCAATTTCAATTGGCTGCCATTTCAACAATTCATCTGTGATGTAAAAGAACATTGCAACACCCATTTAATAAAGTAAATTGACTTAATATGTCTACAAATATTTGAGATATGATACCTTGACTAACACTTTCAAAGACGTTTTTTTTACATAAAGTCTGTTTTTTGTATGATAGCAATGATTTCATATGGAATGAAATTGAAATTAAAACCCTTATTACATACTAACAGCTGTTGAAAATTACCGGCTTTCAACCTGAAATTGTCTTAATTTTCATCGAGGGGAAAACAATAGTTTGCTATTGCACCTACTTTTTCAAGTTGATTCCAAATGTTGCACAAAGACAATCATTTTTTATAATTCCAGGGCTATTTTCAGTTATATTCTATGCACCCAAGAATATGTGATAATAAAAGAAAAGGTATGCAGTCAGTTATTTGATTGGTTTAAGGTTATACAAAATGACCAATTGTTAGGCTGATACTTGTCCTTTGAAGATTACAGCGAAGCAACATCTGACTTAACCTGTTCACCCCTGGAGACCATTATTGACTTTTCCAGATCAATGTACAGTAGAGTCTACTAAAGTTACACAGGGGTGAAAGGGTTTAAAGCTTCTTAATTTAACCGTTATGTTGCCGGTGATAGATGGCACGTACAGAACATATTTATGCAGTTTCAAGACATATTTCAGGGTGAATAGAATGGAAGATAGTAACCCTAGGAATTTTGAAAATGAAAGATAATAATTTCAATATGTTTATTTAATGCATGGTCTCTTGCAGCAATTGCTGCCTTATGTGCCCGAAGATTTCTTTCAGGCCATTTGGAACTTAAAAAGACTATGTTAAATACTTATCAGTCATGAGAGGTATAGTTTTAGTGGAACACAATATATATCTGCTGTTGAGTACTACACAATGTAAATTATATCAAGACAGGACTGTTACTAGTCAGGTATGGTCTTACAAAGTGAGAATAGACAATCAATAAACACTGATTGTTTAGTAGAAAATACATGTTATCATGTTTTCAGTTTGTTATGTTGTGTTACAAAAAAGCATTGTTTTGTACAGAATGAGTTGATAATATTGATTTGGTCATAAATACATCATCAAATGCTGTAACTATAGTATAGCTCGATGATTGTAATTTATGCATAATCATGCCACCTTATTCAATGATTTTTTTTTCATTGAAATCATCAGTTTAACATTTATATCACTGTTAACAGTACTTTTCATTTCATATTTTTTTTTTTTTGCAAAAAACATGTGTTACATAAACAAAGATTTTTTTTATGTTAAGTATCAAAACTTGAAGATGTTTTATGTAAGAGAAATTAATTTTTTGTGGATAAAGTACAACACCTGTAGTATGACCGATATAGAGTACTAGTTGTAGTTTAACTATAAAGTACTGGTTTTAAAGGTAATCACGAAACAGAAATCAACATTTTTTCTTGTTGCAATCTTAGTTTCATGGTTGTAATAATCACCAAAATAATTCATTTGATAGTTTAAAAAAAAAAATGCAAATCCTTATTATGTTGTCTCAAAGCATTAGATTTGCTTAATATGTATATATATATTAATATGATTATATTACATATATTACATTTGATATAGCAACCTAACTGGTTATAATAAGTCACTCAACAAACATACATAACAGTACAATTGATAACATCATTTAATACAATAAATAGAATATGTGGACCTTGCAGAGCTGCCTTAACAGGCACTAACTACAGGTCCTAAGCCACTTGGGTAATACCTCCACATGTGTGCGTGCCTATATGTGTGCTGCATCTGGTTTGGTATGGATTCTGTTTTTGGTGGCACCATGCTTCCAACGGCATCCTTTTTCCATTGTGCCACCTCATGTGAATGTTATACCAGAAGTATAGACACTGGATCATCTGCCAAGGACCATTTTATACTCCACCTGGATTCTTTATGAGGGTAAATGAAAAACTATTTCTCTGAAATTCCGTACAAGGATAATTTCGAGGAACGAACCCTAGCTGTCTGTGTGGAAGGCTGGATTGAGAGTTAACTATTCAGCCAAATCTGCCCTTATTAAAATAAACAGGATATCAAGATAGCCAACATTGCATGTATTTTGATAGCATAAAGATTAACTTCATTTTTGAGGTGATGAAATTTCAAATTATCTCCTTGTTTTGAACTGATATATGATAACAAATTTCTGTTACAAGAATAAAAATAAAAAAACAACAAACAAAACACAAAAAAAGTCTGATTTATAAGCATATGATTAGCTGTGGGAACCGTAGGTCAAGATTTGATCTACTTTATTTTATTTTGAAATGTAGATATTTTATCTTGAATTATCAGACCAGATAGGATTCAACAATCTAAAATTTCAAAACAAAATGAAATCGATCGGACTTGAGCTAGGTGTATGGTCAAATAATGTTGAATTTCAAAATAAAATATTTATAATTTCAAGATAAAATTGATTAGACCTTGAGCTACGATTCGCGCAGCTAGCATATGATATGTCTATTGGGGACCAAGATAGTCTCACTACAGCTTAAAAGACCGTGAAGTTTTCCAAATTATGGAATATGACTACATTTATCATGCATACATTTGTAACCATTTTGCAAATCAAGTATGCAAATTATGCAACATTAATTTGGAATTTTGTTATTGCACAAGTTTTCTTATCAAATATCGGGACAAAATTATGAATTGCATAGTAAACTTGATTAACTTAGAATGAGGGTCCAGATTTATATTTTATAAACCTAAGTTTGTCCTAATTTTTTGAAACAAATATTTTTGTGTTCTGTAAATAAGTAAACACCTAAGTGACCTTGCATGAATTAGTATAATTACTGATTTAAACAAGGTGGTGGAACTTTTATTTATCAAAGAACAAATAAGTTACTTAATTATGCCTATTATTTTTGACATAGTTACCACTTGTCAAATTGTAAGATGATTTTCATACGACCTTACATTGTACTGTATATTTATATTTTTAATATAAAAAAAATATGCATATGATCAAATCATTTTGAACTGTAAAATATTATTTTCTGTGATTCAAAAAATAAGATAAGGGTGTTATCAACACGACTTATTAGTTTGATACGCATAAGTTGATGATGTCTAATTTAATATATCCTTTATAGTAACACTTTTAATAGGAACAGAAAGAACAAGTACAACTTATTGAATTATTATTTTTCAATTCTAAAATAATCAAAATCAACAAGAATTCTTATTATTTGTTTTGTATTTTTGTACCCGTTTTCATGCAAAGATGATTGCATACTTGTCAACTTTTGCTATTTTGGAGGGAGACTCCTGATTCTGGACCCTAAAATCAAGCATTTTCAACCAGTGAATTTGTTCAACTCTTCCTATATTCTAAGATCTGATGATTTCATCTGAAAGAACAGTTCAGAAGATTCCATTTAAATGTGCTATTTCCCCCTAGGGTGTACATACACACAATTTATTTATGCTTTTAATTTCTGGCACACGTAACCTCCCCATGGAAATTTTAAAAAGTTGGAAAGTATGTGATTGTGACGGTTAGAATTATTACATGCCAAGTAAACACATGGCCACAAATGTCTTTGTATTATTTGGAATAGAGCTTTGATGAGATCTGATATGATAATTTTATTTCCAATAATTGTTTAACAAAGTGTACACTGCAAGATTTCTTACTGCACTTTACTTGAAGGTGAGATATAAAGAACAGCATAATGGTTTGTGTGCTATCAAAGGGAAGTAACTGATGTAATGGAGTTTACTCCAGTAAATATAGGATTCTTTAATAATAAAAAGGTAAATTTCATCATTGTTTTTTTTGTATTTTGTATATTGTGTTATATGTACATTTGTACACTTTTTTCTTCAATTGAATTTTAAGAGACTTCGTAACAGTCAACAACATTCATTGTCTGGTTTAGATTTCAAGAACACTTCTTTAAGCCGAAATTAAAAAGTTTCAAGTACATGTATATAAGGTCATTGCAAATATCCGAGATAAGAATTTGTTAGGAAGCTGAACTTTACTTTAAAATCATGATCAATTTTATCATTGTTGAGCAAAACAAAAAAAATACAACAAATATTTGTATGCTTGTTCTCATTTTTAATAATCAGAATATTCATTATAATAACAATTTTATTTGAAATAATTCAATAACATTAGTCATTAGCTAAAGCTTAGTCATAAAATATTCATGATCAACAAAAAACAACATAACTATAACTGCTGGTTCTATCAACTGAACCGGATCTTGTGTAGTATATAACCGTTTAACGATAACTCCTGTGTTAAGACGTTTACGTAACTAGCAGGTGCTCAGAGATATTTACATACACATACCGAAGTGCATGTAGGTTACACACAGGGCTATTCACAAAGCCGTCCCTAACCTTTTACGCTTACGAATGGGTTAACATGCACGTAACTTATACTGGAAAGGAATAATCCAGCCTAGGTGATTCTTATCTCAATGCATGTTGCAAATCTTCAACAATAAATCAATACTTCATGTTTAACTAACTTCCATTTATGAACTTGCTACAAATTAATCTTTTGAAAGGTAACATTCAATTGTGGAATTCAAAGTGGAACCCTCTAGCATGGAGGTTCATGTAAACGAAATATAAAGAGATGAAGAGAAGACCAAATTTCATTGAGCTGGCAATCAGAAACATTGCTGTAGTTATTCAAGAAAGAAAGCTTAGGTGTGGTAGAGCATTACAAATAGGCAAGACATGCAAGACTGAGAAACCCACTTTTACTCGACCTGAATGCTGAATCATATACTTCTACTCAATTTCTGTACTTTTCACTGCAGTAATTTATAACCCATTCCGATAAAGAAAGTGTTTCCTGGAATAAATAAATTTGTATTGATAGATAATCGCCGGTCATGATGCTCCTAATGACATGTGCATCAAGATGTCATAAAAAATATTTCGTAACATGATTAAATGTATAAAAATATAGCAAAAGGCCACTGTGTTTGATAGGATGGTAATCTATCTTATGAACATTTAACACCTTGCACTTTGAAAATAAACACAAAAACAATAAAGCTGTATATGTAACAACTTCGCTGATATCGTTAATAACAATAAAGCTGTATACGTCACAACTTCGCTGATATCGTTGATAACAATAAAGCTGTATACGTAACAACTTCGCTGATATCGTTGATAACAATATAGCTGTATACGTCACAACTTCGCTGATATCGTTGATAACAATAAAGCTGTATATGTCACAACTTCGCTGATATCGTTGATAACAAAACAAATTACAATTGTAAGAAAATTGACATGTATATGATTAACAGTACATTATAAATTAAACACAGAAAAATAAAGTTATATAAATATATATTTTCATTTCAGTCTTGAATATAATATATTGATCACCAAAATTATTTTATAAATTTTAAGGAACACTTCGTAAACCACCAACCAGTGTAACAACAACCTACAACATTGACTAGCAATATTATAAAATAAGTAATATTCATAAACGATTCTTTCCAATGACCTTTCCAAAAGTTACAAATATAAAACAAACCTGTAATGGTGATTTATCAATAGAAATCTATTTCTTCATTAATAATAATGTGTAAATATGAAAACACTTATCTTGTTGAAAATGATATTGAATAGTAATAATTATGATAAATCTCTAGTAAAATAATGATCAAGCCATAATGCTATCATAAAAGTTGACAAGATTTGGCAAGACAATATATATGTGTTTTTCAAATGGTCCAATAACATTTCAACTAAATGTATTCAAGACATTTCATACGTACATGTGAATAAGCATTTGATCACAAAACAAAAAAAAATCACATAAAAAATATGGCGATTATGTAATGTCAAGTGAACTGTATTAATTGTATAATATATTGTAATATGAACTGTGAACATTTTTATAAAACTCTTAAAAAGTAATTAGAACATCAAAGTATCACAGTATTGCAGCATTCCTTTATGTTTCCATTCAAACTTCCACAGGCCATGGAATTCATGCTCCGTTATATACACTGTGTTAGTGGCTGGCTGGAAGTGCACATTACTGGGGTTAGCAAACGGGCATTTGATCCTTGTTTTTGGTTCCCCTCCATCGGGACCGAAAACTTCTATGTGAGAGGAGCCCCAGTGCGCCACCAGTAGGTTACCTTCCTCATCAAAGTCCATCCCGTCTGGACCACCTTCAAGGTTACCTGAAGGACAAGATTTAGTTACAAAAGGTTACTGACGAACAGTTTTATAGTCACATGATAAACCATTACTAGTAATGAATATGTTAATCATGTGTGCTGTGACTTTCAGGTGACCACCTATATGGTTTCAGAAGATTATAATTACATATATTAACGCACATTCATAAACCATAAGAAATTTTCGGAAATGGATGTGTTGCCTCTTCCACGCGCCTGACGCCATGTCAATATTCAAATTTGGTTCAAAATCACTATTGAGCGAGTAATTGATATTTTTATCATGTGCAAAATTTATTTTATGAAAATGAAGCATTCTTCCAAGAGTTACTGCATGGAAACTAATCAAGCAGACAACCTCACTACCACTGGGGTCATCAACCATTACATGTACACAGTCATAAACCATTACTGGTCACAGTCATAAACCATTACTGGTACACGGTCATCAACCATTACATGTACACAGTCATCAACCATTACTGGTACACAGTCATCAACCATTACATGTACACAGTCATCAACCATTACTAGTACACAGTCATCAACCATTACTAGTACATTACTGGTACACAGTCATAAACCATTACTGGTACACAGTCATCAACCATTACTGGTACACAGTCATCAACCATTACTAGTACACGGTCATCAACCATTACTGGTACACAGTCATCAACCATTACTGGTACACAGTCATCAACCATTACTGGGACATGATCATTTGACTGTTAAAATTATGGTACAGTACATGTCGTTAAACCATTGGTACTATACAAGGTCATCAGACTTACCTGGCAGCTTTCCCCAGAGGGTTTTGTTTGACACTTTGCCTGGACCGTCTATAGTGTATCCCCAGAGAGACTTGGTAGGTGTTTCGGCAACAATGAGCAGCGCTGGTCGCCCATCTTCTGAGTGTTTAACTGCTATTCCATTAGGGAAGAGTATCCCAGTGTCAACCTTTATCACCTCCTCATCTACTGTCCGACAATACACGGACCCAAAAGGCTCCTATGGTATGTTAAATGTGTAGAAATCAAATTTCTATCATTGGTAATATTTCTATCTTTAAAACAAATTAAAAGATTTGCAGGACAGGTAATGCCTAATAAATAAAAGATAACATCAATAAGTTCATCTTTAACGTATGATAGCATTATTTTTATTTTGTTTGTACACAATATATGTACTATTTTAAGTTACAAGTACCTATATATATTTGTAAGTAATTACAAACTCAATTTATTTGAATAAAATTTAAACTTAATGCACAAAATTAATTTTGTAATAGCGCTGCCTCGATGAGGGGAAAGATTATGGATTATCTAATAGTTTCGACTTTATAAATGAGCTTAAAATTAAAGAATAAGAAATATATTTTCTCCGTACATATCAAAGATACATTTTGGATTAAAAAGAGGGTTTTTTCTCTCAAACATCGACAAGCATACTGAAGTAGTTACTTGTCATCTAATCTGAACTGGTTATTAATCAACCATTAGTTAATCAAAATTATCATCTGATCAAAACTAATGACTACATTTAGATGATCTATATGAGACCTACCTCCATAGATCTTTCGTATGGATTGGGAGCGATCTTCCCAGCTGGAGCAGTCACCCACAGGTTTCCAAAGTAGTCAAAAATGCAGTCATTGCATCCTTGCATAATGTTGTTGTCTTTGTCAGTTTTACACACCTTTGAAACAAGATTCACCATTTGGTTAGTTTTGCGTCAAATTTTCATTAAAAACAGAAATGAAATTCATAACAAGTGATTCTAGAAGCATCTTGGCACCCACCATGAAAGGATCTTTATCAGACCTACAACAGATGATCTTTAACCTTCTTTGCTCTTTATTTTCCTTACAGGTACAATAACCCAGTCCCAAATTGGAAATGCTGAACATTACATTACATCTTGTACATTAACTTAAACCTTGTAATGTCATACGTTATTTGCCACTATGACAAATGCTATTTTGTAAGAATTGCATAACTATATGCAAAATGCTTATAATTTGTAAATCTTACCTCATTAGAAGTGCTGTATTTTTTTAACAAGTGGAACAATGGAAGAAGAACTGCTTATACAATAGTGACAACAGAATTGAACTTTCAAAATCCAAGATGGCTGTCTGCATTGGTTGCATTAATTGTTTTCCTATCAGTTCTAAAAATCATTATGCATAATTATGGACATTGAGGAACCCTCATGTGAAATTTGAGAAAGATCTCTCTAAAACGTTCTGAGGAATAGTGCTAATAATCTGTAACTCACAAAATTTAAGATGGCCACCTGTCGACCATCTTGGCTATGCTATCAGTCTCAAAAATCAATATGCAAAATTAAGAACCACGGAGAACCTTCATATGAAATTTGAGAAAGATCTCTCCAGAACTTTCTGAGGAAAAGTGTTAACAATCTTTAACTCACAAAATTCAAGATGGCCACCTGTTGACCATCTTGGCTTTCCTAGCTATCAGTCTAAAAAATCAAAATCATAATTAAGAACCATGGGGAATCTTCATGTGAAATTTGAGAAAGATCCCTCCAGCACTTTCTGAGAAATAGCACTAACAAACTTTAACTCTCAAAATTCAAGATGGCCACCTGTCTGATCAGTCTCAAAATTTGATACACATATAACAAAAGACAATGGGGAACCTTTGTGTGAAATTTAAGAAAGATCCCTCTAGCACTTTCGGAGTACTTCCTCTTGACCTATAAACTACAAAGCCAGGGTTATCTACCTCAGGAGCTTCAATGTACATTGAGCAAATTTGATTGAACCCATCATGGCCAGATTTACACCAATGAGAGTTCAGTGTCCTCCAATGCAAATTTAAAGACTTGTTCACTATGTTTTAGAGTATTGGTGACATGCATACTGTCCTGGACAGGACACAGTATTACTAGAAAGCTAAATATTCAGCAAGAACACATATTCTTCTGGAGTAAATGATTTCATCTCTGCTTTCAGTTGGCTTTTGTAACATATTTTCAAATAACACACAAACTACTATCAACTTCTGGTTATAAATAACAAATAAATACCTAAAAATAGCAAAACATATGATTCTAACAAGATAGTGTGTCAATGTTACCGTTGCAGATCATGCTGGTCTACAATAAGCTCCTGCATAAAATCATATTCTTTTTTTCAGACCATCCATCCAAACTCCCCACTTTTTACAGACATAAGTGTCCACAGGGACAAGACATGCTTTAACCATTTTTCCCATGTGCATTTTTCGTTTCAGTCTCATATGGCGATGGGGTAAGCATCATGGTATCATGATAAACTCTGTAATTATGTGACACTGAGTGCACATTACCTGTTCGCACTGCCCGTCCCTGGTGACTTTGATGATTCCTAGTCTCATGTCTGCTATCCAAATGACATTGTTTTTGTCACATTGACAACCTGCTGGCACACCCCCATCTCCATCCATGCTTGGCTCACATAGAATCTCTGTCTACAAAATTAAATAACACAAATATCAAACATAAACCAAAACCGGAAATCCCCCCTCAGTCATTACTAGCAGTCCACAGGAGTATGTAAAGCTGAAAGGTACAAAGTTGCCATATTTTAAAATTCTGTGGTCACCATTTTTTGGAACTTTTATGCCACACCCTAAGAAACAACTGTACATATATCACAAAGAGGAGCAGACTGACATGGTGGTTTAAAAAAATAATCCTGAAGCAATTGACATGATGTCCCACAACACACTTCGTCAATAAACAAATTCATACAGGCCTAGGGTTGACTATTCCTTAAAAAAGTTCCAAATGACTTTTCTGACTAACAGTAATGTTTAAAACTAAGGTAGGAGTTGATGGAGAAGAGTCATGAGTCTTTCCAAGTTAAACAAAATATGTTTGATGATATTTTGGTTTCAACAACCAACGCTGTCCTATATCTACATCTAGGATGTTTACTGTTGGTCGCTAAGGCCAAATAAAAATAAAACTGTGTTTCCTGTTTCCCCACCGACCCTCTTTTTTCATACCGACCCTAATACATTTTATTGGTTTTTCACAATCACTGTTATGCATTTATTAGCCGTTTAATTGTTCAAAGTGTACATATAATTTGAAGATAGTTGCTGTAGATAATTGTGGTTATGATACAGGTTATTGGGATCTGTAGATTAGTGTGACCATCGATATCTGAGTCTGTATAAATAAAAAATTGTAGAAGGTACTCTGTGATGTCAGTGTGCGTTTGTGCCTCCATGCCAGCTAATGCTAAAATTAGTAAAATTGTAAATCCATGTCGAAGGCAATTTCATCTTTTTTTACCAAGTCTGACGACATGGTAGACTTTATTTAGTAACTTCATTGCTGAACACAACATGTCTTTTTCAACATCGGATGATTTCACAACAATCATGTTTCTAGATAGCAATATGACTTCACAATTTGCATGCACTCGTACAAAGTGTACTCAGATATTAAAGAAAGCCATTGCAAAGGACTTGGCTAATAAAGTCACAGAAAAATCTGTAGACCATCCTGTTTTTCAATAATCTGTGACAAAGTAATGATCGAGGGACAAACAAACGTTTTGTCATCCTGGCAAGACTTTTATACTATGTGTTTTCAGCAAAAAAAAACAATCCATGGAAAAATGTCACTAATGTGATTCACATCGGACAACTGAAGTGTCATGAAAGTTTCCAGGAACTCTGTCCTGTCACGTGTCATAGCTGCCCAGGCACATGTTCAGGATGTTGGCTGCATATGGCAATCTGTGTTGTGTCGCTGGGGTTGAAAGAGATACCATTATACCCATTGGTGATCTCATCATAGACATCTTCTATCATTTCCATCACAGGTGATAGTATTATTGTCAATATTTTCAGGTTGAGAAGGAGGGTAAGATCAAGAAGATATCACAACTCCTGCAAAATCCAGAGGTCAAAAAGTACTTCAATTTCTTGGAGTTAATCCTTGCATTTATTCCCTTAAATGAATTTAACACCACATTCCATATCTTTCAACTCCAGGCTCGATCTTCTAAGATTGGGGTCGTGCACAATCATATGGTGCGGCTTCATCAGAAATTAATGGCCAAATTTGTGAAGGCATCTGTCATATAACAACATGTGATTGCAGCTCTCCCAATTGTTGACAGAACCTCACAAATTGACGACAGCAAGCTGGCCATTGGACTTCCGACCAGAAAACTATCTTCATGAACAGGAGCTCGAGGACAGCATCAGCCCATCTCTGATGGACAGATTCTTCAGATGAAGTTAGAATTATGAATAACGTTATTTTCATTAATAACTAAACATGATTGTTGTGTTTTCTGTATTTAGATTAACTTTCAGCATAATTGGTATACTTTTTTTTATTGTAGAGCTGTGAGATATGCTTACATGTAGCTGTAATAAGAAAGATGATCACAAAGTTTCCTTTCAAAGACAGCACACTGAAAAGGGAGATTATTCTCAGATTGTTGCGAGTATGATTAAATAAATGTAAATACCAGGTAATTATAAAATAACCAGTGTTTAACATATATAAGCATATTTCATTTTTAACCCCAGTCTCCAACCTTGCAGTCAGATTTCTAAATGTTGTGCAGGAGGATGAGAGGGAGAAATAGGTTGAAGAGTTTCTCAACTACCAGTTGACACCTGCTGAAAAGTTGCGCAACTGTTGTGGGAGACACAGAAGATATATAGGATTGACCCTTTTCAGGGGATCTTGCACTAGCTAGTGAACCTTTTAAGAATGACCTTAGGCTTGGTGTGTTGTTTAGGCTTGTGAAAGCCTGTTCTACATGGATGACAAATTAAAATTAACTTCTACTTCTATCATTTTGCGGTAACCATCAATAAACTGATTATTCTGCCACTTTCGGATTCGCATGTAAGTTATTTAAAGAAAAAAAAGAGTGTATTGTGCTATACATTCTATATAAACAACGAGTATCCATTAATGGGGAATTGTCTGGTCTGGTGGATGTAACGAGGGGTGTGCCCCAGGGTAGTGTCCTTGGTCCAGTTCTTTTCCTAATCTATGTACCTGGTATAGTCGAACACAGTGTAGTAAAACTTTTTGCTGATGACTCAAAACTATTCAAAAACATTTCTAGGCAAACAGGGTCTGCAGAACTACAAACTGATATCAATAACATTGTCCAATGGACATCAGATTGGAAAATGAAATTGAACACCAAAAAATGTAAACATCTAAATATTGGTAACCTAAATCAAGATTCTACATACTACTTCCCCTCAGGTGAACAGATTGAGAAAGTTACTAAAGAAAAAGACCTAGGTGTTATAATTGACAACAAATTGAAATTTAACCACCATGTGAGTCAATCTATTAACAAAGCTAATCGCACACTAGGATTAATCTTTAGGACATTTACCTATATGGACAAAACTATGTTTCTTGCACTTTACAAGAGTCTCATTAGGCCCAACTTAGAATATGCCACCCAGGTCTGGTCCCCTTTTCTGAAAAAGGACCAAATAGCTTTAGAAAATGTGCAGCGTAGAGCTACCAAAAGAATTCAATCTATAAAACACTTTTCTTACAATTCAAGAATACGAAGACTAGGCTTACCTACACTGGAATACAGAAGAAAACTAAATGACCTAGTAGAAGTTTACAAAATAATAAACAACATCGACATTCTTGATAAAGATAAACTATTCACATTCACACAAACAACAACAAGGGGTAACAACAAAAAACTATTCAAAAAACAGAGCAGGACCAGGGTCACTCAAAATGTTTTTAGCAGAAGAGTGGTGGATTCTTGGAATTCCCTTCCCAATTCAGTAGTAGAAGCCCCTTCTCTTAACTGTTATAAATCTAGATTAAACATTTGTTGGAAAAATATACCGTCCAAGTTTTATCCTAGTTTTTATGCTACACAACCGGTTAACAGTATGTTACCAAACCAAGATGCGCCTATACTAGCAATTTAGCTAACAACGGTGTCGAAGAAGTGGTAAACAGGTAATATACAGTGTAGTTGAAACATCCTGGATAGTGGTCTAGTTTGTCTCACATAGGTGAGTCTTGAAACATTCAAGACTGCCAGCACTGGTGGTGGTATGTGGTAGGGCATTCCAGTCTCTAATTGTTCTTGGGTAGAATGCTTTTGGTCTACACGATGGTACTTGGAATCCGTTGATGTTGATGTTTCGAGACAGTCTGTCTGGTGGAGTGAGAATGTTAGTCTAGATATTCCAGCCGCTTTTTGTTGTTCTGCTGGTACCGGTCTCAGACTGTACATGCATACTTCAATATTGATCTTACTAGTGATTTGTATGCAGTTTCCTTTAATGTGATATTATTGATGTTTATGTTCCGTTTAAGGAATTGTATGTTTTTGAAACATCTAAATGTATGCTTTTTGTAGACTAGTCAATTGTTTTATGCAACTTTGCTTTAATTTAATTAAAATTAAAATCTGAGAAAATATAGCTCAATACAGCTATAATTTATAGGTGATTAAACTATACATGTCGTTATAGCTCAATCGGTATTGTGACCTGCAAACCATTGAAAACTACGGTTTCACCCCCTTACCTTTCCTGTCTTTAAATCAACTTTTAACACTTGGCCGGCATATTTCCCATCTTTTTCTACTTCTGGTGCAACCATGTAAAAGTTTTCGTCTCTGTCAAACACTGGTCCCTCAGCACCACGGATATTTTCAGCTATTTTTGTAAACTCTGGTTGGAAAATCGCCATGTCTGCCATTGTAGTTGCCAAAAATATGTTCGTCTGGTAGTCGTGAACATGATATGAGAGTTATTAACACAGTTTTAACTTGTTATATTTAGATTAAACTTATTAAATACATTTGATATATATTTAATATGCATGACCTAACTGTTTGCGTGAAATTATTAAATTTCAGAGTTACGACAACCGTACGGTGTAGGAAGTAAATTTTGATCATGGCGGCCGCTATGGTCCGCCACGGACGTCCGTTCAGAAATGTCCGATCTAGAAGTAAGTTCATAAACAATAAACTTTTTGTTTATGTTTTCATTTCGAACGAATATCAATTTATCTCACTGGTTACTTCTTTTATTTTTCAGTCCGCCACGAGAGCGGCGAGGAAGGTGTAAAGTTGGACCTTTCGAAAGGTGGGTTGACATGTCAATTTGAGGAAAACACTGTCGACGTCCTGGAAGCTAATTGACCTCTAGTATTCGCACAGACATTGTAATGTCACAGAGAAATCAGAGAAAGAGTTTGCGTGTTTGATAAATGGTTTTGTCTTTAAATTGTTAATTCTTGTTTATGCACACAGGAAAACAATTTAATGTAGATTATTTGCCGGTTTGCTAATCAAACATTACAAAAACCGCTTTAACGATAGCACACAATTTGACATGTTTCAGATTAAAAAGTCAATCGGAAATTGCACAAAGTGAAATCGTTCATGTTGTCCCAAATCGACAACACACTAGGTTAACCATCGGGCTTTAACATTTTAGTTTTTAGTTAGTCCGAAATAACTGTCTCCTTTGATTTTTAATGGGGTGGAGATAGTCAGAACGTTCTCCATTGGATCTCTTTGAAAAAGAACGAGCCCTGGGTTTGGTGAACACTTCAAATTGTGTTGCCTTGTTTACTGGAGAATGTTTACATACTTTCCATATGAAAGGTGATTTATTATCTCTGCAACTGTGCCTTTAAAAAATGATAATTTCAAACCTTTACTAAACAGATTTCTGCAGCAGAGGTAATTTCGTCAACAAAAACATGTTTTGTTTTAAAAAGCTAGTTAAGTGTTTCAACATACATGGACAATACATATTTTAAATTTATCTAAATTACATGAAAGTTAGAAACATAAGTTTTTCGTAAATTCATAATGAAATATACATTTCATTATACAGATATTAAGATACATAAGGGCCACGGTGGCCAAGTGGTTAAGGCGTCTGACATTCTTCTGCTACCACTAGCCTTCCACCACTGGGTCGCGGGTTCGGGGCCTACGTGGGGCAGTCGCCAGGTACTGGCCGTAGGTCGGTGGTTTTTCTCCGGGAACTCCGGCTTTCCTCCACCACCTAAACCTGGCACGTCCTTAAGGTGGCTCCACACGTCGTCATCAGGGTCCATTTTCGTGACGTACTTCCGGAAAAAGTACAGCTCGGACTCAATTATCTTGATCGAAATATGCAAGTACACGGTGTCGTCATTTCTGTATTGCGTATCAGGCATTCAATATCGTAGTGCAAATTATAGTAACCCCTGGGCCGTTTTCTTTTTAAACGGTCAAACCGATCGAACCACTGTTGTTCGTTTATTAAATAAGGTCGGACCTAGTTATCTGATGCTGCTTTCAGGCAAGCCTTGAGAAAGCCTTGCAAGGCCTGCATAAACATCTGCAGGTTCACCTGGATTTATACCCGAAAATTGTTACATTTATAAGCGGTCAAACCGGTTGTTCTGCATAAACGAACAGGCCCCTGGTAAACAATAGTACATGTGCGTGCCCGCTATCAAGATTTTACCAGGAAATGTATAATCACACATTTTCAGGAATAAAGCTTTCCAATTCATAGACATATCGGGAAGACAGTGACATGAGACCAGACGACCTCAAGAAGGTCATATAGGAAACACACAGAATGCGGACGTCCCGACCTCACATGTGCATATCACACGCTTACACGAGTTTATAAGCTTGAGGTCATTACGATTTTCGCTGTTGAGGGAGTTTCGCTCCGTCGATTAAATCGTGTTTACAAACGTAGTCTACTTACTCGGTGAAAATAATGTTTTGTAAAATATCAAGATACCTATGAAATTCATGTGTGAGTGCACGTGAGAACGGCATACCATGCGATAGCCTCTGGTCACATATGTACCTGACATGAAATTATAAATATTCTGTGAGTTAGCGGACTGCGGAATGATGTCCAAAGTGTACATGACTGAGGGTAATTTGGTTCCATTAAAAAAACAATAAATTGATAATTTTGATATCATATTTTTGATTTATTTCCATAATTTTTGTTATATGTAAACAGAGACAACTGTCATTGTGTAAATGTCATCCCTCTGCAAAAAGTTCCTATTTTTTTCAAGGAAGATAACTCTCACCCGGATCAATGTGATTGTAGAATGTAAAATAAATGAATTATAAAGCCATTGTGTATATTTTGTTCAATTTCCCATTCTATATGTATAGATCTTTGTGTCCTGTTTGCTTTTAGCTTGTAGATAATCACTTTTTTCCGTACAAATTCAATAAAAAACACTTTGTGTAACATGTGTTACATATTTTGCGATAAATAAAATATTTGTAGGGTTAATTAGAAATGCTTCTTTTCATTTTATTATTGTTGTTATTGCTCCGAACAATGCCACACACACAAAAACCCGGAAAATATTAAAATTGACAAAAATTCAATTTTTTTTTGTATTTTTCAAAAAAAGTCCCCAAACTATCGGAATGTTTAGATTTTCATAAAATCAACTCTGCATAGTTGCATAACCATTATATGAAAGTTTCAACGAATTTCGCTGGTTAATTGCGAAAGTGTGGAGCCACCTTAAATGACCATAGCTGTTAATAGGGCGTAAAACACAAACAAACCAAAATCAAGATACATTACATTTATTCAATTCATGTACTTAATAAATCAGATACGTTGTGTCCATGCCCAATACAGAATAACACACGATATACATCAAGTACGTATGTACCTACCTCAACAATGAGTCGAGGGTCTAAAGATGATACATATGAGGCAATTGTCAATACGACATACTGTAGATGCATTAACAAACAACCACTGTACCATGCGTCTTGATCTGTCCACTGTGAAGTGTCGACTGATTATAAATGACTTGCGCATCAAACTTACACAAAGACAATGAGCAGTATAGGTACATGTACATACACAGCGCATTGACAATACAGGATCAATGCTAGAACTAACAGCGCTATGCATATTTAAATATGAAATAACACACGTTGTACATTGCATATATTATTCCGGTTACAGTAAGACCAGTACAAGTGTCAAAAGAGATCGAGATTTTGGGTGCAAGCTGCAGCCAGTGACTGTAATGCCTGGTCTGATCGTCAGATAATGATTAATGATATATCGGTAGTTACTTATAATCATATTGATAAGGGACCTCTGTCTATGGAGATTGGAAGTTCCGTTTCACACTACTGATTATGGTGATATAAGATAAAAAAAAGATATCAAACAGTTCTGCCTTGGTAAGAAAATATATGTTAATAACTTGTTTTCTTGTTTGTATGAATATGTACTTTAATAATTGTTAGCTATAGGTCAAACAAAACATATTTCATGTTTCCGGTAACCCTACCTACCCTTACCCTAAACTTTTTAAGGCAATTTTCAAAGAAGCACTGTTAAAGTCAAGATCACTCTCCTATATAAACAATATAAAATTATTTGTTCAAATAAAATTTGTTGCCTACCTACCTACCCTAATTTACAGGAAACGCATATATTTTTTTGTCTGGCTTTATCTTATCTGTTTATTTAATTTAATCAAATATCAATTGAAAAAACAGCTTGTTTCATATCTGTTGAAAAAACATTTTTGTTAATGTTTCAAATATTTATTTCAGATCCTGGTGAAAATATTAAAGAAATACTGACTGTTGTAACAGTACAACTTCATGTACATAAGACTAAGAAGCTAGGCTATCTGAATGCTTTTGTTAAACTTCTGTACAAACTGGGAAAGCAGAAAAGCTTGGGATATTCAAAACAAGATATACTCTGCTGGTAAGGAAATATTTCATCAGTGTAAAATCATTTTTGAATGAAGTAGAAGAACAAGCTGAGTATATGTCAAACATTATGTGTAACATATAAAATTTCAATTGTGATAAAGATAAGCTTTAAAAGTTTTATAAAGAAAGTAATTTATTTAAGATTAAGCATAAGCTTACTAGGTAAAAAGGAAATTGATTTTTTTTCCTTTGAGCTCAACATTACATTAATTTTCTGTTTTCAGAATATATATGATTTTCTTTTTAAATGAAGTATTTAAATGTTTAATGTTTATTGTTAATACTTGGGTAACATGATACTGGGTTTGATTCAGCTTAAGGGTGAGTTTGTTCCACGAGGCCAAGGAGGTGAGAGCGGCGACACTGAGGGTGCTGAGGTACTTCATACAAGATGGCGAAACACTGGATCTCTTATACAAACTACACATTGATTACCTCATTGTCAGGTATGGCTCTACGCTACATCAAATCAACTTGACCACGAGTACTTAGCTCTAAATGTGCAAGTATTGATCTCCATAATATATATATGTATATATTAGGATTTCATAATCAAATGTATTTTCTTTAATTTCATTCTTAATACATATATATATATATATATATATATATTTTCAATTATAGTATATCAATTCTATCTTCTTGTAATATGATGTATATGTACATGTAACTGTTATGTTTCACTGTGTCTTGAAAAAGGAGCGGATCGCTCCGAAAATTTGACAACCTAAACTTGTCCACACTGTTGGAATTACTTCTTTGCCCCATATATATATGTCATGATATATTATTTAATATTATCAGGAAATATGAAGCTTTTTCATTTTTTTATTTAAACTTCTTTGAATGCTTATTTTTAACTATCCTGTAAACATTTTTATGTTTTATTTATTGTATTTTATTTGAAATTAACTGAACTCAAATTATTCTTAATGCCGTTTGAAATATTGTAACATTTGGTCATTTGGAACTGAAGACATGACATCGTAAGTCTAAAACACAGATCGTTAACTGAATGTGAAAATTATCTTTATGATTGATATATTATGTAACATTTTTTAGGACATTATGAAATAAATTAGTGTTTGAGAAGTGTAGTTTAAAGTAGTGTTGAGAAACAGAGATACAGTATGTAAAATATAGGGATATAATATAATCCAATGAGGATTACTCATACACGTTTTTTTGGCCCCTTGATTTCCAGGTTTCTCCTGTCAGATGAAATGTTGGTTCAAAACCTTGTGTATTATAGTGTGAACAGCTATTGATGACCTTTCACCCAAAGTGGTGGTTGACAATGATTGACAGGTTGAAGGTCAAGAAATACTGAAAAGATCTTTATAAAATTTCATGTCTCCTTCGTCTTTCATTGTGCCAGTTGTATTTTGATACTGATTGCAAGAAAAAGATGGCTGCCACACAGCAGTCCTTGGTGTAGACAATAAATGTTTGCTGTTGTTATTTTTGTCAAAATAATGTGTCCGTTTTATATACTACATGTACACATGAAGTAAAGTGTTTATAATGATTGACAGGTCGATTGACATGTGCCTGGACAATGAGGTGGAGAGGATCCACGCCATCAAGTTGGTACGGAGGATAGCACAGCTGGCTCCCCACAAACTCACCTGCTCCCTCATCTACCCACTTGTCGCCATTGGTAATGATGGGGCGAGTGAAAGAGACCGCATGGTTCGAGTTTGTCTGTCCACTATTTGTGAAATAGGTAAATATTTATTACCCAGTAACTTTTTTGTTTCTTTTATGTTGGTTTCTGTCATATATAAACCAGATTAATAATTCATTAAAAATAGATACATTATTGTATTTGGGGAAGAAAAAAACCATGTTCTCATTTTTTTTTGATGAGTTGAATTTAGAATATAGAAAATTATTTGAGTCACAAGTACCATTAAATATTTCATAACAGGTGGAATCCTAGCCAAAACAAGGATGATTTATAGACTGAGTTCTTCATCAATATCATTGAAGGACAGAGATAAAATATTACTGATTTAGATTTGTTACTTAAAATATGTACAGAGAATCTAATCCACTTGTTTAATTTTGGAGGAAAGTCAAACTCAACACTTGTAAGTTAAAGACTTGGTTCAGTAGCTGTATTTTCGTTTTTTTCAAATGTTTGTGCATATGTTCGTAAATCAATAATTTTGTTTTGTATGTTGGTTTTGTAGCATTCCTGAACCCAGAACTGGTTGCCAAATGTGGTGGTGTTGGGAGTATCCTGAGGGCGGCTCTCGACTGTCACCAATACCCAAGGATCAACGAAAGTCTTGTCTGCACAATACTGCACCTTCTCAACCATCCACGCACACGGCACCTCATCAAGTTCAATACCGATTTAGAGGTAAGTTGATGTAGAGGCGGCGATGGTTAAACTAGATAAATGATGCTTCTAAAACTGTTAAAGGAAGATCTATTACTAACTTGTAGTATGTTTTGATCACCTACGTTTGCCAAGTAGAATTTATGCAAAAACTACTACTAAAATAGATTTAAATTATACAACCCTGTATTACACTTTCAGCAATTGTTAGCACCATTCACAGACTGCCATTACCGGTACAGTGGAGCGGAGACCTCGGATCACTCCGGGTAAGATCAGATCGTTTATACACAGTAACAGCATCACCTACTCCGGGTAAGATCAGATTGTTTATACACAGTAACAGCATCACCTACTCCGGGTAAGATCAGATCATTTATACACAGTAACAGCATCACCTACTCCGGGTAAGATCAGATCGTTTATACACAGTAACAGCATCACCTACTCCAGGTAAGATCAGATCGTTTATACACAGTAACAGCATCACCTAACGTATGTATGCTATGAAATTCAATCCAATCCTTATTTCAGTGTTTCATCTGTTAAGTTTTCCTACTCCTATACTTACACTGATACACAAGCCAATGGTAGGGACATTTAAAAATGATTTCGCTCTGAAGGTATTTATTAAATAATGTTGGTGGTTTCGATAATTAGACTTTTTAATAATAGTTTTAAACACAAAAGTGTTTATAGCTGATGAATACATGTTAGTTTGTCCTTGTTTTTGCAGAGAGGATAAAGAAAACCGATTTTCTGCCAGCAAGATGGCTATAGTGTCCATTATGAGATCTTGGCCAGGCAAGTAATCAGTGTTTTTAAGAAAATTTGATTTACATGATGATCACACATGTATTGATAAATCTGCATATGATGAATCTCATATCCTATACTATCTAAATATAATTTAATTGGACTCAGAATTTCTGGACACATTGAAAGACCCAAAGTTTCTTAGTAATAAAATGGGAAGCTACCCATACAGATGAAGTACTTCTTCAGCCAATAGTAAATTTAATACAACACATTTATAGCGAACAATTTGCACCAAAATAGTGATGGAATAAAGAAAGAAAATTGTTGAAAAATTGTCATTATTTAACCACATGCATGTTTGGTTTACATTAGTGGTTCAATGGATTGTATGTTGAAATGTTTATTAGGGCTTTGGTAGAGGAGTTGTATAGTTTATTTTTCAACAAAAATTTCCTATTTGTAGGCATAATAAGATTTTGTCGACCAGATGGAAGTGGCCTTCAGTCCTTAGTAGGAATATTATACCTGCCGTATTATGAGATTAGGGTAAGTCACTGTCATTTTAGTTCTCTAATTCTTTTTAATTTTATTGAAAACAACAAAGTTTAGAAACTATAAAAACAAAGATAAAAATTGAGATACAGACATGCTTTAATGAGGGTGGTAGATTTAGAGGCTAATCCAAATTAAATTAATGTATTTAAAAAAAAATTGGTGTTGAAGGTGGGATATAGGAGGGCACTTTTTTGTGACCCCATATATCCCATGGATTATTTGCCCCCTGTCCTCACTATGTTTGTTACAATCACTTTGCATCCCATCACCAATATATTATTAATACAAGTGCCTCCCTCCCATCTCTTTCTCCTCCCACCTCTATCTGGATGGCCCTAACCTAGTTCTCAAAACCATCTTTTGAATATTTCAATTGGTATTTTTATGATCTATAAAATGTGTGATACAATTGCCACAGTTATGCAGTGTGAAATTGAACATCTCCTATCTATATTGCTTATTGCATACAAATATATATTGCCACTATTATTTACAATTGTGTGAACGGTCTATTTACTTTGTCATTTCAGCAAGGAATTGTTGAAATTCTTTATGATTTATTCCGTCTTCAAATACCGGAGTGGACAGACAACTTCTCCACTGCCTTGCTCAGTGTTGGTAAGTAGTCTATAGAATTACACACTAAGAATGAATTCTGATTTGTAAAGCGCTCATAATTACAAATATGTGTTGCTGATGGACTCCACAATTTGTATTTTACTGTTAACAGCAAGGACAACAGCCTTACATTTTATGATACCCATTTCTGATTAAATTTGATCAAAGCTTAAGGGGTGACATACTGAAGAATTGCTGAGTGAGAAGAAGAAAGAATAATTGTAATTCATTTAAAGATGTTGATTATTTTTTTCTGACAAAAAGTTATTTCTTTTGTACAGTAAAGAAATTTTAATCAAAAAGATTTCCCCCCCAAAAAATAGGGTAGAATCAAGTAAATATGTGTCAGGATCAGACAGGAATAGGACCGAATTTCATATTAAGGGAAATGCTAGTTAAACAGCTGATCATTTTCTTTATTGGAAGCCGCGGTTAAAAAGATAACATTAAATGGCTTTTGATTACAGATCCTTCCATGATGCGAGACAGCTGGCGACTGACAGATGGATTCATATGTGAGGAGGGACGATCAGTATTACCACACATGGCCAAAATAAGGTCAGTGTTAAATATGTCTATAAATGATACATACATATATTAAACATACATTACAAAGGTTACACATTTTATACTCAAGTTGTTTTAAGTCAATTTTTTTCTATCTTTGTATATGTAATATTCATTTGTAGTACTTTTCAGTACAAAAAAATGTGTTGAACTTTTTGTATTTAATTGTGTTACAGACCTTATCTTGTTTTAACCTTAATTTCATGCTCAAATTATTTTTAGGCAGTGCTTTCTATCTATGTACATGTATAATATATATAAAAAGTACAGCTATTTAGGAACAAACAAAAATAATGATTTTTTTGTAATTAATTGTGTTTCAGACCTAACCTTGTAGAAAATCATTTAGCCCTCCTGTTGTCTGCATGGATTGGTGCTGGCATCTTAGATGTAAGTAACACTGTACAACCTAACCTCATATGAGACAAGGCATCAGGAACAAGGCATCAGAATGCATACAGCCTAACCTGAAATAAAACAATCAGGAACAGTTAACTACCTTACTATTCCTTGGATTTGATTGATTTGAAAAAGTGATATCACTGACACCATTAGACTGCTAGATCTCTTTGGAAAAAATTGTTGATCAACATGCTTAATTTTTTATTTTTTTTTCTGGATATTTTATTTTATTTTATTTGACTTTCATTTTATCAAACAATCTTCATAATTCTTCTTTTACAAAAAGTTCTGGTAAAATCTATAATAGATTTATAACTATTCACTATGTATCAATACTATTTTGTGATGAGATCCTTGCCTTTTAGGCTCTGGTGGAGGTAGTTATCAGCAGTGAAGATCAGCTGTTTGTACGGACCACCATTCTGCTCGGCCAACTGATGCACATGGTAAGTCCCCTTGTAGAAAATGTTACTTATCATATTCTATGTCAATTGGTTATCCTGGATGAAAAATAACCTGGTTTTTCTCTTTGCCTGAAAAAGTATGATTTGGGGATCCATGTTCCACTGCCAAAAACTGCAGCTATGCATTGGCAATTTATTTTCCCAGCAAGATTACAATTCATTTCAGACAAGAAAACTGTATGAACTGTATATAAACTGTTTGCGGAACTTATATGAAATAGAAAAAAATCAATGTGTTCTGAGTGCAAAAAAGCAATTAAGCCAGACAAATTTGATTCCTGGATCCTTCGATCGTTACACTTTTGCTCTAACCAAGTGAGCTACATTGTCAACAGTAGAATCAAGGTCCAATTGCAAAACAGTTATATACAAACTAAAAATAAAGAGGAATTACTGTATATACAAAAAGCTTCAGTGGATTCCTCTAGTGTTTTGCCTGCAGGGGGACAAGGACCCTTAATTCTTTAACCTGTAGTTGGACAAGGACCCTTAATTCTTTAGTCTGTAGTGGGACAAGGACCCGTAATTCGTTCGCCTGTATCGGGACAAGGACCCATAATTCTTTAGCCTGTAGTGGGACAAGGACCCTTAATTCTTTAGTCTGTAGTGGGACAAGAACCCTTAATTCTTTAGTCTGTAGTGGGACAAGGACCCATAATTCATTCGCTTGTATTGGGACAAGGACCCATAATTCTTTAGCCTGTAGTTGGACAAGGACCCTTAATTCTTTAGTCTGTAGTGGGACAAGGACCCATAATTCGTTCGCCTGTATCGGGACAAGGACCCTTAATTCTTTAGCCTGTAATGGGACAAGGACCCTTAATTCTTTAGTCTGTAGTGGGACAAGGACCAATAATTCGTTCGCCTGTATCGGGACAAGGACCCTTAATTCTTTAGCCTGTATCGGGACAAGGACCCATAATTCTTTAGCCTGTAGTGGGACAAGGACCCTTAATTCTTTCGCCTGTAGTGGGACAAGGACCCATAATTCGTTCGCCTGTATCGGGACAAGGACCCATAATTCTTTAGCCTGTATCGGGACAAGGACCCATAATTCTTTAGCCTGTAGTGTGACAAGGACCCTTAATTCTTTCGCCTGTAGTGGGACAAGGACCCTTAATTCTTTAGTCTGTAGTGGGACAAGGACCCTTAATTCTTTTGCCTGTAGTGGGACAAGGACCCATAATTCTTTCACCTGTAGTGGGACAAAGACCCTTAATTCTTTAGTCTGTAGTGGGACAAGGACCCATAATTCGTTCGCCTGTATCGGGACAAGGACCCATAAATCTTTCACCTGTAGTGTGACAAGGACCCTTAATTCTTTTGCCTGTAGTGGGACAAGGACCCTTAATTCTTTAGCCTGTAGTGGGACAAAGACCCTTAATTCTTTAGTCTGTAGTGGGACAAAGATCCTTAATTCTTTAGTCTGTAGTGGGACAAAGATCCATAATTCTTTCGCCTGTAGTGGGACAAGGACCCTTAATTCTTAGGCTGTAGTGGGACAAGGACCCATAATTCTTTAGTCTGTAGTAGGACAAGGACCCATAATACCTTAGTCTGTAGTAGGTCAAGGATCCATAATTCTTTCGCCTGTAGTGGGACAAGGACCCTTAATTCTTTAGTCTGTAGTGGGACAAGGACCCGTAATTCTTTAGTCTGTAGTAGGACAAGGACCCTTAATTCTTTAGTCTGTAGTGGGACAAGGACCCATAATTCTTTCGCCTGTAGTGGGACAATTGCAAGGACCCATAATTCTTTAGTCTGTAGTAGGACAAGGACCCATAATTCCTTAGTCTGTAGTAGGACAAGGATCCATAATTCTTTCGCCTGTAGTGGGTCAAGGACCCTTAATTCTTTAGCCTGTAGTGGGACAAGGACCCATAATTCTTTCGCCTGTAGTGGTACAAGGACCCTTAATTCTTTAGTCTGTAGTGGGACAAGGACCCATAATTCTTTAGTCTGTAGTGGGATAAGGACCCTTAATTCTTTAGTCTGTAGTGGGACAAGGACCCATAATTCTTTCGCCTGTAGTGGGACAAGGACCCATAATTCTTTAGTCTGTAGTGGGACAAGGACCCTTAATTCGTTCGTCTGTAGTGGGACAAGGACCCATAATTCTTTCGCCTGTAGTGGGACAAGGACCCATAATTCGTTCGCCTGTAGTGGGACAAGGACCCTTAATTCTTTAGTCTGTAGTGGGACAAGGACCCTTAATTCTTTAGTTTGTAGTGGGACAAGGACCCATAATTTGTTCGCCTGTAGTGGGACAAGGACCCAAAATTCTTTGGTCTGTAGTGGGACAAGGACCCTTAATTTGTTCGCCTGTAGTGGGACAAGGACCCATAATTCTTTCGCCTGTAGTGGGACAAGGACCCATAATTCGTTTGCCTGTAGTGGGACAAGGACCCTTAATTCTATAGTCTGTAGTGGGACAAGGATCCTTAATTCTTTAGCCTTTAGTGGGACAAGGATCCTTAATTCTTTAGCCTGTAGTGGGACAAAGATCCTTAATTCTTTAGCCTGTAGTGGGACAAAGACCCTTAATTCTTTAGTCTGTAGTGGGACAAAGATCCTTAATTCTTTAGTCTGTAGTGGGACAAGGACCCATAATTCTTTAGCCTGTAGCGGGACAAGGATTCTTAATGCTTTACTGTGCAGTATGACACGCCCGTCTATTTATTAGCCCTAAAGACCTCTTCTGTGTTGATGGTCTGTTTAGAGCTCAATAATTGATTAAGCTGTTGGACCATATAAAACAAAACACATGTAAGTATTGAATGTTTGGTTGCTGTACATTGTGTGTGAGTTAATTCTGTGATTTTGCGACAGGCCAGCACCCTGTTACCTAACGAGTGTAGCCACCACAGCCACTGTCTTCCTACTCTCATGGCCATGGCCTCTGCTGCAAACATTCCTCAGCAGCAACAGCAGTAAGTCTCACACCCTCTCTATAGATGTGATGGAAAAATAGGTTTCATGTAGACCAGTACTTAATTAGTTTTCCTTACACAATGATTTGATTGAATAGTGTATGCTACATATTTGGATACTGTGCAAATAATCAAAAGGAATTCTGCTACAGGCATGATGCCTATATAAGCCCTTCCTTAGAGGTGAACTATTTTGTCTGCCGGATAACTGAACTACTCAGTAGTGAAGCGGACATAAAAACACACAAAAAAAGAAGCAAACAAACAGCTGCAGTTGTACTATATTAATCAGTATCTTAAGTATGTCACTACGTCTAAGACAAGGGTATCCAAAAGTCATTGGTTCAGAGACTGAGTAATATCACTTAGATAATGTCTTGATTAATAACGAGAGTTTTTTCCTATATGCCTGTTGAAAAGATTGTGTCTAGCAGAGTCGGCTGATCTGACGGACTGACAAAAGCACTGTTATTCATAACATTTCCTTCTCTTAGCCAAAGATGCATTTTCACCCTACCTAACTGTATGTATTTGTTTTCCCCACAGTCGAGCATGTAATGCTGTGTCTTACCTTGACCGGTTACATTCCATGAAGAAACGAGGTATAGTGCCATGTAGTTTGTACCTGGACCATCTCATAAAGAACATGGGGGGCCGGAAATCACCGTTCTCCAAACACTTCCACCAAAACAAGAATAGGCTCAACTCCTACTATATCAACAAGGTAACAAAGTGTTAATTAAGAGCACTCTTATCCTAATAACATTCCAATCAAATGAAACCTTAATTGTTACCATGGACTCAAGACCAAAAGCAATTAATAAAGCCTCCTCCCAACTTTGGGGGGGGGGCTTATTTGTGGTAAAATACGGTATGCAAATCTCCTTAATGGATCATCTTTTTTTCATCTTTTTATTGTGACTTGAAATATTTTGATTAGATTGGAACTAGTATGCTCAGATTCCATGTTTGATGAGATTTTGTTTATAATGACTGGCAATAAGCTTGTTGATCGTAAAGTTTTTTTGTAATGACGTGGTGTAAGCTTGTTGATCGTAGAATTTGTTTATAATGACGTTGAATAAGCCTGTTGATCGTAAAGTTTTTTTGTAATGACGTGGAGAAAGCTTGTTGATCGTAGAATTTGTTTATAATGACGGGCAATAAGCTTGTTGATCGTAAAGTTTGTTTATAATGACGTGGAATAAGCCTGTTGATCGTAAAGTTTGTTTGTAATGACGTGGAGTAAGCTTGTTGATCGTAAAGTTTGTTTATAATGACGTGGAGTAAGCCTGTTGTTCGTAAAGTTTGTTTATAATGACGTGGAGTAAGCCTGTTGATCGTAAAGTTTGTTTATAATGACGTGTAGTAAGCTTGTTGATCGTAAAGTTTGTTTTGTTTCGTGCCCAGCTGTCGTCAGAAGACATGGTGATGCAGACTATAAAGGACTCACAGGTTCTGTATACCAAAGACAACTTTACTTGGGACTGGGACCTGATAGCCTCGATCCTTAAGGTAAGAGTAAGGCTGATACTCAACATGTGATTGTGTCCTGACAGTCTTAATCCTCAGGGTAAGAGTAAGGCTGATATTCAACCTGTGATTGAGTCCTGATAGTCTTAATCCTTGCGTTATGAGTAAGGCTGATATTCAACCTGTGATTGAGTCCTGATAGTCTTAATCCTTGCGTTATGAGTAAGGCTGATACTCAACCTGGGTCTTTGTCCATCAGCTGTATGCAGAAAATATTAAAGATATTTAGGGAGATGTTATGCAATTGATTGATCCTGCGATAAGTGTATAGTTTGGTGAATTAAATAAATGCTGATTGGGAACAATGAATCGACTTATAATGCTTTGCCATGTGTGATAATGAGTCTCAAAAGTTTTTATTTTTGTAACTGGCTGTATGTCTACCAAGTCCACATAGATTTTCATCCATTTGGAAAGTGACTCAAATAGTAACTGACAAACCAAGCGATGCATTTTTTATTTAATTTTCTGTTTCAGTGGCCACTTGATAAACAGAAGAAGCTGGATGAACAGATGCTATCCCGGTAAGTGGTCACCAGTAGTATAACTTGCTAAATTAGCAATAAGTCATTTGTAAAACCTAATCCAGTTGTATTTTCATTTTCACATATCCAATTTATCTTGTTGAATGACCTAATAAGGTAGGTTTTCTCTGACTGTTGTTTTGTTTATTGTTGTATGGCCCACCCACAATTTAAGTAATTAAAGGCCATTCTAGATCTCTGACAATTGAAAACAGCACTAGATTGTTATTACACACCTGTACCTATCATAGGTACACCTGTCTCTAACATGATTAAAGTATATCAACCAAACCATAGAATTATTTCATTTAAACAATTCGTTTTCTTTTTAGAAAATGTAAGTTACATTATAGTACTTGTAATCTGATTACTGTTCCTTTTACAGGTTTATGAAGCGATTGATATACTTTTTCAAGCCCACCAACCATTTGTTTTCTCGTCTGGAAGTTGGACACAAGTTGGCTACTAAGATTGCTCATGCAGGTTGTCTACTGATGGAGTTTTTAATGGAGTGTGGGCAGGTAGGCATGATCAACGATGTAACATCGCTGTGATTCACTTTACACAATGAATTTTATTTCAAAAGTTATCAGAAGCCCTAACAAGCTTTTATCTTAAGCTGTAATAATTTATCATCTTAAGCTTTAACAAGTTATCATATTAAGCTCTAACAAGTTATCATTTTAAGATCTAGCAAGTTTCCATCATCTTAAGCTCAAACAATTCAAAGTTATCATCTTAATCTCTAACAAGTTATCATCTGAAGCTCTTACAAGTTATCATCTTAAACTCTAACAAGTTAGCATATTAAGCTTAGCAAGTTATCATCTTAAGCTCTTACAAGTTATCATCTTAAGCTCTTACAAGTTATCATCTTAGACTCTATGGAGTAGTCATATTCAACTCTAGCAAGTTATCATCTTAAGCTTTATCAAACAAATTATCGTTAAAAATTATCTTCAACTTAATTACTAACAAGTTGTCCTCTGAAAATCAGTAAAAAAGTATCAGAAACTTTTTACAAATTATCATCTGAAGATTTTACAAGATATCATGGTATTAGCTTCAACTCTAATGAGTAGTTATCATCTTGAACTCTAACATGGTACCATGAGCTCTAACTAGTATCTACATTTCACTGTAACTGTGATATAATGTATTGTGCTTTATTTATTTTAAATGTTTTAAATATCCTTTATCCACATTTGATAATATTTGTGAATCTTAATATTGAAATATATGCATTGTTTAAGTAACTGTCCAATGTCTGGATAACAGTGAAGTATTGATCCCAAAGACTCTGAAAAACAAGGGTCACATTTGTGTATTCTGGGTGAAACGTTTCAGGTAGTGCAGAAATATTCCAGGATTAACGAACACGCTTGGACAGAACTGTATGCAGAGCTAAAAAATGCACAGTTTCGGAGAATAAATAACAATATAATGAAAATAATATGTCCTTCTCTCACGCATCTACTAAATTATATAATGTATCTTAAAATCAAAATGTGGGTTGGCCTTGTTTTAAAATGAAATAAGGCAAGCCAGCAATAGTCAGCATTTTAGTTTTGGTCTGGCGCATCTGGCCCTGTCAATCTACACCTGCCGAATATTCCGGAGGTCAGCTTCGGTTCAGATCTGAGCCGGTCGTTTTCTTCCAGATACGCAAAAGGGGTTAAGATTGTATCTTCCTGTTGCTATAGAGATATGTGTTACTGTGTTGTAGGAGGATGTTAAGAAACACTTTGTAGACTTGATCAATGACATAGGGCAGTGTTTGTCAGAGGTGAGTTCCAGATAGTTATTTTATCAATCTAACGTTTTATCAACTTTTCAAATTGAACATTATAATCTACAAGCTAATGTAACTGAATATTACAATACCGTACATGAATCTTACAAACAGTCATCTATGCATTACGGAATTTTGTAGTCTGTACATTCTAGTGTTATTAAATATTATGATCTACATACAGTATACTGTAAATAGTCATTTAGAAAATGGAAATAGTTTACAAATGTAATAATTCAGAAATACCAATGACATACTACTCAAAGTAAAACAGACATTTTACATGTATGTATCTGTTTTCTTCTCTCTCACCTAGGTTGGGAGCCAGCACCTTGCTGCAGAGGCTGTTCTCAGTCCTAGTAATACCATCAACACATGTAGCCAATTTTACTTCCTGTTCCTAGGAAAGATCTCGGTCACCGCCAAAGGTGACAAACTCCTGGAGAAATGTGGCATCTATCAATAGTAAGTTTTGCACAGAATATTGGTGCGACATCTAGTAGTAGTAGTAACTATTGGGTCATTTTTCAGTCCAGGATCAGAGGAATTCGGCATTCAACAATTGTGAGCTTCGAGTTAGGTGTGAAGAGGATGTGTACATGTTAGGTGATTTAGTAATTAAGTGTAGGGCTAATGATTTTTTTTATCTGTTCTGATTTTAAAACTATCGACCTGTAGGTACTTTGTTGTGTGATCTGAGAGTTTTGTGGTTCTTCTTCAGTTTGTTGGACATTGTGAGTGTGGCACCCCAAGACAGCTTTGTGAAGCTGACGGTATCTTGTCTAAGCTACAGTCAGGAGGGCAACTGTAGGGCGATACTGACCAAGGCTCTCTGCGCTTCTACAGAGGTAAGTGTCTATGTAGATCATAAATCAGCATATGGTTTGATAAGTTCTTACAATATATCATATGAAGAAGCAGTATGCTGTGTAGTGGGAATGTCTTGCCTTTTTTGCCCTCTGGAGTTAGGACAGATTCATCACTACAGTGAATATTAGTCAACAACATAATTTACATAGTATTTAAATGAAAATGGTGTAATCAACACCAGGGGATTTGGATTTCAAAGGTGAAGGGCGAAAGTTTAAAAATAAATAAAAATCCAGTATACAGTATTAATTATATTGAGTGAAGATTTTATATATCAGGTACGCAGCTGCCTATAGGCTAGTCTGCAGATGAATCTACAACGTTTTCAAACAGGAAAATACTGCTTCTTCCAGTCAGATAATCACTAATCACCCTTCAACAGTAAAATCCATATTCATTCAGTGTGAATATCATCCTTCACATGGAAATAATGCTACCATGATGAATTCGCCCTCATTGCATAGGATGAAAAAGTCAAAATGTTATTTGCGGCGCACAAGTTCACAGTATCCTCTTATTATTTCTTATACTTCAATATTTGTTCACAGAATTTTGATAAAAACATTTTTTATCAAAATTTGTGAAAAATATGCTGCTTTGCATGGTTTTTAGTAAGAACAGGCAGCAGGCCAAAATGACTGGTTCAGTTCCGATTTTGACTTATTCAAATCACCTTTATCATTTATCTCATATGTAATTTTACAAATGTTGGTTAGTAAAAATTGTCATTCGGTCTGTTCAAATAGAGGTTATTGCCTGCTTTTGTATTAATCTTGTGTTTAAATATCTGGTTAATTGGTCACTTGATATCATTTGTGGGTTTCGGCCACGTTGTGGAATAGCTTACCATCTGCTATTAGAAAGTCAAATACCCTGGCCAAGTTCAAGAGGGACATCAAAACTCACCTCTTCATGTCTGCATTTTAGAATCCTTGCAAAGGAGTCATGTAAATACCACCCTTTATTTGTTCAATTATGTGCACATTGCTTGCTTAAATGTATAAAGGTGATTGTTAGCCTTTGTTTTTTGTTTCACAATTATAACTATTACTATTATCCATATGTTGTAAAGGCGCTTTAGAGTAATTTTACAAATTATATAGGGCGCTATAGAAATGATGTATATTATTATTTAATAGGTTAATTTCTATGTCACGGTCAGAAGATTGAGACCTGACTTTTATACGATTGTACCATTGATTTTATTACAGAGTGCTCGTATGTACTGTACAAAGTTCCTGCGGGTGTTACTGCGCGTGAGGGTTCCTGGCTTCAGTACATGGGGAATGGAACTCCTGACCACACAGTTATATGACCAGAGTCGAAACATCTCTCTTGCTGCTCTCGGGGTCATGGAGGAGGCCTGTGAGATTGATGTAAGTGTTACGGATCTGGACTGGATAATTTCCTGTCTAGTGAAATATTGATGAAATACACAAATATTTGTCATCTTTTATGATAAAGGCATAAATTTATCATAAATCTGGAATAACGAAGAAATCTGAAATAACGAAGAAATACACTTTCAGAAAATCAAAAGTAAACTGGAAACACCACGTCTGTATCATAAACTTATTATTCTGACACTTTAATTGTATAAATGTTGAAGTTGGTATATTATGTAAACATTGTCTAGTGGAGAAAAGTTTTATTTATCTAAGTAAAGTCAACTAGTGAACTAGTCGAGCCGACTTTGTTCATATTTTTAGGGATTGATATTACAGGGATGAACAGAAAACATTTTAATAAAGTTTTGGGATTCACGGTAGCAGGCATGGCCTCTGATTTCACGGTAGCAGGCATGGCCTCTGATTTCATGGTATCAGGCATGGCATCTGATTTCACGGTAGCAGGCATGGCCTCTGTTTTAACGGTAGCAGGCATGGCCTCTGATTTCACGGTAGCAGGCATGGCCTCTGATTTCACGCTGGCAGGCATGGCCTCTGATTTCCAGTAACAGGCATGGCCTCTGATTTCATGGTAGCAGGCATGACCTTACTCCAACAATGTTAGAGGTTTTACACGGCGAAAAACTTTTGACAGGCGCCGCGTAACCTCTAACTGCCCATAGCTGATTTTCCCAATGCTGACAATCACATTTTCAAAGTTCGGATTAAGAAAGAGTATATCGTGTTTACATACATTTAAATGGTCAAAAGGGTCCAATAAATATTCCTTTCCATAAATCCATGATTATATGAGAAAAATTTCATGTCAAAGACATAAATAATGAGTTTTTCCTCATTCGAAGCGAAGCAGACAGCATTTGCCATGATTTTTCCGGTTAATACAAAAATGGATTACATGTAATGTTTCACAAGCGGAATACAAACAAACTCCGTATCATTTCGTTCCGTTTGAAATCCCCCTGATATTTTGTATTAATCCAGAAGCCATGTTTTAAATGTAGGTCAGAGATGTGCTACAACGACATGGACATGTATTTTGAGTGTTCTATTCCGTAATATACTATACATTTGTGTCTGTGACATATATATGAGATCTATATTATATAAACCGTGAGTAGACATCGTTGTCATGAACTGTTAACCACTTATGTGAGTTTTTCAAGCCGATTTTGTTCCGCCCGGATTTCGGGCAGAAACTGCATCAAAGAATTAGTGCTTCGGAAATGAGAGGTCGCAGTCGGCAAAATCATATACGATTGAAAAAAGGCCGACCAGATGCCTCTCATGTTATGGGAGTAGCATGACCTCTGATTTCACGGTAGCAGGCATGGCCTCTGATTTCACGGTAGCAGGCATGGCCTCTGATTTCACGATAGCAGGCATGGCCTCTGATTTCACTGTAGCAGGCATGGCCTCTGATTTCACGGTAGCAGGCATGGCCTCTGATTTCACGGTAGCAGGCATGGCCTCTGATTTGTTACAGTTATGTCCCAATTAAGTTGAGATCTATTGGGAGGATTTTAAGGCATCTTCTGTAAGGCATCATTCGTGACTACAGGGATAGTTTGGGGTACATGTGTAAGAGTCTCTATAACAGTTAGTACTTGTTGTGTTTGTGTAACTCCAACAGCATCTGCAATGACCCTGTCCCTTGCTGTTTCTGAAACTTCAGATTTCTGAATGTCCTTATTTTAATCACTTTGCAAATACTGTATTTGTTTGAGGCAGTATAACTTTCATAGAGGAATCTGGAGAGCTTGATACATCCGAAAAAATGCTCTGATAGTGAAAGAAGAAAAGCTATGTAATATACAATGTTGTTTAATATCAACACAGCAGTCATAAGACAACCAAAATAACACGCTCTGACATTGTTTTTCAGACATGCCTGAATTCGTTAATCAAGTTGCGACCCTCGTGTCTACATCTGGGAGAGAAGGGTCGCTTAGTCACCTGTAGGTTCATGTCAACATCACGCGGATTCCGTAATCTGATGGATGCCAACTATGTATCTAATGAACTGGAGATTTGGGAAAAGGTAAGATATTCTCCGATAAGGATTACAGGATAAACTTAACGTGATATCATACTCCACCGATAATTCACATGTGTACCAGAGGTATATATAAACAACTATATCATCAATGTGGTTGTTTATAAAGCTTATTCCTACTGTGCTAATAATTTCCATTATTATGTCTGGTAATTTATATTACTAAGTCAAAGAAAATGGTTTATTATTAAGTTTACTTTATATCTGCATTGAAGATTATGGATTTTTTTTTAATTAGGTTTAATTTGTAGGTATTGTAGCTTGCTAAAATATTCTACCATTTATTCTGCAGACGTTTAACATCAAGTATGTGAGCATTGTAGACGAACTGTTAAATGAAGCTCTCACAACCTATGAAAAGACGTATGAAGGATCCTTTTCACGGAGGTCAAGTAGAAAGTAAGTTTTGCTGGTTTTAAATACTACACAATGTATTGAATCAGATTCATCAGTTTGGAAATAGGTAATATCAAAATTTTAATTTGCACAAATAATGTACATGCTCTTCTGATAAATTGAACATTAATGAATATGCAATAAAATCCTGTTAGAAAAGTCAAATCTCCTACTTCTTTGAGAGAAGAAAAATTGTGGTCGCAACTGTTAAAGTTTTTGAAGTCTGAGATAAAAAAAAAAATGTAAAATTTCCCTTGTACAGTGTTGATAAACTATTTTCAATAACATTGAACTATTTTGCAGACGTCCCAGCAAAGATGCATTCCTGCCAGTTCATTTGTATGGTCAGCTCACACAGACCAAAGAAGGCTTTCAGCTGTTACGACAACAGGTGACTTGTTCAATGATACTCATATCTATGCCTCTGATACTTTTTCAGTGTTAAATTTGAAACTTATTAGCCATTTGTAATTTATGATTGAAATCGTTATGATAAATAGATTTCATTTACAAGTGGTGATACAACATATTGATAAATTAATCATAATCGTTTAAAACTATTGTTCTGTATTTGCTATAGGAATGTATAGAAGAATATTTCCAATGTATCCGCTGCCAAGAGTTGATGACAGATGAAGATAATACAAAACTGAAGACTGCCCTTTGGGCTGTGGTATGTATTTGCTGGAAAACAAATCTTATAATGAATTTAATTTTTATAAATTTAGTTTTGCTCAACTGGATCTGAGTTATCGTCTCATACCCTGACCAAAATAAAAAAACTATTTACTAAATTTACAGTATTTTTCTGTTAATTGGTCATAACTATTTTGTTTATTAATCTGATCAGCGAACACAAATTTCATTTTCAAAACATATTAACTTGTGATCGGTTCAATAAATGCAACAGTCTGAAATTGGCATAAGCTTTTATTAACACTGCCCATATCTACTGTTAATGACATCTGACACACAATTGTGTTTGTTCGCGGAAAATTTGCACAACCCGCACACATGTATTGTTGTCAACATCATGGAATCTTGTCACATTCTATAGTCAGGTTATGAGATAATAATTCCAGTTTATGGGAACAATGGTTATTGAGTGAATGTTAGTTTAGACTAAATGAAATTGATGTACTGGTACCTATATACTTTTATATACACTCTCCTGAATCTCTACCAAAATAATTGTGCTAATTACTAAGTACAATGTTAGTTTTCCTGGAATATAAATGTTGTTCCCAGTGTTGAGATACTAAACACCATGCCTGAATATTTAACCTTGCTTGGTAGGGCCACATTGGAAGTTCTACATGGGGTGTTAACTGGCTAGACGAGGAACGCCTGTTTTCTGAAGTCATACGGCTAGCTGAGGAGTGCGGAGTGTTCTCTATCAGAGGGTAAGATATATGTTGCATGCATAAATATGTACTAAATTTGTAAACGGTGGAAAATTTCAGTCATAAACAGTAGAATATGCCTAGAATCAACATGCTTGTATAAATGTATTGCAAAAGTTTGCCAATCTGGGAAATTTTGTCCCTTGCCAAGGATTTGTTCATGTCTAATATACATTGAACTTTGCATATAGTGAGCTACTTAGGGTTTGTGGGGTTCATGATAAAAGTGTTTTACGTTTTCTGTTACTTCAGAGTTTCTAATTATTTTAACTGTAAACTGGCAATATAAATTAATTTCATCTGAGCCCCTTTTGTGTTTCTCATTGCAGGACAGCCTTCTACGTGCTGGGATTGCTGGCCAGTACACGGGAGGGGGCGGAACTCCTTACTCAACTTGGCTGGGAGTCGTGTTGGCACTCGCGTGGTGAACTATGGCCAGTGGTTGAGGATCGTGCAGAGATGCTAACAGACTTGGACGATGCATCAGAAAGTGTGTTAAGCTTTGGCAGCACGTCCAGATCTGAGTTAGAATACCGCACGAGTATACACTCCCCCGGCATAGCCTCCAACAGTCTGTTCTTTATTGCAGAAGAGGAAAAGTCTTTGTTCAGTGACGGAGATAAACTGCCTTGTGATAACAACCGTAACATAGACACCACGAACATTCCAGACAACCCTCAGGCGGCCATTATCCGCAGTAAAACACTTCCATTTGAGTCTCCCACCTACAGAAGGTATAACAGCCTGCCTTTACAACCTAAATCTGTCAAAAGTTTCTCCAGAAGCAGTAAACAGCGAGATCGAACATTTAGTGATGATTCTGATAAAAGGGTGGGCCAAAATGTTGCTCTTTCACCAGTGTCGCCTTCAGAATTCCTACCTTTGACTGAGGAGTTTGCCTCCCAAAACCAGAGCACCTCAATTTCCCCCAAGGGAAATAACTCTGAGGAGTCCACTGTTATACCTGTGATATGTTTGCCTGATGAATCCTCAGAGCCTGAACCTGTGACAACAGAAAAGGAGGAAAGTGTTAAGGACAAAGAGGTCACAGACTCAAAAGTCATTTTACGACAAGAAACATTTGACAAATGTAAAGTGGCAAAGCGTTCACCTATATTCCGAGATGGCAGGAGCAGTAGTAGTGAAAGTTCTCGGTCAAGTAAAAACCGTGCAGATAGCTTCAATACAGACTCCACAACCAGTGGTGTTAGTTCATGTGAGTCAGGACCCAACACCTATATCTCCTCCGAGGGTGTGTCACTCAGTCCAATAGCTAGCTCTACCTCCCTCAACACTGTTGGAGTCAAGTCTCAGCAGGGCTCCTCCCTCGAAACCAAAGACCTCATCCACCCGTCCACTGTGAGGAGAAAGTCTATGAATCTTAACCGTGTTCCTAGCTTAAGAAAGTTGCAGAGTAACCCAGCATATGGAATTCTGTCATCATCACGGATGGAAGGACTGACATCTGAGAATGCCATAATGTACACTTCTAGTAGAGATGCATATGGTTATGCCACATGGCGGTCAATCAAGCGTCAGCGTACAGTCAGCTCTGACCTTGACTCTGACCTTGGCATCAGTAACCTGTATGACGAGGAGGGCACAACAGGCACTCTTAGTCGGAAGTCAAGTGTGGATTCTAAATTAAGTCTTGACCTTTTTGGCGGGACAGCCAGTAGACTGAGGTAGGCTCTACACCAATATAGTCTAACATTAGAATCTATCTGATGTGGATGTACGAAATAGGGAATTCTATCTGAAGGTGTAGATTGGGGTCAGAACCAAGACCTTGCCAAGGTTTTGAGCTCAAATTCTACACCCATATTTCCTATCTTATCTAAAAAAAGATTGATACTGTAAAAGATTACCAAAAATACTCATGGAAAGTATGGAAAATTCTAGTGTAATCTCTTTTAAGTTTATACCTATCATCTACTTCACCTATAAATGAATATATATTCATGCATGGATTTTTTTTGCTTTTATTTTCTCAATGAGTATTTCCAATCCGCAAAAATTTCCAGTTTACAGTATACTGAAAGTATACTTAAACATTAAAGAGGTTTGATAAAGACTTCACCGCAAGTTTATTCAATTAGAAATTGTTTATTTCTATCAGGCAATGTTAGATACCTACTGTGTTTTGGTGGTAGGTTCTTTCGCTGTCCAACATGTCAATTTAATGACGTCTCATATTAAATCATAATGCATAATGTTTGGGAATGTCAGTCGCTTTTTTTACAAAACCTTTTGAACTCAAAGTTGTTTTTATGTAGTTGGTAGTCAAGATTTAGGAAAAAAGTACTTCCCAAACTAGGGCTAACCAAGTACACTTATTCGGGATAGAGTTATCTATCTTTTATATCTATAGCTTTTTTTACGTTTTCTACTTTTTACAGTTTGGGAATGACGAGAAATGCTAGCGGAGTATCCCTGTGCGAGATGGATGGGCGCCCATCCAGCCCTATGGGTGCCATGCCAAAAGCGTCATTACAGAAGCGTCGACCACACACAGGAGAGTCGGAATTTGTAGGACTTACCTTACCTGTTGATATCAACATGATGTTTGAGGTTAGCCTTTCTGACATAACTGACCTTGTTTGTTTCAACAGTCAGTGCTAAAAACATTGTAATTTAAACCTGTAAACAAAATGTCCCATTTACAGTCTCGGTGAAACTGTAGATACTGTTGCCAGATATTCAGTCCTAGCAAAGTATTTCAGAAGAAATGGCAGAAGTTAAAACGTTTTTACATTAATTAAAAATTCTTGTTACACTAGGGGATAGACCCATAATTATACCATATAGCTCTTAAGTTTATTTGGTCAAATTTTCCTACTGTTGTACCCAGACTAAGCTTCTTGGTCGCTTTGGTTTATCGCGATCCAAAAGGTTGAACTGGTTGGACTAGAGTTGTTCGTTTATGAAATAAGGTCGGACCTAGTAATCTGATGCTGTTTTCAGACGAGCCTTGACAAAGCCTTGCAAGCTAGGCCTGCATAAATATTTGCAGGTCCCCCAGGATATGTACCAAAAAATGTTACATTTACTTAAAATTAGTAAAAACAGATGAACTGGTTGTAGCGCATAGACAAACAGGCCACTGGTGTTTTATTTTGTCATATTGCTTATAAACCTTTCATTTATGTTGATTGCCACATTGGTGTGTATATTGACAATTGTATATAGTGTGTTGGTCCCAGCAGAATGTATAGACAGTGAATATAGTTAAAATAGAATCCTGGTGAAATATCAGTTAACTTCTACCTGTCAATGACACAGGTACGCGAAGGGGAGGACAAACGTTCACAGTCGGGCGTATTTGACCGGACAGAGGACATTCAAACAAGTCGCAGCAGAAAGGTGTCATGTAAGTCAACTCCCCCTGCAAAACATTATTTTATACGTTCTTTGTAACACGAAGACTTTCCAGTGTGGTACTTCAATATGTATTGAAATTTGCATTTAGTTGCAATAATATTATTGTTTGCATTCAAATACCTTTACATCTGTTCTATCTCAAAAACATTTTTGTTTATGGATAATAGAGCAAAATCTTTTATATGCATGTTCAATGTGCTTCCAGTTACTCAGAAACATTAAGATACATGTACTTAATCTCAAAGAAATCCAACATAAGAAATGTTTCCAATCTTGAAATAAAACATCAATTGATGACTCACATGTGTTGTTGATTTCAAATAACACCTTTTGAAACGGAAAGGTAAAAAATTACATCCTTAGTCTCTGACCTGGGATACAAAACCACATATCACAAGAAGTTTTGGGAAGGCCTACATTTAAAATTTCAAGCTTGACTTATCCTTGCATTGTAGGATTGAAACATGACTCCGAAAACACTGAATTTATATTCATTAAAATATTGTATTCTATAAATTATTTAACAGATAAGTGAATAAAAGATCTATTGATTTATTTCTAGCATCTGGCAAGAGGTCTAGAACTACATCGTCATCAACTGCCAGGGGTGACGGAATCATCGGGTCTGATCACAACATGTCTGTCTGTGTGGCCTGTTACAGACTTCAAATGATAGGACAGACAGATGGGCAGGGGGACAAAGAAGATGGTATGTATTGAATTGATTGGAATATTTGAAAGGGTGATAATAGAATTTTCAAAATATCCACATTCCAACTGTCATTGGACAAAATGTCGTCCGTCATTCGTCAACTTTTCCCTTTAAACGTTACTTGTCCTTTACGACTCGGATGATTTTGACAAAATTTGATCTGGAGCATCATTGGCCAAAGAGATCTCAGTTTTGTATAAACGGAGGGTATGGCCCGCCCCTCTGACCCCAGAGGGAATAGGGGGAAAATAGGTAAATCTTCAAAAATCTTCTGTTAACCAATAGAAGGATTTTGACCAAATTTGTTCTAGAGCATCTTTCGACAAAAGGGCCTCAAGTTTGTATAAACGGAGGGTGTGGCTCCCCTGGGGGCAGAGGGGCGGTGTGCAATAGGGGAAATAGAGGAATATTTTTCTCCTACTCTACAAGTGAAAGGATTTAAACCAAATGCAGTCTGATGCATGTTTAGGGGCTGAGGTGTGTGGGCCCTCTTCTTTAGGGCAGAGGAGTGGGGCCCAATAGGGGAAACAGAGAGAAAAATATATTCCCCTTCTATATAAATGAAGGGATTTAAAACCAAATGTGGTCTGAAGCATGCTTAGAGTAAAATAACTGTATAAATTGAGGCTTTTTTTAATGAAGGGATCTTTGGGAAAAGTTACATGTAGTTCTTCTTGCAACTTTGCTTCTTGTACTCTTTTGATAAACCTGTATGGTACTCCGCAGGTTTTAAATTGAAAATGAAATACCAGGTGAGCTGTTAAGGCCCCTGGGCCTATTGTTTTTAAGTGGGTATAAAGAGCTTTTAGAAATATAATCAATCATAACATGCAAATGTACTTTCGCTGTGGTGATTAGTTAGAAGCTTCACATGCACCTGTTTGTAGGTATACCTGATGCAGACTTTGAGTCGGACGGCCAAGGTAGTGTTACTGTGATCGAGCGTGAGGACGACCCAGGCAGTTTACTGGAGGCGGTCAAACAACAGAAAGGTGACCGACGGACTCGCCTCGACAGTCTCAACGAGCTGTCGTCTGCCACTCCTGGAAGCATGACCAGCTATACTAGTACTGACTCTCGTATGTTTCTCTTGCCTCCTGCTCTTCTGTTGCTTCTCCAGAATATCACATTAATGTTTTTGAGGATAATGGTGGGTGTAAACCCAAGTAGCCAGTAAAAAAAATATTAAAATGTTGTGTACATAATCCTGAACATGGGCTAACACACTGATAAAGCATGGTGATTGTTACATTGATCCAAAGTTCATATGACCTTGTTCATAAAATAACGTGGTTAAAAATTGTTTTTTGATTAAAATATGATTGTTTATAAATATTTCTAGGTCATAATGGTGAAGTGAATCTTTCATTGGAAAAAAACAAATTAGTGTAAAATAAGGCTGTGTCGATAATTTATTAAATGCAACATTTTGACATTCATTCTGTAAAAAATATTGCATTCCTTGTTAAATTTTATTGGAAAGTAACGGATTGAATTTAGAAAATATTTAAGGTTTTTGAGAGATCTTTTGAGGGTAAGAATAACATTTTCGATCATGTGATATCTGGATTTCACTTTCCTTTGGCCTGTAAGTTTTGAAACTAGTTGAGATGTTTTTTGAGCCATTATACATTTGTTTATCAAATCGGAACAGATTGACTGGTTTCATCACTTTCATTAAATGGGCTTAATTGTTCTTTCTGTGCACTTAACTTTGTTTTTTTCATTACTTCTGGCATTTTCTCATGTATATATACTTGGAGCACTTACTCGTGAAAAACATGTAATCAGATTCTAAATCTATTTTTTTGTTCTAAGGATATTCATTTCATGATTAATCACAAGCCATATATTTGTTTTTATAGATATCATTCATTCACAAAATCTTTATACCTATATATGTATCATTAAGTGGATTTCTTCTATCATATATTGTATGTGTCATATATTCGATATATTGTACATTTTAATATACATTGTTTTTTTTCTTTTTAAATAAAAGATGCATGGTTTATTTAGGAAAGTACATCATTATTATTCGCTCGTTTTTAGTCGTCATATTTCAAAAATAATATCAATACTAAAATTGCTCTTATTTATTTCCATGTCGACAAACGTTTATATTTTGTAGATATCAGGAATTTCCTTTATATGATTAATTGAATTTGCTCATAAGACAAACTTTAGAATTATTTTTTTCCATGCACAATTAATCTTCACAAAGTCACCTTTCCATTGTGTATAAACAATTAAGAACCAAAATAGCATGGTACAAAAATTGGTGATCAAAGTTTTCACACAAATTGTTTTAGTTTGTGTGAAAACTTTGATCACCAATTTTTGCAATATGTAGAATCTAACTTTTCACTGTAACAGCAATTTTGCTTATTCAAAATATGGCTAATATCAATTTTGCACACAGAAACAGTTACATGTGACTATTATTCATTACACTGGCCATGCTAACACGAAGCTGCTGTGACTATTGTGTAATATTTTATAAGTGTTAAACTTGCGTCCTGTATTTTGACTGATAAGAGTGTTTTTTTGTTTGTAAATAAGATTACTCTCCTGTTTTTTGACTGAGGTTAGATATGACTGCTAATCTACATTGTTGACATGGCTATATCTATATATACTACAGTTGAACCTCGTTATCTCGAATTCTTATAACTCTTATTAACTCTTTTAAGTATTTCTCCGGCCCCGGCCAAATCTCTTCTTTATCTTAGTAAATAAAACTCTGACAATTTGAACCCTTTAAACTTGGTAAACTCGGATACCTCGAAGTAAGATATTGGTTTCAACAGCGTTAATCCAACATCAAAACATCGTTTACTTCATAGTGTTCGAATTTCATACAAATACAAAACAAAACTACGGCATCTTGCCATTCCCCGTTTATGAACATCTTTTGTGAGAAGACTAGAAGTCTAGCATGAAATTGGTAAAAACATTTTATGATAAAGCTTAAGAATGTAAAGTGTGCAGACTATCAAAACCATGATGTTCCTAAGAAAAAACAAACTTCATCAATGTTGATCAACAGTATTCTGTACTACCTGCGAGTCCCTTTAATGATTTGTAATGTTACACCAAACCTGACGACAGCCCAAACCCGAAAATTGGTCACAAAGCGTGGTCATTCATAAAAGAGTTCCACAATTAAAATCACAACATAGGACAGTTTCACAGGTTCTTGTTTTTACAGGAGCCAGTATGGCTTTGAAAGTCGATCAAGAGGTTTTAAGAACAATATGGTAATTACTGTTGATTACATGGATTTGAGGAGGTGTCAGGTGTCATTGGCTTTAATGAATCAATGTATTATATGTACAATAGAATTTGTTAGAGTGTGTTTTCATTTAAAGAATCAACTGTGCGTACCCTCCATTACAGTGATTTGTTTTAGACTTGCGCAATTACATTTCCGCATTGTATAGTACGAGGTCGGAGACATCGGGATTGTTCGATTTTTAAATGTAACACTTCAGAGGTAAATCTTGACGGTCTTACAAATACAAATGCAGATCTGGAAAGACTTTGCTAAGACTAGCCAAAAACAACATTTAATCACTAGGCCCGTCCATATTTCGTGACAAATTCACAATATGGTCCAACCGTTTTGATCGCATTAAACGAAAATACGTTTTTCGGAAATAACTTACTCTTTTTTTGTAAGCGTGTTTATTGTAAAATAACATACCTGTATTTGTTATATTGATTGTGTATATCATTCATCAATTGATTATAAGCATTGGCTATTAATACATATTGCTAATGCTATGTCCAAACAGCAAATTTCATACCAAATATATGAACCCGCATAACTAGAATACTCGGATAACTCGAAGTTTTCCTACGACCCCGTCGACTTCGAGATAAGGAGGTTCAACTGTATGGTATTTGCTTCTCTTAGTTCTGCACTCTATCTCTGGGCCTACAGTCTGTTCTCTGTTTGATGTCCGTTCTCTGTGTGGCAATTGTTCTCTGTATGATATCTCTTTTCTGTATGACACCTGTTGTCTGTAGTGTCTGTTCTGTGTGGTGTCTGTTCTCTGTGTGGCAACCGTTCTCTTTATGACATCTGTTCTGTGTAGTGTCTGTTGTCTGTAGTGTCTGTTCTGTGTGGTTACTGTTCTGGGTAGTGTCTGTTCTGTGTGGTGTCTGTCCTGTGTGGTGTCTGTTCTCTGTGTGGTCACTGTTCTCTTTATGACATCTGTTCTGTGTAGTGTCTGTTCTGTGGTGTCTGTTCTGTGTGGTGTCTATTCTCTGTATAGTGTCTGTTCTGTGTATTGTCTGTTCTGTGTAGTGTCTGTTCTGTTTAGTGTCTGTTCTGTGTTGTGTCTGTTCTGTGTAGTGTCTGCTCTGTATGGTGTCTGTTCTCTGTGTGGTAACTGCTCTCTTTATGACATCTGTTCTGTGTAGTGTCTGTTGTCTGTAGTGTCTGTTATGTGTGGTGTCTGTTCTCTGTGTGGTACCTGTTCTCTGTATGACACCTGTTGTCTGTAGTGTCTGGTCTGTGTGGTGTCTGTTCTGTGTGGTGTGTGGTGTGTGTTCTGTGTAGGTTCTGTTATGTTTGGTGTCTGTTCTGTGTGGTTACTGTTCGTTGTCTGTAGTGTAGTGTCTGTTCTGTGTAGTGTCTTTTCTGTGGTGTCTGTTCTGTGTGGTGTCTGTTCTCTGCGTGGTAACTGTTCTCTGTATGACATCTGTTGTCTGTAGTGTATTGTCTGTTCTGTGTAGTGTCTGTTCTGAGTAGTGTCTGTTCTGTGTGGTGTCTAATCTCTGTGTAGTGTCTGTTCTGTGTAGGGTCTGTTCTGTGTGGTGTCTGTTCTGTATGGTGTCTTGTTCTGTGGTGTCTGTTCTGTGTGGTGTCTGTTCTGTATGGTGTCTTGTTCTGTGGTGTCTGTTCTGTGTGGTGTCTGTTCTCTGCGTGGTAACTGTTCTCTGTATGACATCTGTTGTCTGTAGTGTAGTGTCTGTTCTGTGTAGTGTCTTTTCTGTGGTGTCTGTTCTGTGTGGTGTCTATTCTCTGTGTAGTGTCTATTCTGTGTAGTGTCTGTTCTGTGTAGTCTCTGTTCTGTGTAGTGTCTGTTCTGTGGTGTCTGTTCTGTGTGGTGTCTGTTCTCTGTGTGGTCACTGTTCTCTTTATGACATCTGTTCTGTGTAGTGTCTGTTGTCTGTAGTGTCTGTTGTCTGTAGTGTCTGTTCTCTGTGGTTACTGTTCTGTGTTGTGTCTGTTCTGTGTGTTGTGTGGTGTCTGTTCTGTGTAGTGTCTGGTCTGTGTGGTGTCTGTTCTGTGTGGTGTGTAGTGTCTGTTCTGTGTAGGTTCTGTTATGTTTGGTGTCTGCTCTGTGTGGTTACTGTTCTGTGTGGTGTCTGTTCTGTGTTGTGTCTGTTCTGTGTGTTGTGTGGTGTCTGTTCTGTGTGGTGTGTAGTGTCTGTTCTGTGTAGGTTCTGTTATGTTTGGTGTCTGCTCTGTGTGGTTACTGTTCTGTGTGGTGTCTGTTCTGTGTGGGGTGTGGTGTCTGTTCTGTGTAGGTTCTGTTATGTTTGGTGTCTGCTCTGTGTGGTTACTGTTCTGTGTGGTGTCTGTTCTGTGTAATGTCTGTTCTGTGTGGGGTCTGTTCTCTGTGTGGTAACTGTTCTCTTTATGACATGTGTGGTGTCTGTCCTGTGTAGTGTCTGTTCTGTGTGGTGTCTATTCTCTGTATAGTGTCTGTTCTGTGTATTGTCTGTTCTGTGTGGTGTCTGTTCTGTGTTGTGTCTGTTCTGTGTAGTGTCTGTTCTGAGTAGTGTCTGTTCTGTGTGGTGTCTAATCTCTGTGTAGTGTCTGTTCTGTGTAGGGTCTGTTCTGTGTGGTGTCTGTTCTGTGTTGTGTCTGTTCTGTGTAGTGTCTGCTCTGTGAAGTGTCTGTTCTGTGTAGTGTCTGTTCTGAGTAGTGTCTGTTCTGTGTGGTGTCTAATCTCTGTGTAGTGTCTGTTCTGTGTAGTTTCTGGGCTGTGTAGTGTCTGTTCTGTGTGGTGTCTTTTCTCTGTGTGGTAACTGTTCTCTGTATGTCACCTGTTGTCTGTAGTGTCTGTTCTGTGTTGTGTCTGCTCTGTGTGGTGTGTGGTGTCTGTTCTGAGTAGGTTCTGTTATGTTTGGTGTCTGTTCTGTGTTGTGTGTGGTGTCTGTTCTGTGTAGGTTCTGTTATGTTTGGTGGCTTTTCTGTGTGGTTACTGTTCTGTGTAGTGTCTGCTCTGTGTAGGGTCTGCTCTGTGTGTGGTAACTGTTCTCTGTATGATCTCTGTTGTCTGTAGTGCCTGTTCTGTGGGGTCTGTTCTGTGTGGTGTCTATTCTCTGTATAGTGTCTGTTCTGTGTATTGTCTGTTCTGTGTGGTGTCTGTTCTCCGTGTGGTAACTGTTCTCTGTATGACACATGTTGTCTGTAGTGTCTGTTCTGTGTTGTGTCTGCTCTGTGTGGTGTGTGGTGTCTGTTCTGTGTAGTGTCTGGTCTGTGTGGTGTCTGTTCTGTGTGGTGTGTAGTGTCTGTTCTGTGTGGTGTCTGTGCTGTGTAGTGTCTGTTCTGTGTAGTGTCTTTTCTGTGGTGTCTGTTCTGTGTGGTGTCTATTTTCTGTGTAGTGTCTGTTCTGTGTAGTGTCTGTTCTGTGTGGTGTCTGTTCTGTGTGGTGTGTGGTGTCTGTTCTGTGTAGGTTCTGTTATGTTTGGTGTCTGTTCTGTGTGGTTACTGTTCTGTGTAGTGTCTGTTCTGTGTGGTGTCTGTTCTGTGTGGTTACTGTTCTGTGTAGTGTCTGTTCTGTGTAGTGTCTGTTCTGTGTGGTTACTGTTCTGTGTGGTTACTGTTCTATGTAGTGCCTGTTCTGTATGGTGTCTGTTCTCTGTGTGGTAACTGTTCTCTTTATGACATCTGTTGTCTGTAGTGTATGTTGTCTGTAGTGTCTGTTGTCTGTAGTGTCTGTTCTGTGTGGTGTCTGTTCTGTATGGTGTCTGTTCTGTGTAGTGTCTGTTCTCTGTGGTTACTGTTCTGTGTAGTGTCTGTTCTGTGTGTTGTCTGTTCTGTGTGGTTACTGTTCTGTGTGGTGTCTGTTCTGTGTGGTTACTGTTCTGTGTAGCGTCTGTTCTGTGTAATGTCTGTTCTGTGTGGAGTCTGTTCTCTGTGTAGTAACTGTTCTCTTTATGACATCTGTTGTCTGTAGTGTCTGTTCTCTGTGGTTACTGTTATGTGTAGTGTCTGTTCTGTGTGGTGTCTGTTTTGTGTAGTGTCTGTTCTGTGTAGTGTCAGTTCTCTGTGTGGTAACTGTTCTCTTTATGACATGTAGTGTCTGTTCTGTGTGGTGTCTGTTCTCTGTGGGGTAACTGTTCTCTTTATGACATCTGTTCTGTGTAGTGTCTGTTCTGTGTTGTGTCTGTTCTGTGGGGTTACTGTTCTGTGTAGTGTCTGTTCTGCGTGGTGTCTGTTCTGTGTTGTGTCTGTTCTGTGTGGGGTGTGGTGTCTGTTCTGTGTAGGTTCTGTTATGTGTAGTGTCTGTTCTGTGTAGTGTCTGTTGTGTATGGTGTCTGTTCTCTGTGTGGTAACTGTTCTTTTTATGACATCTGTTGTCTGTAGTGTCTGTTCTCTGTGGTTACTGTTCTGTGTAGGGTCTGTTCTGTGTAATGCCTGATCTGTGTGGTGTCTGTTCTCTGTGTAGTAACTGTTCTCTTTATGACATCTGTTGTCTGTAGTGTCGGTTGTCTGTAGTGTCTGTTGTCTGTAGTGTCTGGTCTCTGTGGTTACTGTTCTGTGTAGTGTCTGTTCTGCGTAATGTCTGTTCTGTGTGGTGTCTGTTCTCTGGGTAGTAACTGTTCTCTTTATGACATCTGTTGTCTGGAGTGTCTGTTGTCTGTAGTGTCTGTTCTCTGTGGTTACTGTTCTGTGTGGTGTCTGTTCTGTGTAATGTCTGTTCTGTGTGGTGGCTGTTCTCTGTGTAGTAACTGTTCTCTTTATGACATCTGTTGTCTGGAGTGTCTGTTGTCTGTAGTGTCTGTTCTCTGTGGTTACTGTTATGTGTAGTGTCTGTTCTGTGTGGTGTCTGTTTTGTGTAGTGTCTGTTCTGTTTAGTGTCTGTTCTGTTTGGTGTCTGTTCTCTGTGTAGTAACTGTTCTCTTTATGACATCTGTTGTCTGTAGTGTATGTTGTCTGTAGTGTCTGTTCTCTGTGGTTACTGTTCTGTGTAGGGTCTGTTCTGTGTAATGTCTGGTCTGTGTGGTGTCTGTTCTCTGTGTAGTAACTGTTCTCTTTATGACATCTGTTGTCTGTAGTGTATGTTGTCTGTAGTGTCTGTTCTCTGTGGTTACTGTTCTGTGTGGTGTCTGTTCTGTGTAATGTCTGTTCTGTGTGGTATCTGTTCTCTGTGTAGTAACTGTTCTCTTTATGACATCTGTTGTCTGGAGTGTCTGTTGTCTGTAGTGTCTGTTGTCTGTAGTGTCTCTTCTCTGTGGTTACTGTTCTGTGTAGTGGCTGTTCTGTGTAATGTCTGTTCTGTGTGGTGTCCGTTCTCTGTGTAGTAACTGTTCTCTTTATGACATCTGTTGTCTGTAGTGTCTGTTGTCTGTCGTGTCTGTTCTCTGTGGTTACTGTTCTGTGTAGTGTCTGTTCTGTGTGGTGTCTGTTGTCTGTAGTGTCTGTTCTGTGTGGTTACTGTTCTCTGTATGATATCTGTTCTTTCTGTGATATCTGGCATAATAGTTTCTTCTTTATAATCATGTTTGTCATGCAGTGTACTGGTGTCCTGCTCTATAATTTTCTACTTCATCCCACAATCTCTGTCTTGTTTTTGTACATAGACCAGCCTCATGCATCGTGGAAAAGTTCAAAATATTCATTCATGTTTACTAGATATCTGCATTGTCATCTATATATCAAATATATATACGTGTATTGTCACATATGTAAGATATCCATATTTTTATATATATTAGATATATATATTATCTTACATATATTCTCAAAGTTATTCATTGCCATACTTGTAAGATGGTTTCCTGTACTAAGTTATCCTGCTTGACTGCTTTTTGCTCGACTAAACTGTCGGGAGCCTTTAAGAAAAATAACCAATACTTAAAAATATTTCATTGAAAGTTTGAATTTCTAATTTATTTATTAGTCATCCGCTATGTCGTTTACAATCTCTGTTTTAACCAAAATATATGAAATGTTTGCATCAGACAGTGTACATTATATCAAAACCAGTAAAATAATTTGAAAGGATTTATGGAAAATCGGTTAAAAAATATGATATTTTTAAAATAGAATAATATTTTCTTTATCCTAACTTGAAATCCTTAGTTGAGTTTATGCAAACACATATTTTAGTCACACTGACATAACCACCAATCTGTGTGTCCCACTATCCAGTCAGTAGGCAGGACAGATCTAGGCAGGACAATTTCCCTTTTTTATGCCCACGCCAAAAAATTCTGTGCATATAGTGTTGCCCATGTCTGTCTGTTTCATAATGACATCATCTCGCTACATTTTGCAGTCAAGGTCACTTGATATAATGTATTAATAGAAAAATCTTGCCATGTAAATCTGATCTAAGTGATTATTAAATGATTACCATAAATCCCCTCTATAACGGTAGCTCTTACATAGACTAGCTGTAAATATTACTAAAGCTCCTGTAAACAGTATTGTAGACTATGCAAAGATAACTTTCACAATTTCTTTTTTTATTTTCACAGCAACCAAGAAGATGTCATTTGATAGCATTCATGGCCGTGCTCTCATCAGACAAGAGGTCCGAAAACTGGTCACCAACCTCAGCAGCTCTGTAGGAGTCAAGGGGTCAGAACAGGGACTTTTGGGGTAAGTTAGTCAAAGCAAAACCACTTTATGTTTTTTCTTTGAAGTGTATCTAAAATATACTAATAGCAGTAATTCGTGTCTGAAGTTGCATGCCTTGTCCTGAAATGTATGAGCGTATATCATTGCCCATGTCTGAATGTCACCATGTTACTGCATACACTTCTCCCTTTGCTGTGACATACAGACAACACCTATCAAAGTAATCCTACACAAATACCTTGAACAAGTTCACCTTTCACGGTCCTCAATCCAAGGTCGGGGTCATTGTTACATTGAATAGAAAATCTTTTGAAATTGAAGGAGCTCTATATATATAAATATAATTTTGTTATAACAGCAGTAAATTGATCCTTACAGACGAAGAAAAATACTTAAAAAAGAAAAGATCTTGACAACATGTCATTGGCGCTTTCATCTCATCAAACATACATTTTTACAGGGCTCAAAAGGAGAAATAAGGGGTAAATCTTTAAAAGATTACTTTTCCAGTAATAGTTCTATATACATGTTATATGAAATAACAGATTCCTTGACCAAAGAGAATCAGTGTTGTGTCCCTTAGGACAGAGGGTCATGGTTCAAAATGCAAAATAAGGGTAAATCTTTAAAAAAAAAATATAAAAAATAATAATACATCTTTACTACCTCAAAGGGAATTTTTTTCAACCTAATTTCTTATAAACGATCTCTAGGCCAAGGGAGCTCAATTTTGTATAAATGACCTCTTGTATAACAGCACTGTTATTTGAATTGTCACATTTGAACCATGAGCATAAAAAATAAAATTATAATTACTGGTAAAAAGGAAATTTCAAAGTTGTAGGTTTGTTACAACCCTCAAACGGTGGTACTAATTAACTTATATAAAATCCATATTGAGATTTAATGTTGAATTGTATATCAAAATGTTCATGACATGTTTTTATTTCAAAGTTGTATTATGTTTGACAACACATGTTTTTCTTTTCTGTCATAACATTGTATATTTCCAAAGTTTATTTACATTAGTTGTGTAGACACACACTTAACCATTACACATACAACTGATGGTTCTACATGTACGAACACGAAGTGCCCACTTGTGTAACAATGTGTCAAAAAACTCTTTCAGGTTGAAGCAGAAGTTTCCCAAAGTTTTCCAAGATATTTGTTTTTACTCTGAGGTAAGCCACATCATGACTGTCTGTTCCTTCCGACTGACTGCACGAAGATTTATACAGGAGCTCTTTGACGAGTTTGACATTTCCAAGGTAACCAGCCTATGTTATATCACCATATTGTATGAATTAGTCGATGTAAGATTTTTAAGGATTTAAATTCTAATTTTGTATTATTGAAATCGATACAGTGAAAGTGTAAATTTTTGCATGTGGAAATATTTGCATTATTTCTCTTTAAACTGTTCGCAGTGTGGAAGTTTTTGCTTTGGCAACAGTTCGGATATCTATATATTCTACATATCTAGAGCTATAATCTAAATAATCTATTTGCATGAGGATATTTTTGTACTAATTTATGCAACGTGTAAAACGTGACTATTTCCAATCCACCAAAATTTCCTCTTCAAAAGTATTTCGTTTTTTATTTGTATCTATTATACTGTTATGGATTTTTTTTATTGCTTCATGTTGTAAAAACATACAATAATCATGAAATTTTATAAAACATGGAACTGTTTCAACAGATTTGATATTAACCCTTTCACCACTGTAGACCATAATGGACTCATCCATATCAATGCATGATAGAGTCTACTAAAGTTACATAGGGGTGAAAGGGTTAAAGAATAACAATTACACATCACACCATGTTATTAGGTAAAAAATGTATTTATCCCCTCTCAAGCTGGATAAGAATGTCTTGCTTTTGTGATCTATGACGTTAATGTAAATGTTGTAGCTACTGGAAGAAGCCAGGTGCATTCTGGGTGTTGTCGTGGAAACAGAGAGCACAGGACCAGTAACCAACAAACAAGACACCCTGGACAGTGTGTGGGAAAACATATTCTGAAATGTCTTAAAAACAAATGAAGACAACCCTGGATTGTGGAAATAATGCCTAGAAATGTCTTTCGTAAGACACATCAGAGAGTATGGGAAAACATATTCTGAAATGTCTTAAAAACAAATGAAGACAACCCTGGATTGTGGAAATCATGCCTAGAAACGTCTAACGTAGGACAAACCAGACAGTATCGGAAAACATATTCTGAAATGTCTTCCAGAAAGAAAACAAAACGGCCTGCAAACAAGATACTCTATGTAAAGTGTAGGAAAGCTTTAAGGGAAAAATGGTTGTCCTATATTATGTGAAAGTCTGGTAAATGTTTGTCTTACAGTTCAGACTTATTGGATAGCACCACTTAGTGGAAAACATTTCCAAAATGTCAAACACATGAACATCTCTGGCATGTGATTAAGCACGCCTGGTACTCGACACCCAGAGAATAGACACGACAGTGGGTACCATGGTGTGTGAAAATATTAGAGAAGATGAATTTAAGAGTGGAAGGAATCTTTTGAAGTTTCTAATTCAAGTAAATGTTGTATTTCAAGATTATGTCTAAAACCACTGTAATATTCAAGTAAAGTGCTTTGTGTTAAGGTGTTATTTGAGATTAAGGTGTATTAATGAACATGTTATCTTTGTAAAGCCCTGAGGCAAATACTGGTACAGGCACCACTCAGCCGTGTTTTAGCCTCAGAAAATGACGGTTACTGTATATTTATGTAGATTTAATACAAGATGGACAAAATACAACCATCAAAGGTTTTGGAGTGATATCTAGTAATTATGATCAATACCCAGTTACTATCAGTTGTGTAGTAATTTACTGCAACAAATCCAGGATATGGCTTTAACCATGCAATGATGCACTGTTCCAAAAGACTAAGATGAACTAGTATTGACCATAAAACAGGAACTAGATTATATTTCTCATGCCTGTACTACACGAAAGTTCTAATACTCCTTCAGCACAGCATAGAGTTAACCTGCCATGGACCTCCAAATTCCCTTATACACAATTACAAGTAATACTTTAATTGCTTTGATTTACTATTGTTCCTATACAAAAGTCAATTTATTACGTATTAAGTTTTTACAGACGGAAGTAAATTATTGTGCTGGATGTTTCTTAAATAAGACGTACCAGTAATGCACAGGAAAGAAAATCTTAAAAATCAAGTATTTCATGAAATATCATAGGTTAGAGAAACAAGAAATGAAGTTTAATTATGTGTTTTTTTCTCATGATAGTGTTCAAGGGTGTAGATTTCAATTAACCTTGTGTCAGGAACAGTTTACTATGAAAATAAATAGGTTAGGCTGGTAGAACTTTTCTAATTCTACCTTCTTTACTCTTAAATATGAAATGTACATCCCTGGTGTTCACATTCTAGATATGCTGTTAAATAATGCTTTACTGAAATTTGTGTATATATGTCAGAATATATTAATGTTCGAGTATATTCACTTGAATCAATCATGAAATTATTACCGCCATTCAAATGTCCTCGATCACCGTCCTGTACGAGTGACAAAAATGTATTTTACAGGTAAGCACGAAGTATTGTTCACCTAGATTCTCTGTGTCCATCCAGTTATATAGGAAATACTACTGACACAATATATAGGGCTGCTATGTTTTACACTTGTTGCTAAAGGATGTGTCGTCGTGCAACTTAGTTGTAAACGGAATACATCCATCTATCCCCATCCCACCGAATGGTAACGTCTTCTAAAGTGCAATATTCAATATTTCCTGACGCTTAGACAATGCATTATATGCATAAATGAATGATCTTGTGTATTTTTTATAAATGATTATAAAGGAATGTTTTTGTAATTAAACTTAAGTACCATAAGGTTGAGTGAAATTGATCAAGTATGTGTGATAAATGAATATGACATGTGAACACTAATCATGTAGGATGACTATACACCAACATTACCATAAACATACACATGCATACATGTAGTACTGTATTACATCCATGTAGTACTGTATAACATCCATGTAGTTCTGTATTACATACATGTAGTACTGTATTACATCCATTTAGTAGTGTATTACACCCATGTAGTACTGAATTACATACATGTAGTATTGTGTTACATCCATGTAGTACTGTATTACATACATGTAGTACTGTATTACATACATGTAGTACTGTATTACATCCATGCAGTACTGTATTACATCCATGTAGTACTGTATTACATCCATGAAGTACTGTATTGCATCCATGTATTACTGTATTACATACATGCAGTACTGTATTACATACATGCAGTACTGTATTACATCCATTGTACATGTATGTGTGCTGTGTATTGAACACAAAAGTGCTAGTCACGTTATTTCATGATCTGACCCGGCATCCTTGTAGTATATCTAGCTTAAGCTCTAGTCAAAAACTCATTCATCCCTGAAGACACATTTCAGCTCTCCAAATTCACAGGTTGGAATAGTCCAATCAAGGTTAACAAGTTAATATTTGGTGTAAGCAGTCTGCCAAAATTTGTATATGGTAAATTAGAAGCAGATCTAGAGCTAGTGATGTGATCAGTATGCTAATTTGTTATACTCTAAATTAGGAGCAGAGGTCACTGTGTAACTCTTTTGATACTTCAGTAGGTATTTTCAGAATGTTTTGTCACTAAAAAGTGTCTATGTTAGCAAGTTTCCACTATATGAACATGTGGAATTGATTAGTCTTTGATGATATAAGTCCTTCTTCCCTATTGGTCAGTAGGTTGTAGTTGGTAAGCAGGAAAGTTACCTACTTAACCCTTTCATCACTGTAGACCATAATGGACTCATCCAGATCAATGCATGGTAGAGTCTACTAAAATAATTATATAGGTGTGAAAGGGTTAAATGACACATCAATGATCCTAATTCAGGAAAAATTTAATCACCTAGGAAGAAGGCTAGAATTTCCAAACACAAATGATGGCCGTGTTCACCTTCTGTTGTGTTCTTATTGGTGATAGTGCTAGAATTTTTAATATGGTACAGTTTAGTATTTGTTTGGCTGGAAGCTGAAATATTCTACCAAAATCAAAGATTTTTTTCCACAATATACAGATTTTGATAGAGGAATAACTTGAATTTTGACATCATGTTAACCCAAACACTTTGTGTAGAAAACTAATGTGATCTGTATAAACGTGCTTGTGTTAAAAATCAATTTCCTTAGGCTTTATAATCTTATCTTAACTGACAATGTTTATTAATTGTACTAAATACTGATCTTTTGGAAATTTTCTAAAGAAAGTGGTGTGTTCAGAGCTTCCAATGTTAAATCATGATCCTGTGCTATTTCATCGTGCTCGATATCTATTAAAAAGTGCCATAGTCCGGTATGGATTTGTACTTAATGTGTTATGTTGTAAATGTGATGATTTGTTTAATAGTCTCAGAGAAACTGTGTATTGATGAAGAATATCAACAAGAACATGACCAAAACTACATGTAAGACATGGACAAAACAAAGAGGTGACGAAATCGTTATCTCCGTATTCAACCATGTTTCTCAACTCTCAAAGTCTGTATATGTTTTGTAATATATGGTACCTGCTATATCTGTAGGTGTATGTTGTCAGGAAAAGGTCCTATTGTAATAGGTTGATGTAGTCCTAGTGCTTAGTTGATACTTGTGGAGTCGGAACACAGTATGGCCAGTATTGAAGAATGAAATGTAATTAAATGTACGTTTCTTTTATATGTTAAAATGTAATAGATGTGAATTCAATGCTCTTGTTTGTAATTAAATATAAATTATATGTTTTGTTTCCTCTCGGTGTGTACATATTTTAAAGAGTATAACTGTATGTGTAATTCTCGGAGTATACACATTTTACAGAGTATATCTGTATGTTTGTAATCTTGGTGAAAGGATTTGTATGTTTGCTTTTTATGTGCTCCAGTCCAAATATTTTGCAATTCCTGCAGCCTATATGTGTTAATGCTATAATAAGCAGAGATTGTATGTGATAGCACTTGCATGATGGATCAAACCATTTTATTTATACTGTTAAGTTTGTCAGACACCGACTGTTATGTTGTCGGCACACTGTTGTGTAATATTCACAATACAGAGAAATGAGAGTCAAGGAATAAAGATAAAATGAAAATATGAGCTGTTTTTAGTGTGTCTTGTGTATAATGGTTAGTTACTAAATGGGTTGGATAGAAGGTAGTCTGGTATGAGCAAAATAGAATCTGTCACCTCTGTGATCGAGTATAGGCTCAACTTGTATATCTTAAACAGATAGAAAGTGTTTGCAAATCAATTTCTATTCCTATTAAGGACAGAGATAAAGGTGCCCTATAGTGATCATGGAAGATGTCCGTCTAAATTTTCTCAGAAACCAAGATTTAAATTTCTGAAACTCGTGTTGATACTAGTATACTTACATGTGCACTAGAGGGTTGAACAATTTCCTAAGGTCCAGGTCACTGTTATTATAAAAAGAATAGAATATTATTGATTACAAAGGTAAACTGATTTTTCTTTCCTCCCTGTCAATTATGGCACTGAAAAACTCAGATGTCAGAGTGCGAATAACCTGTTGTCAGTTGATGAAGGTGCCTGCCATACTGGCTCATGTGTAGTTGGAGCAGAAAATGCACGGCCAGAGCAGGGTTTGAACCCAGGATCTTCCGAACTGTAGACTGATGCTCTACCAATTGAGTTACCTTGTCGCTGACAATCGCCCCGGTCCAGTTCTGCTACATTCTTCCCTCCTTTATCTAAGGCTTTGCCCCTGAAGACAACTATTTACAAAATGCAACCCATGCAGGGTCGGGTATCAGGTCAAGCATTCAGAAAAATGCACGGCCAGAACAGGGTTTGAACCCTACCTTCCAGACTCTAGATTGGCGCTCTACCAGTTGATTTACCTAGTCACTAATGATCGACCAAGTCAAATTCTGCTACATATGATTTGTCAGAATAAGATATTCTTTAATTTCTGTTGAATATAATATGTAGGGTATTATGGTACTACAAAATCCAGTGACATCCAATCTATAAGATAGCGCCGTGATTTCAATTAAATTTATAATGGCATTGCAAGCACTGGTACAACTTGGTTTTCCTACTGGAGAAAATGGCTGCCATAGCCAGGATTCCGATTGGTTAAATTGTTCTTGATATTGTTTGATTTTTTTATCACATTTAGTATGCAGGTGTTTTATGTTAAAGCAAACACTACTCATTTTTGCACCATAACTCTGAAATTGCTGCCGTTATATTTGAAGTTTACATTCTTATGTACTCTTCTTATTTTTCTCTTTCATACAATAGAGGCTTTCTACACAGAAAACTCTTTTCTTTTTCATTTCGTAGAATACATAGACATAGATGTAGGAAGGATAAAGATTAAAACTCTTTCACCATTTATGATAGGCTTCTTATATTTTCAGTCAGGTTGATGCAAGTTTGGACACAGCACCTGAGAAGTTCACCAGGGAACAAGCTCAGTAGTATCCATCACAAATACATAACAGAGAAAACAAAACAAAAAATACTGTACAGATTTTATTTTTGAAATGTCAAGAAACATTCAACATTAATCAGTCATAAAACTTACTACAGATGTACCATTAAATAGTGTGATGTCGTAGTAGTTCAAATGTCAGCACTCGAAACACATTTATAAAGTCTTCAGTCTTTATCTAGGGTCCTGAATCTACTGCCCTACTCATGGCCTCGTAACAAGACACTGCAATCTGGGCCTCAACTTTGCCTCTCTCTGTTGATGCAGCTTGGGCGTTCTTTTGAGCCTCAGCCAATCCAGCCTTTATGGCCTTTATGAAAATAAAAAAGTGGAAAACTTAAAACAATAAAAACAATGAAGCAAAAAATTCATACATGAAATTAAGAAACAATTCATGAAAGTGATATTAATTATATTTAATAATGTGAGTTAATTCTCGAGTGTCATATTCCACAAGCTTCTTCAAAATCATTTGGGAAGAAACACAGGTCTAGATGGATATCAAATATAATGAGTTTTCTCTGACTTTATTTCATATTGAAGATGAACAAACAAATAACACATGAGCTAGTTATGACACCAGATTTATAAGGTGTGGTATATTTTTTTTTTAACTCTGTGCTTGTTTTTTTTAATAATTCTTGATAATATTACCATGAAAAAATCTGCTCTGTCTAATGGATATAAAATGGAATTTGATTTAAACATATTTTATCTGTCATAAAACAAAAAAGGATCAGGTACTAGTTATTTCCACTTAGAAACACCTTCTCTACAATGGAATCAATCATGACTCAATGATATCCCTAAACATATATCTTTACAAATCAAGCACTACCAACTTATCCCTATAAATCACTCCTCTTTTTGATGACTACAAGTGACAACAATTCAGTAAGCAGGCATCCCTCCGTCTTGAAAAAAGTATGTCCCTTGGTTAAATATAACAAGATACAAGGGGCATCTTTGTTACAAAAAGCGACTGGTTTATCTACTTTTAAAAATTTAATATTTTGGGCGGATTATACCTATCAGACTTGGAAATGTTACAGTCCAACATTTTCTAGCAATCAATATGTGATATAAAAGCTGTCATTGTTGAAATGTAACCTTAACAGTTCAGAATGCTAAATTTCAATATTGTTTCGCTTGAATTATATAAAACACTACATTGCTAGTTGTGTTATTGTCACTATCCCAATCTAAGGAGAAGCCACTGCATTCTTACCTGACTATCAAGATTCTCCAAAGGATAGGCCTCCTCAGCCAAAATTTGAACTGTTGAGTCCTTGTTAATTGTGACTGACCCACTGCTCACTGGAAAGCAATGACAACAGGTTAAACAAGTTTATAAAATGTTCAACCTCTTCTATTAATATTTGAATGTGTTAATAGCTACCAGGATTTAATTCTTATGATTCGGGTAATCACCAGCAAAAATGGCAATATTGTAGCAAATATCATATTTAGATGACTTTATGATAAATGTAACATATGACAGCATGGAAGAATATGATTGAAACACCAGGTAATACTTATAAGATGTCCACACTGAAAATCCATCAATTGTTACTTTATAGTTCAATTTTTGCAAAGGAACGCTGTGAATGTTTAGTATGTGATCGCAAAACATAAAGTAAATGGCAAATGATTCACGCTTTTAGTAAGACTTATTTAAAATCAATGAAACAAAAAAAAGAAAGTTAAATGTTATAATAGAATCGTAAAATGGTTATAAAAAACAAACGAGTACCCAGAAAATTACAAATTTATGAATATTTGTATTAATAACTATACTAACTAAACAATATATAATTGTCCTGTGTATTGTACATGTATTACACAAGAATGTAGTTACCAAAGAATTTTTTTGTTGTGCCAGACTCTTCTATTACTGACATAACTCCTGGCTGAAGGACGGTGACCAAAGGTACATGAGTGGGTAGGATACCAAATGTTTCGTTCAAGCCTGGCACATCCACTTGTTTCACATTTTGGCTATTGTAATATATCTGGGGAAAAACACATTTATTAAAATCAGTTAGTCATTGAAGCTGAAAGTGAAAGGTAAAAAACTTAAGGTAAAAAACTTTCAATTGAGATTTTAAAAAAAAGTTTTACTTTTTTCTGGTTTTAAGATTTTTTTATCTCAATTAAAAGCTTTTAACTTGCAGTCAGCATTGAAGACACAGTTAAATTATAATGTCATATTGTGTATATTTTTGAGATAAACATCAGAATATTAGGAGGCACAGTAATCTATAGCTAGTGGAAGGACGTCAGGCTCCTGACCCGAAGTGTCTCAGGTTCGAGTCCTGTCGTGGCACTGTGTTGTATTCTTCAACAAGACACTATACTCTGCTTGTCCCAGTCTACTCAGCTGTAAATGAGTAAGTGGTTGGGCAGTTCTGGAATTGTTGAGAAAGTTAGAAAGGCCCAATAACCACGGATAAGAATTTGTGAACTGCTTTGAGACAACCTAGGTTGTGAAAAAGCGGTAAATAAGAGCCTCAAGTTGTTATTATTAACATTTTAGAAGGAAGGCCAGTGACTTTTCTACTTCCTTTCCACAGGGCCCTGTGCTTGTTGAATCATGATTTTGGGAAATAAAGTGATTTTTTGGAATTTATTTTTGGAGAGAGAAAAAACAGCAAAAATTATCTGGGGGAATAAAGGCCCCAACTTAACTTTTAATTAATCACTGAAGGATAGCATTTTGTACTCATACCATTCATGCGTTCACCCCATTCCCTACTGTAAAAAAAAATTGAGAAGTCTGAACACACAGATACTCTCTGTAGTCGAATTGAGTCTGGTCATAAACTGGTCCCATAAAGAAGATTGTACTTATTGAAGAATAAAATTATCATCTAAAAGTCAGACACATGTGTTATTCAACTATGAGTCCGAATATGCCTGTTGTACTCTACTTCCCGTAAGGTGTTACTACTGTACTCAGCCAGTAACGTTCTTGACCGGCGACTTGATTCAGACGAGAGGACAAACGTTTAAAACGGGTTAAAAAGCTTACAGCATTTGGTGAGGCGAATGAGAATGGCATATCGGCATATCCTCTGTTAGTTGGCGCAGATGCAATCACTCTGCTGCATTGTCTCGCCAAAACAGGCGCCTTCCAAAGTTGCCGAAACAGAGCCATGTTGATCTTGACCTAAAGATGGCGAAGGTGAGTCTATCAAGGGAAATAACTCTATTTTCTGCGTTAGAGGAAGCATGATACTAATAATTCGCTAGACTAATTGACGGTGGAAAAAAATCGTTTTGACTGTTATTATCATTTACTGGTAAAGTAAAGTATGAATAAATAACGAAAAATTAAAAAATCTCCATCTTAACCTTAAACTAAGACAATTTTTATTTATTTATTTTTTAAATAAAAGTAAGCAGTTTTACCTCCATTAACATTAGCTCCCAGGAGCTATTAAACCTGACTAATATTATAAGAATATACGAAATTGTAAAAAATGACCAATTTGGCGGCCATTTTGAAAATGTGTATTACTTGCGCCTCACGAAAGACCAAAATTCACCTTTTTTGACACTAGTTTGATAACTTAAATCGTCATTGTGTCGCCATTTTTAAGGAGGCTCCACCCTTTCGCAATAAGACAGCAGAATTCAATGAGTTTCAAATAATGTTTATGTCACTATGTAGAAATCATTTTAGGAAAAATCCAAGCTTTCCGATAAACTTGGGATTTTTTTTGATTTTTTTTTACCGAAAAATTGAATTTGTGGTCGAATTCAACACTTTCACATTTTTTGAGTGTGTGGCATTGTTCAAAACTAGTACAACAATAAGATAATGAAAAGAAACATTGCTTATCAACACTGCACATATTTTATTTATCATAAAATATCTACAACATGTTACAAAAAGCGTTTTTTTATTGAAATTGTATCGATAAAAGTGACTAAATACAAGCCAACTGCAAACAGGACACATAATTTCATACAAAAAGGGTGTCTACCTTGAAAACAATCGGAAGTGTTCAGAGGGATAGAATTTACAATGACACTTATTTTCTTTTCTTTTTACCAAAAACGACGGAAATAAATTAAATTCCTATATTTAATTGTCAATTTACTGTTCTTTTTATTGAAAAAAATGACTCTCAATCATGTACATTTTGGACTTCATTCCATAGCCCGCTTACGCATGATATATTTACATGTCAGGTACATAGGTAACCATAGCCTATCGCATGGTATGCAGTTATCACGTGCACTCACATGCACTTGCAATTTATAGGGATCTTGATATTTTACAAACTACTATTTTCACAGAGTTATTGTAATTGCATTTGTGAAACGATTTATCTGACAGAGCGTAATTCGCTCGACAACAAAAGTCGTAGCGACCAAGAGCTTGCGAACTACTGTTAGCACGTGATACGTGCAGGTGAGGTCGGTAAACAAAACACGTAAGTCTAGATCTGCATTCCATGCGCCTCATATACGACCTTCTTGAAGTCGTCTGATCTTATGTCTGTGTCTTCCCATGAGTTAATTAATGTCTTTGTATCAGAAGCTTTATTTCTGAAGTAGGTGTGATTACACATTTCCAAGTTAAGTCTCGATATCGGCTGTTGACATATTATCGTCGCGCATGTGTACTATTGTTTATCCGGTGTTACTATAATTTACGCTACGGTAATGGCATGCCCGATACGCAATACGGAAATGACGACACGAAAATACGACAAGAAAAGCATGTGTATTACGAAGGGTGGGAAGTCCTTAATAGTAGTAAGTTTATTTTTAGGTCACCTGAGCTTTAGCTCTAGTGACCTATTAATTGCTATCTGTCTTCTTCCGTCGTCGTCCATTAACATTTTACATTTTCAAATTAAGCTGAAATACTGTCAAAGATATTTCATTTATACTTCATGGGAATGTTACTGACAACTCCCTGACCAAGTGTTGTTATTTTTCGGGTCGATCAGAAATCCAATATGGCCGCCACGGCTGCCATTTGGAAAAAAATATTTCAAACTTAAGTCAAGTTCTTCTGGGCCGATTTAACTGAAACTTGGTAGGAATGATCATCTCATGGTCCTGACAAAGTGTTGTTATTTTTCGGGTCGATCACAAAAGCAATATAGCCGCTAGGGCCGGCCATTTAAAAAAAAACTATTTCAAACTTAAAGGCAAGTTCTACTGGGTCAATTTAACTGAAACTTGGTAGGAATGATCAACTTACGTTCTTGACAAAGTGTTGTTATTTTTGGGGTCACACCAAAAAATAATACTGTAGGACCCAGGTGACCGTTAAGGCCCATGGTCCTCTTGTTGCTGTAAAACTTTAATATGTTCAACATGATGAAAATAATGAGTATTTTTCATTAGAAAATAAGGGGTAGGGGTTACTTAAATCGTTTTTCTGAGATATAAAAATAAGATTAAGAAATTTTACTTTTACTTTAAGTTACAAGAAAAGTCTATTTTCATCAATTCTGCAAACATTCATACATATATGATAACACACTTGGAAGACATTGTATGAAATTGTTCTGCAAATGGTCAAAACTAAAACATCACTTAAAATCACATATTATGTTAACTTGGTATCTTTGACCGATCATAGCAAAAAAACGAACACACGGACATATATTTCTATTTCAACAAAAATAAAACTTCTATATTTTCAACAGAAGTGTAGAAGAAGGCAATGGCTAATTTAGCACTTTCGAGGTTATGGTCAATATTCTGGTAAGGATCAGGAATTTTCTCAGAAGAAAATAATTTCAAGATCGTATGTCTCTACAAAGGACTAAGGGAACTATAAATGTTTTATCGCACCAAACGGCTAAACGACTGGCACTATGTTACTATCTGTTAATGACTCGTCAGTCCCGATAAATGTTAACAAGAATGAGTACCTGGTATTTGCCTGTTTTACTGTGACTCTTTGTTTTCATATCTCCCATGTTTCTGTTGATATTTTCTTTACGCTAATATTTGAGTTAACTCGTTAAATCGTTAGCTTATCTCATTCTCTACTATTTTTTTTTTTTTTTTTTTATACATAAACAACTTCCAAAATATGAGAGAGCAATCATGTGCATATTTTAAGATAAGTTAGTCCTCTTCGTGCTGGGTTGCACATATGGCCACCACCAGATATTTCCATTTCTGACTGTCTTGGGACCACTGGTGTATTTGTCCCCATGTCCAGTCTTTATCGTTTAGCTCTTTCTCAACAGACCGTTTCAAGGTTTCCTTTGGTCTCCCTCTCTTTCTTTTTCCTGGTGGTGTCCATCTCATTGGTACCCTAGGGATGGAGTCTGGGTGCATTCTGGAGACATGTCCAATCTACCTCCATCTCATTGCTACCCTAGGGATGGAGTCTGGGTGCATTCTGGAGACATGTCCGATCCACCTCCATCTCCTTCGCTTGACTTCTTGTGAAAGAGGAATGATATTTGTCCTCTGATACATCTCCTCGTTTGAGATGGTCTGTGGCCAGAATTCCGCGGACGCATCGAGTTTGAAAGACATTCAATTTGTTGTTAATAGCACTTGTTGTCTTCCAGGATTCTGCGCCATACCAATTTGGTGTTGGTGCTGATCTTGGTGGACTTCCAAATTTTCCTGAGTGATGAAAATGCTCCTCTGGCCTTTGAAATGCGAGCTTGTACATCAATATCAGAATTACCATCTGCCGGGATTTGCTTCCTAGGTAGACAAATTCGTTCATTTCCTCGATGTTTAATGGATTTATCGGACCTGGACTGGCATTGATGTTAAGTCCTATCTGTTTTGCTGTTGTAGCCAGGTGGTTGGTTTTGCCTTGTATATCTTGATATCGATGACAGCAGCATGATATCGTCTGCGAAATCTAGATCTTCCAGCATCTCTCCAAATGTCCAACTAATCCCTCTATTTGTGTTCCTGGTGGTCTCTTTCATTATCCAGTCTATACAAAATGTGAAGAGTAGCGGGGAAAGCAAACACCCCTGTTTTACCCCTGTCCGCAGTGTGATCGCCTCTGTTAGCCTTGATCCACATATCACTCTTACATTGAAGTCAGCATACAGCATCCTTATGATGGAGATGAGTCTATTGTCCATATTAAAAAAGGATTAATAAAAACAAACATAATAAACAAATTAAACAATATAAAATAACTTTAGGAATTCATCTTTATTTCAAAACAACAAAATAACATCGAAGTCCGTGTAGAGATGCACGTTTTCTTTGAGTATTTCAGACATTTAAGTAATTCCGTTTTATGATGATTTTGGATTCTTAAAAACAGACAAAACATTTAAGTCTATTGTAGAAAGTTTCACATCAGATAGTTCATCATGGCGACAGCAACAATCAGTGAGTTAATTAATCTATTTTTGCACTTTAGAATAAAAAGAAGCCTGCTTTGGTTACATCATTTAAGCATTTTTTTTCTTCAAAGGTGAAAAGAAATGGTACCATGAAAGTGAACGACAATGTAGAATTATACGAGTATTTGATCAATGAATCATTCAAAGTAACTGCGGACAAGAAAATGTATTTTTCTTACTGGATTTAATTATCAGATTCGTTAAATCATAATTACGTTCAGGGCTCGTATTCATGACACCGTTCTCGTGCCCAAAGTGCCCAAACTCTGATTCTGTGCTCAAGCCCAACATCTTGTTCCGGCGATTAACTCATAACAACTCACGCCTGGTCAATGGTTTGGGCGAATGTTTGGGAGACTTGAAGTCGAATTTCGTTTTTGGCGTAAGCACTTGACTTTTTCACCGTGTCACACGATTTTACCATGTTACAAGAAAGTTGGTTAGAGTACAGAAACCATGCAGGAACGTTAATTGTTCCCCCCCNATTTTATATAGGGTTACAAGCTTACTTAATTCTTATACAAAAAAATGAAACTACGCTTGAATATAATACTTTAAAAAAATATGGATCTATGAATGAAAAATGGAAATATATGAAACAGTCTAAGTATACAGAAAGAGATCTCACAACACTCAAATATAACGAATTAATATCTTCACCAGAACAGCTAATGTCAACGTAAGCTGAGATATCTTGCAACCTCGTTATAAGTACATATGCCATATGATATCTACACAAGATAAGCAAGAACACATAAGATCTCATGTCCTTCTTGTAAGGAAAACTTTTTTTTTTCACACACGATAAGCGAACCATTTTAACCATTAAAACTATTTTTATACCAATATAAGTGCATTATTTGATCACCTTTATCAGTGGGGTTAGCTTACACGTAAATGTTTTCCCTAAAAAGAACCATAATTTCTTTCGAAGTATAGGTGTTATATTCACAGGTAAGATATTATAAGATTCAAAACATGAATATTTCATTTATTTTGTTTCAAAATATCGTAGTATTAATATCGTTCGATTTTTATGTTAGTTCATGATCGTCCTTGACAAAAGTCACGTTCATTTCATCTTTCTTAATTTTCTTTTCCCTGTAGCTGCGAAATAGTGTCACTATCACAGCACCAAGGACCAGTCCTGGGAGGAACACACCGAACGCCACACCCACAAACGCACCTGTAAAATAGGTGAGCATGCATATTGTAAATTAGTATCGCATCCATGTAACTAACAAATTTCTGGAATAAAACTTAAATTTATTTGAAATAATGTCTCCCTTCGTAAGGTTTAAATCTTAAATAATACCAGATTATATAATTTACCATTATAACACAACATATACTGACAAGGTTTGTGGCAGATACTTAAATGCACTGTCTTTTTCTCGGTTATAGAAACAAAGTTTGAATATTTGATCATTCAAACAGTAGAACCATCGTACTTATGCTAGATTTCGCTGTGAAAATGCTCATCTGTGCTAATACTAGACTCACCTTTAAAAATACTAGACTAGCTTGTGCTAACACTAACCTCACATGTATAACACTAGAATCCCCTGTACAAACACTACACTCACCTGTACAGACACAAGGCTCACCTGTGCAAACACGAGACCCACCTTAACAAACACTAGACATACCTGTTGAAAACCCTAGACTCACCTTTATAAACACTAGAATCACATGTACTTACACTAGACTCACATGTACAAACACTAGTCCGATATGTACTAACACTAGACTCACCTGTAAAAACACTAGACCGATCTGTACTAACACTAAACTCGCATGTACAAACACTAGACTCACCTTTTCCAATTCTAGACTTACCTGTACAACAATAGAATACTAGAATCGCTTTCAAAACACTACGTTAGGCTCACCTGTACAAACACCAGACTCACCTTTATAAACACTACCCTAAGCTGTTTAAACATTTGACTCACCTGTACCAACACTTTACTCCCTCGCTTAAACAGAAGACGCTCTTTTACAAACCATAAACTCACCTGCGCTAGCATTAGACGAGGAGCTGTCAGTCTTGGAAGCAGATTGACCACATCCTGTACCCGGGTTATTACCGGGATTGTAAGGTCGAATGGTCGGCATATTACTTGAAGGTGTCATTCCAGGGAAAAATCGTCCTGTAAACATGTAAATATAATTAGATTAATAGGGATACTTGATGTACAATGAAAAATCGACAACGGAGTAACAAGAAATGTTGGTCAAGTCAAATTACAATTTAGAATATTGTTCGATCTGTGTTGAATTTCCCCTCTCGTTCCAGAGCGAAAAGAGAGAAAATAATACTGGGTGAATATGTCTCATTTTACAGTATATAACATACTAGATTAAAACTTATCTTAATTAAAATTACTACTCTATTAGTCTATTACTAGAGTAAATTCTATACACATACAGAATGGATTCTATAGTACTTACTAGTATAAAGACTACAGTTGGCACTGGCGACTACCGATCCTGGAGGAGCCTGCTTTGGTTGTGGGTTATGAAGCATACATGTGCTTGTGTTGCTACAGAAGTCGAAACTATGGCAGTTTATGGACTGTTCTTCCACACAGGACTTGGCACATTGTTCAACCGATATCCCTCTGAACAGTAAAGCTGGGCCGTAATTCATCTGCTTTCCTTCATTCTTCTTGAAATCAAATAAGTACTTCTCTGCCATGAAAAAATATCCACAGTGGGAAGTTACATACACAAACATATCTACTTTACGAGGAATCGTTTCAAAGCTTAAAAGCATTAGTTATACTTTCCGAGAAAGGGAGCAGTCTTACTGGTATGTGGGATTTACAAATATCAACTAGACCGTTAAACACTTTTTTTTATGAAAAGTGAATACCTAGCAAATCACAGAAAAAATATAGCACACAATAAATTTACAATTAACAATGTTTTATATAATTAAATGATCCAAATCTATATAAGACTAAGAAAAAAAAACTTCTGCATATTAAGGAGAAATAAAAAAGAACTGATCAACGATCTCTGGTTTAAGGCTGCAATTAACGTTAATACATTGTGATATGTATTTACTCACTCGAGTAGTGGTTACATTGAGGCGATGTCGTGAGGAAAGAGTCGGGGACATCCAGTGTGTGTTTTCTTCTCAGTAAACATGACTTGGAGCTGGCACAATAGTCAAATGACTTACACAATAGACTCGTAGTACATCTCTGGGCACACAAGTTGTTCGTTTTAACAGTTAGCGCGTTTGTGGCTGTCATTTTAAACACCATTCCTGGTAACTCGTCATAATTGTCTAAATACTGACCTGAAAGAAATTCCACCCAATTGACAACTTACAGTAATTAAGCACATCTGATACTGTATTAAAACTAGATCTTTCTCTTAATATTTTGTTTATATAAGGACGAATGCTGAATTCTAAAAACTGTTGAAAAATGGCAATGCCATCGATATTGTATAACAGGAAAATGTCGCCCTTAACCGGTAAATACATTTATGCCTGATGTTAATTTCGCCCTTCACACTTCATTACTCTATATTGTTTGCCATGTCTTAATATTCACTGTCACGATAAATTTGAAATTGAAAGAAGGCAAAACAAGCAAAAGGATATACTGCGTCGAAAACCTTTTCGTATTAAGTAATGTGTATCCCTTGTGTACGTACGTGAAAAGAGATCACAGGCAGAACTGTACTTGACTTGTTGGAGGTTTTCGTCAGGATGTGTGGCACTAAGTAAGCAGGTCTCCGAGTTATAACAGTAGCTAAATGACTGACAGTCGAATAAATCCTCCCCGAGACACGCTGCAGCACAGTCGTCCACGGCCAACCGAGTCTCTTGACCGTCACCTGATCCCGACAGAATGCTGTTCTTCATCTGATGGAATCTACTGAGGATCCGTCCTTTAAATAAATTAATTTTACATATTTTAAACCACGGGCCTTTTCTTTTACGTGGAACGACTCAGCAATGATGTGCTTTTAAATGTAATATAAATAAATGTATAAAAGAAAATGAAATAAATAAATTTATAGAAAGAAATGACATGAATAGCAACAAACTTTTCAACAATTGCATAGTTTTGGACTACTAGACTATAACATTTGTTTTGATAAAATGTTACAATGAAAATAAGATAAGGGAAAATAGTTGAAAGTAGGTCAAATGGTTTTTTCATGCACTTTAATTGTTTGAAAATATGAATATATGTCATACTCTCGTTTGAAGACAAATTCTTACATGCAAAACCGGGTTGACATTTTTCTAAATTTATCTTGGGAAATGATAATTGATAAGTTTACGATTAACTCTTTGCATTTGCACCTACACAACATTAAAACTGCCTACATCGCAAGGGACCTTTAGGATTAACATTACTTTCAAGCTTTCCCTGTTTTATGAAACAGCGAAACATTCTTATTATTTAAATAGAATACGATCTTCCGTTTTCGGCTCTCAAATAATAGATTTGAAGGCAGTAACATCCTTATTTTCTTGTCAAAAATATATCCTTTGTTGATTTGATAAATCTATGTTAAGTTCTAACGATCTCTGATCAAAACGACAAAACAATTCTTACCACCATTTTGTTACTCTTTATACAATGTTTCCCTTTTTGTTACAAAAAAAGTGTAATTTTTACAGAATTCAAGCCTTCCTTGTCAATATTGATATGTTCATTCAGTCACTTTTGGTAAGAAAAAAATCGCATGGTTTTGAACTTCAATTCAATTAGTGAAAAACAGGGTGTTTTGAATTAAGTAGCTTATTATTGTGTTTCAACTATTGGTCAAATACAGTTAGCCAACCTCCCCTGCTCTGCTTTATAAATCTGATTAAAAGAATAAGAAATGAAAATTAAGTATCAAACATATCAACAAGTGATGATGTTACCTGTTTGTTGTTGACCATTAGGCCGTACAATGTCGTCACGGATTGAAGACGCAGAAAATATTTTGGCCTAGCAAAAAAAAAAAAAAAATAGGTCAGCGCTCAGGTAAAAGTGAAGACATTGAAAGAATTAATCATGAAGTAGTTTGCCACAAACAATGTGCATTTTTATATTCAAAATAGGCAAACTACCATTCGTACATTTGTCCTGATATACATATTTAATTATTAATTCGTACATACAGTTGTTTATATTTTCATATGTCCATTAGATAGTTTACATTAAATTAGAACCAGATAAGACAATTCTATTTTCAATATCGAGTAAATATCGTAACTATATTACTGCTCAATGATAAAGTTTGTACTATGGCCTTTAATTTGATATATAGTGATAGACATTTATAATGTTGTAGGTGATATGGTGCCTAAGGTAACGTATTTGTGTGAGAATATGACTGGTTTACCGTTACCATTTCACCATTGGGGATGGTGACGTTAAACTTCCCTGAGTAAACAACGTTCTTTAGTCTGGTGTAAGCTTGCTGTATGCTAGGAATAGAAACCGTACTGGCCTGGACAGTTTCTACAACATCAAAGTTGCAATGTGAACATGTATAAGGCCATTTAATGCACATACATATAATATATATATGAATTGGGTAAATGTCTATCGATCATACAACTCTACCAACGAGTTATTTCGGAATAGAATGAAAATCCATTTACCAAGTAAGTCAACTCTTGACAACGTGGAGCAGTGATAATGAATGTATTACTAAAGCAGCACTACCATGTGAAATTGTGAAGTACATGTGTATAACATGTGATAACATACGTATGCAAAGTACAATTTACTGGAGTATTGTTGACAGTATTAAAACATACAAACTAGAGTAACGATGATAGCATTGTGAAGTATAACGTAATGGCGTATTGGGGTGAAGTATAACCGTAAACGTACATATTTAAGCGGTACCCTAATTTTAGCGCTTTCTTTTTCATGGTTTAAATATTGCACTTAATTAAGATTGAAGTTTCTGAATACAGTTTTCAATTGCATATATTATGAGTGTGCCAATTCACCAATGTGATCATACCCTAAAAATGGAGTCCGCTAAAATAACTACATTTGAGTTACTTTAGGGGATAGTAGGGATGGCAATAATGCGTAGAATTACTAACTGGAAACGTGATGACAGTTTGAAAAGTATTGCTCACAGTAGAAGTGATTGCAGTATTATGAAGTATAACTTACTGTCGAAGTGATATGAAGAATTACTTACTTGAATAGTGATAACAGACTGTTCTGACGTTGACCTTCGCTCCGTCCTGACTATGATTTTTGTTGAGGAAACAATAGTTGGCCTGGGGGCAGTAGTCAAAACTATTGCAAGGGAAGCTGCTGAGAGAGCTACAGAGGTCAGCGCAGCTTTTCACCGTACCGATATTAGGGAAATTGGCATCAGACTTGTGGGGTGAGAATGTTCCCGGCACCAACGTGAAATCATCTATAATAAAAAAAAAAAAAAATGATGTCAGCTACTGGTAATTACACTTTTATCAGTCCGTTTTGTAGTGATCTACTACAACGAGGTAATGACACATTTGATAAAATTCTAACGGTAGAGTTAGATCTACTAGGACGACAGATATATGATACCTAGAACAATACAAGGGTAAGTAATTTTGTTTTCGTCCTTGGCCGGTAATGACAAGAATAAATGACGTGAAGGTCAATCAAATACTCAAATAACTGTTTAACCCTCCATCCCTAGTCACTTCTTGTTTACCCAGGAAAGGGTTCCTGCCGAGGAGAGTGCTTGTGACGTAGATATTGTCGTCATCATAATCCACCTGTGTTCCCTGGAAACGGATGACGGATGCATTGGTGCACTCAGACATTTTTATCTGGGACATCAGCTGGAATATTTTGCTGTAGATATCCAAGAATGGATGGAATTTACCTACAACACAGCACACCAGATCATGAAGAGTATTCTTGGATACATTAAACTTAAAATCAGTAATTAAAATGATACATGGGGAATTTTGCTTCATCTGTAAAAAGGCATTAATGAACAGTTCCGCATAAAAATAATTGACTGATTTTATCTTATGTAAATTTCTTTTGTTACAAAACCGCATTATTCGAAATGACAAATTATTTCAAGTCCATTTCTAGAGCTAGGCCATTTAGTTTATTTCTCTTTAACCGTATGTTTAGTGACAAACGGGCCTTTAATAAAGATAGTTGTGAGCATTCACAACCCCAAAAGTCGTGTTACGAGTTTAAACAGAGAGCCGTGCGACTAAGATTAACAAATGAACTTTATTTCAGCAGCAATTCTGAACATATAGTGTTATAAATTATACTGACTTGTTCGTTTTGATTACAATGGCTACAACTTGCCAAGCTCATTTATAAAAACGAATTAAAACATTTTTGTAAAATAAATTTATCAATCTAAGTCTATTTGCACAAAAATGCACAAGTCTATGGTGAGAAAGTGCGTGCAAAGTTTCATGGAATAGGCCAAGGACATAAACGGTAACCTGGAGAAAACTGTGTTAAATACAGATGAATTCACTACCTACTATTTGTATACTTTGTGTATAATTGTTAAATATGATTGATTTAAAAATATTTACAATAATAATTCAGCAATGAGAAGTACGGAGAGACCGACAAGAAGCAGTGCAGTGCAGACAATGTTCAGTCACTATGCACTGCAGGATAGGAGACCAATGCAAGGCTGTGGTAATATATATCAAACATGGTCGCTCTGAGGAAACCAATGCAAAGCTTTAGTGTTTGGAAGATAGATAACTGGAGTACTGGAAAAAATCAAAGAAAGTTTGTTCTTGGTGTCTTGGATGATAAATGGAGGACTGGAGGAAAGCAATGCGACGCTGCAGTGATTTAGATGCTATAGTGTAAATGTGCTTGGTGAAGATATGATTCTGAAGGTGAGTTACTAGTCATAAGACGAACTGACCAGGAAATTGAATTTGAAAATGGCGTTGATTGGCTTCACTGAAACATTTTCTGATATCAAAGACAGAAAGATCTGGGTGTGACACTTCCTCAAAGTCAAAGAAGTCATATGCAATAAATAGACTTTGCTGTGAAGAGAAAAAAACCATAAACCATACAATTCATCGTAGTAAAACTCAAACTTGATGTAAACCAAGGTTGTACATATATATACTGGATATAAATTAGGGACTCACGTAAATTATCAATTGTAGTTTTGATAGGGTTTAAGTAGACATAATACCCGCGGCTTTGAAAACGAGTAACAAGCGTGAATATACGTTCCCGGTAAATCATCTACTAGTATAACGTCGATTTCATTTGACTTTATCTTAATTCAACACTAATGACCTTGACGCAACCTAGAATAACTGGTGTGATCTTGGTGTAACACCCATGCTAAATAATCTGTAAATGTCCACATCTTTCACGTGCACATATTACTTTTGAAACAGGATGAGGATCATGGACCGAACAAATATTTTGGTCTTTAATTCCTTCAACTTTTCAAATTAAACTCCGGACTCTATTTATAAGAGTTTTGTTCAGAGCTTTGTTTCCTGGTCCAATACCTTCTATCCACTAGTAAATATACTCTCTGTGAACCGACATCAAAACGCGTCTTGTCTAGTTCAATCCCTTATACTAGACAGGAAAGTTAACAGTTGACTAGTCTTATTTAACTTTCCCGGGTACATGCAGATGAGGATATATTTTTTTATCATAATATCACTGGATTTTTATTAACATTGTTCTGCTGATATCGTTGGCGATAAATGAATGATAATTGAATATCTCTTATGAATGACATTTTTTTATCATTATTGTTAATGAAATCACATTTTTTTTTTGAGCACAAGTATTTTTTTGACGAGTACAAGTGATTTTATATGAGAACAAAATGTAGCATTCTCAGCTGTGTTCTTAGTTCTCATTACAATCAACAATATTCAAACGAACTCTCTGAATCCGCAAATCTCTAAATGATGTCCAGGGGGGAGGGGGGGGGGGACTCCCTGAACCCCCCTTCACAACCCCTAGTAAACACGTATCTTAAACCAGCCTGATAGTAAATATATATGTGCGGATATGTACAGAAGAGCATTAGGACCACGTAGAAAAAGATATTAAGTCGAAGTCTCGAGTTAGTCAAAATTTCGAGTTATCTTGAAATCTCGACTTACTCGAAATTTTGATGTAGTTACACGAAAAACATCTAAATGTGTTTGTTATTCTACGTAGCCCTGAGATTCTTCAGTAGTTATCTTTGTTTTATGTTGCATGCTATAATCCCAATTTAATAATACAGTATTATATATTTAAGAGATACTTCTGACTGCAATTAACCTGCTACAAGTAATGCATCATGGAGATCTCTATTACATTGGTCTTATTATACACACGAGTTTTTACCTGCATTATTGTCATCTCCATGCGGACAGGTTGAGAAAACGTCAGATCCCTGGAATCCTCTGGCACTTCCGTCCAGCCACCCTACGGATAAACGGTGCTTTTTCAAGTTAAGACCATCTATTTCCACATCATTACAGAGCAGTAATATTTACTTCCGGTTATTAAAACGTCAATTGCATTATGACATATATCATAAATATCCGTGATGACTGGCCGGAAATGTTTTATTTCGATTGGAGACACATTCACGATACTATGATTTGTTATATGTGAGACTTACACATGGTTAGAAGTAAATTTTGGTAACTTCAATCATAGTGTGGTTGCAGAGGGCTACACACGTTTAATAATATTAGTGTTAAGCTAATTACAACCATACTCATGTTGTTGCAACTAAAAGGCAGTTTAGTCCCTTATGCTTTTCAAATTATTGTTTTTTGATACTCTAAGGCGATTCTGAGTCTCGTACTCAGTTGTGCTTTGCCAATCATACTTCGTTGAAACTTCAAAATCGAAGTTTTGAAAACATGATTGCTTTACACACCAAGAAGACCAAAATTTGAAAAATATAAGATATGATATAACAATGTATTTATAAATGCAATGTAATACAAATTTCTATCCTAGTGCTCAACGGTTGAGCTTAACGGAAATTTGCACTAGCTGAACCATTAACAAACGACTAAATAAGTTACACCCTATTGTAAATTAACATCGTAGTCACCGAGGGTTACCGTAACATTTATCACCACATTTAGCACGGTTCATAACAAACATACTTAATTGATTATTAATTTGAAATTCTTTTTGAGTTATTCCACCCTTTTTGACACCTAGCTTCAGCGATGGGTTCTAGAATCAGCTGTATGGCGCAGTAAAAATCATGTATTGGCATACTGTATTAATTTCCAAATTTTATAGGGATCCATATTTTTTTGTTACATTCATCTTCTGAGACATACAATGTAACCGCATTGTTTTCGTCGTATTTGAGACATTTAAAACTTATTCGCAAATCATAGGATTTGCTAGAGTGTATTGTTAACGGGCTTCTGATATTTTTACATAGAGTGATATTATTTCTCTTAGTGTGAAACTGATATTGGGATTAACATTTCCTGCTGAACATTTCTAATACAAAATTTCCATTTCAGAAATAGGGAAGCCTTGCTGATATTTACCTCGAGGAAGAAGTACCTGATGAGAGCTGTGTTGTTGGTAAAAGACAGTCCTGGCATACCGAAGTTCTGAACGAGGATTTCGTAACCACTACAAAGTTGGCCTCGAATAGATTTCTGGAGAAAAAAATGTTTGGTTTACTTACATCAATTTCAGTCATTACCATATGATCATACTGTTCTTCGGAATCTGTTAGCGTATATTTTACAATAAACTTCCCTCGGAATAGTATAAATATATACATGCTATTAAATGTACGACAAAATTTATAAATCGTCGTTTAAAACATGCAGCCTGGAAAATTGACAACAGAGCTTACCTCAGCCAAGTACATGCACTTTAATACATGTGAACAATTAAAAATACTTATCTCAAAAAGATTAATGATTATTCAATATAGATTACACCTGACTCACTCAATTACCTGTCCGATAAATTTGTAGTTATTAGATATATGGAAAAATTCAAGTGGGCTCTTCATCTGCACAACATACGCTCCATTTTTCAGGGCGACCTTTGGATCTACTTCACTGTCAATACCGGCGGATCCAATGGGTGCCACGGTACAGTTCTCAAAGTCCCTATCAATAGTATAGGCCACACCTGCAAAGTGGTGAAAAGGAGTAAATAGGAGCCTCAGTACTCCACACCTGCAATATGGGGTTCAGATGCTTGTATTAAAGGGAGAATGGGAGACATGGTACATTCTTGTAAATCCTTGTGTTATTTTGCCAAACCTCTAATAATGCTAAAATGTTTGATATAAAAGTATAAATTGGAGCAGTATACATTCTTGCAAAACCCTAAAGTATTGGCAAAGCTAGTGGTGAAAAATTGGTATTGAAAGAATGAATGGGATCTACGGTACAGTTTTGTGAAACTCTGTGATGAAGGCCACATAGGTTATAAGGTAGCAATGTACAGTAAAAATGGCCTAAAATAAAGGGCATGTCTCAGATAAACATGGATAGTGGAATCATCCTGCGAAACACACCTACTAACAAATATATATTTATAAACTGCATTTTTGATATATATTTTTGAGAAGTATGATTTTTTCAAGTAGTTAATATTACCTACTCGGTAAGAGAAATACTCAAGTTTTAGCATAGGTAATCCGGTGGATTTTCCAATTCATTTACGCAGAGTACAAAAATAGACTTCATGAAAAGCTAGCTTTTGGTGTGCCCACGTAGTCCACTTCATCATGTATATACCAATTTTAGTGCTGATTTTTGTTAACATTTTGAGAAATGTAATATTACAGGGGCTATTCATTATACAAAAATATCACTCATGGCCACTGTCACTACTATGCACTGCTACCTAAAGCTTAAACTGTGATACGGACCTGTGTTGAAGTCATGTATGAGTGTCATCGGGTTGGTGGAGTAAAACGGCGGTGTTGGCTTGTAGGATTGATGGTAATCATATCGTACAAATTTGTAAGAGGAATCGTACCAAACCTGCAAAGATTTAGTCGACTGTTTTAATTCGGAGGTCTTTGATTACAATTAGAAATCGTCCAATTAATTCCTGTTTATATTTGGTCGGGTTTGGTACACCTAAAAGAACGTTCTCGGTCTTCAAAGTCAGATTTATCAAATAAAAAAGTTAAAACATTAATACATAATGCTAAAAAATAATCTTTTACCTTGAAATATTGAATAATTTGGAGAAGAACCAAACATTAACTATTTGTTGTTATTTTATGTCTTATGAATCAAACAAAACTACAATCGATAGCAGCTTTTCACACCTTCAATTGTCCTTACATACACCACAGTAAATCAATTTCTTAATAATAAAAAAATGTTACTGCAACTATCACATATACGACTTCTTGATTTCTCAAGTTCAAGCCACCCTGTGTTGATTATACCTTCTCCCTAATCCTCCCGAAACGTCAACGCAAATTTCGTTTATTTTCAAAAATGTATATAACTTCCATACCCTTGACTATATTCACATTTTTGTCTAAGAGAAAGACAAAGATTTAAGAATTCAAATTGGAACGAAATGCACACGTCTAACAGCGTATATTTTGCTTATTGAAATTCGAGATTTTCATAATGCTACTATCAAATACTCTTCATAAGAGCATATGTCTATGATGTAATTTTGGTTTATGCTTGCATACATTGAAACAAGAATAACAATGGAGACATTCTTGTTAAATTCAACTTACCTTGGAACTGTATACCTCGGCTATGCTTGGTATTGTGACTTCCTGGCTGTAGGAGAACTGACCCGATAGCTTGGGCATTGCTACAGGGGTGATCAGCCCTTAAGTAAAAACAGAGAATACCAAAGTGTCAACAAAACTCAAAGTTGATGAAGACAGTTGATGCAACAAAACCCAAAAGAACACAAATTAGCATAATAACGAAATGAACATTCCCAACGCCCAAATGAATCATGATGGCGACTTCAACTTTCCCATAACATTCCTCATACAGCATCATTCGATTCCTGTATTGTACGTTCGTCAGCATATATAATGAAATTGTGTTTTTCGGAGCAAACTCGTGAATATATCTGCAACAAACATCAAAGATAGGCAAAGCAGGAATAGTACTATCAAGAAAGGAAGATGTTACGGTTGGAAAATCAAAATCGTCACTCTTATACAGCTTACTAGTAAGCCGTCCCTTTTGGTCGTGTTGTAAGTCAGTGGTAGAAGAGTGGGTATTACCCTTGATTTAAAGTTCAGGAGAGTGAATACCATCTACGTAATTAATAAATTTCTTGTTATTTAAAAAAACAATCCATCAAAATTGAAGGACTTTGGTCTTTGTAACTTGATAAAAGAGCTAAGTTTTCAGTTAAATAATGTTAATATGTTATTGATATAAAACTTCGGACGTTAAACTGAGGCTTTAAGGGACATACAATGGTAGATATTATTGATATAAAGGGTTCAATACTCACCTTGTATGACCTGTGTATCCACGGCCTCGTATTCAACCATCTTCAAAAAGACAGTAAACATAATTGAAGACGTTTCAATTCATTCAAAATTGAAAATGTCGTTAAAATCACGAATATTTATTCATCCCAGTCTCTACAACATGAATTGTAAATTGATACAGTGACCAAGACGGGACGATAATATGTAACCCAATAAACGAAATACAACTTTCTTGCAAAAAGGTAAACGTTTCGCAACGTTTTAACGATGTGTCTATTAAGTCAACATAACGAAATCAACTATACTCTCTAATCAGATACACGCTTACTATCATATTTTATTAAGTGTCCTACCTGACTATTATCCTCTTCTACCTGAAACATCAATTCCTGGTTGTAAACAGCAATGCGGAGGGCAGCATATGCATCCAGTATAGTTACCTCAGGTCGACGTGGGGCATTCACATTTCCTGGAATATATGTTTTCTTAATTGAGAAAATACAGAGACTAGTGTTATGTTATCAATTTTGAATTTTTGGTATAACACTTTCAATTTTGTTTTAAATAGTTGTTGAAGTACGATTTGCGACATGTCTTACTGACATGAAAGGATCACATCACCTCAATTCGATTTACTTCTTAATATTGTGAGTGGATCATATAACGAGTTTCTTTTGAGAAATAGAAACAAGGATTTTAGACGTGTTTAACAAAAGAAGTGGAATCAAATGATCTGTTTCTGTAACAATCCTATATAACATATCATAACACCTTGTGGGTTAACAGTTGATTTCAAGCCTTTTGTTGATTTCTTTCATCTTCTTCAGTACAGGCACACTGACGCACATAGAAGCAAATGTATCAGGAATTGTGGGTGGGTTTGATGGACGATATTGGAATATTGATGGACAAATATCATTTGAGTATAAAGAGCAGAGTCTCTGGTGAGTCCTTACTTGAGTAATGAGAGCAAGGACTCTGGATGAGTACTGCTGTCCCGTCACCAATATGGCTGCGGCTGAGACGACATGAGCCACTGTCCATAGGACAGAAATCGAAACTATTACACGTGATATTTTTCAGGTCCACACAGAAGTCAGCACACTCCATAGGAGAGGTAGTTTTGGGAATCACCATATCGTCGTGTTTCTCAATCTCCCGCCCAGTAATGTATGTGAACTGAGCTGAAATGTAAATCCTGGAATTATTCATAGGTATTACAATGTTTCCTCCCCACGTTTTGGACTGTATTGCATACCAGCACTATTAACGATAATTTGGTTACGTTACTTTATGGTAGGTTATCCATTTTGCAACTGGTTGCTAGTGTCCAGAGTGTATATAATACAAAATTAATTAACCTTTCGTTCCTTTTTTTCTTTTAAAAATCAAAATTTAAAAAAAAAAAAAAATCAAATTTCGTCTGGTTTTCATTGAAATTGTACCATATGCCTAGTAACTGTCCCCTATAACATTCATGTTCACCAAGCGTAAAATTAATCCCTCAGTGAGATAGATTCTCTCTTCACAAGTTAAATTCAAACTTACAAAAGTCTTTATCGCACTTCACAATGGAAATACTCAGTAATCAGTGTACTTATATACTTTGTAGCGATCAATTTGGGCTAATTACGGAAGCCGAAAAGTCAACTACGGCAAGCAGTTTCTGGTATATAGAAATCACGTGCTGTATTTTCGCCGTTGAAGGTGCATCAACACCTTTAATGTATGACTTTATAGTTGAAATAGTAGTTAGATAGAACGTTTGTGAATTTAGTATATAATATTTGCTAATATCAGGCTATACGCCGTTTCCCAAAGTATAAATAAAAAACAGAAATAAAATTTGTTCGTTTTCGGTTTATTGGATAAAGTTGTGGAAAACGTCAAATATCAATTTTACTCTCTTTCTCCTGGTTTAGCCCTTTGGTTTTTCCTAGAAATATAGTGGGAATGTTGAATTAAGCCTGTATTAATATAAGCCCATTAAGAGGAGTCATTATGTTCACTTCTTACCTGTAGCTGGAGTCCGGTCCAGCAATGTGGCAAATAGAAACACGTCACCTACGTCGCGTTCGACAAAGACATCTTGGACCCGTATAGGCGAAACACTCATTTTCTCTGCCATGAGTAACCGTGTCTTCAGTTTAAATATATCGGCTGTATCCTGGTTATATAAAGCTGCAGAAAAGATATAAATGATCAATATTAAAAGTTAAAAAATAAAAGCAAAATTTTATAAATTAAAACTGATATCTTTACGCGGCCTGAACCAGTTACTGTGATGTGCTTACCGTTTGTCTTTAATGGACTAGATAAGCCAGTATAACATTGAAATATAATCACGTTCGTCTAATCTACTGATCAATGCCCTTTTTATTTCAACATTTGACAAACACAGCAACTTTAACGTTGTTAAAAGTGCCCTAAACGATACCCTGTACCTCAAAATTACAAGTCTCTGCAATATGCAATCTCAAAGAAATGGTATATACATATTGTATTGTTAATAATAAATAAGTACACTGGTGGTATTGACCAATCAAACCGGTTCATCTTATTCATTGCATCCAAACTATCGCTCATTTTAATATGCAATATCTACATGGAAACAGGTTTAAAAACTTTTCAATATTCAATAACTACATACTTTGGAAGTAATCTTTGTTAGAATTTAATATTCATATACATCCAAAGGAATGGTAACTAATGTTGATTTTCTAACATATAACTTGATTTTAAGCATTGTATTTTAAATACGCACCTGGGAAGCGGATGTTGAATTGAAATTTAGATTCGGGTGGATAACAGGATGAGATTTGGTATGAGGAGAGGTCTGCATGTTGATTGTCAAAGTCTATAATGTTGTAAACTCGGTAGAAATCAGCCTGTAAGGATAAAATGAGTTCTGTTATTGCAATCAGTTATACCAATATATTTACAGTTGCTCAATTGCAATGCATTGAGAAGGCAAATGTTGACAACATTTGCTATTGTTACGTCATCAATCTCTTGTGACGTCATCAATTTCGTTGATGTCAACACTTAACTTCCTGTTCAAATAACGGTTCGAAATAACTAAATCAAGCGTAACTACTCTATCAAAATGTAAATGTATATAATGAATATCTTAGCAAATGTTATTATAGCCCTATAACACACATTTATATTGCTGACAAACTCACATAAAGCCCTGTCGTGCTTTCTTAAGTTTTTCATGAATATCTAAGTGTGTTATAGGACCATAACAACATTTGCTAAAACATCCATTGCTTAAGTGTGTGTATAATGCTTCTACATATTTTCAAATGTGTTTTGACCGCAAAGTCTTTCAAATGATCAGAAACGTTATTGGTAATTTGACATGTAGTATTAAAAAGAAATAACAAATACATAATTGCATAATTTAATCAAAATTAGTAGCTAGTGTATTGTCATGCGATTTTAAATAATCTTTTAGTCTTGTGACCCTAAACATAAATGCATGTTCCAGTACATTGACACCTAGATGTTATGGCAAAGAGCATTTGACGTTACATCTATTAATAATAGTACTATAAATATTTCAATATTCATTAGTAATGATCTTAACAAGCACGTCCATACCTGACTGTCATCACTGATATGACACACTCATTAAAAAATATATACACCTATCATACATAGGTTAATTATTATGAGTCATGTTAAGCATATAAAATATATAATAAAAATTACAAACCGTGCGATGCTTAAGATACATTCAAATCATTGGCACGTCAGAAAGGCGAGGATTTATTACGCTTGCACAGACGGAAAGTAAACAAGAGTACCGCGAGCTGGAACAATACACGCCCGTCGAATGCCATATAGTGTTATACACTTTCTTACATTGAAATAAGATCTGCATCATGTAAATGTAGAAGAAAATATCCGGACAAAAAATCAAATACTGAAATGAACAAAGGGCAATAACTTTTGCAAAAATCGTCGAATCAAAGTTCTTTTAAGGGAGACACAACTTCATTTCATGATTATTTAGCCTACTATGTTTCAAAGAAATCTGTCAAAAAATGTAGGAGAAGATCTCCGGACAAAAAAATCAAGTACTGAAATGAACAATGGGCGATAACTTTTGGAAAAATCGTCAAATCAAAATTCTTTTAGGGGAGACACAACTTCATATCATGATCATAATGTATACCTAGTTTCAAAGAGATCAGTCGAAAAATGTAGGAGAAGATTGCCGGACAAACAAAAGTTTACGCCGGACGGACGGACAACCCCATACCATAATACTTCCGTCAAATTTTACGGGCGTATACAAATGTAAAGCATCGCAAGATAACTATGCCTGATACACATATACTAATAACTTGGAGGTGATCAAGTATACCAAGGTTCAATGCGGCAAACCGAGAATCAATGTAGTACAAACACACAAGGCACGCAGTTCTTTACCCAACGCTGACACGTTAGGAAATATGAGGAACCTCGAAGACACCAATTAGTATCAAATTAGAGCAATAATCTGTATCGTTAACCTTTAGATTCCATTAATAACTCCCGTCTTTCAGAGGTATAGCGTATAGTATTTTTTATATTAATTTTTACTACAGTGTGACAATAAATGTACATGTGAATGAGGTAACCTACCCATGGAGTATCGCTGGCAACTGTCAGTCTGATGGGAACAAATTCGTCAGTATTTGTCCCATGATTGGGCACATCATACATGCTCCTCTGCCAAAAAAATTGTTTGTGTTATATTGCTAAATATTGTAATTGCTCCCATTAAATGTACAACACATTTGCAGTTTTTGATGATAAAATTCCATTAACAAACAAACATTCTTGCCTATACAAAACACCTTATTGAAACTTGGAGGTCGTTTTGACGCAAAGTGTTTCCCTTTTCTTTGAAGATTACTAGTTCAACCACCGAATCATATTTGGTCAAAATTGAACTGGAAAAGACAAGGTAGTTACAAACAGCAAGAAAGTGTATATGGTTGTTATGCAAGAAAGAAACGAGGTACTGACGGCCAGGACGAAAGTGTCAATTGCTGTTATATTAAGGTATAGACTAGTTACTTACAGCCAAAAATAAAACGCTTCTGGTTGTTCCGGTATAGACTAGGTACTTACAGAGAGGAAGAAAGCTTCAATGGTTGTATTGATAGGCTGATTCTGACCCTCAACGTAAAAATGCGTCATTTTGGAGGAGAACACATCACATTGCAAATCGCGACAAGGCCTCTGGAAAAATAAAAGTACTCATTTGTTTTAAAGAATGAAAGTTATCATTCTACAATAAATACACATTGAGAAAACTTTCACGACTGTTATCTTCAATATAAGCTAGCCTAATATGACATGTATAATTATTTGATGTGAAAAGTGAATTTATAACACGGCTCGTTACGTTGAAGGACATATTCTCATCAAGACAATACCACATACCATTGTGCGTAATGATAATGTTCTTCAAATCTGGGATTGGTCTATTTCCGTAAGTAAATATCATGCTACCTACCAGCACTAGCCATACATACACTCATATATAGTCAAAGAAATGCCTATAACATGTCATAATACATTTTTCCAGTCCACCATGTGATTCAAAATATATAGTTATCTGAACTAGTTCTAAATATTATCAAGGACCAAAGAAAATGTGGCTGTATTATTATCACGAAATATCGATGCAAGGTGAATCTTCGGAGTCAACTCAACCATGACGTATTCCGTCTTTTCGTATTGCAGAGTTATCTGCTCTTGTGAGCAGGTATTGATGGTTACGTCATTAGTTTGTGTGAAAAAAGTACGTCTTTTTCTCAAAAATTTATGACGTTACTCTCACAAACCAATGACGTAACAATCAATACCGGCTCACAAGAGCAGATAACTCTGCAATACGAAAAGACGCAATAAGACCAAACAATCACGATCAGTTAATTTGTCCACATCACTGTACAAAACCAAACCAGCCAAGAGGGCCAATCTCACACCACAGTTCTCGCAACATATCTTACATACATTTTAAATTACATATATCGGTACTAGTTTGGCATAACTGGTAAGTAAATGAGGCCTAAAAACACCCGACTGACCTGGCCTACGAATGTGAAGTTTTTGTTGATAGTGAAGAGCTGAAGGGGATTCTTCATCTGGAGCAGAAAACTACCATTGTTGTGTAGCAGTGTCTGGTTCTCCATCGCACCAAATGTGGCGTTGTCTAGTGCCATAATGGTACAGTTCCCCATTATATTATCCTTCATGTATCTCACTCCTACAATACATAAACGCTCTCTCAGGAAAGTACGACCAGACGTTGGGTAAGATAAATCGATATCAGTTTGTTTTACCTACTGTTTGATTACTGTTAAGTTGCTTATTTTCGCGAGGGATTTAATTTCGCAATATTCGCGATAATCAAAGATAGCCCGAAATTAAATATCCAGAGAAAATGAATACCATGAATATACGAAGAAAGAGTAGATCTGTTTATCATTTTACAGCCGAATTATATGATAAAACACCAATTCAGTCTCGTATTTTAAGTTATTTTGTTTATACACTTGAAGGCTAAATCCAATCACCCAAAAACAAAAACAAAACAAAAACAATTAAAAAACAAAAACAACAACAAAACTCACGGAAAAACCATGAAATGGAATTTTGTTGCGCGAAATTTCATTCCCAAGAAACTAGTTATCATCGAGGCAACCGCAAAATATTAGCCCTGCGAAATTAAACAACTATACAGTAATTCATTCCGTAAACCATCATGATTTCAAATACTTTAATATCATATTATCAATCTCGTTAAAACAGGGATTCTTGAACAATTCAGGGAAAACATAAATAATTGGTAAAATGGCTTTTAGATACACGATCATGTAAGCAGCCTTCATGTAACTACAAGCGTAACTATATTTACTGGTAATAAAACTCTTAGATTCGGGATATCTTTTCAAAATTGTTATTAACGGAAATATCAAATAATTGTCTAAAACATGTTATATGATATACTATATGTTCTGACGTTGTCATATGACGTCATTTTAAAGCCTGCATAACGTACATAAATATATATATAATATACACTACGCTTCATCTATGCATTACGGGTCAACCTTTCCCACAAGTATACAATAATGGTATGCAGAATTATATGTAACATGCTGGCAACTACACCAACTGACAGTTAAACAACGTTACTTTATATATATATTTCGCACGGTACCTCCGTTGAAGTCATCTATCTGTGTGATGGGGTTGACGTTGTAGAACGGTGGACCTGGTCTGAGAGGACGGTAGTCTAACCTCACCAGTCGGTAAGCCTCGTCATACCACACCTGTTTTACAATGCTAACAATTAATTATATTCTTCTACATCTATATACCTCTTGATTTCCTTGTCCAGGGAGTTAGTCTTCTATAATACAGAAACTAAAACATCCTTGCAGACTAACTCCCTCGGCAGTTTCCGTCTCCCTCGGCAGTTTCCGTGAATTTCTCAAGGAAATAACCGAGTAAATAGGTTAAAAGATAGGCGGAGTTTGACCCCTCCATGTTGATATCGATCGCGAGACTCCGGATTTAGCAAGTGTCTGCTTTCCCTTTACAAGGTCTATTTTCCTCGGCCTCGCCAAAAACATTGATAAAATACCTCAAGCCAATGGAACGAGATGACTATGGTAAACTGGATAAGCAATTATACGAATATTTCCGCAGTTCATTTTGGTTGAACGGTTCTTATATTGAAAAATATGAACACGCATGGTTTGTTTTCAAGTTTAATAATAATCAAGTTTAAAACTCATATTGCGCCAAAAAGCCTTTTAATGTTAAAATGTTGTGATAACTAACTGAATAAATCGCGATAAAATAAAAGACTTTATAACAAATGCGGTTTAATGAAAACATAAATTTATGGGACAAGACTTATTAATGATGGTATCCATACAATTGTCTAGTTTTGTACTTGTTCCACAATTACTTACATCGACAGAGGTCACGAAACCATCTTCAGGGGAGACAACCTCCTGTCTGTAGTAGAACTGCTTTGGTAGGGCAGGCATAGCCTGGCCCTTCTGACGGCCAGAACATATCACTCCTGGTGGTGTCTGGCGAGAAAGAAGAGGTTCAGTATCCCATATTCATAAATAATGGCAAATACAACAATTTCGAGAGAAAAAAAATCACAGCAAGCACCGTAAATATTTCGTACAGAATGAGATAACGAATGTTCTATACTTCGGGTCCGAACCCCTACAGCTTACTTTTGTTCGCATTGCACGTGTTTACTATGAATGTATAATTAGCTGTTTCATCAGAAATAAGACCATATCAGGTTAGAGCCAGCCACTATGATAAATGCCGTTTGTTGTTTTTTATTGACATTTCAAAGCGATTAAATCAGCTTCGAGATAAAGAAGAAAGATTGTGTAACACACAATATCCAGATACATAAGTCTATATATCTCTGTGGTCATTGTTGTTACCTCAAACTGTTGATTATCCCCAGCAAATGGTTTAAATGCATAGAAGTCGTAGACATGATGAAAGTTCTGAGCTCCACCAGGCTTGTTCATGACGCCTTTAGCATCTGCTCGAACAGGTACACTCAAAAATTCGGATGATGTGTGCCAAATGGAATCTACAACAAAATGGATCAGATTGTGACGGATTCATCGTTCATCGTTCCTTCTTCTGTTTCTTACTGAACATTAAGTTTCTCTTTTTGTACCAGATAAATGGAAGCTGAGATTAGCCTACTTACATACCAAAAGGAGTTACCGTGACCTACTTAATTAAGGAATTTAATGGTGACATATTTACATGAAAATACCATTAAATGTTACCCTATATACCAGTAAAAATAACAGCAAACACTGACCTACTGGTGGTGAGTAAAGTGTGTCGCCCTTGCCTCATTCGTTTTAATCAGTGTGACCTACTTTTCTGCATACTATTAGACAAGGTTAACCTGCTATATCTTTTTCTTTTAATTGGGGTTTCACGTCCTGGCAACAGTCATGGTAATTTGACGGAAAGACAGTAGATAGGAAAGACAGAGTAAAGGTAGTTATAGTCGACATGTTAACCTTATTAATAGAAGTTACTTTTGACCTCCTCACCTTAGTGTGAGCTAATTTAACAATTTAAAAACCCTATTGATAAGACAAGCATACCCACATAAATGCATCCCAAGATAAATATGAAATTTATTTATGTCCTACTTCCCTCAGAAATACTTGTCGAGAGTGACCTACTTACCCTAGTTGTAGTCGTCAAGTATGACCTACTTTTCTTATTTATGGTCGTCAAGGGTGACCTACTTATCTTAGTTATAGTCTTCGAGTGTGACCTACTTCCTTTAGTCATTGTAGTAGGAGATGACCTATAACTTACCTCAGTAATAGGTGTCAGGTGTTACCTATTTACATTAGTCATAGTAGTAGAAGATGACATATATATCATCACAAAGTGACCTACTTACGTTAGTAATGGAACCCGTGAGTGACCTACATACATGATAAGACAATGTGGTAGGAAACCTTTTAACTTTACCAGAGAAGTAGTAGTCGACGGTGAAGTTGGCGTCTTTCCTGGCCCAGTACAGACAGGCTTGCCAGTGGTTTACACTGATTCCCCGGATTACATCTTTACCAATATATCTCTGCGGACATAACAACAATAATGTTTAATACACAATTTCACAGTAAAATAACGTTTTAATAAGTTGAGGACTATTTGACATGTGTTTTTGTTTTGTATTTCATTATTGCGTTATATTTTCATTTCCACTGGAGGTTCCTCAACAAGCATTACCATAAGAAATTAACTATGAACTATGTATGATTCTAGTATTATCAAATTTTGTGGTGACAACTAGTTTGACTCGCTAACCAGAAGGTAGTTTGGGTAGATACGTGTTTCTATCATCAGTGATGATTGTAATTACCTCCCTTTATCTCTCATAAATCTGAAGGTGGTGTCAGATATGTCTTCATCATTATTAATGTTTGTGATTACCTTCCCATATACCTTCAATATCAAGGCACTATAGCGGAACAGGTGTATCTATCACAACCCATACGAGGGCAATGTAACTGGTTATTACTGATATCATTATACATTTATAAGATTATTTTTAATTAACTTTATATGTTTTACAATAATCATTAAACAATTTATAAAAACTTATATCAATCACTCTTACTGGTCCTTGTTTAAGCGCGCTGGTGGTCTTAAGGTGGGAGTAAATCGGAATTCCCGAAGAATGCCCACATGGTCGGGCAGATGTCCCAAATAACACTACGAGTCCGCTCGGGGGATTGAATCCCGACCGTCTTAGTGAAAGGCAAGTGCGCTATCCGCTGCGCCACCAGACCACCATATTTCTGACCGACAGTAATTTCTCTCAAGAGTTCTCATTTAGTTACCTCTCCATATGATTGTCCAAACTTGAGGGCGGTGTTACTGGTCATTATATGTTTATATCCATCCGAGTCTTCCACACCAAACAGGTCGGAATACATGCTGTCCGACAATATGGACAGTTGGCAGACACCATCTGAGTGAGAGAAAAACAATCAAATTATTAAAAATATCAGCAATTTTGGAGAAACACGTTTATTGGCGAGATATGTGTTCATGCTATCTAATGTAAAAGTATTTATATTGAAATTCAACAACACGAAAATATGTCATTTAAGTGTATTTGCTGTATGGATAGCATATCTTACTAATTCTATTCATTCTGTTATTACGTTTCATCAGCTATTTGGTGATGGTTCAGTGTGAAATAAGTTTAAATAAATGTGATTTATCTACGGTATAGTCTATAAAACACCTTTCATCATTTCTGTTATGTTGAGTAAGTGATTAAGATTATTTTTTATGTTGAACACGCATTTACGTGTACAGGCTGGGATGCAGTCTATTACCTTTGCGATTCTTTTACTTTGGCTATCTTATGTCTTGACAACAAAATAACCTAATTCTGATAACACCTTACTTGTGATGTAGTACAGTTCGTTGGATTCGTAGTTAAATATAACGCGGGTCTCTGTTCCTTCGCTATAGGTGACAAGCGTCGCCCTGTTGCCCGTGTTATCGAAGTACTCCACGACGTCCTTGGTTGTGTTGAGCTCCATCAGGTTCACCTCGAGGTTTGTCTGGAAGCTGTCAGGTAGCTGTGGTAGACTTGGGCCATTACCTTGGACACCTGATGATAACAGATAAGGGTGAAACGCCCTAAAATCGTAAACTGGTCAACATAGCACTGTTATGAAAGTCAACTACCTTACTTATGATTGCCAACTGGTCAGCACATCATACTGCAGACCTAAAAACGTCAACTGGTCAATACAGCATACTGTAGAACTAAAAACGTCAACTGGTCAACACAGCATACAGTCGACATATAAACGTCAACTGGTCAAAATAGCATACTGAAGACCTAAACACGTCAACTGGTCAATACTGCATGCTGCAGACCTAAAAAAGTCAAGTGGTCAACACAGCATCCTAGAAGACCTAAAAACGTCAACTGGTCAATACAGCATACTGTAGACCTAAACACGTCAACTGGTCAATACAGCATGCTGCAGACCTAAAAAAGTCAAGTGGTCAACACAGCATCCTAGAAGACCTAAAAACGTCAACTGGTCAATAGAGCATACAGTCGAAATATAAACGTCCACTGGTCAACAAAGCACTAAAATGATAGTCAACTACCTAACTAATGATGGCCGATTGGTCAACACAGCATACTGCAGACCTAAAAACATCAACTGGTCAATACAGCATACCGTCGACCTAATAACGTCCACTGGTCAACAAAGCACTGAAATGATATTCAACTACCGAACTTATGATGGCCGACTGGTAAAACAGCATACTGCAGACCTAACAATATGAAGTGGTCAATACAGCATTCAGTCGACCTAATAACGTCCCCTGGTCAACAAAGCACTTAAATGATATTCAACTACCGAACTTATGATGGCCGACTAGTAAAACAGCATACTGCATACCTAAAAACGTCAACTGTTCAACACAGCATACAGCCGACATCATAACTCCAACAAAAAACGTCAACTGGTCCACACAGCATACAGTCGAACTATAAACGTCCACTGGTTAACAAAGCACTGAAATGATATTCAACTACCCTGGTCAACAAAGCAATGAAATGAAAGTCAACTACCTTTCTTATGATTGCCAACTGGTCAACGCATCATACTGCAGACCTAACAATATGAAGTGGTCAATACAGCATGCTGCAGACCTAAAAAAGTCAAGTGGTCAACACAGCATACAGTCGAACTATAAACGTCCACTGGCCAACAAAGCACTGAAATGATGTTCAACTACCTAACTTATGATGGCCGACTAGTAAAACAGCATACTGTAGACCTAAAACCATCAACTGGTCAATAAAGCATACAGTCGACCCATAAACGTCCACTGGTTAACAAAGCACTGAAATGAAAGTCAACTACCTTTCTTATGATTGCCAACTGGTCAACACAGCATACTAGAAGACCTAAAAACGCCAACTGGTCAAAATAGCCTACTGTAGACCTAAAAACGTCAACTGGTCCACACAGCATACAGTCGATATATAAACGTCCCCTGGTCAACAAAGCACAGAAATGATATTCAACTACCCAACTTATGATGGCCGACTGTTAAAACAGCATACTGTAGACCTAAAAACGTCTACTGGTCAATACAGCCTTCAGTCGCCCTATAAACGTCCACTGGCCAACAAAGCACTGAAATGATGTTCAACTACCTAACTTACGATGGCCGACTGGTAAACCAGCATACTGCAGACCAAAAAACATCAACTGGTGAATACAGCATACAGTCGAACTATAAACGTCCACTGGTCAACGAAGCACTTGAATAATAGTCAACTACCTAACTAATGATGGCCAACTGGTCAACACAGCATACAGTCGATATACAAACGTCCACTGGTCAACGAAGCACTTGAATAATAGTCAACTACCTAACTAATGACGGCGTCTTGGTCAACACAGCATACTCCAGACCTAAAAACATCAAAGGGGCAATTTAGCATACAGTCGACCTAAAAACGTCCACTGGTCAACGAAGCACTTGAATAATAGTCAACTACCTAACTAATGATGGCGTATTGGTCTACACAGCATACTGCAGACCTTAATGATGGCGTATTGGTCAACACAGCATACTAGAAGACCTAAAAACGCCAACTGGTCAAAATAGCCTACTGTAGACCTAAAACCATCAACTGGTCAATACTGCATGCTGCAGACCTAAAAAAGTCAAGTGGTCACCACAGCATACTGAAGACCTAATAACGTCCCCTGGTCAACAAAGCACCGAAATGATATTCAACTACCCTGGTCAACAAAGCACTAAAATGATAGTCAACTACCACAGCATACCGTCGACCTAATAACGTCCACTGGTCAATACAGCATACAGTCGACCTAATAACGTCCACTGGTCAACAAAGCACTGAAATGATAGGCAACTACCTAACTAATGATGGCCTAATGGTAAAACAGCATACTGCAGACCTAAAAAAATAGCATACTGTAGACCTAAAAACGTCAACTGGTCAATACACAATACTGTAGACCTAAAAACGTCAACTGGTCAATACACAATACTGTAGACCTAAAAACGTCAACTGGTCAATCCAGCATACAGTCGATATATAAACGTCAACTGGTCAACAAAGCACTAAAATGATAGTCAACTACCTAACTAATGCTGGCCTACTGGTAAAACAGCATACTGCAGCCCTAAAAACGTCCACTGGTCAACAAAGCACAGAAATGATATTCAACTACCTAACTTACGATGGCCGACTGGTAAAACAGCATACTGCAGCCCTAAAAACGTCCACTGGTCAACAAAGCACCGAAATGATAGTCAACTACCTAACTAATGACGGCGTATTGGTCACCACAGCATACTGCAGACCTAAAAAGATCAACTGGTCAATACAGCATACAGCCGACCTATAAACGTCCACTGGTCAACAAAGCCCTGAAATGATAATAACTACCAAACTAACGATGGCCAACTGGTCAATACAGCATACTGCAGACCTAAACACGTCAACTGGTCAATACAGCATACTGTAGACCTAAAAACGTCAACTGGTCAATCCAGCATACAGTCGATATATAAACGTCAACTGGTCAACAAAGCACTAAAATGATAGTCAACTACCTAACTAATGATGGCCTACTGGTAAAACAGCATACTGCAGACCTAAAAACGTCCACTGGTCAACAAAGCACTGAAATGATAATAACTACCAAACTAATGATGGCCAACTGGTCAATACAGCATACTGCAGACCTAAACACGTCAACTGGTCAACATAACACTAACATAACAGTCCACTACCTAACTTATAACGGTCAACTGGTCAACACAGCATACAGCCGACCTAAAAAAGTCAACTTGTCAACATAGTACTAACATAACAGTCCACTTCCTACCTTATAACGGTCAATTGGTCAACACAGCATACAGCCGCCAAAAACAACGTCAACTCTTCAACATAGCACCAACATGATAGTCAACTTCCTAATTAATGAAGGTCAATTGACCAAAAACACACAGCCGACCTGGAAATGTCAGCTGGTCAATATAGACCTAGAATGACGACCAACTACCAAACTAGTGACGATCAACTGGCCAACACAGCATACAGCCGACATCATAACTCCAACTGGTCAGTGCAGAATTAAGAAACCGTCCTCTTTAATTAATACATTTCAGCTTGTAAACATATAAATAACACGGCAACCAGCTACTTAATAAAGGGCAATTATTCAATAATGAGATTGATATTCGAAATTAATTTCATTTGGAAGAAAAAGTTGAATCTTACTTGCGTGTGTTGTCAATTCATTAAATGAATCACAGTGATGTCCCTGCTGCTGAAACCTCGCGGACACCAGGACGGACGCCAATACAAAGACGGACAACCACTGTAAAATGGAAGAGTGATGGAGAAATAGAACAGAAATGACCATGCACTATAACTAGAAGGGAAGAGTAAAGTTCGTCAGTTCATAGTTACGGCGACCGGTCCTGCGCTAAATATGAAATCTAAACACGGGTATAATTGTTGGTTTGTCTCGGGGGATTTGTATTGTGATGCTTAATAATGTTAAATGTATAAGTACTTTCTAGCCTTGGTGACACAATTCCTATCAGAGACCAACTGATATATTAGTGGTATCATTGTGTTATCTTTTTATGTGGTGAGTATATATTTGTGAATGAGTATATGTATCATGTATACTAGAAATCAATACATCAGTAACCTCATGAGTATAATCATCACGCATATTTATGTTATATGAGATGTGTATGTTCACATACAGTAAATGAGTGTCGTATGTGTATGTGCATATTAAGTAGGTTATTTTTCGTAATTGAGTAAATGTGTATGTTCACATGACGTCACTAAGATGTGTAAGCTCATATTACATCAGTCAGCAGATGTATGTTCATATTAAATATAAGTTTGTGTATGTTAATATTAGATATAAGTATGTGAATGTTCATATTAATTTTAAGCATGTGAATGGTCATATTAATTATAAGTATGTGAACATTCATATTAAATATAAGTATGTGTATGTTCATATTAAATATAAGTATGTGTATGTTTATATTAAATATCAGTACGTGCATGTTCATATTAAATATAAGTATGTGTATGTTCATATTAAATATCAGTATATGTATGTTCATATTAAATATCAGTATGTGTATGTTCACATTAAATAAAGTATGTGTATGTTCATATAGAACGTAAGTAAGCCAGCATATGTGACTTATCACATCAATGTTAGTAAGCGAGTACATGTGTATGTTCATATTGAATATACGTATTTGTATGTTCATATTAAATATAAGTATGTTTATGTGCATATTTGATATAGGTAAGCGAGTATATGTGAATTTACATCACATCAATCTAAGTAAGCGATCAGATGTATATGTTCATATCAACAGAAGTAAACGAGTTTACGTGTATGTTAATATTAAATATAAGTTTGTGCATATTAAATGTAAGGATGTGTCTGTTCATATTAAAAACAGTATGTGAATGTTCATATTAAATAAAGTATGTCTTTTCATATTAAATATCAGTATATGTATATTCATATTAAATATCAGTATGTGTCTGTTCATATTAAATATCAGTATATGTATATTCATATTAAATATCAGTATGTGTCTGTTAATATTAAATATCAGTATATGTATATTCATATTAAATATCAGTATGTGTCTGTTCATATTAAATATCAGTATATGTATATTCATATTAAATATAAGTATGTATATGTTCATATTAAATATCAGTATGTGTATGTTCAAATTTAATATAAGGATGTGTATATTCATATTTAATATCAGTATGTGTCTGTTCATATTAAATATCAGTATGTGTCTGTTCATATTATATATCAGTATGTGTCTGTTCATATTAAATATCAGTATGTATCTGTTCATATTAAATATCAGTATATGTATATTCATATTAAATATCAGTATGTGTATGTTCATATTTAATATAAGGATGTGTATGTTCATATTTAATATCGAAAAAAAATGCGTATGTTCATATTAAATATCGGTCTGTGTCTGTTCATATTAAATATCAGTATATGTATATTCATATTAAATATCAATATGTGTATATTCATATTAAATATCAGTATGTGTATGTTCATATCAAATGAAGTATATGTATGTCATATAAAATATACGTAAGCGAGTAAATGTGTGTGTCCAAATTGCATAAAAATATATATGTATAAATGATGTATACTTTTTCGTAATCATCTAGGCTGTGTATGTCATTGTATGCTAAAAGGATTTATATAGTTACAATTAAGTATGAAATTTTGCGTTATAAAGTTCGAACACTCCGTTTTTAATCCCAGCCATAGGGCTTCTCTGTAATATATTTACATCACTTGTGTAACTTTATCACATTAATGTATATTTATCAATATATCAGTGATAAATAGAACGTCTAATATGCCCGGTATATGAGTGGGGATTGTATAATATATACCTTAGATGAATTTTCTATCAAAATCGACTAGTGTAGACAAACAACGAAATTAGTTTATAACATAAGAACCAGAACATGAAGAGGGTATCTGGGATCCGTACCTACCTCCATCACTGTTGTTGGGTAGATGTATCACACAGACTGGGGTGTTTAGACGGCCGCCATTACACAACACTGAGACAATGGTACCTGACGTCGTGTGCACCCGTATCACTATCACCTGTTTGTCCTATCTATATGATACATACGGGTGAATTCTCGTGTGAGCTGGTATCTCGTCCTAGCGGTTTATCGCGGCGATCTGATAGACGGGTCAGAGTTTACTTTACAACAAAACGTTACTGAGTGGTGGCTTTTCAGACGGTTATGATACAAGATCAGGGATGACGTCATAGAGTCCAGTCTTTAACTGTCTTGACCAATTGAATGATTTCATTATCGATAGCTTGTATGAACGCCGGAGTATGTCTTATTAGCCAAATTAGAAGTTGACAAACCTCCCTTCTAATATTGAAAGTTATAATTCTATTAAACAGATGTAAAAGAAGTTTAAAATGATTATCTGAATATGTGAAACTCAAAATATATAAATTATGAGATATTTGAACATTTCGAGAAAAAACTTAAATGAAACAGTTTAGGTTACATGTACCAACCAGAGCTGACTACCGGATAGGGCCTTCACTAGGATGCATTAGATAAACATCAAAAGAAACGTAAAATGGTTTAGTTTTGATATTATCATATAATCGATATAGCACAGTTATTGGTAACCCCGGGAAACGTACGTAGCGTTTAGGTTCAATTCAAATTAGTTTATTATAGAGTCACATGTAAAAGGTACAAGTATTACAATCTCTAAAATATGTCTACTCACTCACCTTTACATCCAGTCTATATTAGACTTACGAGACACTCACTCTTCCCCTATCATTCTTGACTGTAAAAGTATTACATATATGCACACATTTATGAATTTAAAAAAAAAGTTGCGACGTCGGTTAAGAATATTAACACAGGTTTTGGCAAAGGACCTCGCCAAGTAAGGGTTGCTTAGGTACGATCGATCTGTTTATTCCGTATTTGTATATATCCGACTATATATATTTATATATAAAAACTAAGGTTCCAGCAGCTAACTAATTATTTGCTTTAGATTTGCGTTAATAATCGATAGTTTGTTAACATGTATCTGGGTTAATTGGAAAAAAAATACTAGAATCATGTTTCAACTCCATAATATTTTTAAACAGATAATTATCTCTTAAGAGCGATTAGAAAGGTACACAAGAGAAGATAATATATTCATCAAACATTGATATTTATCTTTAAACGTTTTATTTCATAAAAAACCCATATGATAAATGATAAATGTGCATGAAAAAAATCTATATAACATTAGATGTATACATAAAAGTCTTTGTTGCGTTATGTATATATATGGACATCTGCACAACATATTATTTTTACATAAATTTCTACACGACATTTTGTATAATTAAGTCTATACGACATTTTGGATAAGTAACACTTCTATACGACATTTTATATAAGCACGGAAATCTAAGTCCGTGGTATAAGTATATAACATAATGCACACATAACATTTCATATGGCAATATAAACAATGAAAGTTCCATATAACATAATATATACAAATACATTTCCTATTTGTTTCGTGTAAAAAATAAAATTTAATGTAAAATAATCCATATCTGAAATTCCATAAAATCATACCTGTTCCATATTCACCATCAGACTATATTAATATTACCACGGAATTAGATTAGATATAAGTCCGTGATATAACATATTTGTTCTGAGGTAATTTTACAACATTATTAATACATAGAACATGTGCCATAGTCATAAACATAACAAAAAACTGTAATGTTTCATCGTAATTTTACAACTCACAAGTACGTACGTAAAGCCCATGCTCATACATAAACTATATCGTCATTTTAACTAAACAAGATTAGATCAGTACTAAAATAGATCCCAAAGGTTTCCTTAAACGAACTAGAAAAAGGTTATCTAATTGTTTAGCCTGTAGCGATAACCGGATCATATACGATGTCTTGTGTCAGGTTAGCACACTCGCCAGGTATTTGTGAATTACCCCGTGTCGGGCCCCACTACAGGTAGATCCTCAGCTAACGTAGCTTAAAGCTGCCGTGTGGTAGTAGTATGTCACCTGAACACAGTTAAACCTGTCACCGCCCCAGCTCGTCCCCAGGACATGAATCAGTTTTCAAGACATGACCAAGTCTGGACGAAATAATACGGTTATATCGAGGAGTCTGTGTTTACAATGGGAAGGACGCCACGTGTACGGAACTCCGATCGGAAGGTAGGTACAGTTATATATACCATATACAGCTATATTTATATATGCAGCGTACACATATATCAGCATGTTGTAAGGAGCGTTTCAAAAATTGGTGCACATGTTTATAGATATACGGCGTTCATTTGAGTTAATGTCAGGTTACACGCCCACTTAAAGTGTGAACTTACGTGACCTCTTGTGTCAGGAAGTTCGAACACACCTGGCTGATGGCGCTACCTATGCAGTCATTTTGAAGGAATCAATTTAACACCATTCACGAGTGTTTCTTCATTTAATACAACAAAAATGTATATATAACGCAGACATTTATGCAATGTCTGTTTAAACTGTGACACTAACGGTAAATTATTGATTCGGCGAGTAGGCTACTTAATATGAAGGGAAGTAATTCAAATAATACGCTAAACCTCTCACCGTTTACCTGTATGGGGCACCAGGAGGGGCTTGTGATACCCACTCTACGGGGCGTGGGGGAATTATCTAGTTATTGTACCACAAAGAGCATCAGTTTAAATAATTTGGCATAAGTAAATGGCGCTGTTTTTTCTCAAAACAATATAAACTTCAAACAAGAGCAAGATCAGGGTCAATAGTGTCGGGATCTAAACGAAGCATGCATGTCGTGTGCAGTGATGCAATCACGTGTAACAATCGTGTATAAATATAGGATCTTACGTGAGTTTCTATTTCATATCAAATTTATGAAACTAGTCTAAGCATTTTTCAATTTAATTAGCGAGCCTCTGGCGCGCTCAAATGAAAAATTCGTGACGGGTTTCATAAATTTCATATGAAATGAAAATGGGTGTAATATCCTTTTTATCACATGATCAAGATTTGTGGCATTTAAACGACAATTTTCATGCAACATTGAAATGTAAAAAGCCGCCATTTTGAGTCCCGTGCGTAAGTCTGTGAACTCATCTACTTGTCCTAGGCATGACGTCACGATTGAAACAATTGGAACTTACAACCAATCACAGGGCTGATATGTCATATTGCATGGGGTTATATTCACTGGATAACACAGTACACTACGTGATCAATGGGTACATTGGAGTTAAATCCACCCTTTTCCGTAAGAAATATCTGATAATTTACACAGTTTCCAATATCAATAAATTCATGTGTGCGCCAAAGATCGTGCAAATCACGCATTGTTTGTGAACGAAATGGCTGCATATTCTGCCAATTAAAAATAACGTACCGGTAAGCAGCCATTTAACGACCTAGACAGATCTGTTACTACTTAAACAAATACGTATAGGCCAATATTCGTATCAATTAATACTGAAATTGTGCTAGGAAAATTAAAAGAAAAAATATTCTTTAAAAACACACACCAAGTATCTACTGTACTAGTTTAAATGGGTTCCCATGCTTTTCTTTTTAATTAACAAAATACCAATTAAATACGAAAAAACACAATGTATTAGGTAATCTGACGGGCTGTTAGATATAACAGGGCCGTGCTATATTTCTCCACGTGGGTATAGGATGAATGCTTCAATTCCAATCTAATTAAAGCAGACCCTTAATTACGACAGTTCTCAACGTATATAAATGACAAATTAGGACAGGATGATTGCATATAATAACCCGTGCCTCACCAGTTCAGTTTCAGGTTAATTTACCTATTGTATAGTATTTGGAAACTTTTATTTCGTCTTAATGACTGCACACACATAGCCTTACAGGTAAAGTTGGTTGGTCATTAAGACACTTTTTTTTATTTATTTTTTATTTTACTGGTAGTTTTTATGGGGAAAACATAAAACTTTTATTTCGTCTTAATGACTGCACACACATAGCCTTACAGGTAAAGTTGGTTGGTCATTAAGACACTTTTTTTTTTTTGATTTTACTGGTAGTTTTTATGGGGAAAACAATACCCCCTTTGAAAATGTTAAAAAAATCAGCTCAGAAACTTGACATATGATGACGTGGACAAGAACGTATATTTATTCATCTTTGTATAGCTTGCTACGACCCATCACAAGATAATGAGACTCGAGTGAATTACCTGTATATATTTGTATATATAATGAAGCACACTTATACATATTTGATTTTTTGTGTGTCATGCTAACTTCATTAGAATGATATCTTTAACAGATGAGATGGAGGCTTTTCGGTGGAACAACATGAGTTAGGCGGCTGACGCGGAGTTCTGTGAGAATGAGATGGTCGAACTACATCCCGGGCGACTGAGATGTAGGACGGTTGTCTACGTCGTAGTGATCCTGACTTTAATAGCGACAGTGTTTATATCTCGCTTATCTGTGTCGCGAAGGACTCCAAGGAAGAAAATTAAAGAAAAAAGTCGAAAAAGACAGCAGGAGAGGGACTATATAGACGTGACCAGGATAGAACACAAAGTCCAGACCCAATTCTTGGAACCCACGGATGAGGCCCTTAATGAGACCCTTTACGCACCGACCTCGCGGAGGCGGAGGAAGAATCACTGCAAAGTGTTCCGGGGCTCGACTGAAGGCCCAAAACACTGTGTACCACTAAAGACAAAATATGGGGAAACCCCAATCTGTATATTTGATCCGGTCGAGGATCGCATGATCTCATCCTACATCCGGGATTACGGTACATGGGAACCTGACTTGGTGAACATGACCATTGACATCCTCCAAGCCAACCCTGCTATGCAGTTCATTGACCTCGGGTGTAATTTGGGTGTATTCACCCTTTCAGTGGCTAAACTCGGCCGACGGGTGGTGTCCGTCGACATCTTGTCCCGGGCATTGGACAACCTGCAACACTCTTTAAAGCTGGGAAACCTGACCGAAAATGTGACGCTTATACTGAATGCAATGTCAAACACGCGGGAAAAGGTCAAAATCAATTTAGTTCCTGACAATATCGGCGGCAGTCACGTGGGACAACATGGCGACATGGGACAACACGAGGAGCTGATATATAGTATTATCATGGACGATCTCTTGGAGATAATCGACTCAGGGGAGGTTTTTGTCAAAATGGACATTGAGGGTCATGAACAGAAGGCTTTAGAAAACAGTAAGGAGTTTTTCCATAAAGCGAATGTCAAGTTTCTTTTGATGGAATGGATGCTACACAAAGGAAAGCCGAGTGGTGACAAAATTATCAAATACTTATTGTCCAACGGTCTGCTTCCCTATCTAGACTACAACTTACGAGAAGTGCTACCATTAGGACGAGCCTCGTTCTGGCCAGACAACGTTCTGTGGGCAAAGAGATAGCTTTTAGAAAGATACGTGAAAAGAACAAACATCCAAAACCACAAAAGATGTGCAATCGATTAACCTCTTTCCATGAAGCATGACCGAATCTAGTCCAAATGAAAGTAGTTCCTTATAATGTTGGTGCATGATACAGTATAAATACATGTGGTGTATTGATATGTTTATTTTTAAATGTCTGATTTTCATCATTATTCAAGATTTTAATATATTGTGTTAATAGCTTTAGGATTGTCTTTTTAAATATACCTGATTCATTGTATTTTTATATTGTTACCTCACACAAAGTTTTTTACACACTGCGGGGCCCTGAAGGGGAACTTAGCTAAAAGTTTGCTTTAAAACGCATCTCCTCCGATGATATATCTGATATTTTGCTTTAAGACGCTAATTGCCTGAGTGGATTGTACATTTGGTCAAAAACATTGCTGAGGAAGAACAAACATTGTTTAATTGAATGAGGTTGATTTGACCCCTGCGGTCCTAAGAAATGGTACAGCTAGATTATCATATTCTATGGTGTAGTTTTCATAAATTGTTAAAACTTGGTTTCTAGGTTTGTAGAAGCTTATAGTTGAATGAAAATTAAAGTATTGTCTAATTACACCCTGTAATATGACATATTACTAATTTCAAAATCTGTTAACATTGTAAATCAATGGAGGCCCCTGATTAGTTGAAAGTCAGATATTGTGGTCCCAGTTGGGTTAGAACATAGATCTTGTCTGGTTTTGAGGAAATTTCATATAAAGATATACGAATGCATTCAGTTGTAATGACTTATATATAAAACCAGGTGAACGATACAGGTCCGATGACCTCTTGTTATATTTTCCCTTTGTTCCACGTGAAAAGCCTTAAGGACTTACAGCTTGCTGTATGTGAACTAGATCGTAACTATTACTTTGTTCTCATTTAAGATTAACACTTATCAAATGACGTTATCGCTAGATTGATACAACGGATGATGTCCCATACATTCAGATTATGACCTGAATATGTTATTATGATATAAAAATTGAGATTGATTGACCTATCTTGTTCCTGACAATGGAAATGTTAGTCGAATCTTTTCATCGCCCATATTAATTTAAACAAAATATGGTCCAAAGTTTCTGATTGCCATCCACTGAATGATATGAGCATATCATTAGGACCGCCTGTTTCAAATTCTCCATCCACATATTTACCACCAAAATTGAGTCAGGAATCCTCGATTGTTGCACACCATAATTGTGTTGATAAATTTTGGCCTTGAAACCGAAACATGTTCTGATCCCAATAGAAAGGGATTAGGGAATATATGGAGGGCGAAGTGTCGTCTTCAAATAGGAATATCAAGATTGTCTTCGTTTACGCATGGTAACCAGCCTGGTATACGAACTGGTGTTCTGCTGTCGTGTAGACGATTCGTCCCAGACATGAGGTGTTCTAGTATAGTTTACATGGTATGACATTTGCGTTTAGTCTGATGATAATAGAATTCATTGAAATGTAACATTCTACATAAATGGGTGTTTATATGTAGTTTATAAAAAACTTTCATGCCACCCATATTTTTAATCCTATTAATGAGCATTCTATACTATAATCGGAGAACTAGAGGCATTTATGGAACGAATTATATTGATACAAGTATTACATATTTTATGTTATGAAAAGTTCAGAAGAAAATAATCTTCGGTTGAATTCGTTTTCCATGTTTTTAACATTATTACACATTTTTGATGAATACCATATTCTTTTATCATTTGCCGTGGAAGTCAACGTACTTTATGTAAATAACTTGATCTAGCAAGGCGATACAATTATCCCCTAAATATATGTCGCTTTACAAAAGTGACAAGATATACAAGAAGATGAACACATGTCGTCTGATGACCAGGGAAGGATAGAAATAGTAACTCAATATACATTGATTATCTATTTAGGCCTATTTAGATAAAAACAACAAGATGGTTCCGACGTGTTGATTTTTTTTTAAAAAGGAGGGAAATATAAACAAAGGAAACATTAACAATGAGAACCTAGAAAAAGTACAAAGAAAATAAGACCAGATGTTCCGGAGGTGTCAGCCATTTCTGCTTCATCGACAACACGGGCCATTTGAATCTAGTTAAAATCTAAGTAATGCCACGTCTTCATAGCGAGACCGGGGGTAAAGACAACGAAACCACAAGGACACTTGTGAGCGTATCAACAACATCGACCTTCATATAACATAAGGAAATAGTATATTTTTAATGAGATCCCGATGGCGACTCTAAAACTTACCTATAATCTTCATCAATCTGAATCTTTAGAAGCCATGAGTTGTAAGTTTTATCGGTCAGCCGTCGACGTCTCTTACACAATCATGATATTTGGAGTAAGCACTTGAATATTAAATCTATTTCGATAACTACACACCGTACGTTTGGAAAGCAGGTATGTTGCTACCAAGAAAGGATAATTTAACTATCGATAAAAGCTTAGTAGAAGGCCGTCCTTGTGGGTCATATGATATAAAATGCATACTGTTGTTAAACCGTTGAGGCCAGCAAAGATGAACTTGATTGACACTCAGGAGATGACAAACACAAAACGACCAAAACAATATGTATTGTGATATCAAAGAGGGGATCTTACGGTGATATTGTGCGATGCCCATGATTATGTACCAATCTTGCGTTATTAAATTTTAAATAATTACCAAACTCTTTGAAGGTTGTCGTCATCATGAAAGATCAATATTTGGTTTTTAACTGGAAAGCAAATTTATCTTGTATCCATCTTTATATGAGCTGTCCCTTCCATAATATAATGTATAAACGACTATGTTTCTTGGTTTTAAAGGCAAACAGCCTCTAATATTTCACAAAATATGTTGCCCGCACTGTTGCTATAACGTCTGTGCCTAAATATTGAATCGAGGTGTCTCCGGACCCTTGTATATGTGTTCCTATTTTCTCATTTTGGCAAAATGTCCTTCAACTACCACGTTTTTTTTTATGTTTTTAAATGTTGTAAAGGTTTATGTTTATCAAATAGAACAATAAGAAAACAAATTTATCCGATGAAAACATTTAAGACTGAAGATTTATTATCAGAAATGGATCAGAATCAGAAAGATTTTTGTTTTTAACGCTTTGAATAGATTTTGATACGTCGTAATTTACAAGCAGAGTTAGTATACCTATTATAGGATATGGAAACAAATCGATAAATTGCATGTTAACTTCTAAGAAAAGAAATATCTTCAGTAGATTGTCCTTCATTTTTATCTGGCCCCAAACAAAATAATTCAACAATTTGCCAATCGGCTTATAAAAATCAAGGAGATGTAAATAGTTGTCAGAATATATTTAAGACCATTCTGTATTAATTTACAGAAAGGTTTAGTTTTGCAATATTTTACGAAGCACTACGTAAGTTTTAGGTAATGGTGATCAATCATCAGATATTACAATGCACTATATATTATTGATGCACACAAAATATTTTGCTTAGTACTGTATATTAAAATTAAATGTATTTCCTTTAACTTACCTTGTAAGTACAAAAGTTCAAATAAAGTTATTCATATCATTAAAAGAAAAAGCAATATATATCAATAAATACTTTATATCAAACTTTAAAAAAATCCATACAAAATCACATTTTGTTGGGAAAGAAACATCCGGTGATGCTGAGCCCCGGAGAGATGATGCAAATAGCGTTTTGGTCATCGGTTCCCTAGCAGTATTGATAGAAATATCACCAAGCTTAAGTACAAATAATATATCTATGTCATCGCGAGTCATAAGCAGCAGTCGCCAATTCCTTACCAATAATTATAAAGTTCGGGGAGAATAAGATCTTGCTTTTTGATTGGTTGCTAGAGTAAAACGCCATTGTGTCATTTAAGTAAAGCCAAAGTTGATACCAGAGTGCATGGCTACAGTACTGTTCATTCAAACGCGTCGAAATGATCTGAAACGACAATCAACAACTTATACAAAGTTTCCGATAAAATTAAAAATTAAAAATGGACCGGGTTCATTGCACGTCAATCTCTACTGTCCTGTTATTTTTCAAGCTGATTCGAAATTTAATATGGCCGGCCTGGCTAATGGTTGAACTTCCATCAAGTTGTTAATAGGAATCCTCTTATGACTTCACCTCAAGAATTGTTTGGGTCAATTTAAAATCCAAGAAAACTACCCTGTTGAGATAACAGGTTAGACTGACCCAACGCATAGAATTGAAGCAAAACGGGTGCAAGTGTTCTTCTTATTCCCCCGAACAAGTGATGCTAATGTAATTCTTTGGGAAAATAGAAAAATCAAATACTGCTATGATGAATGACCTTTCAGCTTCTCTTCATGTTCAAAAATGATTTAAAAGAAAACAAAGTCCTTATTTACGTTGCAGTTATATTTTATCCATTCATAAGAAGTAATAAAAAATCATCAATCATCATGAAAATCGGTCAGTATCAATATAAAAACTATAATAACTCTCTACAAAACGCTTGGCTGTATATATATGTACTGACCAGTCGTTGTAGTAAGGTTTGTAACAAGTAATCGATTGCCGTCCAAGCTGTTGCCTGAACCGCCCCTGACAATGGTGACATGTGCAAGATTTACACACATAATACTACTCAACATTTCTTCTCACCCACACCACCACACAAACGTGCTGAAACAGCACACACAACAACTGAATGATACCAAGATCATCCTCAGAAAAACAAAATCTTGGAGGCGACAAAAAACAGAGTATTGACGCTAATCTCGCAGACGATCACACATATTCAATAGTGCGACGTTTCTCATATGAAGGGATCGATGGTTTAGATTGTTTCTGTACCCACGTTTGACGGTATTGGGCGCAGGTTGTAAAAGGCGACATCAGAAGACGACTACGGAATAAAACAGACAAAAAGTGAATGCAGTGATATTATAGTTGGTGACAGATTGGACTGGTAAATGGGGAGTGACAAGGCACGCATAATGGTCTAGAGCATACAGTACCATCCATGGAAAACGAAGTGAAGGGAGAACATTATTCCACTCTTAGGAAACACTAAGATAATTGTTGACATCAAACGACACATGTTGATCGATAATTGGTTTCTTTTCTGTTGAAATTTGGCCGAACTCTTTGACGGGTGTGGCTGGCTATTTTCCCTAACGTGATGGTGCTTACTAGTGTGTTTGTGGCCGTGGCCTGTCTGGTAGTCATGGTGATCGTCTACTGCCAAATACAGACTGATGTGTGTTCTAGAAACGGGAAAAAGGACGACGATCAAGATGGAGTACAAGGTACACACAGAAAGCTTTCCAAGGATTACACCCCACTGTAAGCTGTGCATGGTTGTATTGTTTGTGTCAAATTTATCAGTTTGAAGAGCAAAGGTGCAAATCTATAGTTATCATGGTTTTAACAGTACATCACGACGTCCTCAGTGCCAAAATGAGTAGTAATGTCTGGCCATTGCAAATTCCCTCGGACAAACGACACCGATGACACAACGCTTCAGAGCCATTTGGACATTTCCACGTGTGATTGGTTTATATCATAAGAAGGTAAATACATCATACGCTCACAGAACATGGGCGTAAATTGGCTGACTTTTTATCTACGGATGGGATATATGACATTATGTGTAGGCGGAAAAATCTAGGCAGCCAGCAGGAATCAAAATGTAAAATCAATACGTCCTTCACCTCCATATATGGATGGCAGTTAGAACATTGGTTCTATTTCACCTCAGTGTGATTGAGCTAAGGAAAACCCGGTAAAAGTAATAAAAGAAAAGGAATACTCTGTTTATACACAACATTTATAAACAAATTGATATTGTATGCTTTTTGTGTAAATTCAACATGGGTAACAAAATATTCTATTTATATTGTTTAAAATGCGAAACAGCAGGGATCACCTTAAACTCCGCTATATCTGACCGAATGAAGAAATAAAACATTTTTGCTATCATCTGGACTGATTCATTTGTTTTATTACAAACGTTTAAAATGTGTTCCCGCGTGTTTCTGACGTCCGGTCAGAGATGGGCATTGTGCAGACAGATACAATTTTATCTATGTCCATACGTGTGCACAATGAAAGAGACATATCTGTGACATAGACAAATGTATAGCATTGTATGATAACATGCCTGCAATTGTAACACATGCGTAAAATGCTTATCGTGTGCTGCCTGAAAAACCAAATCAAGCAGGAATAACGTCACAAAAACAATGATTTAAATTTTCATATTTCACAATAACATTTCATAACAAGCATTGTATTCAACAAGGATTCAGATATATATATATATGTATACATAAAAAGAAGAAATAATAAGTTCACCTTGTAATATCATTAAAAGACACCGTTTTATTTGGAGTTAATTCGAGCTGCAATCATTTGGCATTACTGCCGGGTAACAAACGAGAAGGACTTACCATGTTATAAGAAAAGTGAGCATATACTTAATAATAATATGTATTGTTTTCAATCAATTATTACTCAACCATTAAAAAAAGTCGAGGAAGAGGATGAACAAATTCTGTATTACAATTGAATTAATATTAAAGGGTATATATTGCATTACCTTATAACAAGTCATGGGAATTATCACTTAAAGTTAGATATTACAGTACTGTTTTACATGTCGTGGGAGTAATCAATAAAAGGTCAATATTACAGCACCGTTATTCATGTCGTAGGAATAAATACTAACAGGTTAATGGTATAGCACCGATAAACATGTCGTAGGAATAATCAATAAAAGTTATATATTACAGCACCGTTAGACATGTTGTAGGAATAATCACCAACAGTTAAATATAACAATTCCATATTATATGTCGTAGGAATTATCACTAACATGTAAATGTTACAATTCCGTATCATATGTCGTGGGAATTTTACTAACAGATTAATATTACAGTACTGTATAGCATGTCGTTGGAATTATCACTAAAAGTTAAGATATTACAGCACAGTAATGCATGTCGTGGAAATTATCTCTAAAATATGGTGGCATATTTCTGCCATCCACTTGCGACTTACGAGTTACGTATGTCGACATAATTATTGAAAGATGTCGACATAATCTGAGAATATGTCGACATAATCTGAGAAGATGTCGACATAACTTTTAAATTATGTCGACATATTATCACATTTGCCGAGATAATTTTGCCGAGATAATTATCTCGTAAGTGGGTAACTCGGCTTTTTATCGTGTTAATGCTCGGGTGTGACATCGACTTGCCACTTACGACTTGCCACTTACGACTTATTTATGTCGACATCCTAGTAGATTATTGCCGACTTACCAAAACGAGGCTTGTGCACGAGGACCGCGAAGGTGGGCTGATGGTGACTGAACAGTGGTGACTATACTGGTGAGTAACTTGGTAAAATCAATGTAAATATGGGAAATCAAAGATATGGATATTACAGTAGGTTACTATGATGTACAGAGTTTATCAATCAAAGAGGGATTTTACATAAATAAGTCGTAAGTGGCAAGTCGTAAGTCGATGTCACACCCGAGCATTAACACGATAAAAAGCCGAGTTACCCACTTACGAGATAATTATCTCGGCAAAATTATCTCGGCAAATGTGATGATATGTCGACATAATTTAACAGTTATGTCGACATCTTCTCAGATTATGTCGACATATTCTCAGATTATGTCGACATCTTTCAATAATTATGTCGACATACGTAACTCGTAAGTCGCAAGTGGATGGCAGAAATATGCCACCATACTAAAAGTTTAATTTTATATCAGATATAACAGGAGCTATACCTTTAATGGTTAAAATGGTTTAATTAGTGTCAAATACGAATAATGAAGCGAGAAGTGGTTCATTTCGAGTAAAAAGATGGAGGGTACGACATTTTTTTTTACATATTATACAAGAATACCATAATACAATCACTTTCACATTTCATGCAATAAACACAAGAAGTCAAAGAGGAGCATTTGATAATGCAACGCAAAGCAGTCAGAGATGGCAATATCATTGTTTTATCACATAATGTACTGTGTTATCCAGTGAATATACCCATGTCATTTTTTTGCGTATTAACACATGTAATATGACCTATCACCCCTGTGATTGGGTGTAAGGTTCAATTGTTTCAATTGTGACGTAGGACAAGTACATGACGTCACGGACTAACTCGCCAGAGGACTAGTTTCATAAATCTCATATGAAATGGAAACTCATGCAAGATCTATATATATTTACATTGCATATAGTATATAACATAATATAAATATACGGCACTTTCAATATTAATACTGTTATATTAACAAGAAATTGTCAAAGTCATAACTTTACAATTCGAAGCATGGTACTCTAGTTATATATACAAGTGAAAAGCACTGATTTGCTTTCCAGATAGAAAATGCATTGTATAAAAATATATTTATATTAATTCATGATATATGCAGGTTTAAAACTTCTAAATAAGGTTCGTTCTCGAAAATTAGGTTTTGATAAATGTGGTAAACCTTTACATCTACAATCAACAAAAACAGACTTAAAAAAAAGAGACTTAAGGTGGCTCCACACATCGTCATCAGCGTCTATTTTCGTGACGTACTTCCGGAAGAAGTACAGCTCGGACTCAATTATCTTGATCGAAATGTGCATGTATACCGTGTCGTCATTTCCGTATTGCGTATCGGGCATTCAATATCGTAGTGCAAATTATAGTAACACCGGGGCCGTTTTCGTTTAAACGGTCAAACTGATTGGACCACTGTTGTTCGTTTATTAAATAAAGTCGGACCTAGTAAAATCTGATGCTGCTTTCAGGCAAGCCTTGAGAAAGCCTTGCAAGGCCTGCATACACATTTGCAGGTCCACCAGGATTTATACCCGAAATGGTTACATTTACAAACGGTCAAACCGGTTGTTCCGCATAAACGAACAGGCCCCTGGTAAACAATAGTACACGTGCGTGCCGATGATATTTCACTAGCACCCTATATCGAGATTTTACCGGGAAATGTATAATCGTACGAACTTCAGGAATAAAGCTTTCCAATTCATAGACATAAACAGACTCACGGGAAGACAGTGACATGAGACCAGACGACCTCAAGAAGGTCATAAAGGAAACACATGGAATGCGGACGTACCGACCTCACATGTGCATATCACGTGCTTACACGAGTTCATCAGCTCGAAGTCGTTACGATTTTCGCTATTGAGGGAGTTTCGCTCTGTCGATTAAATCGTGTTTACAAATGTAGTCTACTTACTCTGTGAAAATAATGTTTTGTAAAATATCAAGATACCTATGAAATGCATGTGTGAGTGCACGTGAGAACGGCATACCATGCGATAGCCACTGGTCACATTTGTACCTGACATGTAATTATAAATATACCGTGAGTTAGCGGACTGTGGAATGATGTCCAAAGTGTACATGACTGAGGGTAATTTGGTTCCATTAAAGAACAATAAATTGATAATTTTGATATCATATTTTTTATTTATTTCCATCATTTTTGTTATATGTAAACAGAGACTACTGTCATTGTGTAAATGTCATCCCTCTGCAAAAAGTGATTGTAAAATGTAAAATAAATTAATTATAAAGCCATTGTGTTTATTTTGTTCTATTTCCCATTCTATATGTAGAAACTTTGTGTCCTGTTTGCTTTTAACTTGTAGATAATCACTTTTATTAGTACAAATTCAATAAAAAAAACACTTTGTGTAACATGTGTTACATATTTTGCGATGAATAAAATATTTGTAGGGTTCATTAGAAATGCTTCTTTTCATTTTATTATTGTTGTTATTGTTCCGAACAATGCCACACATGGTATTTTTTCCAAAAAAGTCCCCAAACTATCGGAATGTTTAGATTTTCATAAAATCAACTCTACATAGTTGCATACCAGTATATGAAAGTTTCAACGAATTTTGCTGGTTAATTGCGAAAGTGGGTAGCCACCTTAAATACGCTCTGTGTGTCTTCATTGTTTGCCGTTATATTTGATTGTTACAGTTGGTGAAGAGGACATAAATAATGTCGTAATAATTTTGGCTTAATATTTGTTGCATTTCTTGTTTCGGGCAATAAACATTATCTTTGAATAAAAATCAGACTAGTAAAGTAATTGTTCGCAACATTTCAGTTCGTGAACTGAAAATTATTATTATAAACCTTGTAAATCATACAAGAGGGGTATTACTGGAAGACAATAACTTGTTTTCCGATCAGATATACATTAAAAAAAAGCAAAGAGAACTCAAAATGTCTGATAATATTTCAGTCGCGAGCCAAATGGGCTGTAAGGCGTGACAAAATATAAAAAAAATTGCAAATGTATTTACAATTATTGATTACAAAAATAAAATTTAGAACATGAATATAAAATTATTGAATATTGTAACATTTCACACGCCATTGACATGCCATTGATAACAATGGTAAACAATGTTTATTGAATCAATCATCTTTGATCTGTTACTGAGAAATTACAAATTAAGGGTACCTCATGACACTTTAGTGATAAACAGAATTTGTTATTTTGATGATTTATTTCTATAATTCTCCAAAGTTCAAAAAATTGGGGTCTTTTCCTATGCGACGTCTTTTGGCCATATGTAATTTTGATTTTGATGAGAGATACACAAAAACATATGACAATATGACGATAATTTGTTTTACATTATTTTTTTCAATTTCTCATTACACACCTTTGTGATAAGTCATTTTTCCTCTGATGTAAATTCACATGTATACTTGTAAACCTTGACATCTCCGTCATCAAATCCAACCCACACACTTCCGTCAGTATTCAGAGCGAGAGATCGCGGTGCAGCCTGACAATCACTAATCAACACCTTCAAAGGCCTACAAAGCGGATCTAACAACTGCACTGTTCGTGAGTGGTGTTCGGTAATCAGAATCAGGTTATTATGATTAAACATCACGTCGTTCACACAAAACTTTTCCGGTAGGTCTGGCATCTGTTCTTCAGCACTGACTGTTACCCCTAATCCAATACAGCGACATTCAAGCTTAAGCTCTCTATCAAAGACAACTAAATGACCTTTAAATTTTGTCGTGCCATTTATAATGGCGACATTCCCGGTGTTGCTGATGCAGATGTTACACGGTATATGAAATATGTCTTCACCATTGACATCTTTCTGAACACGAGCCAGCTCCTTGCCTTTACTGTTGTACTTGACCAGTACTGATGTTGTGTTCGGCTGTTTGGACAAGGTGGTTTTGTTTGTAAGGGTCACTAGGATGTCCCCATTCGATGTTGCACATATATTGTTAGGTGCTAATGGTTCGGTACGGATGACCGTAGACGTGGCAAGGAAGTGTTTGTCCTGTTTAGTCACCACTTCTTTGATGCACTTCTTTGAAGGACAAGAAACCATGACTTGATTTGTTACTGGTGACACTAAAATGTCAGATACTGTTGTGTTACATGGTACACAATATTTAAGGATACCGTCCCTTCCAACAAGTTTGATGTTATCATCCCTGTAACACTTTAACCAGACGTTTCCGTCCACACCAGGTCGCATTGCGAATGCTGCAGAAGAAACGTCGAACTTCCTAATTGGTGTCAGGTTGAAGTCACATTTTATGCTTCTGGACGTCGATGCAGCTTTCAGCTCCGTGGAAATGTCAGTCGGACCATCTTGGTATATCTTAGGAGAAGTGTGTTTCTCCGGTCCATCCCCATACAGGTCAAGAGTACATACACTGGATGCACTGGATGGAATGTTACAACGTGACACAGCTGAATTTCCATAGGGATAGATGGTATCCTGAGCATATCCCTCCTGCTGAACAAGTTCTCCGAAAAGTGTTTCTATGTTATCTGTTTTGTCAGTGATATCTGGTATAAATTCAAGCCTGTTTACTTTTGGAAATTCCAATTGGACAACTTCCGGGGCTTTGATTTTCCAACCCTGTTCGATAACTTCCAATAAGTTATCATTAGCTTTAAGTCTTTCTATCCCATCTTGAAATTCTCGAATCTTCTGCAATTTTTCCGTGGTTTGTAATTTGAATTCATCTAGATCCTTGGATGTTATTTCCCTTTGTTTTTCCAATTGTGTTATGGTGTTTTCAGTAACCACATCCAGTAGCTGTCCGAGTTGTTCTCGTCTTTTGAGGACTTCTCGTTTAGAATTAACAAAAACGTTATCCTCCTGAATGAATCTTGTTGAAGTTACTTTGAGGTCTGACTCTAGTTCAGCAAATGGAACATTGTCCGATATTTTTTCGAGATTCTTGACAACGATCTTAGCAACAGTTTCAAACGAGCGGAAAATATGTCCGTCATGACATTGTTCGTCAATACACGTACTGCAGATACAAGCGTTGCATGATATACACACCATGTATTTATCTTTACCGTGGTCTTGGCAGGCCATTTGTACACAATACAGTATTCATTCATGTATAAAACTATGGAGACAGACACATGTGGAAGCCATTTTTATCACTAAATCTGTTACTGCGATTCTGTATTTAAACGAGGAAGAAGATTGTGGGAAAACCCACAATTATTTTTACGATTTCTTGGTAAGTCCGGTTAGTTTAGTTTGTTTACTCGCCAACCCTTTCGTACGTTTTGCATAACATCATAAGCGATACAACCAATAGTGATTTGTAGAATTTATTGGTTTAGCGCCATTCAATGCAGAAGAAAATCACAAGTTATGAATTGGACTTTGCCTATATAAATATATTAAGATAGCTCCGAGCAGAATTAAGTTAACAATACTAGCTAGCACTTTAAAGGGCACTATATGTATGTGTGTGTCTGTATATTGTGGAATTTGACACTTAAGCTACGTTGTATTTGCACCGGTCCCTTTTTAAGCAATTCATTTTATATTTGCAGGCTGCATGACTTCACTATTAATTTACACTTTGATATTTTAGTTTGATGCCTGCGTTTGTGAGAGGGTCATTTATGAAATAATCAATTATGTGTTTATAGAGGTCGTTTAATAGTATTTGTAATTTAAGATTTTATTTACTCATGGATAATATTTGTATTTATAGCATATCAACAAAGCCTAATATTAAAATAAATCATATGTGTATTTAAATTGACCATTACCTCTGTCCACGTGCATATGAGCAAACTTGAAAAAATCGCAGATTGGTCGTTTGTACAGAGGAAATTATTAATTTATTTTACAGAATTAAAAGAAAATGATGATAATCAACACCATTCCACTTTATGACCAATCTAATTAAAATTGTGTCTTTACATTGCTCTCGTTTACTGATATGCCGCTTTCACGTAACATTTTAGTAAACGTGAGCGATGTGAAGACATAATTTTAATTAGATTGCTTTACGACTTTCAAGATTTAAACCAATAATGTTTTTTTTGTTTTATTAAAGACATAGTTCAGTGTAATTAAATTGCATTCGTTAAATAGAATTGATGCTAATCATAAAAAATATTTCTCAAATCTTGGTCCTTTAGTATCTGATCAACGAAAGAAATCCAATAATCAATCATTTAATAATTGTTTTATTTTTCAGCTAAGTTATCTGTTGAGTATTGTATAATATTAATGTGTCAAATATGATATAACTGCTTATGTTGTTACTGATAAAAGAATCAGGATCTTGTAATTGTCCTGACGCAGCCTGTATCTGCCGTTCCTGCACGTGTATTTCCCTGCCCTGTACTTGACGACCCATACTTATCCAACACACAAGAGGTTTTCTACAGTTACAACAAATCTGCATTGTAAAAAAAGAACAGGATAAGCGAAGCTTAAAACCTTCTATTAAGAAATGTATTGTTACTCTTCACAGTAACAATGTTTTATCGCTTGGTCTGCTTTTAGCCAAGCCCAGCGATAAGACAAACATCAAACATCTTACATGTATTTTTGTATCATTAGTTTGGGTATACACTGGAATTGTAACATTATACGCACCAGAAGGGGTATTCGTGAAATACGGATTTGTAGGAACTCAAAAGAAAAATTGACGTTTCTACTCTTTACACTACAATATCCGATTCAAAACACAGCAACGATATCTTTCTCTTTGTATTGTAGAAACAACATTTTTTCCCCCCAGAAAGGCGATCGACGATATATACTGCACATAAAATCGTGAGAATGCATTATTCCTTAATGACAAATCTTTGCTAAGACTGTTGATAAACAATTTCCCTCTCCTGGTTTTATTGTCGCCATCATGATTCCATTGGAATATATTTTTTATAATATTTTCTTGCGTGCTTTGAATGACCTTGTTTAATTGTGCTAGTTTAAGTATGCATTGTTATTTCACTACAGTCACTACCCCGGTTCTCAGTTTGAGGACGTGGTATTATTTTGATTTGACCTAGATCTGTATAGCAGGTGTGTAATATATCACACAACATCAATTTAATCTTGTTGAACAATTGGTCACATCTGCTTATACTTTTTCAAAGATCGCCTTATTAATCTTTCTTTTGTTCACGTTTTGTACGTGTTGTATCGATTTTTGTGCGAATTACAGCTTTATTGACTTGGTTTTTCTACTTTTCTTGTATTAATATATGTATTTATCAATTGTTAAAAGCCGATTAAAATTCAATCAAACAGATTCAGGGCATAGCTTGGAGAATTCAGATATCAATTAGCAGATATAATGATATAATCAAACAAAATCAGAGATAAGAACAAGGAAATGCTTAACCAGATATAACAATAAAAAAACATAGCATAGACATCGGCATACTCTAGCTAGAAAACAAAAGGAAAGAGATAACAGAATTTTGTATAATACGTGGCTAGGATGTCTTATAATGCTTGTTCTTGAAAACAACAATAACATTTTCATAAATTTCAATTTTCACACTCCTTGTTCTTGATAAAATAAATACAGAAAAACAATATTTAAGAAAAATAAATATATAGTCGACAATCGGAGACATTTAATCATTCTGAAACAAGATTTGCCTCCCCTGTATTCAGTATAATATTGCAATGCGCCAGGCAGACCGTGAATGAGTCAGACTACATGTGTATACACTGAGAATTATCACACAGGTCGACTGTGATAGTCAGTCACGCTTCAACTGTACTTTTCATACACCAAAAACCTGACCTAAAAACACTGCAACTGCCTTCATTCCTGCTGTGGATCTAAACAATGTAGACTTGGAACATAAGGGATCCGTACACGACAGACCTCGTCACCTGTAGCTTTAAACAGGAACCTATTTGTTGTGTTATGTCTTGTATATAAATTGTTTGTTAAGACGATGAGACTAAATACCTCCATTTTGGGGCCTGTTTTGGTGGGCGTGTGTATAGTGATACTGGCCCAGAACACAGGACAAGTACAAGGTATGTTTTTTCTAATAAATCTTGTTTTCGCATGCTTATATCAAATAATTTGGATTGTTGATGCAATGATTGTTTACTCCTTTCTTTGTATGTGTGATACTTGTTAGCTCAGTACATTATGTGTTTACATTGTCAAAAATAGCATTTGGTGGCGTGATATGCGACTAGTTAACTATTCATGCAATTGTTTTCGGCTTTGTTAGATATATACTTTAAAATAAACACGACTATATATATATGTTACATGTACTTAAGCAAGGATCTAAGAATAACAAGTATAACATCACATTACACTATATTAATGCCCAGTCACTCGTCGACCTGGAACATCTTATGTATCGGAAATGCACGAATTTAGATATCCGTGATGTTGCAAATAAATTCACAGATTAAAAAACATGCCTGCATTTCGTTTTGCTACATTCTGTTCTAGGATACATATGTGCTACATCTGCATATAAATACATCTAAATATGGTTTATAAATATAGACAAATAATGCAATATATTATAGCAGGACTGGTATTATGTAAATATGTGGAGTGGAATGACTTCATGATTGCAATAAAACATTTCACTTGTTTTTACTAACAGTTTAAGTTGACTATGTACAGGTGTAAATCTCTTATGTTTCCCTCATACTGACAGAGGTCAGTAAGGTGGGAGACAATACGACTATGTACAGGTGTAAATCTCTTATGTTACATTCATACTGACAGAGGTCAGTAAGGTGGGAGACAATAAGACTATAGCAGGTGTAAATCTCTTATGTTACACTCATACTGACAGAGGTCAGTAAGGTGGGAGACAATAAGACTATAACAGGTGTAAATCTCTTATGTTACACTCATACAGACAGAGGTCAGTAAGGTGGGAGACAATACGACTATGTACAGGTGTAAATCTCTTATGTTACACTCATACTGACAGAGGTCAGTGTGGTGGGAGTGTGATGTTATGCTTTTTACACAATGAAAACGGTGGGCCATCGAGTCTGATCTTCATAGGAATGTTATATCGCATCAAACAAACCATTAACCTGTTAACACACCGGGTATCCCCGTGTCTACTTTGTATTTAAATGGCATTACCACAGTTTCCATACCTTTTATACCTGTTTGTTAGGTCTAAATACATAGAAGTGTAAAAATATATTGTTGCGATCGACCGACCAACCATATTTCCCTAAACCTGAAAATTAGTATAGTTTCTGTTTTCTGTTGCACACAATACAAAGTACATATATAAACAAAACATCATGAATCAGAAGCGGAAGATAATAATATTTTGTGTTCAGAGTATATAATGTATCTAGTGGTTTAAACTCTAGTAAGCTGATTGAGTGTTAAAAAGCACTGTTGCTTCTGTAGTTTTTTTTCTTAGGTAACATTTTTGAATTTCAATTAATGCAAACTTACAGCAAACGTCTTTTTCTAAGTGTAGATACATGATGATGATTGACATAACTTGTCACCACGGTAACTGGGCAGGATATACAAATATCTAAACATGTATCAAACTACTACGGTATTAAGTATGGTGTGTACAGTATACTGCCTCGTAGTGTTTACTAAAGGGTAACGTTCAATGTCCACAAAACTCGTTACAATGTCCTTAACAAACCTTAACCACTGCTACAGGGATTGGGGCTATTTACCGTCCGAGACATTATTGTGAAACATGAATACATGTCACGACTAATTCTATATACCTTATCCTTTGTGTCCAGCGGATGGTATGGATGAAGGTTCAAATCAGACATGTTGCCTCTTTTTTCTTTACGAATAAATAAACCTTTATGAATTGCATTGAACAACAGCACACAGATAATGTTTACAAAAATGTATTTAAAGTGATTTTACTTTAAATATATTTGTTGAAAATTATCGGAAGTAGGGTTCGAGCTTGTTTGTGCGATGATAATGAATTTATATTAGTCTTATTCCATCATAGTTGACACCAGGAATATACATGTATGTGCACTTCAATTAAAACAAAAGCAATAGCACAAACTCCAATAGCTTTAATATGATACGGACATATTTAATTTACTCATGATGTAGATGATACTGTTAAATCAATTGGTGATACATCCGTTGATCAGGCAGGATACAAGTATCTTTGAAGAGTTCCGTTTGTAACTGACCTTTATCACGATTACAGCTAGTGACCTACGTACCTGCTTTATTTGACGGGGGATATAATGGGTGTGACATCCTTATGGAGTACATGAGCTCATCTGCGGATGATTTGTCGTGACTCTCTTTGTCATTTTGTTGTGGTTAATCCTCATTTCCTGGTGTTGTACACTTGAATCACCCTTAAGTTATAATTTGTCCTGGTGTATGGACGGTGTGATTTATATATACATGTTTCCCTTTAGTATACTGATGGATGTAGTCGGTCTAGTCTCGTCTCTATTCTGTTGTTTTTTTTTACTGTGTACACTTATTTAAGCCTTCTTGTCTAGACTCATCTTTATTCTGTTCTGACTTTGTTTATTAGCAAAGAAGTAATAACGATAGTGCAGACAAAGGAATTTGTCAAATTTTCAAGGAAATGCGCCTCCTTTTCAAGACAGAAACATGAACACATATCAAAACATTAAACAAATAGTCACTACGAAACAATGCTCCAACACGTAATACATAAACAAACAACACAAGTATCACTTATGAAATATGCTGATGTTATTGAATAGCACCTCGGTTGGCTTGTAACCGAAGGTTTATCATCGTAACAAGACATCTTAAAGACGCAAGTGCAAGTCGACTAATGGAAAACAAGTGAATAAAGGTAGTGAGAAAATATATAACTGTAGATGTGAGTGTAAGCACGACAAGAGAAAAAAAAAGAAGCAAAATAGCGAATGGTGTGTCTGTTCTAGTGCCCATATTGGATCACAATGTCAATATTACTTAAGAGACCTTTGTATATATAGTGTTCTGTTTTAGTAAATACAATAATTCATATTCTCGTGTCTTAACACATCTTTATTTTGATCTGTTTTAATAGATATATTTAATAATGCCCGCGTGTCTAGTCCCATTTCTATTATGTTTTGTTTTACTATATAAACAAAGATATAATCACAGATAGCGTATTCATAAATAGCTTGGAATCCTATCACAATGAAAAAAAATTAACAAAAACTAGTTTTCTAATTTATTGGAAAAATACATTTAGATACGTATGTATGTAAAGGTGCGAACAAATGCTTTTACATGTGTACATGAAATAACTATGTCAAGTGATTTGACGTCGGTAACCTACGTCGTAATGACGTCATATTGCATCATTGCTCCTTTTTCATTTTAGAACGAACGTACCATCCATTATAAATATCAATATATTGTTCACGACTAAATCTGCTTATTTTGGAAAAGAATATATCGATTTTGAATTTATAAGTTAGAGGAAACCTTCAATTATAATATCATATAAGTTGATATTAAAACAGTTATGAATTTCAATAATTAAATATATTTTTGTTTCCGATATATTTCAAGGATGTTTACATCTTATCATTAAACGCCTCCATATATTGACTCTTTGTAGGACTAACGTGCATAGACTGTGCTGACTTCGTTATCAATGGATCAGCTGCCGGGGCTATAGTGACTCCAGTCCTGAACGCCATCCCGGGTATTCGGGATAGAAACTGTCGCACTGCAACCGCTCAATCAAATATTGACATGACCACATGTCCGTCAAATCCCACATCCGGGGACCGTGTGTACAGATGCGGAGCCTACACCGGCACACTCAATGTTGTTGGCCCATTGAACATTTTCGGTAAGTGTAATACTATTTAAGTAATTTATTTATCAGATCAAACATTTGAATAAGCTAAATATTTTATGCAATACTTGCTTAGGGCTTTGTCCAAATGTTTTTAAGTCTTTAGGACCCCAGTCCCACTGCATTGTCGTTTTTTATATGTACAGCTACCTCCCCTTAACTTCCGTTTAACTATAACTGTAGCACATTTGAGCTAGCAAACATCCGTTGACCAGGTAGCTCAGGTGGTAACAGCAATAGTATAGCAACCAGAAGTCCAGGTTAAGAATACCAGTCAAGCCCCTCTGATTTGTTTACTCTCAGAACACTTTTATTGTATTGGTTATGTTTTGTTTGTTTTAATTTTAGTATTTTTCATAAAAATCCCGCAATGTTTAGTTTTCTTTTCAGAAATGATTTATTAAGGTTATATGTTGGACAAATCAGTTCCCAATACTTAGTTACAGTTTTTGACAGTGGTATGGGGATCCTAAAAGAGTTCCAGGTAATGTCAGTATGCAATCCTGTTGAACCGTAACGGTTACCTGCGCTCTTAATAGATTGCAGTCCATTGCGGGAAAGGCCGCATGAAATACCATCTGGGTACAGTGACGGAAGAAGCGTTCCGGAAGGTTAAACATTTCTGACACCACACGTAGTGCCGGTTTACAAGTTGCCCATAAAAAATGTTTAGTCATGAACCATTTGAGATTTCAAATACGATGAAACTGCTTACCCTTGGTAAACGTTATATATACCAAAATTGCGTTTAAAAAAGTAGAAAAAGAAAACAATCGAAGCAATAAAAAAAAGCCAAATTTCAATATGAAATTGGACTAAGCCCTAATATTATCCAATAACATGAGTATGACTCCAGCTGGTCTTCATTTAATATAGAGATAGTTGAACTTAGAAATGTTTGTGAACTTAATATTAGTACTCGTTTGATCTTGTTTCAGATATTCCTGTTCATATCATTGACCGTGAGTGTGTTTTGGTATACAAGGGTCTGAACGATGGTTGTCATCCCCAGAGTTTTGCCCAACAGGACGCCGCTACTTTCCAGAAAATTTTCGAGAGACTTGATAGCTTAGGAGCCGTCACTTTCAGGGGAAGCATATGTCTGTCAGGCGACGTTTCTGCTGCCTCTAGCATACATATAGCGCATTCTTTAGTAATTTCGATAGTTGCTTGTTTTCTGTATATGTTATTTAGCTTGTCATGATAAAAAAAATTATATGCAATGAAATTATGTATGTATCTATATATGTAAAATTGGTAAGAATGATTTGTTATAATGATATTTGCTCTATCGATTGTTTCATAAGTGTGAGGTTTGAAAAGGACACTTAACTGGTTTGTGAGGACATTTTTAGTTTATATGAATATATATCGGGTAGACGAAGCCGTGACCAGTGTCCGTATTCATGAAAACGTTCCAATGTGCAAGCAAGGATCCCGTGTTCAATCCAACTTTCTTGGTACTGGCTTAAATCACGTGACATGATCAAAACGTCAAGAGTTTACATTGGAATCAACATTTGGCTCCAAGTCTCTCCAAAATTCTCCGATGTCACGGAGTGAATATTATCAATTGATCACATGAACAAGAAAATTTGGATTGAGAACGGTTTAATAAATACGAGCCTAGTTTTATATAAGTATGTTACCAGATAGTTCTTTGATAAGAACTAAATATGTTTCTTGTAGAAAACTTACGAACGAAAGAGGTGTGGCGATTGAGAGTAATCCTGCGTTGGAAACATTTAACTGTTCAGTGGGGGTTAAACTAAGAGTTCCTCAACTCTTGCAATCCCTAACATTTTATGTATATTTACACAAATGTATCTGACATAATGTATATTCATGTATTATAAATTATTGCATCTTGAGAAAATGAAATTGATTGAAAAAAAATGTCCAAATGTTTTCCAAATCACTGTTTTTTTGTGTATAAATTTATCAAGTTTTAGCATGAGAACGGTTTCAAAATACGGGCCTAGATACAAGATAACCTGTATTCATATCAGAACACCTCAAGATGAGTTAATCCCACCGTTGATTATATCCTTGTTCCATGTCCACATAAATCGCTTCGGTAGGTCCATTGCGCAAGACATTGTTGACAACTGTAATTGCGGTAATTCGGTGGGTCCTCCAGACTTGCTTGTGACCTTACATTCAGTCAAAACTGTATACAAGAATAGTAGCGTGCTTGAACCATTCAGATAACAAGAGTATAGACATTTGTGTGATACGTTCGCTTAAGGTAAAAATGGAATAATAGTATCAGCCATAATAACACTATATCTGTTCGAACACTGATATACGGTTTGAGGTACTCTTGTTTTGAAACGGTATCTTTTCAATGTACGAGATATTTTTAATTTTACAATTCTATATTTGATGTAACTTCGGAATTATCTTCAGCTATGGTATTAACCTGAAGCCAACATAGAGCCAAAGTTGAATTGATACATTAACCCAATTACCCCTAAAGTCACATTTGAACCTTACCAAATCAATGACTTTGCAAGTCCAGTATAAATATATGCAGGGGTGAATGAGTTAATGGTTCAATTTTTCAAATATTGTATTAGCACTTTGTTTATCTATATTTTTATATAAGCATGTGATGCCTTTTTTTTTTTTAATTAAGTTTTCCTTTTTATTGGATCTGTTGTTCCTATTAAATTGAGCCTTTTTAACCATCCTACTTAACCATTGTTACATCGTACTTTAATGCTAGTATATTAGCACAGGGTAAAACAAATGCTCGTGTACTCAATGTTCAGGATTATATTATTTGTATGTTTTGCAAGCTTGTACTATTATACCATAAAACAGTTCTACCATGCATAATACAATTAAAACGATTGGTTGATAATAATGTCTTTTGTATATTTTTTTGTCCTGAACAAATTAAATTTTATTCATAATCGATCTTTTCGTTTCTTTATTATTTTTAAATTAGCTGAATAAGATTAATAATGTTGACGGTCTCACGCTGGAAAACAATATTCATTGAGCTCAATTAAGTGTTAGCTTATCTGAATAATTACATAGTACGGCTATATATATTTTCAGCAATTTTTAATGAAAGAAAGCATTAAAGTAGTGGACACATTGACAGCAGATAACAAAGAAAAATGGATTATTATGAGTTTTGTCATTTTTCCTCGATTCTTTTTATCATCATGATCAGGCAATTGTTACTTCAATTTATTTGTGTATTGATTTGATAAACGTTTATTTGGAACATAAGTATACCATAAATACAAGAAAATAGAAAAAAATAGATAATACGACTTTAATATGTTCTCTCTCCTTTTTGTAATACATCGGATGTTTTAGGGTGAAAATCAAATGTATACAGATGAAATAAAAAATTATTATAAATAAATAAAGATAAACAAAGAAATAAAAGTAATCCATTAAAATACATGCATTTTCTTTCATCACCCCTAGTGTTTCTTGTTCGACACACCAATTTTCTATTCGAATTACCTTGATTAGATGGAAACAAGACAAACGTGTATTTGCTGTTACGTTCTCCTTCGTTCTTCAACATAAATCATTTCGTACCTATTCAGCAATGATAATGTAAGCCGAGTGACCTTTCAACAATTAATTTGATAGCATAACATACGTGTACGTGAGTTCATCAGTGAGCGAAATGTGTTTCATAATTAGATATATCAACTCGTATTGAAGTTCAAGAGAGCTCTTTTAAAATCCAGTCAATCAGTTCAATCCTGAACGTTTTACTAAAACAAAAAACTGTCACTGAAATACTTATACCAGAAAGCATTGACTTCTACAAATTTAAACAATAATTAGAATAATACAGATAACATGGCAAATTACACACCTATACCCTTTCTGTAAAATCTTTAATAAATTTTATCAAAATGCATTATTAATAAAATAAACAAATACGCGTCCGTACTTCTGTGTATCATCTCGTGGAATGCTACTATACCTGTTATACGATTAAAGAGCTAGGCTACAACCGAAACAAAATTCATACCTCATCATACTCAGAACAAACATATTTCATTTTCTTACAAACTAATGAAACACAATTAAACAACAAACAAATGTTAAATTAATCTTGAAGGAGGATATAACATGCATATGATATCATCACTTAGGAATTGTTAAGTGACTCATCATGATTGTGCTGTCTTTAAACTGTTGTATCATGATGCTTAATGTATCCAGATATAATTTATATCAATTTTAGCATATTTTTTTATTTACTTATTTGATTTATCTATCAAAACAATCGATAATAGCAATATTTTTCAAGGTTAGATGTTTTTAACACTATGATATGTTTTTCCTTGAAAACATAAAAAAACTAACTTTACAATTGATCAAACGCTTTTTTTATTATTTATTTACTATTGAAAATTCATTTAAAATGTATTAATTGAATATGTTATTTATACACTGACAATGAAACCCTTGTATCGGGAAGAAAAGACTTTGTTCATAGCTACTTCCAACATTCGGGCAGTTTTGTGGACAGCTTGCCAAAGTTCGTTCCATGCACATAACATTACAGCTCTGGCTTTAATACAGGTTAAGTGGTTATATATAGGCTTGGCAGCCTTTTATCCGAAAATGTCAAATTCAAATATAGGAACTGAAATTTAAAATATTATTGGTACGGTCATGCGTTATTACTTCCAGCGCCTCCTCAAAATAAGGATTTGTCCATATTAACTTTCAATTTCATGCATTTTGATTTTTTTTCTCCGCAAAAGTTGAACTTTGAGTTTCATCCAGTTGGAACTCTAGCTTTCATGTTATTGTGAAAAAAGATGCCCTTTTATTGCTGAAAAATGCATTACGATGACCATAATAGGTATCTTACACCTTAGAGGTAGGGACAATATCATAGCTGTACTTTATTATGTTTGATATTTGATGTAACGATTTTTATTGTGACGTGTCGGCTTACCTTCATAGTGATTTATGTTTTGACTTATTGACTTATCTTTATTAAATATCTAAAGCACGTCTTTATTAATGCGTTTTAGGTGCATTAAATGTTCCTATACATAGTTGTGATTTATAGCTTCATAAAATGTTCTTTCGTTTTGTCATGTCTTAATAAACATTTTATTAAATAAATGTTTCTACTAAAAGTATTGCATAAATCATAAAAGATTATATACGTTTTTGTAGAATTTATTATAAATACATCCAATCATGGATGATCATAGTTTAATTTAAAGCAACTTTCATAAGGCTTGGCTTTCATTGATCATAATGACTGCTAATAGATGGATAAAGGTGTTGGGAATTACCTTGAAGTTGATACTTTACCAATCAAGTGAGGTACGTTCTAGAAAACCGTAATAATTTCTATCGCTTATAAACTTATTCACAATTAGGAATTATTACTACAGTTAACCGGAAATCAAGAACAACGACCGAAAATGTCTGTCAGTGTAGCCAACCAAATCAGTTGTTGTTATGCTGGCCAATCACCGTCGCCCTTACAAATACGTACTTTCTCAAATATAGCTACGTTTATTGACACTCTCCTTACACCAAATACTTGTCCTAAACAGTAGCATTAACTACGTATGTGTAGTGGAAGTATGCAAGGCAGAACTGTAGTTTAGGACAAGGCAATTAACGTAAGGAACTCGCTAAAGGTAGAACTGTAAACTTTAGATGTATAATTAGAATTCGTCCAAGGAAGAGCTGCAGCTTTCCCTCAAGGGATCCTTATTGAGAAGATTGGGAAAACAATGATACTTTACACCTCTATTACGGGGCATCTTGTGGTGAGCGTGTTTATAGCCATCCTGACTCAGAAAGCAAGACAGGTACAAGGTATTGTATTGATATATTTTTTTAAAGGTTTACTTATCTTTATATATATTTGAATGTTTTTGGTGTCCCCAGATGTTGTTCAATATATTTTATAATTATGTAAAGTAACTTTGTTTTTCATTTTCTTGACTTTGTGCTAATATATACTGATAAATTAGTTTAGTTATGCACAACAAAACCCCGAAAATATAGACTGCTTCAAGAGGAGGTGGAATTGGCATTAAAATCTGCAGCCTGTGTCTAATCCAATTATGCATTTGAAATTATAAAATACATCAGTAATGAAAAGTAACTTGGATGACAAAGAACTTACATGTCTATAAACACATACAGTAAACAAACATATTATTTTTGTCTAAAGTATTACAGATATAGTATAATAAATCAAATACATGCATGTATTCATAATAACTAATACAATATATCTAATCTTGATCACGGTTTTCTACAGTATAACTGATGCAGTACAATAAATAAACAAGTGTTTGTCTTCAGTACAATGGTGGCATGTACTATGACTAACTAAGTATGACAAAACTAGATAAGGTTGTTCGCAGTTTAACGGATAGAGTAAACAAATCATAAATGTCTACTGCAAACCTAATGTTTTTAGCGCAGTTAAAATCTAACTCAATCTGTAAAAATGACAAATTTTATGAAACAATTTGATGTTGAAATGTCGCATATCATTTCAATTATATAAACGTGTATGCTTGAATGACCCCGAGCAATATTTTTAGAGGTCATGAGGTCAGCCTGTATACGCGAGCGTTACGTTAAGTACCTTACCACTGTTAAGCAATTACTTTATATAACTTTGCCATTGGCAAACACAATTCATTTAATTATTGCCTAACTTTATCTCAAAGTTGGTTATATAGTTTTGATAGTGTGATCTACTTTTACATTCAACTACTTATGTTCGATTCAGGTACGTAGCAGCCAATAGTTTCCTATTTAAGCCACAGGAGAAGATTTGTTATATTGTACGCGTTTACCAGAAAAACATTCAGTTATTTTATTTTCATTTAACGGACAAAATGAACGTGGATTTGATTAAACCCCGGGAACAATATGAACCCTCGCCCATGGTAACTTTGAAACTGACCTATTCCGTTCAGGCCTGTGTTCAAACATCCGGTATATTTATTCAGTAATTTCTAAATATGCATTAGTCAGACAAATCATGGTTGCAATTTTTGTTTACTTTAACATTTCTCCTGACAAAAAAAAACCCAGCTTATCATATATATGATCATTTTCAATCCCGTATTTATTACAATTACAATATGGCTTTTATAGTATATAGCATATCTAAAACAGTTTTATGGAGTTCAAGACCGACATCGATTCATAAATAACTGTTAAGTTGGGGTGTCATACTGGTTACTTTTTCCCCTTTTTAAACATATTTGGCACAAGCAGTTATCATATTTCCTGATAATGTCATTTGTTCTTGTAACCTGTTTCAGGTCTCAGATGTATGGACTGTACCAATGTAGAACTCGATGCTTCAGCCGAGGGGTACCTGGTGAACCCTATCCTGACTTTCATTCCAGGTATTCGGAATAAACACTGTGTGGAACCCACCGACGAGCATGACATTGACTTGATCACGTGTCCGCCAAACCCCGATTCCGGGGATTTGGTGTACAGATGTGGAGCCTACAACGGCAAAATCAATATCGCTATGTTTAGTGGCATTTCAAGTATGTATAACATACTCACATGTATTCATAATGGCAACAGTAACTTTAATTTTGTATAGAATGTCCTTTCTAAGAAATATTGATCAAGATAACAAGGATCAAAAACCTAAGTGACTCATATTAGAATTGAAGTTCGATCAACCCCCACATCCACCAGATTTATTGTATAGTCTTCCAAAAACAACCCTGATAAATCTTAAAAATGGACCCTATTAACATTGAAATTCAGATGTGGAAATAAGTTATAATTACCTTGTATTTAAGGTACTGGAATGGTACAGAAAACTCCCACAGGCTAATGTACTAACGCCGTAAATAAAAGTCATAAGTCAGCAACCAATTGTCATAAGTCAGCATTTTAAAGTCATAACTCAGCATTCTTAAGTCATAGTTGAGCAGTCTGAAGTCATAAGTCAGCAACCAATTGGCAAACGTCGGTCAGCAATATATAGCCATTAGTTAGCAATCTATAGCCCTAATGCAGCAACCTCAAGTCATAAGTCAGCAACCTAAAGTCACAAGTCCGCAATCTAAAGCCATAAGTCAGCAATATATATCCATAAGTCAGCAATCTAAAGTCATTAGTCACCAATCCAAAATCATAAGTTCGCAACCTCAAGTCATAAGTTCGCAATCTAAAGTCATAAGTCATCAATCTAAAGTCATCAGTCATCAATCTAAAGCCGTAAGTCAGCAATCTAAAGTCATAAGTCTGCAATCTAAAGTCATAAAACAGCAATCTAAAGTCATAAGTCATCAATCTTAAGCCGTTAGTCAGCAATCTAAAGACATAAGTCTGCAACCAAAAGTCATAAGTTAGGAAACTAAAGTCATAAGTTCGCAATCTAAAGTCATAAGACAGCAATCTAAAACCATAAGTCAGCAACCTTAAGTCATCAGTCATCAATCTAAAGCCATAAGTCCGCAATCTATAGCCATAATGCAGCTAACTTATGGCTATAGATTTCTGACTTATACCATATATTATGTAAGTTTGGTGTCTCCTCAGTGTGTTAACGCTGTTTTATATATTTGTTCTGTGTTGTTTTACCCTAACCTCATCTCGCTATACATGACTGAGATGAAATATGGACTTAAAATGTTGGTGATAACTGGTCAACTTGTACTAATAAACCTAACTTATCTCATTTCAGATAGTTCTCTTCGTGTGATTGACCGCCAATGTGTCTTAATCTACCAGGGTTTGAGATACGGTTGTCATCCACAGACATTTGTCGAAGACTACGCGTCAGACTTACAGAAAATTTTAAAATCACTTGAAAATTTAGGAGCTGTTGATTTCCAGGGAAATATCTGTCTTTCTGAAGATATCGACTCTACCTCTAGCAGCAGCCGCGTTGTTTTTTCCTTGATGCTTTTAATGTGTTCTTATTTTCTGTGCTTACTTTTATCATAATAAATTATGAAGGAATGAAAGGTGTAACATATTACTAGTATATAGTTTGAAATTCATTCTTAAACTTTAAATCTATGTAAAAAGACCATGTTTGCAACATGAAATTGAGCCTAACTGTGTCAGAACATCAGTCAAAGGACTGAAATATACGGACGATCACTGTGGGTATACCAAAGTACAAAGTGTATTTAAAGGAAATGAGAACAAGAATAAGAAACTATTTAAACGAACTAATAAGCAGAACTTTCTTAGACGGGTAATGTATGGATGATTCTTTTAAAGCTTTATAAGGTCTTCATTGTCTAACATATACAAATTGTTTCTATACAAGCATAAGTAATTATTCAATATCATTATAGGACTTTTAATTCGAACAACATAGAATAGTATTTGTTTGACGACGTCTGGTTGGAATAATTTTAAAATTTAGAATTGAAATGTTTCATCAAGGCACGTAAGCATCCGTCTTGAATTTAACATTTTAATCAAACAATTCTCCTATGTCGTGATGTATGCTGTTTACCTGTTTCATCTTTAAGAAATAGACATATTATGTGTCCGTGTATAGAAATATCGCAGCCCTGGTACTGCTTTTCACCCATCAAAAAGGGTTGCAGTTTACCAGACATTATTTCACTGTTTATATTACTAAATGTGATTTATGGTTGTACGATGTCTCTGGCCAGACCCAAACTTGATAACCGGGGTAGTCCATACATATTTAATTAGAAACAGGTACTTCTCCATTTTAGACCGGTTGATATCTTCCAGACGTAGTTAGATATTACTAAATAAACGAGGACACCACACAATGATAAAATAAAATAAACGAATATTCATTACAATTGACCAATAGAAGGTATAGATACCACAGCGTCAACAACAAAGAACACGAACTCAAATACGTCAAGAAGAAAATAACAGAATATGAGGAAACATCAGGATAGAATATAAGCCGTCATCAACATAAAGTACTGCAGGAAAAATGTGTAATAAAACGTTTATATACCTGAATACGTGTTTCAAACAAAACAAAGAAATAATCCGATTGCTTGCATCATATTTTATTTTTGCATAGGAGACTGTACAATTGGTTGTAAACAGTTATATAATATACCAAAAACATGTTTAATTGCTATTTTAATTTCAATAAATATTTGATAAAAAGACTAGATCAGATAAAAAAAAGACATTGTATATGCATGAAAAGTAAAGTAAAAATTGAAATGTACGATAGGTTTGGTTTAAACGAGCAGAAGGTGTTTAACCCTTTCCAAAAGTAGCATGTAAGGTGTGACAATTAATATGAAAAAAAATAACAACAGCAAAATATGTAAGATTACAAAACTTTCAAGACTAGATGTATAACAAATAATATAAAAAAAAAACGCCATGTACAAAATAAAATAATTGATAATTATAATGGGAACTTAACGCATTTCTCGAAGTGAACAAAGCTAAGACAGGATTTCAAACAATAAAAATATTATTAGCATCATGGTAAAAATGTTAAATTTGAATTAAAAAAAAAAAAAAATAGCGCTTATAAATTCTAATGTAATAGCAAAACATAATGGTGGAAGGTTATTTGGATTTGTATGGAATCATGACAAAAATAATCGAATTTTTACTTAATCTGCCTTAAAATCATTTTAGCTCATAAGTTGTCCGGTGATTAAAAAGACAGAAATAAATGGATTAAACATTGAACACACTTTTGAAAATTGTAGGTTCATGATCTGAAAACATAAACACTAAATAGTTTTTTAAAAATTTAAACAGTGTTAACAGGCAAATACCATAAATACAAACATATTATCATGCAATCGTTTTAATTACTAATATCTTGACAAGATAATAAAAAAAAAAAAATTGTAAAATTCAGGAATGCTACTATTGAATATTGTCATTTACTTAAAAAAATCTATGAAAACTGAATGAGAATTTACCAAAACCATATATTCGAGACGGCAAGAACATAATTTATTGCAAACGGAAAAGAAAAAAATACACGGAACGACAAACATTCCGCGAATGAAAAAGAATCGACTTTTCCATAATTTTCGAAACATGAAATAATTTTGTTTATCTATTGTTACAAAAAGAAAAAAGAAAATAGCAATAGTGCATTAATATTGGTCACATCAACTTTGTATATTTGTATCGACTGATTAAAAATTGATATCGAAACGTTTTGGTCAATAAAAGAAGTTTTATTTTTTTATTTTTTGACATTAGGAAGTAATTTTAATGAAGCATTTATAGAATTTAGCTTTTTGTTTTAGTTTGTTGGTTCAAATAAAAAGGAAAAAAAGGCATGACGTAAAAGGAACATAATACTCCCATCAATATTTCTAGAATCTCAACATCTTAAAGGAACTTTTTATTTTAAGGCCTTGCTTTAAAAGAATGTAGTCCTTACACAACTTTATGACTTATATACTAATTGGATTGCCAATACACATAGGAAAGGTTTTATAACTCGTTCTTTTCATCTTGAAGTAAAAATACCATCTATGGTAGAGTAGAAGCAGTGTGATCTTTAAAGTAATGATCAGAATCAAGTTGTACATCAATCCTACATATGTGTATTTAAAGCTAGCTATTGTTGTTGAGACACAATTTTAAGAAAGCTGATTTTTAAAGCTTTAACCAAATACAATTATGCTTTTGAAACTAAACGACGTTCCATATTACATCTCATTATGAATATAATAACTATAATCTAAGTGCAAATTAGATAAAAAAAAAATGATACATGCAGTTACAAGACTTATGAATTGTACAAAATATAACTCATTGCCACAGTAACCTACTGTATATCGTTATCTTATAACAAACTCTGTATGTATTGTTTATTATTGGTATTTCAACAACTGAAGGAAAACTAAAAGCTATTTGATCTTTGACCAAAAATATCAATAACACATCCTGGCTACACCCACATTTCTACACATTTACAAATCTTGAAGATACGCTATAGACACAGCCTACATCAACAATAACACAAAAGGCTCGACATCTTTACTGCAGACAATGTGCGCACCCATTTCTATATAATGCATTTTGGAGATACCCACGTCACCATTACATTCTCGAAATACACACCACATATACATAGTTTGATATACTTATTATATGTGTACCATATATAAGATCATTTGTAAATTTACAATTAACTCAATTTTACCAATTCCGATAAAAAAAATTACACAACAGTTAAATGTTCGACTACGGGTTCCCCTTAAGCATCCTATCTCTTTCGAATTCTGTAAGGAAAAACATTCTGACGATATACCTTGTAGATATGTTTATGATCCTGGACACACTAAAGCACATTCTAGACACATTCGCATTCATACTAACATCAACATAACAATCTTGACATTCTCTCATCTATAAAACACACTCTGGACACACATCAATATAACACACCGGACACATTCACATCAATATATGCTAACATTTCCACTGCAAGTTCCTCTTTAATGAGTATAACCAGAAGAAATTGCATGCATAGGGCGATGCACGCAAGTTGATCAGCGTCATTGAAGCCTTCCTTTCCTCCTCGAATAACATGAGACACACCGTTTAAAGCAAACATTTTTGTGACGTGAGGCTGTTCCTTGAATCTGCTTTGCATTGACGACACATGCACTTCAATATCGAAAATAAGGGAATATCTGTATCTATATCAAAAATAACTTTAAAATTTAGGATGTAAATGTATGCATTGAACAACACTTTCCATTGTTCATGCCAGGATGAACGGAAATCACTTATAGACATATCTACCATGACGAGTTTCATGGAATATGTATGTAACCGATGTGCGTTCATAGAGGCATGAACATTGAAAAATGCCGTGCAATATGGTAAAAGACCCTGAACACATTCACAACTATAAATATACTAGATACTCTTACGTCAATTTCACAACCTGGTCACCCTCACATCAACGAAATACAGCTTGGACACATTCACTTCTATAAAAAAAACGTTGGACACAATAATATCCATAAAAATAAGTTTGGCCCGACCAAATTTTTTAATTATTACTTAAACATGACACAATTACATATATAAGCCACCGGGAAGCAATTAGATATTTATATACAACATACTTACTCACATTTATATATCACATCCTGGACACACCAACATCTATAAACACATCCTGGACACACTAACATCTATAAACACATCCTGGACACACCAACATCTATAAACACATCCTGGACACACTAACATCTATAAACACATCCTGGACACACCAACATCTATAAACACATCCTGGACACACCAACATCTATAAACACATCCTGGACACACCAACATCTATAAACACATCCTGGACACACCAACATCTATAAACACATCCTGGACACACCAACATCTATAAACACATCCTGGACACACCAACATCTATAAACACATCCTGGACACACCAACATCTATAAACACATCCTGGACACACCAACATCTATAAACACATCCTGGACACACCAACATCTATAAACACATCCTGGACACACCAACATCTATAAACACATCCTGGACACACCAACATCTATAAACACATCCTGGACACACCAACATCTATAAACACATCCTGGACACACCAACATCTATAAACACATCCTGGACACACCAACATCTATAAACACATCCTGGACACACCAACATCTATAAACACATCCTGGACACACCAACATCTATAAACACATCCTGGACACACCAACATCTATAAACACATCCTGGACACACCAACATCTATAAACACATCCTGGACACACCAACATCTATAAACACATCCTGGACACACCAACATCTATAAACACATCCTGGACACACCAACCAAATATTTCAACATACCGCTTAATCATCCCAACATATGTATGACACAACTGCACACACTTACACCAATAGAACACATCATTTTAGCACATTCTGAACACAACCAAACTTTTCAACATATCGTTAGACATTTAAATACATATGACACACCTAGACCCACTCACATCTATAAAACAAATCTCGGACGTACTTACATTATTATAACACATTCTGGGCACAACCAAACTTGTCAACATACCGTTAAAACATCCAAATACATGAATATGTATGACACACCTGGACAAACTCACCTCTATATAACACAGCCTAGACACACATCGTTTTATCACATTTTGACCACAGTCGATCTTTTTTTAACATACCGTTTAAACATTCTAACATATGTAGGGCACACATGTTTACACTAACATCTCCATAACACATCCTGAACAAATCTTAACACATTTTGGATACAACCAAACTTTTCAACATACCGTCAAAACATCCTTATATATATGTATAACAAGCCTGGGTACACTCATATCTATAAATATAGACATACACCCTGAACTAGGACCACATGCATCGCTTAAATATGCTCTTGAACACACATAGCTGTATTACTCATCCTTGACGCACACACATCAATATAATACACTCAAGCCACATTTTCATCAATATAGCAAAACCTGGGCAAACATTCATATCGAAATAAAACATCTTGTACACACTCATTTATTTATCAAACATCCTTGGTCCACCCACATATTTATAACTCACACCTAACATATTTACATACATATGCCACACCTCGAACGTATTAAGATTATATACCAGACACACTCACATAAGATTTAAATGGCATTTTCCAACGTGAATGCTGGGTATGAATACAAATCGATTACACACATGAATATGTTGGTAACCGATTAGGGTTGATACCAGGCATTATCATTGAAAAAATGAACGGCATTTTCAATAGTCATGCCTGGTTTGAACGCAAATCGGTTACATACCATGCATGTAACATATCTGCGTTCACACTAGACATGAACATTGAACAATGCCGTTCAATCCATGTATTTACATTCCAAATTTTATAGTTTATTTTGAGCTATCTATAGGTATTCCCTTTCATTTTCAATATTAAGTGTCTGTCGTCAGTGCAAACAAGATTCCTGGAAAAGCCTAACGTCTTATGCTTGCTTCTAACGGTTGCCTCATGTTATTCGAGGCAGTGGAAGTTGCTTCGAAATGACGCTGATCTTGTTGCGTCCATTGCCCTTTGAACGCAATTTCTTCTGGTAATGCTCATCGTAGAGGAACCTGCGGTGAAAATGTTAATGAATAACACATCCTGCACACAGTCACGTCTCTTTGATACACTTCATAATACACGTCAAAACTTAACATCACACCCTGGACACGACCTTGTACGACAAACTAATAACATTATGATAAGCACTGAACAGACCCACTATGTCACAGCACACCCTGGATACACTAAATCTTTGCAACACACCTAGGACACGACCATTTGATACAAAGCAGCACAACCAATTGTCCATCACCTTTTTAAACTTTAATATATGTTTACTTGTATTAAAGTAATTTCATAGTTGTTTTTGTTGGATTGTGCGTTTTATCAAAATAAATATTTTTAGGTAAGAAAATTGACTAGATCAGAGGGATTGATCATTGAAAAAATTAACTGTCCTACAGATAAAAAAAAACACTGGCCAGGCCCATAGTGCAAGCGGCTGAATCAACACTTTCCTTGATACAATACACTTATATTACACATCCCAGACAACCCATATCAAAACGATTTATCAATATAATCTCTCAACCTGCACATATGTCATAGACACTTCCAAATCTTCGCGATGCCTTCCGGAAAGTCAATACCATTATAACTCGACCTAGACATACATCCACGTATATTTTGTCCCCACATCCTGAACACAGTGCCATATCGCATACCATGTACACACCAATATGCTTTTGTTTGTGTAAATAACAGTTGTCCTTTTATCATATGGAATTATTATTCTAAACAGTTCGAGGGCAATTTTTTTCCATTAAGATATGTATTTATTCATTTGATAAGCCATTTAAAAATAGTGTAATTCATCCCAGGAAATACCAAATTAACCTCAAAATTAAGAAAACCAGAAATAGAACACTAGTAAATTAAATAAGATGCCAAATATCAGATGTGAGCTTTTCTTTTCAATAAACCCGATATCTTCTATAAAAATATATAACAGATTGATGAGAGAAATATTGACTTGTTGGAGCAGTATGTTTAACCATTGTCATACGTAAAAAATATATTTTATATCAACAAATGTAATACCTTCTTATTTCACACAGGCATAGTTGGAAGCTTACATTCATTTGTAATTATGATACATAATCTTAAAATTTCCAAAAAAACTGAAACATTAATATTAAAAACATATTTGTCTATTCTTAATCGAATGTTTGTATTTGAACCATATTTGACACTCAGAACTGTTATCCCTTTTTTTAATAGCGGAAGAATTACAAGTACCATTTTATGATGCCATATTGCTATGCCAAGTCAGTGGACTAATTCCATCTCTTTTTAAACCAATTCTTTCTTTCTTACACTGAAAATGCACATGCGAGATTGAATATGTCAAATTCTTATTAAAATATTGTGATTTTGAGTGAGATCGGTACCAAAATAGGATTCTATTCTATTATTAAATTTCTATACTTATTTTAATCGATGCGAAAAAAAATCTGTTATCTGTTATATTGGTAAAAAACGAAGTTTTAATGTGATACTTATATGATTTGCCACACTGTAAGCAGGGATCAAAAACTGAATGATACAAGCTATACATAACGTTATCAACATTTTGTTTAATTTTGGCTAAAATACTCGCTAAGTTATTATTAGAGGAAACTGAAAAGATGTTAAGAAAGTAAAAACACTCAAAGTTGATGTGACGCAATACAATTCACTACCGCCCTCCATGTTGTTAAAATTTCTAGAAGGGTTATTGAAAGATTCTTAATAACATTCCTTTAAGGACAACATACAAAACCGGAAATATACGACAGTCAGAACAAGTGTACCAAATATTATAATTATTGCGAAAGAACTTTTTTTTTTAAATATAAACGTTACCTATTTTTGAATTCTTGGATCAATACACTATAAATATTTCAAAAAATACTTTGCTCTTGTTTTGCAACTATAGAAATGATTAGTTAATATTCCATTGTATAATGTTAAATTGTATAATGATATATTGTATAATGTTATATTGTATAATGTTATATTGTATAATGTTAAATTGTATAATGATATATTGTATAATATTATATTCCTATCAAAAGTTGTCTATATCTATTATTTACTTTTTCTTTTTTTCCCAAACAATGCATATTATCAATATCAACAATTTTACCAGATGCTAAAAATATAGACGGGAAAAAACTGATTATTGTCACGAATTGCAAGAACAACAAAAATGTTCTCCTCATGAAAATTGCAAATGTCAGAATGACATTCCATACCGATATTAACATTTGATTTTGTGCGAGATCAATTTAAAAGATTCCTATTCAAAATTACATCGGAAAATTGTATACTGTTGATGTTTGATGTTTTCAATGCATTACATTTCTATTTTCCGAAACAACAGAAGAATCTGCTCTTCATCCCCTTTTTCTTTTGCTTCTTGGTTCTTGCATATTGGTCATCAGGCGTGACACTTTTTACCTCTCCAGATCCAGAACACTGTGGGACTAGGACTTCCTTGACTTCAGTAGGAAAATTTGGCAAGATGTCCTGCATATCAACTTTGATGTTGTCGTACGATCTCGCTGGTTTTGGTGATCTTGCATTCCTCATCTGTAATTATAATTGTACTAAATTAAACAAATAATAATTGAATGATTTTAAAAACAAAACTAGAAAACGTCTGTAAGACATGAATGCCCCCGTCAACATGTAAAATTAGCTTCAGTGTTTGATGTTTCACGGGACGGGACGGATATGGGCAGATTGAGATATAAAATAAATTGTAAATGCCGACTTACTTGGTTAATCACATCCAGAGTTGATTTGGAAGGTTTGTATCTGAATGCATTGCAGTTCTCTGGAAGATAATGAAGGGAACATGAGTTAATGCAACAGAATACGTATGTGAATCACGTAGAGACAGGTGATTGTATTCTAATCATTGGGTTTCAGTTTTATAAATCATCATGCATAATTATATGAATCCTGGAACGCATTCCTTCTAATATATAAATAAAGTTAATACTTAATTTTTTTTCATGAAGTAAACTGGTGATTTCACATGGTTGATAATCGGAAATCACACAACGGAACAATTTGGCCTAGTGTAGCGTAATCCGAACTGGATCTTTTTCAGTTGAATTTCAAAATAAAGTAGCATCTAAAAATGAAGTAATTAAACGTGAATGGTAACTTCTAAACAAGAAGCTTACGATCAATGTATCGTGTGAAGAAAAGTTCCCTAAACTTTTGAGCACGCTCTTCATTACGCAGACGAAGTTCTTCATTCTCCTCTTGCGGTGCACATTTCAACCAGCTTTTGGTCAAGGATACGTCACGAACTGATGTACAATTTCGGGAAAAAACAGTCAATTCAATAGTTTACATAACATATATGATTAAACAAGAATTCCACGGAAGTGGATGCATCGGCTGCGCAGGAAGCTGGGAGATTATGAAGAAATAGATACACTTTTCATTTCAAGAAATGATGTTAAAAGAAAGCAATAATCATAGATTATGTTTTTGGATGGCATCTTTTTGTTATATAATCTGTTATTCTGAGAAGAATACTCTGAGTTTTAAAGAAACTGCTATGGATACTCATTGTCTCAATTCCAAGTTTAATTTGTATGATTTGTCGGATGGTTTCCCATAAATAAATGAATAAACTTGTGGCTTATGATGTTAAACAGCTAGTGTTGTCAATAACATTTGAAAATTCATGTATGCTTAGCACTGCATGAAGTTTGAGTTTGATCGGCCCAAGGAAACCAAAGTTATCACACGAAAACAGATTTTCTATTTATAGTAACAGTGACCTTGACCTTTGGACCTGAAACGCAATCCCAAGCAAGCACTTTTGGTAAGAAATTTGAGTTTGATCGGCACGAAAACCTCTGTGCGGACGACGCCGACGCCGACTAAGCAATACCTATGTGTCACCAACTTTTCGCAGCCGACACAAAAACTAAACCTAAAGACAATTTTTTCCTTTTTAAAAGTGCACTGCATTTTATCTGGATATTTGTGGGGTTTTTTTATATTAAAACTGTATGTTTTCCTGTTCACCTAAAGTATAAAACCTCCCACTGAAAGTGGAAATATGTGTGATCTCAAAAGATGTTATTTTAATGTCCAACATTACTTTCTGACTTTTAAAATTAATGCTTTTGTAGTATACATAAGATTTTTGTTTTTTTGATGAACAACGGTTTAACAATTAATTAATCCTTTAAAGATGTCTTTTATTCTAAAATTAAGTTTAAAAATGATTGGTATGAAACAAGGTTTACAGAACACGCTACATCCTCATTTTTCTACCAAATTCCATATTTCTCGTTAATAATCGAAAAGACGTCTAAATATTTGTTAACATCAAATTCCTCGTACTAAAACTGTTTGTATGACATAGATATTATAATAAGAACACATTCCTGCACTTTAAATTGAATATGGTATGATAAATATTGCTTACGAATCTGCAGTAACTCATTTTATGGCAACAGTTTTGATTACTTTTATGACTTGTCATATATATATGCACTTATATGTAATAAACAGTGGGAAAAGACTTCAAATTATAAATAAGTGTATAATAACTCAACAACAGAATCCACGAAAATATCTATATTTTTAGTGTAAGTTATAAACATTTTAAAACTGATTGCTATAAAACCTAGTTCCAGCAGACAGGTAATTCGAAATGCATTACGGAAAGGATTTGGACGGATGACTTTTATGGCCCACTTGTCGGCTAACAGTGCTGAACCTGGCCTTGAGCTTGCTTCTTCCCGTGGAACGACATCATCTTTAAATCACAAAATTGTCATAATTTATACAGAATTTATAAACAACATCATACTTTTCTTGTAATGATACATTTTATAACTTCAAAGCCGGTTATTTCATTAAAGAATGTAAGTATGCGTTGGTCAACTGACTCTTTTGAGCATGCTTGCATGGAAGGGTTTGAACTAGGTATGCTTGGAAACAGAAAACTTCAAAAGAACAAATTCAAACATAAATGTGTACCTATGTCTGTTGTGACTTTTGTCCTCACTTCAACCCGTCCTGGTTGTTTCGTTGCAGCTTCGTTCTTTGATTTCTTTACTGCTGCATCTGTTGGAAATAAAAACGAAAAGTGCTGAACAGATCCAGGTATTTGAGTAAGCAGGTCACAACAATAAATACTTTTTAACTTCAAGGACGGTAATTCCATTGAAGTAAGTATACATTGATCAGCTAATTATTTTAAACGGGCTAAAGGTAATAAGATTTTAACGTTGTTTATTTGGAAACAACAACATTTTAAATTCAAACAAAAATTGTGTACCTATATTTATCTCACGACAGGTTTTTGCTTTTGGTTTCACTCTTACTGTCCGTGATCGTTTAAATGCAGGTTCGTTCTTTGATTTCTTTGCTGCTTCATCTATTGAAAATATAAACGAAAAGTGCTGAACAGATACAAGTATTTGAGTAAGCAGTTCACAACAATAAATACGATTTGCTAACTCCATACAAGATGACCGGTTTATACATTGTACAGTGCTCGGTTGAAACATATTATACGTTCTAACTTCAATAGACGACGGCTATTCCACTAGAGTAAGTATACATTAATCAGCTACTTCGTTTGAGCGGGCTTGTGTAGTAGGATTTGAACGTTGTATATTTGGAAACAGCAGCACTCCAAATTAAAACATGAATATGTACCTATATCTGTCTGAAAGGTTTTGACTTTTGACTTCACATCAACTGGTCCTAATTGTTTCATTGCAGCTTCATTCATAGCTGCTTCATCTGTTAGAAATATAAACAAAAAGTGATGAACAGATACAAGCATTTGAGTAAGCAGTTCACAACAATAAATACGATTTTTTAACTCCATACAAGTTGACCGGTTTATACATTGTACAGTTCTCGGTTGAAACATATTATACGTTCTAACTTCAAAAGACGGTTATTCCATTAAAGCAAATAAACATTGATCAGCTAATGTTTTAGCGGGCTTGGGTAGGAGGGTTTGAACTTTGTATGTTTTGAAACAGCAACAACCCGAATTAAAACATGAATATGTACCTTTATCCGTTTTGACTTTTGACTTCACATCAACTGGTCCCGATTGTTTCATTGCAGCTTCCTTCATAGCTGCTTCATCTGTTAGAAATATAAACAAAAAGTGCTGAACAGTTACAAGCATTTGAGTAAGCAGTTCACAACAATAAATACGATTTGCTAACTCCATACAAGATGACCGGTTTATACATTGTACAGTGCTCGATTGAATCATATTATACTTTTTAACTTCAAAAAACGGTTATTCAATTAAAGCAAGTATACGTTAATTAACAGATTTTTTTAGCAGGCTTGGGTAAGAGGGTGTATATTTTGAAACAGCAACACCCCAAATTAAAACATGAATATGTACCTATATCTGCTTTGACGTTTGACTTCACATCAACTGGTACCGATTGTTTCATTGCAGCTTCCTTCATAGCTGCTTCATCTGTTAGAAATATAAACAAAAAGTGATGAACAGTTACAAGTATTTGAGTAAGCAGGCCATAACAATAAATATGGTCTGCCGTAGACATAACATTTTTCTCTTCACGATAATACATTCAGTCTTTAAATTAAACCATCACTTTCTGTATTTATTCTCGAGAACAATAATTCTCGTTTGTCCGAATTATTTGTTCGCGTGAAATTAATTTGATTACGCGATTGATATTTTACTCAAAAAATAACAAAATGAATAAATAATTTATTCCTCTTTTTGCATTATTTAGTTAACTGTTTTAAATGGCAAGTATAGGACATGTGAGTGTAAACTACCTTAAGGGGAAATGCAACCTGCAATCGCATTATATATTTATTGTGGCAACTTGCTATCTTTATTACCAATGGCTGCCATCTGAAAGCAGCCCATTACTTAATTGTATCCACAGTTTGATTTAATAGAGTTTTAAAATAATAATATCGGGACAGCAGAATTCAATTTGATATTACATGTATATATAATCATATTAGGTCTATGTTTTTCCATGAAAATCACAAAAAAAACCACCAAGAGATGCATATGACTCAATAGTAAATTATCAATTGAAATTAAGTATAAAGCACAATTTTAATGCTTGAGAGAATATAATGCTGATGCAAAGTACAAATTCACAAAGTGAAAGCAAACCTCTCATCTTTTATATAGCATATACATGTTAAGCCTCGTTCATGTTCAGTAACGTTGTATCTTTTCTCGGCTTTGGACAAATAATATCTTCGTCTCAACAGATTCCTTTTTGGTGAAAGTGAGATTTTTTGTCATTGTAACTTTATAAATGACAACGTATACACTTCCATAAAAATACATACGAAAGCTCGCGAGCAAAGATCACGTGATCTCGAACGTTAGTCCGTGTCATAAAAACAAACTCTTTTAAATTCATTAATCAATTGTTAACGTCTCCTTGCGCCGCTTGAACAGTTTATATCTCCCATAACTACTTACTTGCATCGATAGCATCCAAAGCGGTCAGTGTGGCCTCTGAGTATATATCATGTACCAATGTCTGAAAGGCCTCTTCAGACATCATCTTGGTAATAGACTTCGGATAACGATTCTGCAATAAGTGTCAAGTTTATTGTTAGTGCTGGATACACTTAACATATTACGACTGTTTATGGCTATGATAGTCCACAGGTCAGTGATGCTCGCCTGATGATACATCATAACTTGTTAAATAATTGCAAGAATACAATACATTGATGTCTATAGTTAACATTTGACATCCGTTTCTTTATATTGGATATCACAAATGATTTCTAATGGGAAATTACGATTGATTGGTTGATTGACTGATTGATTGATTGATTGATTGATTGATTGATTGGTCGGTCAGGTGGGTAGTGGATAACACACCTGCCTTATACCAAAACGGCTAGGGTTTGATTTTTCAGGTAGAGTATAGTAGGTCACATGTCCATAGGTTTTATCCGGATACTCCGATTTCCTCCCGCATTTAGACACCATGTGTGTATGATGATTGTGTGCGCTGGTGTTTCGTAGTATGATGGTGTGCGAGTGATCATTTGGAATGGTGTGAAGGATGATAGTGCGCTATCGGTATGGGTTGATATTTTTTTCGGTTATAGCATATCATTATGTAAATGGTGATATGATGAATATAGGTGTAAAGATTGTTGGTACATAATACAGCAAACGTGGTGATGATGTGTAGAATAAGTGTGTCTGCGGAGGGGTGCTAAAACAAAGGGTGATAGGTGTGGTACTATGGTGTGAAATGTGATAACGTGTAGTGTGATGATGTAAAGTGTAATGATGTAAAGTGTAATGATGTAAAGTGTGATGATGTAAAGTGTGATGATGTAAAGTGTAATGATGTAAAGTTTGGTTTGTGAAGTGTGATGCTGTGTGGTGTGACGGTGTGTAATGTGGTGATGTGTAATGTGATAATGCGTAATGTGAAGTAGTGTAGTGTAATGTTGTGTGGTGTGATAATGTGTAGTGTGATAATGTGTAGTGTGATAATGTGTAGTGTGATAATGCGTAGTGTGATGTTGTGTAGTGTAATGGTGTGTAGTGTAATAATGCGTAGTGTGATGTTGTGTAGTGTGATGATGTGTAGTGTGATGGTGTGTGGTGTGATAATGTGTAGTGTGATGTTGCGTAGTGTAAAGGTGTGTAGTGTAATGCTGTGTGGTGTGATGATGTATAGTGGGATGGTGTGAGTAGTGTGATGATGTGTAGTGTGGTGTTGTTAAGTGTGATGATGTGTAGTGTGGGGATGTGAAGTGTGATGATGTGTAGTGTAATGGTGTGTAGTGTGGTGATGTGTAGTGTGATGATGTGTAGTGTAATGGTGGGTAGTGTGATGATGTGTAGTGTGGTGATGTGGGTGGGGTGATGATGTGTAGTGTGGTGATGGGGATAGAGGGATGATGTGTAGTGTGGTGATGTGTAGTGGGGTGATGTGTAGTGTGATGGTGTGAGAAGTGTGATGTGTAGTGTGATGATGTGTAGTGTGGGGATGTGAAGTGTGATGATGTGTAGTGTAATGGTGTGTAGTCTGATGATGTGTAGTGTAATGGTGTGTAGTCTGATGATGTGTAGTGTAATGGTGTGTAGTGTGATGATGTGTAGTGTGGTGATGTGGGTAGAGTGATGATGTGTAGTGTGGTGATGGGGATAGAGTGATGATGTGTAGTGTGGTGATGTGTAGTGTGATGATGTGTAGTGTGATGATGTGTAGTGTGGTGATGTGTAGTGTGGTGATGTGTAGTGTGATGGTGTGAGAAGTGTGATGTGTAGTGTGATGATGTGTAGTGTGATGATGTGTAGTGTGGTTATGTGTAGTGTGGTGATGTGTAGTGTGATGGTGTAAGTAGTGAGATGATGTGTAGTGTGGTGATGTGGATAGAGTGATGATGTGTAGTGTGGTGATGTGGGTAGAGTGATGATGTGTTGTGTGATGATGTGTAGTGTGGTGATGTGTAGTGTGATGATGTGTAGTGTGGTGGTGTGTAGTGTGATGGTGTAAGTAGTGAGATGATGTGTAGTGTGGTGATGTTGATAGAGTGATGATGTGTAGTGTGGTGATGTGGGTAGAGTGATGATGTGTAGTGTGGTGATGTGGATAGAGTGATGATGTGTAGTGTGGTGATGTGGGTAGAGTGATTATGTGTTGTGTGATGATGTGTAGTGTGATGGTGTAAGTATTGTGACGATGTGTAGTGTAATAGTGTGGGTAGAGTGATGGTGTGTAGTGTGGTGATGTGGGTAGTGATGATGTGTTGTGTGATGATGTGTAGTGTGATGATGTGTAGTGTGGTGATGTGTAGTGTGATGGTGTAAGTAGTGAGATGATGTGTAGTGTGGTGATGTGGATAGAGTGATGATGTGTAGTGTGGTGATGGGGATAGAGTGATGATGTGTAGTGTGATGATGTGTAGTGTGATGATGTGTAGTGTGGTGATGTGAAGTGTGATGATGTGTAGTGTGATGGTGAAAGTAGTGTGATGATGTGTAGTGTGATGGTGTTAGTAGTGTGATGATGTGTAGTGTAATAGTGTGGGTAGAGTGATGATGTGTAGTGTGGTGATGTGGGTAGAGTGATGATGTGTAGTGTAATGGTATGTAGTGTGACGGTATGTAGTGTGATGGTATGCTGTGTGATGGTATGTAGTTTAATGGTATGTAGTGTGACGGTATGTAGTGTGATGGTATGCTGTATGATGGTATGTTGTGTAATGGTATGTAGTGTGACGGTATATAGTGTGATTGTATGTAGTGTGATTGTATGTTGTGCATTGGTATGTAGTGTGATGGTATGATGTGTGATGGTATGCTGTGTGATGGTATGTAGTATGATGGTATGCTGTGTGATGGTATGTAGTGTAATGGTATGTAGTGTGACGGTATGTAGTGTGATGTTATATAGTGTGATGTTATGTAGTGTAATTGTATGTAGTGTGATGGTATGCTGTGTGGTGGTATGTAGTGTATTGGTATGAAGTGTAATGGTATGTAGTGTGATGGTATGTTGTGTGATATGTATAATTGAGCCATCTATTCTGTTTACACATGCTCAACTGGATTTATTACCTCCAAACGTCACCAAACTAGGAAGCTAATCCCTAAATATTTTGATTGTTTTAGCCAGTGTGCGAAGGTGGGTAAAAAGGCATTGGGTGATTATGTTTTGTTTGTTTGATAGGTTAAAACATAATTTAAAGTATCATAGTCGTTGTCCTTATTATGTAACTACCTGAAGATCTTTGATTTACGTTAAGCTTTAGCGACAATAAATCTTAAATAAGAAGCTCCTACGGTCAGTTGTCGTAGAAGTAAGAACTCCATCCGATTTTTTTCAAGTTGATATTTAAAACATCATTGTCTTCACGTTTATAAAACAGACTTCTTTTAAATAAAATTGTAAAAAAGGTAAGCGTCTTGCTTATAAATATTATATTAGAAGGCCCACAGCATCGTGCAAGAAATATTCGCGAATTGCCCGGTTTTCCAACATATCTCTATATTTTAGAAAATAACTTTTCCTGGAGCCAATTGTTTGGACAGTGAAATGAAATTGGACAGCATGAAAGGAAAATAATTGATATTGTATCAGACAATATTTTCATATTTCCCCGTGGAATGATTTGTAAAGTATGGCGAGTTCTTCTCATCGCCATTATTTTCGAAATGGCGTAGTAAATTCGGTTTCAACTGAAAAACTTATCATGCCTCGAGAACGAGTTAACACAAATGTATGAAAATATTTTCAGATCATTATTTAGAAACGCATCTTCGAGAATGTGAATTTTTGTTTCAATAGCGCTATAATTAGACAAATTCTAGAAAATTCCTATGAAAAAAAGGTAATTTGCTTGAAATTTTGAATACATTTGGGCAATTCGAGAATACTTCTATGTTTAGCACGATGATGCATTGTATCTGAATAATTATCGTTTTCTGACTCTGTCACTGGAATAGTTCGAGTTACCTCACATTAATCCATGACCGCTGTATCTCGAACATATCTACTTACAATCACGACGTTTGTGCCTGGTTAAATGTCGGTAGTTACTTTAAGAGACTCCCGCTTGTAAACTTGTTGCAGTTTGGCACAAGTAACAATGCGGTTCCTATGGGTGACGTCACTAGGAACAATGCTTTCCCAGAGTTCAATGCGGAACTTCGAGGTTTCGCATTAGTTGCAAAAAAGAAAGTCTCAATATCATTGTAAAAAGCCTAAGACATGATGTAACATTCTGTTTGTTTGCTTTGATTTTTGATTATACAACAATGCACCGGCACTCTATGTATTTTTGCTTCTATTCTGGCAATTTTTGTTTTGCTGGTTAAGATTTTTTCAATGATATTTAAGAGATAAAAATCTTACTGTTTTATCCTAGCCCCATAAATCTTATTTTAATGTTTGTTATTGCAGACATTTTAGAATTAACCACATTTTTTATGTTAATAGTACTTGGCCCGTATTCTAAACCCTTTTCATGCTGAAGAATGGATTCTTTGCTCAAGACAACTTTCTTTTCAAGCACTTAGAAAAACGAAATCATATGATACAGTCAAAAAATCCGTTGGAACCATTCCGTTTAAAGTTCATTCAAAGTTTTTGTGCTTAATTAATCATCAGAACATAAAATATGACTTCGGAATGAGAACGGATTCATGAATATGGGCACTGGAATTCATCTTTATAGATTTTTGATCAACATCCATATTCTGATGGTGATAGTCTTTAAAATGTTAACTTTAATATTGAATATTGGACTCACCCGACTTAGCTTACAAAAAAAAACATTCAGTGTGTGTTTATTTCAAAGTGCTCTCGGGGTTACGCTAGGCAGACATGTTACTTGGGGGTTGGCTACAGAGTTTTATAAATGTTACAGTCTAAACGGGTGAATCAGGGTTTGACACTAAACTATTTTTGCTTGGTACAGGACCAGCTGAATAAATTACATGTATAAATTTGCTAGTCCTTCTTCAATGTAACTAGGCCAAGATGTCTTCACAGGAAACATTTTCAGTGCAAAACGAAGTAATTGATTTTATAGAGGACATAACAACTACTGTCATACGGATATGGTGAGGTTTTAGGAAAATTCTGATCATTGTCATGCAAGATATCGATATGTTAAGGAGTTTTCCAAAAGGAATATTCTTATTTTATGATAATTAATCAATCATATGATATAACTTTAATTTTGAACAAGTCCAAAAGAACACTTAAAGGTTAGGTGATTGACAAGTTCTTGCTGAAATCTACTAAGTAGTCTCGGACCAGTGGACTAGGCTACTGTTAGTATTGAACCCTAGTGGCTGCGATACTAAGGAGTAAGGTGAAGTGTATGAACATAGAACAAACTCTCTAGCGTATTATGATGTCGGTGTCCGTAATGTTTAAATATCTGAATATGTTTATTTTAGCGTTTGAGATAATAAAATCAAGATACGACAAGCGCCTGTCATCAGACCGTAAAGATCGTCCATTTTGAATGATTTGTTTCACCTTCCTCCATTAGCAACACACCAATCCGTGTTTTTAAACACTAAGCCGGAAATGTCAGCCTCTTTGAATAAAATATGCAGGTAAATTAAACTGATTTTCTTTTCTTTTCTGTTAAAGTTAAAACTGCAAAAATAACACCTTCTTTACTTGAAGTAAAAATAGACTTAGGCCTATAGGCTCAATCAAGTTAATGATAATCTAACTTTCAGAGACCAAAATATCTCTGTTTATCTCACGTTGAACGTTGTATCTCTTCAAGATTATATAGGGTTGGCATATACTTACGATTACGAGGGTTGTGCCTGGTTAAACATCGATGATTCTTAATCTAATATAGAAGATTCCCGCTTGTCAACTTGTTGCAACTTGGCGCAAAGTGACAATGAGGTCACTAGGGGTGACGTCACTAAGAACAATGCTTTCCCAGAGTTCCGTGCGTAACTTTTAGGTTGCGCACTAGTAATACGACTAAAGACGCGCTGTCATTGTTCAATATTCCTTACGCTTTCAGCGATTTTTTTTCTACTTAAATTTTACAAAAGCATGTTCCTACATGAATTTGGAAATTATATCAATTCTTTTATTTTCATTGTGGAGAATTTTTTCATTTTTCGTTCGTTATGAGAAAATAAAGCATTGTTTTGCTAGGGAGAGCTGCCCACTGCATTCGACTGTAAATCACTGGTTTTATATTCCTTTCTATGCGTTAACTTAAATTTCGGATCATGACACAAAGCACTGGCAATCTACCTAAACCTGCGTCTATTTTGGCATATATGTATTTTTTTCTAACTTAAGTGTCTTTTATATTGTATTGATGGGGTTATTAAAATCCAGGTCTGCATGCTATTTCCCTTTATCCCATATTTCTTATTTCAATATTTTAGGCATTTTTGCATCAACCAGTAATGTTTTTGTCATGTTTAATGTTATGGGTCAATCTTTATAAATGTTATATGCATTAACATCATGCCACATAATGACGATGAGATTATAATCTTAAAAATAATCAACTTCAACTTAAACTATTGGACTTTTCTTTTCCGTCATATTCTTTCAAAGAATTTTTCTGTTTTTCCCGCCAGTTTAGCTTTCAAAGGGTTCAGCGTGTGTTATTCCAAATCTTGCTCTGGGAGTTAAAAGCTATGCGTTCATTTTATTTGGGGTTGGCGGCAAAGTTGCAGATCATCGTTTTTGCACTCGATTTTTTTTTTTACATGTTGAGATTTTAATACCCATATTCAATTACTTTTTTTTTCTTTTGCCGCAAACTTTGAGAAATGTATGTGTTTATGTTTGCTTTTTACGATATCAAAAGCGGTTACGACTGAACATAAAAGTAAGATATTTTGGATTTTGGATAAATGAAATTTATTTCTGGGGAGTCAAGCTCAGACAGATATATATTCGGTCATGTTTAAATTTCGGAGTTTTTCTATGTTATTGAAGTCACCGTCTCGTTAATAAGGCATTGTGGTGAAAACCTTGGCCTTATACGTACTGGCTGACCTTCACTGCACGAGTCCTCGTGAATCACCGAGTGGTATACGTAACGCTACATATACGTTTGTGTCGGTATGTTATCAACATATTATGTATAATTTCAATGATATTTGGTGATGTAGTTCATCCTTTATTCTATATTTCTAAAAAAAAAATAATATTGGGCATGTTAGAATACATGTGCGGTTCAGACTAGTCTACATCATACATGTATTTCATGTTACTTAAGCACTTAACAAGGTGTCCTAGAAAATTCGTGGCAAATATATAATGTGTTTCAAACTAAAGAATAAGGTCCACTGTGTTTTGAGCTGTATTATAATATGTAGCATAATTTAGTAAAATGCCAGTCATTGATATAATACCATTGGGATCCGTATTACTGTATTATCAAAATAAGCTGCTAAAAATCTGCATCTCCGGTTCCACGCTCATTAAACAGGCTATCCATATAACGAGTACACATACATGTATGTATGTGTAATAACAAATGGATACGTCTGTGTTTTGTTTTAAATAAAAAAATAAAAGTAGACTCCAAGATTACGTACGAACAGACAAATGAGTGACGCACATGCCCATGCGGTTATGCACCGTGTGTCACGCCTGTGAACTGTCGAAAGCTTTGTCAACTTCTATTTGCACAAACAAAAAATACGTCTGTAATAAACTTTAAACCAGTAATGTGTTAGAATCATTTGTCGGATTTAACAGCAAACTATTATCAATTGTATACTATGTTACGTATATATTCATTCTGCTATATTTTCTTGGTTATATCTACATTATATCCACCGTATAGATAAGCTTACAAAATTATTTTCATCTGCATAGAAGGTGACTACTTTTCATCCTGAATATTTCGGGTAGGTATATAGATTACGTGATATCAGAGGATCAACCAATGAAAATCAAGCCAAATTGGGGTCTAAGCCAATGAAATTCGATGAAATGTGTTCAGGGTCACAAAAGAATATATCGACTGCCCTATAGATCGACCTAAGCAGAGGTTCAAAAAGTGTTAAACCATCGAACTGTCAAGATGGTTATGGTAAAAGTGCGAGAAGAAACACATTCATTTAATCACGGTCATCAACATACCCCTGTACATGGACATCGCCATGTCCATCATCACCATGGACACAACAGCCCTGTACATACGTTGAAGTCCTTATTTGGGAAATACCGACATCTCCGATGTTCATCACCCAAGTTATGTTTATCTACACCGAAAAGCAAGCGATTGTCTGAGTCCAAGAGAAACTGTCTCGGTGGTGAAATCAGAAGACCCTTTTTGATTAATAAAAAAGGCGGCGAGGACAATGATTCTGTGTTCATTAAGGAAGATTTCAAACTTGGAAAACTTCTCGGAGCCGGGGGTTTTGGTTCTGTGTATATGGCAAATGGAAAATCTGGACATGGATCAATGGCAATAAAAGTATTGAAGAAACCCACCATGAGTAAAAACCCCGATGCCATGTTTGAAAGTTTCAAAGCCGAGCTTCGGTGTATGCAACTCTCTCATCCCAATGTTGTCCAATCACTTGGAGCCACACATATGACGTCATTCGAAGAGGGAGCATGGGTCGTTATGGAGTATGTCGGCGAAAGAACCCTGCAGGCCGTGCTCAACGAATCTCAGGTTGACATAACAATTGAGCTCAGACTGAAATTTGCCATTCAGATAGCTCAGGGTCTGAAATATCTCCATGACAACAGCATTGTACATTTGGACATTAAACCCGCCAACATTCTCATCACTCCCGACGGTGACTGTAAAATTGGTGACCTAGGATGCTCCCAGATTTTAGAAGAGGGGACCGGAAGGGTAAGTCCCACCCAGAGGTCGTCCCTCACCGGCACATTTGCATATCGCGCACCAGAACTACTTCGCGGTGACGCGCCTACCAGGAAAGCAGACATTTACTCATTCGGTATTACCATGTGGCAAATGCTAGCACGTGATAATCCGTATGGCAACGAGAACCAGCACGTGGTAATCTTCGGAGTTGTGGCATATGGCCACCGTCCGAAACACCCAAACATGTCCGAGCAAAACCCATTTGAACTTTGCTACCGTGACCTATATTCGCAGTGTTGGGATTCGACGCCCCAAAATCGACCGTCTGCAGATGAGTTGGTGGAAGTGCTCGATATCTGGAAGAACCAGTTGTAATAGTTCCTAAGAAACTGACTACATATGAAAACATCTGTAATTATTTGTGAATTTAACTCGGTGGATTTAAGAGGAGAGAACGATTGGCAAGGCTTACATGTTTCAAAAACTGATGTAATACATGAAAGAGCCATCAATGTACAGGCATAATATAGAAATGCAATGTGTTTAAAATTAAATATGTTATGATCCTATTGGTCCAGGGGTTTTCCCTGTTTGTATATTCATGTATCATATGTAAATTTGAAAATCAAAAGAATGTATAGTTATTTATCTGCTGATTTTCACAACTGTTATAATTTTACAATGGTTATATTTACCCATTTACATTTATTATGTGTCAAGTGTTCTATTTTTTTGCCTGTCTAGCGTCTTATTTACGCGATGTCTGTCTAACGTCTTATTTACACGATGAATGTCGAACGTTCTTTTTGTACAATGTCTGTCTTACGTCTAATTTACATGATGTCTGTCTTATGTCTAACTTACACGACGTCTGTCGGACGTCTAATTTGCGCAATGTCTCCCCTACGTCTTATTTACACAATGTCTGTCTAATGTCATATTTGCACAGTGTCTGTCTTACGTCTTATTAACACAATGTCTGTCTTACGTCTTATTTACACAATGTCTGTCTTACGTCTTATTTACACAATGTCTGTCTAATGTCCTATTTGTACAGTGTCTGTCTTACGTCTTATTTACACGATGTCTGTCTTACGTCTTATTTACACAATGTCTGTCTTACGTCTTATTTACACAATGTCTGTCTAATGTCCAATTCACACAATTTCTGTCTTACGTCTTATTTTCACAATGTCTGTCTAATGTCCTATTTGCACAGTGTCTGTCTAATGTCTTATGTACACAATGTCTGTCTAATGACTTATGTACACTGTGTCTGTCTGACGTCTTGTGTTTACTTAATGTTTGTTGTTATATTTTCGGTATTTTAACTTCCTAGTTGTACAATGCCTATTGGCATTTTTATACATTGTGTTTTCTTTCCACTCTGTTTACAATGTTTAACTTCCTGGTTATTCACAATGGATGTCGTCCTATTCTCGTAGTATATGTATTAAAGTATACATCCAAATTCTTAGAGCTGTAAGCTATCCGTCCTACATCTAATCGATGTTGTCTGCTATACGTCCTAACTTTAAATGTAGGACGTTTGACGTATAGTTGTGAAAGTTTACGTCAAACTTCCAACATTCAAAGTTCAAGTACATGGCATGGAATCTCCAATACCAGTGTTTGTCACGCCCTATTCATCATTTCTTGTACATCAAATTGTGCTCATGATTTTTTCTGAAGTTTCTCTATTCATAGTTTCCATTATTTCCATATACTTAATCGTTGAACGTGCTGTCCTTATCTTTCCCAATTTCCTCTTCAGCGTCCAAAGAACGCTGCAGTAATTATTGATAAACGGTTATTTGTGTTGTAAACGCTATGTTCGATTTCGTATTTTTCCGCTGTTGTGGAGAGTATTTCGGACGAACGTTATACACTTTAACACACTGTAATATGAAACATACTTTTTTTCTCGGGGAGTTCTTCTACAACGGAAACATTTTTCCTGTTAATCTGAACCCCTCTACCTACCCATTCACTCTATATTTTCCGCCTGTATGCATATTACCTATGCAGCTAATTTTGATTTTAAACTAGTAGGTTACGACGCGGCGTACATTTACGTCTTTTAACCATGGGTTTGGTTCAAATATTGTTATACATAAGTTGCCCAAGATTTTGGATTTATATCTATATTAAGGAAATAGTAAAAAAATATTTGCTTTCATATTTTTATACAAAACAAACAAAAAAATGGAAAAAGATGTTTATGATTTTTAGTACGGATATTGGTGTCCCTTGAAAGTGTTCGGGGCCTGTTTACTTAAATTAAACTTTCGATTATTTCTCCTCTTTTGATGTTCTCGTAGCACACAATTCTTAATAGTTTTGCTTCAAAAGAGACTCTGTAGTCATCATTTATTATACCGCAATAAAAAAATGTTCATGATATTGTGTGTAATTGTCATGTGGATTATAAAAAGAAAGAAAAATAAAACATTTACGAAATAAAATTAGTCTTTTTGTAACCTTCTATGTGTGTTATGGTTTTATATCGACATATTATATTTAAATTAATATACACGATAGGTCTGTCTAATTTATTTTCAAGTTTTCCTAAAATGGCCATGGATATATATTTTAGACTTTTACTTTAAAAATAGTTACTCAGATTTCATTTCAATGTATACTTCGCGCTGTAAAGGGAAATAGCTCATGTATGTTAGTGCTACAAAATGGTTACTTTATACCATAAATTGCTTAATTCATTCGAACTTGCTTGATTCATTTGTATCTTACAGACAAGGATCGCAATTTGGCGGGAAGTGTAATACATGTATTATATTCCAGAGTCATCAAAGAATTTTGTAAACAGACATTGACTAATTTGTTAGGGATTGCTTGGGGTAAAAGCGACTAGACGCATTTAAGCTAATACATATAGGTTGACTATATAAGGAAACTGATCTGTATCATAAAGAATAGAAGCAATTCATGGACACAGAATTAATCAGTCCTCCACTAAATATCTTCTAATTATCAAGCAAGTCTACTGTCAACAGCCCGAATGGCCAAATCACGTCCTTCAAAAACAGACTCGGGTAACTTATGTCTTTAACTCTGTTTAACAAAAACGTAATTGATATTTTCATAGTAAATATCTAAAACAATTAAGTTCAAATGAACATTAAAATACGTGTAATGAGAACATATAATCGTATTTAGAAGAAAATTACAAAACAAATTTTCCCGGCGTGACTACTAAATTTAGTCCTACAAATGTGGAATCGAACGCACCCACATGCAGGGAACAATAAACGCTTAATTCGAACACAACAATATTGTAATATTTCAAGAAACGTGTTAACATTGAGGATTAGAAAGATGTGTGACTCGAAAAAGATCAGAGATGCCGGTAAATCAACAGTGTACTGCTAAAATATCTCTGAGTAGTCTGAGTGTCCTAAACAGATGTTTATATTTCTATTTATAACCCTTTGATCACCCATGTTACGGTATCAATAAGATAATGATGAATTGACCGGTGAAAGTTGTTCCATTGAAGATACAGATTACTTAATAGTTAAAGTTTGCACACAGGAACTTCACGCGTTGTTAAAAAAAAGAACAATACGTGAAGTACCTGTGGTTTGCACTACAACATTGCAATAGTGACTGTAAATTGAGATAAAAAAAACATAAGGGTAACTTGTTAATACTATTAAAAAAGTAGTCTACTACCCTTCTTTTTTATATTATTTTTTATCTCAATTTACAGTCAGAATTTCAAACACCTGTGATAAGGTTTGAAAATACATGTTTCTGGTTAAGGCAGTACAACACTGGTATAGTTCTGAAATGGTTATATATATTGGAATGTTTTAATTCATATATGAATTAATTTTATAGAGATATTTTCAATGTGATATAATCTGGGTCACAATAACTACTGCTATGCATATGGTAGCAGATTGGTTCTGCACTATCAGCTATGTATCAATATCATCTGAATATATGAAAAAAGTGTATCACTTTGACTTACATCGTAAAATGTTAATTCTGTTAAAGTTTAAGTCAATGCATGTGGCAGTATAAAATTCAAACAATAGTACCGTCTAATAATTTCCTCTATTTATAATTTCTTCTATTTAGGATGGTGATTTTTTTTTAATAATTTATTTCAGTTTTCAAAAAGAAGTTACTTCGGCGTCTGTATGGGGACCTTGAAGAAACTGAAACAACAAAGCAGGACCAAGATAACTTAGAACCTGAAACTGATACTGACAGGACAAGTCTCGCTGCTAAGTATACCTGTCAGGTCAGACCAAAGAAAAAAGTTTACAGTGTGATTCCTAGACCCCCTGGTATTCTTCCAGAAAAAGGTTCTCCGCTGGAAGAAGGGCCAGAGTTTGTTAGAGAGGAAGAGGACGAGGAAAGCGGATCCGAGTTGGAAGAAGAAGGTAGAATATGTACTTATCTCGCTTTGTCACCTGTGAATTACATGAATAAAAATAATTTAAGAAAAATTAAATTTAAAATCTTGTATTCCTCAACTACACACTAGCAATCATGATAATACACTGATTTTCATGGAAAATTGCTGAAGTGAGATAGTTTATTATTTGTTTATTTTTCATTTATTTGTTTACTTTACTCGTTCATTGTATTATTATATATATATATTAATGCCTTTATTAATATGTACTTAAGTTGCTCTAGATACATATTTACATGTTTTTGCAAATGGCAGTAAAAAAAAGAAGGCGGCGAAAAAGAAAACAAAGAAGTGCTGACCAACCAGAAGGACAGAACCAGAAGACAGAAAGGATTACTGGAGGAGCAGCAAATATAATACTCACAAAAAATCAAAAGAGGAAACTGAAGAAAAAGAAAAGGAAAGAAAGAGAGAAAGTAAAGGATGCAGGTGAAAGCAACAAGGAATTTACATTTTCTGTCAATACTAGTGTGGACATCGAAGTGCAACACAACAAGAGGTAAATGTACCATGAGCTATTAATGCCACATAGAAGTGAAATAGTGTAAGGCTAGTATATTTTGCATGTTTTCAACTTCGATTTAGGAGAAAAATTACAGTAAAACATGTTTACATAGCAATGAAGGAGATACATCATGTACAACAATGGTACACTTTGTACCAACTTAGTGGTGAATCCACCCAGGGCCTAACATAGTTTTATGAATAAAAAAGAATACAAGATCATAATATATTTCATATCAAATGTTTTTAAGTCACATAATTATAGTGCCGGCCATAGTGTCCGCAACCGTTAACAGTAATGGTTAATGAAATGTTAATTTGAGACTGTATTTCTTCATTGTCTACCTCCAGTCGGAGAGAAGAGCTACATGAGAGACTACCGAAGCTGGTGGAGTTTATCAGGGCTGTGTGGGAGGTGTATGATCAAGATGGTATGTATCCTTAATTGCATGTCTTATAAATATTACAGATAAACTGCTAAAAATTTGGAATTGGGTAAAATCATCAGAAATCTTCAATAATTATCATATCCTTACAGAGAAATGAGAACAGGGTGGGGTTGGTTATACAAGAATCAGGGTGTGCTAGAAGTTGTTTGATATTTCTGTTTGTTATGGGTTTGTTTTTCCATTCGCTCAATTGTAGTGCCATACCAACTGAAAGTTATAGTACAGAAACCGCAATAACCGAACAAAACCATATTTTAATAAGTCCACTCATAGCAGATATAGATTCGACCAACATGGATTTACTGTCATACTTAACTTGCTGTCATTTGACCAGCACAATTCTAGCTGTGGTATACAGACTTAACATGTGATAGTTGTTATTTCTGGGTACTGAGTTGGTAGCCCTGTGTTCATTGTAGTGCAAATGCACTCAAACCTTGTAATAAAGATCTTCCAAAGGAGAAAACAGATATGCTCTTAATAGACCAGTGATCTGAATAGACAGAATGCTGTAATAAGGAAAAAAGATTGTGGAGTACTGGTACTTGTAAACAGACCGTAGCTATAGACAGGATATCTTTAACTAAAGGCAGGCTGGAATATATGAATAAGGGGGCAACTAGTTGTAGTCAAAATATGTCTTGAAACTTTTGTCAAATGTGAACCTATGGATTAAGAACATGCTTGAAAAGTTTTGGCCTGAAAATGTCATATCTTTGTAGTAGCAGTGAAAGACACTGAAACTCGCTTCTGTGAAGAAAACTTGGACACATTGTTAAATCAGGTGACCTCCATATCTGATACAGAGGAGGATGCAATGCTGGACGAATTTAACAATCTGTGGCATTTAAAAACTCTCCTTGTGCTTGCTGACAATTCTAGAGCTAAAGAAAAGATCAAACATTTAGAAAACATCACTACGCTAGCAATTGACAACGGTATGTCGAAGTTTCATATTATTTTTAAACACACCATAAATGATTGACTACTTCCTGTTGTATAACATCTGTGATCTTGATGAACTACCTGTCATAGCAGACCATAATTTATTGGCAGAAGTGGATAGCAGTAGTTTCTCAATTTACAGCTTCGCTTGGTATACATTTTAACTCATTCACTCCTAAAGACTCATTTGAACTCTTTCAATTCAATGGTTGAAATAGTGCATTATGAAATTTCAGGGGTGAATGAATTAAGGTCACCATAGGTCGTTTGAAAAGAAATCATATATATAGTAATGCATAATATTGGTTTTTGCTCAGAAATTTGATATTTTAATCATGTTTAGTTTAATAATAAAAAAACTATTATATACCGGTATGTATGAAGTATCCTGGTTTTATCTGTGATAAGTCCAGGCAGAGGGCCTTTTTCTTTAGATAGTTCGTAAAACAGATATAAGGCCTGGGGTTGTTAAATCCTTACCTGGTATTATCTACAACTTAACCAAATGGTTTTGTATACTGTATATAACCAGGTATTTAAAAAAAACTATTAAAATTCAAAACTAAAATGACTTGTTTTCAAACAAAAAATTGCAATTTCAAAAACCTCTCAAAGCAGCCCTTGTGTGCAAGAAATAATTATCAAGAAAGGGAGTTGGTCTAATTTTGTGCATGGGCTATATCAGCAGTAAAATATGTTGAAACACTGTATACAGTTTGTATATTAGTAAGATCCATAGGATCAACTTGAAAACTACAGCTACACACAACATCACTGTAGATTAAGAATGACAAAGAAAGTTGCTCAAAAAACAGTCTTCTTGTATTTTGCAGAATCTAAAGATTTACTGTGCACTTTAATGAGATACTGGATGACGGACATTGCAAATCAGAGGTGATGTCTGATGACAGCAGAAGAGTGTATTTGGAAATTTGCAAGCACTGTCTAGGAATGGTGTGTCCAATTTGCTACTGATCACAAATTGATTTTTGCATGATAGAACTCAAATCGACAATATTTTCATCAAAGTTGGTAATTGAACAAGCAATACCTGTATAACATTCATGTAAACTTAAGAGCTGAAAGTCATGAACTAATCAGTCATCCACCAAAGGTATATACCCCGTATATATGATGAGCCAAGCGAAGCTAAGGTCCATAGGCCTTAGTTTTATGGGTGAACCAAACACTTGACATACTATGCATCATTTGGTATATTAGTGTAGTGAAATAAAAAGAATGCCATGGTTTGTCAGTAATATGTATACAGAGTTAAGGTGTGGGTTCAATAGACTCATATTTTTTTACTTTAGAGTTACTGCCCCTAAGAGACATGTGGAACTGCTGACAACTCTCATGTGAGAAATGTGTGGTTTGTTATTAAGGTGAGGAGTACTAGTCTGATCCAATAGCGTCCCCTCCATAATAAGAAATCCACTGTGCAGCCATTGGCTGGTGTCTACGCTATGACAGGCAATCCACTGGAGATTGATAAGGGATGTATTTGTTTCCATTTCTTGGGAGGATCCTCTTGACCTCTAAATTTTCCTATGACAGGAATTCTTATGGAGATAGATGGGTGTGTGCCCGTTCACACATTTTGGGAGGATGATCAGATCTTGCAAACCTCTCATTCTCAGAGTGTTCTCTTGTCCTCCAATCCTTTTTGAGGATTTACCTTATTCCTGTAGATTCCCAAGACATGGTAAGTGGTGGGTGGTATGGAAAAAAGAGAGTTAAGAGAAAGATCTGTCTGGCAGTATATGTGCATTATGTAAAACTATGTGTCTGATGTTGTGACTGGTCACATATATAACCTGATGTGTTTTGTTAATATAGACTTGCACAAAAGTTGAGAGTCTGCTCCAGGATAAGGGTAAGGACACAATGCTTTAGGAGAAATAAATCAACAGGTCATTTGGTGCATTCTTTTGTAACAGTATGCATGTGGGAACTTGATATGGGATTTCATAAAATGATTGAAATTTGTCTGCTGTTGTTGTTCATCAGTCATTTGGAAAAGCTAGTTTACAAGGTTCATTATTATTTGATGTGAAGACATACTTACTACTTTACTACCGGAAATGGGACAATGTTCATCACCCAAATGTGACGAGGGAAACAAAAGTACTATTTTGGTAATCTTGGATTTCTGAACTTCCCCAAAAATAACTACACTTGCTTTGCATTACCTCATGGTCATTCCTGGCCAGTTATGAGTAAATCCTTCCTGAGGATTTGGAGCAGAACTTCAAAATGTCAGAAAATTTACAAACAGCAGATGAAGCATGATGCCAGGCAATGGGTCATCCTGACCTTTCTGGTCAAGGTTCCAAAAACATAAAAATGCAGAATACAAGACACAACAAATAAATATTAATTATCTTTGTATTTATTAGTTGTACATGGATACACATATATACATAACAATGTCATGTTCGTACTTGTTAGTGTAAGCATCAGTGCCATAAATATCACCCGGTGTATACTATCCTACAGTACTGATCCTAACTATTGTACTCCTACTCCCACAATCCTCCTCCTGATCAATTAAGCACATCCTTAGGTCTGAAATTGATTTGAGAAATTGACAGAGGTGTCAATCAATGTCAATAGCACCTTTGATGGCGGCTTAAATTCCCGCTAGAAAACGTTAGGAGTGTATAAATCTAAATGAATGCTCTAAGCTACATGTGCCTACAACTACTTACATCATAGATCATATACCAGGACATTTTCGCTGCAGTTTAATTTCTCCCTTTTTTGCCCTCCGTAACGAGGGCAAATTTATCATAATATAACATGAACATTTGGAAAAAGGAAAAAAATTAACGTAGTAATCAAATGTGAAAGGCGAAATTAACACTGGGCGAAAGTTTGTCTGGGCGAAAATTTGTCTGGGCGAAAGTTTGTCTGGGCGAAAGTTTGTCTGGGCGAAAATTCCCCGGTATACAGTATCTCAATTTTACAGCAGTCAACAGATCGGTTACTTTGTGAAACCGTCAAGTACATTTATTCAACCATCTGTGACTTAATTATGAAACAGAAGACATGGGACACATAAAATGGTTTATGTCCGACTGGATGGCAGGACTTCTGGATTAAAGATGCTCAACTTTAACACAATGATTTGTCTAAACTTGTTCTATGTACATAATATAAAACGAACATTCTTTCAAAACTACCCCAAACATTGCTGAAACACATTTAATAATTGTTAGTATCACAGAAACACGAACAATGACATAGTGAAGGGAAGATGGTTTTATTTGGAGTTTGATGTTTAAGAGACAGCTATGGTCATATAATGAGAAGAACAGGCACCTAGTGTACAATTTATTTCACTTAAGAAAAGTGATGTCTCCTTTATAGTACAAAAGACGATTTTACATATAAGGGGTTTCTCACACACTCCGCGTCCCATCACTGGATATTTTGCGTAGGAATGATAAATATTTACCAGTCAGTACCTTCTGTACCTTTAACTGACAAAATGGAAGGCCACATATTTTACATCAATTTGGAAAAGTGTAGACTTCCAGACACATCGTTGTGAATTCCTGAGTAATGTTTGCATATTGAAATGATCCTAATAAAGTACACAGTGAAAATAATGCTGTGGTTGGGGCATGTACGTAACACTATAATAAAACCACACTGATCAAATCACTGTTTTCAAAACTAAATTATTTTAACATCTTTTCGTGATCGTGCTTAAATTTGATTTCGTGATCGTGCTTAAATTTGATATCAAGATTTGTGCAAGGAATAAAACAAAACAAAACAAAAAGACAAACATTCGTGATTGAACAAACTTTTCTCGCTTATATCCCATCATTCAGGTCCTGTTACCCAGTTTTTCTTCGCCAAAAAAACGTTAAACTGTTTTTTATTCTGTTTCAGAATTTGTATGCAAATGCTGTTTTCTATAATAGTATGATAATAGAAATTTGAACTACATAACATTATATGAAAAGTATACTTGAATATTAGAATATCAGTAGCAATTATAACAGTAAAAATTGAAACCAAAGAAAAAATACCGCTTTACACCCCAAGAACCCGCTATGATAATATGTGATAACATAACATATCATTTGTAAAAAGTGCTTCTTGAAAAATAATCAATTAGAATGATTCTGAGATTTCTAATGAAGCAAAATGCTCTTGCAATATATCTGTTTTAATTACCCTGACTTCCATATTTAAGGAATCAGAAACATAAAATATTTCATATTAAATGTTTATTATGGTACATGTACTACAATACTTCCTGCATTTGCAAATCACTAGGCAGTGTTGTCTCACATCTCTGAACCAAATATATTCAAGTAACAAACTCCATCATTCTGTATATCATAAAGCCAGAACTCTGATATGAGAATATTACAACAACACAATATATCAGATCCCCAATTTTACTGTATATAGTAGACTTCATATTGCAAATCCCATTCTGATCGAACTTGTAAATGCAAGGAAAGAACCCTAGGTAAGAATTACAAGTTTCCCTATGTTTCTTTCTTTGTAAATATTGGACATGATCTTTCACATCACCTCATATATTACTCAATGTTAAATAAAAGATGTTTGAAAAAATACAATGTCACCCAATGTTAACTAAAAGATGTTTGAAAAAATACAATGTTACCCAATGTTAATTAAAAGATGTTTGAAAAAATACAGACACAAAATATAACAAAACTATTTGTAATAGTTAAAATGAAATCTCATAATTCGGAATTGCCTATTAAAAAAAATGAAGACATTTAACAATTTTGCTTGCATTTTTGTTAAACTTAATCTGAAAGTTGAGTATACAGCAAACAGATTAATTAATATGTACCAGGTACTACAGTAAAACATGCTACATACAACCTTACTATATTTGTTCAAAAATAATGTTACACATCAAACAAGTTTCTTTGTGACCCGATGAATTGTCTGATGAATGAAGTTTAGTTTGCATGTTCATATATTTGCGTACATATTTCTTTGTCTGATTTATTATATAACACAAATTTAGTAAAGTTTTTTCAACTTCTTTAATCATAAGTATCTCCAATGACCTTGGGTTTGTTAAACACGTTTTACTGTCGTTTGTTTAAATAATTCTTCAATGAAGAGTAAAACAAATATATACAAGTACTTATAAGCATGCAACACAAATATGTGAAACAAAAATTTATCTCTTATGAACATAAATCAAACCTTTTCATGGCAATAACATCAAAATATTTTGTCTGAATACTCTTTATGAACCAATGTTACATTCCCGGAATTATATTGCATCTACAATTTAATCAAAGGCCGCATACGTTTATCACCATACAAATGGTTGAACTGGTTGGACCAGAGTTGTTCGTTTATAAAATTATGTCGGACCTAGTAATCTGATGCTGATTTCGGGCGAGCCTTGACGAAGCCTTGCAAGGCCTGCATACACATATGCAGGTCTGCCAGGATTTATACCCGAAAATGTTACATTTAAAAACAGACAAACCGGTTGAGCCGGATATGCGAAAAGGGTCAAAGTCTTTAAAATAGGCAAAGATAATTGGCATACATACATCCATAACTACATGTATATACCCTTTAACTTGATAAATGTATTCCGTCTTTACGTATTGCAGAGTTATCTTCTCTTGTGAGCAGGTATTGATTGTTACGTCATTGGTATGTGTGAGAAAATTACGTTGTTTTCTCAAAAATTGACGACATAACTCTCACAAACAAATGACGTAACAATCATTACCTGCTCACAAGAGAAGATAACTCTGCAATACGAAAAGACGGAATATCATTGTTTTAACTATAAAACATACACTTGTATTATGCTGTTTGCTGTTCTTTGTGCACAACCAATTTTGGCTATGCTAGAGTAAATATTGCAGACACTCAAGACCCATTATTAATAATCCAATATTAAATGAGTATTAAGAATATTTAAGATATTTTCACATATTGCAATATTTCAAATGAATAAATACCGAGTATGTTTATATTAAATCATGGAAAATACTATTGCCTAATTTTCAACATATCTGATTCTTCCTCTGATTTTTCAAAGAATGTATCATCAGCATTATGTGTGTAAAAACAGGTCCTTTTTTCTACAGTGCCTGCACTAAAAGTACGACTTAAATTATGAAATAGAACTTTTAGTATACCCTGTACTCTTAATTTAGATCTTGCTGGTATTCCATTGTACAACAGATCGACAAACTGATTACTTTAGTAACAAAATATGTACAACAGAAACATATAACAACAACATATCCTGGTTACTCACCTCTGTTTTCCATTTTCAAATCTCACTTTAGTACTGTAATCGTTTAAATTTTTACACATTCGCTGACAGAGTTGATCAGCCCATACATGCAGTAATTTTTAATAAAATATCATATTTTTGCCTAGAATTAGAGTTACCAATGTACACAAGATGGTATCTATTACTTGCCACTATTTCTTACTATAATATCATTTTTCTGAGTGCTAAATTTACCAATATATACTGTCTGGTATTTCTGTCTATACAATATTTTTTGTCAGTATTGAAGTCACCCATGTATAATTCACAGTACTTCTTTCGATATTTTCTATTTAATGGTTTGTCTTGTGATCAATTTGCTCTTAATAAAATGGAGGTGAAAATGTTCCATTTAACAATATTCCCTAAAGTACAGACTTTAAAATTGTAAGCTGATTGAACAAAACTTTTGTTGTGACAATTATTCAAAATTTCACAATTTTACTGTTACTACAAAAAAATATCAATACACAACAAAATGTTATGACTGAGTACTGTATAATGAAGCTCCCTCTAATATCAATGTTTTACACTCTCTATCGCTAGGCAAAATGTCCCAGGTCAAATGACATAAGAAACATAACTTTCATCACCTCGTTGTACTACTGGTAAACAATACAAAGTGCTCACTCAGTCAAAGCTCGACAAAGGGACCAGTAAGTTTTGGAATGTTGCAACATGTTTAAAACTTACACTGTTTGTGTATGAAGTAAAACTTTGATATTTCAAAATTCCAAACTGATAAATCTCATTGATGAAGCACCCCCTTGTAGAAAACAACAACTTACAATTACAACTATAGTAGTTCTGAATAATTAATAAATGTCAACCTAACATTATTTAAGGGATATAATTCTGACACACAGCAAAGACATAAACGATACCAGATATTGTTAGTATACACTTACAAAGTATAGGTTTGAGTTCCAATAGACATTTAAATAACTCTATTCAAATGCATCTTTTAAATGCACTCTCTAAAACAAAGACACTAAAATACAATCCCTCGGTATTAATGATACAAGTCCTCTACAAAAATGGTACATTTCCAATTGAATAAAGATGAAACTAAAAATCTCAATCAAATCTTGACAATATCACGTTTATGTGTCATGATATGAAACAACAATCCTATCCTTCATTGCTTTCTACTATTTTGAAGACGATTTGTTCATGCCGTGTCTGGGCGGAGCTGGAACAGCTTCTCTATGACACTCTCATCAGCCATTGTCGTAATGTCACCAACATTTCTGTCACCGACAGCAATTTTGCGAAGGATTCTTCTCATGATTTTTCCTGACCTTGTCTTGGGAAGCCCTGGAGCGTTTTGAACAAAGTCCGGGGAGGCAAATGGTCCAATTTTTTCCCTAACTGAAATGTAGAATAAGAAATAGTAGGATATACAAAAAATTACAATTACAATTACTAAGTTTGCAACAAATGTCCATGTTTCTTTTTTCTTTAAATCACAGTCTTTCTAATACATGTACTTCCACTCCTCCATAAAAATTCCTCAGATACAGTTTAAATATTACAATGTTCAATGATATCAGGTGATTACAATAAATACATTATGTGTATTTTCAAAATTCAGTTAAGTCTGTTAAAGGGTTTAATGTCAGAGATTATTCATGACATAATGCATTTAAATGATAAGAAGACTCATAATATCTTTTGTTCCATCGTTTTTCAATAACCACAATCAAAACCGTCAATTTTAAAAGCACTGTTATCTAGGTACCATATCACCTTATACGCAGTAGTTTGAGCCTTGCTGCCTATTCTCAATTATTTTACCCCTCAATTACAATCAAAATGTCATCAAGAGACATATCAAAATCCATTATTAAACAATTATGATGTTTAAGAATTCTCATGACAATTAGTAGTAGTCAGTGGTTCCAATGATTTTTGTCTTTTTCGTCATTTTATAAAACAAGAAATCTTATTCTCAAACAAAAAATTGCTGTTGTAATAACCACATTTCTGCTTTGTTACCGTATACTAATTTTAATAAAAGGGGGATTTTATTGAAGATCTAGATACATTTCCAAACATGTAACATTTCCATACCTTTCTTTTTCAATTCCACAACCAGCTTTTCACTGAACTCACAACCCTGAAACAAGAACATTATATAATTAAGGTATATTCATGACTGTCTCTGCATTTTAGTTTCTTATAAAAGAATTATTTATATGGTTGAATATAACATGAGGTTACTTAAAATTAGCTTAATCAAAGTGTTAGATTATAGAAATATAAGGATATTAAACAAGACTAAAGTGAACGAATTATTTCTAACCACTGAGGCAGGTGTCATCTATTGTCATTCAGCAAGGATTTTGTCTTAACATTGCTATGTATCATACACATCCCCCAATCAAACATTGCTATGTATCATACACATCCCCCAATCAAACATTGCTATGTATCATACACATCCCCCAATCAAACATTGCTATGTATCATACACATCCCCCAATCAAACATTGCTATGTATCATACACATCCCCCAATCAAACATTGCTATGTATCATACACATCCCCCAATCAAACATTGCTATGTATCATACACATCCCCCAATCAAAAAACATTTCAAGTTGACAGTTAGCTCTGGCATATCACTAGTCTATCCAACTTAATTGTGTTTTCATCAATTTTTGAAACTGTCAACAAAACAGACAAATAACATTTGGACTACTTTTAGCACGAAACTATTTGCATTGGTTAAAATTAATACTCTGAAGAAGAAATACTAACAGAGGGACAATGCCATACCATAATATGCCTTGTGATGTTGGACATGTAATACAAAAATTCTCATTTAATATGATGACAGAAATTGTTACACATGAAACATCACCTGAATAATATCAGAAGAAAAAAAAGGTTTGAAAAAGCTAAAAGTAGGAGATAAGAAACACCCGTATTTTTTACCCACCTCCTTGAGAGTGACAAAACAATAGGTACACTCCCCCTTGATATCATGTGGATGGGACACGACAGCAGACTCCGACACATGTGCATGTTCTATCAGAGCACTCTCGATCTCGGCTGTGCTCAGCAGATGACCCGACACATTGACCATGTCGTCTATGCGTCCAGTTACCCAGAAGTACCCATCATCGTCAAACTTTGCACCTATAAACAGGCAAAGCAGTTATATAAAGTATGAATCGATCTAAAAAGTCAAGGAAGTTAAGTCAAGTTGTTCATTTCCCCCCCACTGTATCTTATTGTTATGACATTAAATTAAGGTTGAAAAGTTTTTTCACTTTGCTGAATGCAATACTCTCAAAAGTCATATAATAAAACCATTCTCATGGCCAATTCAGATTTTGAGTATCTTTAAAAATCTAACAAAAATTTAGTAGTTAATAATACCCTAAACTTGAAGTCGAGACATACTTGAAAGTGTTCTACATAACTTTAATTTAACCACGAGAACAATTACAACAAGAGACCCAATGAGCCTGCATCGTTCACCTAGTATTAATATCACATTTGTAACCTTAAAGTGGACTAAAATAAAGCTATAGACAAAGTATCAGTGTGTTGACTAAAAGTCATTCAAAAGAACATGCTAAAAGATTTTGACCCCTGTGACCTTGAAAGTCAAACAAGGACATTAAGTTGAACAAACTTAATAGCAAGAAGCTACCAGCCAAATATTATGATTCTATGCCTTTCGGTTCTTCAGAACAAGTTGTTTTAAGTGTTTGACATATTAGATCCCTGTGACCTTTAAAGTAGGTCAAGGTCATTTGCATTCTCAAACTTTGTTGGCTCCATCACGAGAAGCTACTAGCCAAATGTTGCGATTATATCCCTTTCAGTTCTTCAGAAGAACTCATTAGAAGTGTTTGACATATTTCACCCCTGTGACCTTATAAGTAGGTCAAGGTAATTGTCACTCTCAAACTTTGTCAGGCTCCATTCCGGGAAGCTACCAGCCAAATACTAATATTCTTTACCTTTCAGTTCTTCAAAAGAACTCGTTAGAAGTGTTTGACATATTTCACCCCTGTGACCTTTAAAGTAGGTCATGGTAATTGTCACTCTCAAACTTTGTCAGGCTCCATCCCGGGTGGCTACCAGCCAAATATTAAGATTCTTTACCTTTCAGTTCTTCAGAAGAACTCGTTAGAAGTGTTTGACATATTTCACCCCTGTGACCTTTAAAGTAGGTCAAGGTAATTGTCACTCTCAAACTTTGTCAGGCTCCATTCCGGGAAGCTACCAGCCAAATATTAAGATTCTTTACCTTTCAGTTCTTCAAAAGAACTTGCTAGAAGTGTTTGACATATTTCACCCCTTTGACCTTGAAAGTAGGTGTAGGTCATTTTCATTCTCAAACTTAGTTCGGCTCCATCCCAAGAAGCTACCAGCCAAATGTTAAGATTCTATATGTTTCAGTTCTTCAGAAGAAGTTGTTTTAAGTATTTGACACATTTGACCTGTGACCTTGAAAGAAGGTCAAGGTTATTTTCGTTCTCAAACTTTGTCAGGCTCTTACCAAAGAAGCTTTCAGACAAATATCATGCCTTTAGGCATGTCCTTTTTTCAGAAGATGTTAAAAGGAAAAGTTGATGGACGTCGGACAGACGCTGCGCCATGGTATAAGCTCACTAGCCCTTCGGGCAGGTGAGCTAAAAATTGTATGCAATAATATCAGTTACACAAACAATTAGACTTTAAAAAAGAAAATGCCAAGTATTTGAACCCATTATTTTTCACTTAGCTACCATATTATTAACCACTCAGTCAATGCTTGAAATTGCCAGAACAATTTAAACAGATCGAAATAAACTTCATTCAAACTTGTACCATCTCCAGTGCAGTAGTATCCAGGAAATTTCTTGAAGTAGACAGTCTCAAATCTCTCATGGTTTCCGTAAACTGTCCTCATTATACCTGGCCATGGCTGCTTGAATACCTAAAAGGAAACACTTTATCTGTATTTACAGTAACCAAACAAATTTTTAATTTTGATTTTTGAGTCATTATAATTATACTCCGTTTTTGTTAAGGTTGTAATTTTAGAAACCTACAAATAGTGACGTCCTGACATACCTGACCAAAAGTAAAATGCTGACCATTGCTAGTTTGCATTATTTCTTTCTAAAACAATGTCAAGCCACATGTAGTTTTTAAGATACATTATGTAATTCAGTGGGCGCATGAAAGAAGAGCATAATATTCTTTATACATTGCTATTTATTCTCCGAAACTGTGCATTTTTAGCTCTGATTATAGAACGGTCGAAGTGCGTTCCTTTTTCGTGGAATATTTCTGCGCCACCTGTACCTTTTCAACCAGGATACGCCAATGTAACCATAGGTGTTTTAAGCAATGCATGTGACAAGCTTTCTAGTGTATATAAAAATATAAGTTGAACACTTTTGGAGAAATGTGAACAAGAATATGAGGTGTTTTTTTCATCCAAAAATTGTCCTTATTACTAAAATGTTGCAAATGTCTTCATATGCATAAATTAATTATAGTATTTCATGATGTGTCATAAGAAAAGCAGTATGAAGAGCAAGTGACCATTCGCTCTATATATAAATCCCCCTGATTAAGTGTATCCAAAAAATAAAAGATAACAATGCACCCACAAACAAACAAACACACAGGACAATGTAGCTTGATGAAAGGATATTTCTGGTGAGCCTTGATAATTACATGTCTGCTAGGCTTTATCCTGGCACGAGATGGAACAAAATGAACAAGAGATCCCAGAGGGATCTTGGCGCCCACCATTGTACCATCTTCATTAGTTTTTTGTCAGTTCAATCTTTTCTCTTCTTTCCTCTAATTTGTTTGATCGAGTCATGTTAACAGTTAATGCACCTTGAGGTAACTTTTGATCTAAACTTAATACTGATGTGTATGAAAGCCAACCTTCAAAGTGAGTTTGTCATTTCACATATTTACTGGTACAGTACTTAATGTGAAAGAAATAGAATCGATCATTGCAATATGAGAAAGATCTGTTTAGTTCTTCCTTTAGCCATTTTGTTTTTATGATCAGTCTCAAAATATAACATGTACAACGAGGGATCAAGGGGAACCTACATATCAAATTTGAGAAATATCCCTCATGCACAAATAATTTTGGGAAGAAATATTTCCACAGCATTTAACACAATGCTTCAGCACATTTAAATTACATATAACATGACAATGTTTGTAATATGTGAAACAGAATAAAACATTATATTTTTAATTCTTCAACCCTAGTTAAAACCTGACATGATCCACTCCATTCAGGTCTTCCAAAAAAGAAATACACAAAACCTTGCACCTCAAAGAAGACACCCTGGCAGTATTTATATAGAAATTCTAAATCACGGACAGTTCGATTCAAATCGTAGTAATGACAACTGAAAAATGTACTGCCCCCCAGTTAAGTGGAAGGGACAATAATTTCTTTTATTCATTAATTTTTCGACAGTCGCCCAAACTATTTTTGTTGGTCCAGTGACTACCTCACTTTTGAAGACTTTAACTGCCATTGGCGAGCAGGCGACCATCCATTTCAGGCACTGCTGCACAACAAGGTAACAAGGGGAACCTACATATAAAATTTGAGAAAGATCCCTCTGGTACTTCCAGAGAAATAGCGATAAGAAACCTTCACTATCAAAATTTAAGATGGCTGCCTGTCGGCCATGTTGTTTATCCGATCAGTCTCAAAAGTTGCCCTGCACAGCTAGGGATCAAGGGGAACCTACATCTAAACTTTGAGAAAGATCCCTCTGGTACTTCTTGAGAAATACCGATAACAAGAATTGTTTAAGGACGGAAGACGGACCACGGCCGCAGTGTGATTTGAATAGCCCACCATCAGATGGTGGTGGGCCAAAAAAACAAATTTGTGTATTTACCAAGTATCCTTCTTTACCAGACTCCGTGATTTCCTGTCCATTTTCATCTAATATAGCTGGAACTATGCCAAAGAATGGAAAAGTCTGAAAATGAAAGGCAGATAATAGTGTAATAAAATATGTGTGCACATATTCACATCCAATTACAAAATATCACAAACTCCCAATAACTGAATCAAGAGCCACAAGTCGTCTGTATTATTCATATATTTTCCCATTGTGAATAGAATTGTAGCTTATCTTAAACTTTGAGATAGGGGAAAAGCACAGAGGCCAACCACCCTAAAAAAACTGTTTTCAAAGATGACCTGGAATGAACACACTTACTGCTGATCCGGGTTTGAGGGGAGTCGCTCCAGGTAGAGGCGTTAAGGTATGGCCGCCCTAAAAAGTGGGAAATATAATCATCAATCACAAATTCCTATCATTGAATGGCAGAGCAAATTCCTGCCTCCTTCAAACATATTTAATAAAACTTTTGATACATAATTTCATTTTATTATTTAAACAATGGACAACATTTAGTGTGATCGCCAGTACCTATAAGGCTGAACAGAAATACAGCTCTGTTTCATGTTTCCTGCCATATTTTTTGTCCCTTGCAAACCAAAAGATGTAGAAAGCTGATGACACACTGTCAGAGGAGTGGCCTCCCCATTAGTTGATGTTATCTACATTGAAGATTTGATCAGCAAATACTGAACTTTATTTAACAGTGCATATTTCAATAATAGGATGATTGTTGAAGAACTTTTTGATTATAATACATTGATGTTCTGTTCTGATCCTGACTTACTGTCTCAGTCTGCCAGAAGGTGTCGACAATGGCACATCGTTTCTCCCCTATCACATTGTAGTACCAAAGCCAGGCCTCAGGGTTGATTGGTTCTCCCACGGTGGCCAGTACTTTCAGGGAGGACCGGTCATATCTACATCAAGATTTAGCCCCAGTGAAATATGGTACCTAATTTTTTTTGGTGCATGAAACTTATACTGTCTGTTTTTCCTCTCTTAAATAACAATATAAGTGTTTGAATGGAATTTTTTTTTTTTCAAAGAATTTTTTTCTGCTTTAAGTTAGGGTTGACAGGTATGAAAAAATATGTATTTGCTAATTAATATAACAAAGCATTAATCTAATTGCATGCATAAGCCATCAGGTTAAACTGTATAAATGATGAATGCATGGAGGGTCAATACATAGAAAGTATGCAGTTAACTTTGCATAGCTATAGACGTAAAATATGTCCAAATAGCCTCCCCATCAGCTACTCATTTTAACAATGAAGATGTTTGGTTACTTCATTATTGTGATTTCTGCATTTGTATTTTATGAGCTAGCTTCATTATGTGACCCATCTTTGTATTAATGAATCTTTTTTTATTATATTGAAAATGTGATGCAATGAAAAACTGTTTCTGGTGAAGTGCACATTCATTTTCCATTTCTTTTTCTGTCTGATTTTGATATTATTTAAGTCAAAACTTGTCAATCTATCATTATAATAAACTATTATGAGTAAATAATATTCAAATTAGACAACGCTCGACAGTAACTCACGGTCAAAAATAATTCAACTGTGGAAAACTGCCTTGAACAATTCTAGAGTGCAGAAGTAACTCACTTTGTGACAAACTCATCACCAAACTTCATGAGAGCTCGGATGGCTGTTGGTGCTGTGTAGAACTTTGTAACTTTGTACTTCTCTACAATCGCCCAGAACCTGCCTGGGTCAGGGTAGAACGGTGTGCCTTCAAACTGTCAAAAACAAAGCATTGGAATGTGATAGAATGGATACCTCATTGTCATATACAAAATAGTCTAAAAATATTTAACTCAAAACATTTAACTATTAACTCACAGCCTTGTCAAAGCTGTACAATGAACACATTTGAAGTACAGTAAAACCCCACTTCCTCGAACTCGGTTTACTCGAATACCCCTTATTCGTCGAACAGTTTGTTTGATCTCGACCCAGTTCGTACATATTCTTTGTAAAGTAACCCCGGATTATTTGAACCGTTATTCATCGAATACCCGGTATTCCTAAAAAAAAAAAAATCATCTCCAACTCTTCATGGTCATAGTATTAATCCTATCTATTCGTCTAACAGGTGTAACCTGTCACGCCTGATAGATATTTTACCTGTGTATCACACTGGCACTACCGCCAACATGTCTCCAGACACAAGCTGCAGTTCACGCTCATTGTACAGGTGTCAACTGGACTTCAGGTAATTAAAGGATTATCGGCAGTATCATTAAGTAACTGTACCGTTGCCCTGTATTATCATTTTGTATGCATATTTATTTTTTCCAGATGATGTTTTTAAGTGTTAATTCACTTGGTGTGCAAAACCATATTTCGGCATGGCAATATTAAGCGGAAATCACATAGCGGATTCTCGACCAACTTTAAAGATATTCAAACTTGGAATACGTCGTGATTGTTAATTTCGTTATCAATCAACATTGTGCTTACAAGGATTCAAGGTTTTCTTCATTTTAAAATGATCAAAAAGTTCCTCTCGTTTTTTATATTTTGTAAAATTAACAAAGCTGAGTACAGTATGGCGGACTATGTCAAAACGACAAGTATGTTAAACATGCAGCTTTTTAATTTTATTTACTTTTTTAATACCGGTGGCTATATTTTTTCATTGTTTAGCTCTGTAATCTTATTACATGCTGTCATCTTGATTAGACTTCTTTTCCTTCAAACATCTACTATCTGCAATATTTGCAGTGCTCGTACTGTCTGTTATCCCTCCTGATAAATAAATGATGATGTCAGTTGAACCTCGGATTCATCGAATACCATGTATTCCTCAAACTATTGATTTGGACCCTACGAGTTTTGAGTTAGCGGGGTTTTACTGTAATAAACTTCATACAGTTGTACTGACAATTCCTGTAATTTGCTGCAGACAAGGTGTCTGAAAAATGGTTTCAAAATTTCAAAAAAGAATGTATCAAAATTTAATTTGTTGTTCAAGATGTCTGAAGAATAGTTTCATGTGACAAATTTAAGAACTACAGAAAAATGTTTGTACATATTCTTCTAGATATTTCAAATTAGTAAATGACAAATAAGGTCAGGACCTCCTCAAACACCACACTGACTTATGATCACAACACACAATTTCATCATCACAGATTCTGTTCTGAACAACAAGTGATGGGTGCAAGTAGTCCTGATAATCTTTACTGTTGTTATTTTTACATTTCGGTATAACAAATATTGGTTGTCAATAAAGTAGGGGAGCACAATTACCTTTATTTTCTTGAACAATTGAGTTTCACCCACGACTGTGCCCTTTTTATATGAGATATGATTATTCTTATAGAACCAAATAATTAGTTTTTCCTGTATTACATGGGCAATAGTATATGTATCTCGTTCCTGAGAATGAAAATTGAGACTACTGCCCAATACACTTAGAAATGATGTTGTTCTACAACATATGCTGCCCCCTAATCTCAGCAGACCATAATAACAAATTATGACGATTTGGCCCCATTGCAAAGTGGCCTATAACAACAGACCACATACTATAAAACATGGCCCCATCGCCAAGTGGGCTGTACATAACAACAGACCGCTTCCTGTGACATTATTGTGGCTCCTTGCCCAGGAGACCATACTACTTACTATGACACTTGTAGCCCCATTGGCCAGTGGACCGTAACAGACGTAAGTGTGGCCAGTGATCCATCCCACATCAGCTGTGCACCAGTAGATGTCATTATCCTGGTAGTCGAAGTCGTACTTGAAGGTTGTAGCGGCATACAACATGTATCCACCAACTGTATGGAGGACTCCCTTTGGTTTTCCTGTGGAGCCACTGAAAGAAACCCCAGAGATCAGTTACAGATGAGAATTTAGAATCCCCTAAGAAACTACTGGAAGAAGCCTAGAGGATGAGATAGATACATGACTTTTCTTCTTTTTTGGGGGGCTCACAATAAGTTATAAATCTTTTACCTCCAGAGAGAGGTGTACATCAGTCCACAATCTATCCGAAGATGATAACAATGATGTAAATGTGATCGGCCACAGCACTAGTGCTTACCTTGTGTAGAGCATGAAGAGGGGGTCCTCAGCATCCATCCACTCAGGCTCACACTCTGAGGACACCTTTGCCATTTCCTCATGCCACCACACGTCCCGCTCATTGTTCCAATGGATCTGTGAAAACAGGGTGTGTTTTAATCCCAGGAATCAGAGGTCACATTGCATCTTTATACAGATCACATGATGTCATTTCATAAAATTAAAGGAAACGGCAGTTTCAAACTGTTTTTGTATGTACAACGAATAAAAAACTGAAGAAACAGTATTCTGTCATTTCATATAAAACAATGAGTCGGAATGACAACAAAAGGTCAAGTGGTTGCTCCCCTGGATTATCAAGTCAAGCAATCATGGCAAATTATTCTCATAAAAAGTTTTACAAGCTAGGTATTGCAAATATTTTCCCTTTTTGGTCTCTGCCTTTCAGCTCAACGAGACAGCAACCTTCCTTATTAAATGTGAATAAAAATTTGATTCCCTAATCTTAAGGATAATTCATAGTAATTTCAGTTGGAACATGATCAACTGTACCCTTTTTAGGTCAAGCCCTTACTTAAGACCATGCCAGGGTGCAACGAATAACCTGGTACACATTGTGTGTCCCATAGGAAGGGACATGAAGCATTTGCCTTTCCTGTTGGTTCAACAATACATATGGCATCTTGGTTAGGCAATTAGTTTTGCTCCATCACTCAAATCAATAGTAAAAGTCTGACAATCATTACACTTTATATGTGGATACATTTTGTGCAATACTTAATGAATAGATCAGTTGTAAGTTACAGCAACTTTTATTTTCTGCTTCAGTGTCTATCTTTCATTTTCTTTGACCACAACTGGTAACAGATGATGTGGTATAATGTCAGTGCTGCTCAACACAGAAACATAAGAAGTAACACCGTCCACAGCTTACCTTGAGTTTACGTGAAGGTCGTTTTGCAGGAGGCTCTTCTGTATCACCGCAGTCCTCTATTTCCTCTGTTGTTGTCAGATGCTTAACAACGACACATTTTTTTACATGGTGGTTCCTATATTTTATCAAACAAATGATCTGTTTCAAGATTTGTACCTTCCAAACAATGTTTTTTTTCAAGGATGGAAGAGCTCCACTCTTGATCATGGAAAACAGAAAAGTTTGCAATCATAATGTGCCTAATGTACAATAAAAGAAACATGTATTTTTCAGTGATTTAATTTACTATAACGAGATAGCAGTTTTGGCAAGTACGACAAACAAAATATTCCCATTTTCTTCAGCGTTAACAAGTAATATTAAAATTTTACATATACCAAAAATTGCATTGTAGAAAATACTAAGTTAATGACTTGACAATGTGTCAAAGATTTCTATGGCAATGTCTACATGGAAACTCAATATTTCTCACGAACAACTAAGGCAATATGTTCCTGGTGACTTACAACTGTTTCACATATTTACATGTACATTTTGTGTGTTGGGACTTACGATTTCCCACAGATAACTAAGGCATCGTCTACAATCTGTTTCAGGTTCATGAGTTTTGTTCCCCTCCACACACCATCTGGAAAAAAACACACATGTTCCGGATTTTGCTTGGGTGAATTAAGCAAGTTCATTCTCTCTTTTGCGTAATTTGTGAATTATCGTGCTATCTGGAGCATTGGAAATATATATATATAATCAAATATAAAGAACTTGTCAATATTTCAGAAATGTTCTTATTCATTCAAAATGGTTAAAAAATACCAGAAAATCTGTTTTTACCAGATACAGTAAGATTTCTATACATGTTCAACTTATGTAACTTTTTACATAGTTGAATCAAAATTAACTATAATATTATTCACCATCCAAGAACATTACTGCAGGGTTTCATTTTAGATAAATATTACCCAAATTTTGTAAAAACTTCTTTTATGTGAGATCATCTGAGAATCTATAATAGACAGTTTATAAAGTTGAGCTAAAACGAATACCATCACCAATTTTCAGGAAGAAATGCATAGCATTTATATATATACATACAAATGTGTGTGTATATATGACAGTTTTAAAAAGTGTTGAAATATCCAACCTGTAGTAAGCACAGCACAACAATGAGCATCCAATATTCGCTCTGCTAGAGATTCACTGGAAAAACCAGCAAACTGGAACAGAATGAAAACTTATTTCACACTCATGAATGAAAAATATCAACTGAATTTTCTTAGCATTAACCATTAAATACAACGCTAATTATGTATACATTTAGTAGATTTAGTCGACTATTTTTTTCACAAAACCAGGCTGAACAAGGTTAAGTCAGTTATGTACACACAGAGTTTAAAGTCCTAAAGATGAAAACTTTCAAACAAATTTCATTTCTGTGCTTTGCAATTTTCATGTTAAACACACTCATCAAAATAAAAACTATATATGCAAATGTTAAACCAGTTTTGGATTCAATATAAAGAACCATTTGAATTCACTTACCACAATTGAATGTATAATGCCAATTCGTGCACATGCCAGCATGGACACGGACAGTTCCAGAATCATTGGCATGTAGATTGCCACACGGTCCCCTTTCTTAAGTCCTAAATTAAAGTACAAAGTGCACGTGCCAGTCGGTAACTAGACTTAATAAGTACATGCTTCTTTTGGATGAACTTGTCTAAGACATCTGAAACATACTTTCCTGATGATTCCAAAGCCTAACAGTTATTGCAAGGGTATATGACTTTAAAAAATATATGTACATGTATGTACATCCAGTTACCATACTAGGGGTGTACAATTTTATATTTTGAGTACTAGCCCAATTTTGAAAAGTTCCAATAGCCTGACCTATTTTTTCATAGTAAATATTGAAAGTTTCACTCGTCCCCATATATCTGCTATATATAATATATAATCACTGAACTGTTCAAAGCAGCAATTGTAGCATCCACAGTACTCCATAGGTTTTGCTCACTTTCGCTCTCTGCGCATCTTGAATATGTCACAGCAAAATTGGAGGCACGCGGCTAGCTATTAATTTGATTGGTCTCGGGTAAAAAAAAAATCTGACCAATCTCTAGTCTGGTACCTGTCCTTTGAAGATTACAGAGGAGCACCACTCCAGTTCAAAGGTAGTAAATTTTACTGTTTATGCGACCACATGATTCTTTTAATGAACATCAAAGGATCAAGCTAGTTTTTTTGTCTCAACCACAAGGTGGTGTGCACACTGAGCCTTCAATTTTGCTGGACATACATGTATTCCAGGGTAGCAGAGAGCGAGAGTGAGCGTAACCCCTGGAATAATGAGGATGCAATTGTGGCAGCTCCATACCAACTAAGCTTAAAATATGTTTCCATTAGATCTATATAGCCACCAATGCTGTTTTTTTACTGATACAATTGCAAACAATCACTGTGTGTATACAGTGTATTAATTTATACATAAATTATAAGTATTGTCATGAAATCTGCTCCATCAAACCAATGCCATATGTCTATAGGCACTTTTTCATTTGACCCATTTGGTAAAACAAAAAATATTAAATTACCAAGTTTTTTGAGGACATTAGCAAATTTGCAAACTTTATCTTGAAGCTCCTGAAAGGTGATTTTTCCATGGTCATCTGGGTCATTTCCCTCCCTTAATGGTAAAAAAGAAAGAGTAAAGTTTCATAAGTTATTTATTATTGTAATATATAAAATCAGCAATATTTACAATGTAATAGGTTTAAACCTGAACAAAAATAAGGCATTTGGCAAAATTAAGAAAGACATCATAACTTCGTTTACTTTGACCTAGTTCTTGAACTTTTCACGTATGTGTAAGACACAGGGGCTCGCGATCGGTTTCCAATTACTTTTTTTATACATTCTAAAACCTTATAAAAAATGAAAGTACCGAGTAAAGCTAAGGGATGACATGTACAGACGCCATCTTGAAACGAAGGGGCTGTTATATTATCCCTTTACTTGTGTTATACCTCGTTACCTTAATTTTTTATAAGGTTTTAGAATGTGTCTAAAAGTATCTCGAAACCGAGCTCCTGTGGTGTAAGGGGGAGTAACTCAAGATAAAACTTATTTAATAGAACTAAAATGAGAAATTTGCGTCCGAAACACTAACCAATAAAATGCTATTTTGTTTCCACGTCCATCTTTGACATGTCTGTCCACAGCGTTGTAACAAATGTTTGTCTGTGCGCCCTCCATCCATTTAATGTAAATAGGTCCTTCCCTGCAGTCGAAGTTATAATCCAAGAACATCCCGGTCGGCTGACTCTTCCAGTAAAACTGTTGTGCAATCTCTTTCCAAAAATCCTCTGGTTCTTCAATAGATCGTTTATACATCTCTCTGTATTGTTCCATGCTTTGCACATGACTTTCTTGTCGTAAATGTTCCAGCGGCTGGAACAGCTGAACGTCTGCATTATTTTCGGTCGCCATCTTGAATGTCAATAATACGCGCGTCGGGTCAACTGGGTGCGTTCGAATGTATTAGTTCTACCACGGACTTCGATAATCTAATTCCGTGGTTCTACTTTGTCACGACATATAACAATTGTTACTTGGCAACAGTTTAATATGTGTTTGATAAATAAACTGCTTAACTTAGTCTTGCTGTCAATTCTACATTAAAATCACAATCTTATCTGTTTTATTTTGCTTTCCATCACCTGGTTAATGCTAAATGTTAAAAAGCTATTGTTGCCCTATATACGCATGCTTTCATTTTTTCGGGGATGTGGCGTTGGTTATATATTGATCATATAGTGTTGGTTTGGGGAAGGGGGCTTGCGCTTTGTCAGATAGGAGGTACCGTTCAATGTGTGGGGGAAATTGAGGAAATGGTGAAAGTACATGATTTTTTAAAGAAAATTCTCAGGGTGGGGTGGGGGTGGGGGGTTCTTGAAGCCCAAAAACCCCCACTGGCGCTGTATGAGTCAAGCAAAGAGTACGGAGTGCCTAAGTTACTTATTATACCGTTTTTAACGCCTTAATTTCATATTGATTTCTTCTATCGGTTCATCATTTGGTGTGGTGTCCTTTCAGAATATATGATCAAGACCTGGTCATGATTCTTTTAAAAACCGGTTTTAACGCCTTTAATTGATGTACCTGTGTATGGTATAACACTAAGTCACGTTACATATAGTCAATGAAACCGGTACACATGTATAGACACACATTTATGCATAGTTAAAGTGCCTTACACAAGCGTCATGCATTATATAACTTAAGTAACACTTTGTATGGTGCAGAGAGCTAAAGTGAACGTAACCACTGGAGTATCGAGGATGGTTATAAGGTGGTAATATTGTACATATGTATATAGTGTTGACACGGAATTAAATTAGACCTAGTACTATCTAAGTCCGTGGTATTGGGAAGAGAGTGAGGGTGGGGTGGGGAGTCGAAATATTTATAAATATACATCAATTCACAATTGTGTCAAAATTGTAATATATCATAATATGATGATACTGGCACGCTATTCAAAACAATCGTGTTATTTCGATATGATTCAACTTTTCATTCCGAATACTGTGGTTTAAATTGGAGGCAAATAAAAAAAATATATTCAAATGAATCATGTTCATGTAAATAACCAATTAAGTCAATTATATATCCAAATAATGCATATCCATATAACTTGTACATTTAGCAAGCCTATACTCTCCTCAGATCTAATGCCGTCTGCAGCTGTTCAAGTATGAATAAGGAAGCAGCAACATGTGGGTCTGAAACTAAGTATACTATACCGGTAGTACCTGTTCAGTCAAAGATTCTGTTGTATTATAATCTTTTGTAGATTGTGAATTGTATCATTCAAGAAATTTAACGTATTCTAAACTTAAATAATATGCAAAAATAAACATCATTTACGCTTGAATAACAACATATCATAAAAAAATATAATATGATATTTGTTTTTATTTATTCATTTGCGTTTATATGTGATTATATCGTTTCCCATGAGGGTACATTTTATTCTATTGGCCACACAGGTTCTCTATCGTATGTAGGAGGAAGACGGAGCAAACTGAGAGGGTCTATAGCGCAGCCCTGGAAGTAAGGACTTCTCCGCTATCAATATGTGTATTAGTTATAATGGCTGGTGTACACGAATAAAACCAATAGCTGATCATGTAAAACTGTTCTCACTGATCACTGTACACAGCGTCAGCCATAAACCGACTTCCGGTCAATTTGCCTGCAGGAAAACGACTTAGCTGTGACCGGGATACATTCTGATTTTACAACAGATAAAGTTATCTACAAGCTACATTCTACATTTGTATAAACATTTCCGTGTAAATCGAACTACAGTTTAATTGACAACAACACTACATCACGATATTGTGACGTTAACTGGTAACTGTGGATTATTTTTTATTGATTTACCGATCAACTAGATGCCTCAACCCAACAGAATCAGAATATTAAGTAAAACGTTTCCTAAGCCATTCATTGCTCCGACCGTTTGCAATTTGAAAGTGAAAAGCAACAACATTTTCCCCCTTGACTTTGTGTATGAAATAATATATACAGTGTATATGTAAAAACAGAAATTATTACAGTGTCTATCTATACATTGTAAGTACTTGCATACCGAATTCATTGTAATATTACGACATCGTCGTTTTTTAGAGCGAAACAGAGAGAGAGAGAGAGAGAGAGAGAGAGAGAGAGAGAGAGAGAGAGAGAGAGAGAGAAAACATAATGACATTAGCAGCAATGACAATAAGTGAAATCCTCTATATATTTTTCACTTGGACAATTCAATATCTTTATACATCTTTCCTGTCGTTTCCTGTGGATTCTGGTATTAGCTGCGTCACTGGTCATATACCATACCGCAAACGTGGAATGGACAGAATACGGCAAAGAGAATCTCCGTCCGTCACGTAACGATACAAGAAGATTTATTTAGTGTCGTATATGTTAAAAACAGTAACATTAGCACTGTAGAGATATGTTTACGACAAATATGAATAAATATGTATAAAATGCATAAAAAGGTAACAAACAAACAAAACGAAATATCACAGCATGCATGTTAAAACGGCTTAAGGGACTTAACAATGCAAGTCAGAGTACTATTTGTTAGCAAGCAACAACAATACGTACATTTGTATATACATATATATCTCAGCATACACTACATATGTAGCACTTAAACAATAAAAGGTTTGTCTAAGAATGGTGTGGCATAAAGTTCATGCCACATGCAAGAGAAAGAAATTTGAAAGGCATGGATGCCTAACAATATGGCAAACAAATACAATTTAACAGAATTTATGCTAATATAGCATACGTTTAAAGAAAACAATATTATTTATTAAGTTAAGAGAAAAAGCTTAACATAAATTGATGTATAAACCATAAAAGCTAGACATTTACACCACACAGATAGCACAACTACATAACTGGCCATTCCAGGGACGTGGCCATCCCAGGTGCGCAACAGTCTGCAGAATGTATTATGATTCTCAGCACATTTTAATTCATTAGACAGGCTGTTCCACACCTGGGCGACCTCGAAACGAATGACATTCTTCCATACCAATAGTTGTTCTAGACCTTGGTAGAATAATGGTATTTTGATTTCTGAAATAAAATATGATATTGTTTATCTCCACAAGGTCACTTATAAAATATGGTGCTATCTTATCTAAAATCTTACACACTTCTTTAATCATAGTCTTTAGCCTGTCTAGAAGTAGAAAGTTGAGATTATTTTGTTTTAAAAGATCTCTAAATGAAGATGTTTTATGATTTTCAATAAAGCGTATTACGCTTTGTTGAATTATCTCCATCTTCCTGTTCTTGGTAAGGCTGCATTCGGAACGGAAGCCTGCTACTTCTGGGGTACCTCAGGGGTCAGTACTTGGCCCCCTTTTATTTGTTGTTATATTGATCTACCTGAAACGGTCTGTTCCGGTATTTATGTTTGCAAACGGCACAAAAAATCCGTTAATATGATCACCAAATCATGGAAAAATTGGAGCGCTGAATGGCTTCTAAAGTTGCATCGAGGAAAGTGTAAATATATGCATATTGGACGATCCAGGGAACTATAGAATGAAATGTCAAAGTCATACAACATACAAGGGAAAGTCCTGGAAACATCGGTTAAGGAAAAGGACATTGGAGTTGTCATTGAAAAATCATTAAACTTTGAAGGCCACATAAAAGCAAATTCGATGCTTGTCATTATTAGATCATTTCAATTTTTGGACTTTGTAACATTCCTGCCACTCTTCAAATGTCTTGCGATGATACAGCTGGAACAAATTAAAATATGTAGACAAACTGGAAAGCGTACAACGTCGCGCTACGAAATATCTACCGGGGATGAATTAAGGGCCTAGACTATCCAGAAGAAATTAAACCTACTATTAAACACTAACATAAAGAAGACTTCGAGGGGACATGATCGAAATGTAGATTGTAAAAATAATTTACGATAGAGAAACATGTACTTTTGTTAAGTTTTGTAGTGAGGAATCAGTCAGAAATAGTACAGGAGGAAACAACATCCATTGGGAGAAACTATTTCACATTTCGTACAGTTAAAACCTGGAACAATCTTCCGGGGACGTTGTTTCCGCTCCAAATATCTACACTTTTAAGAACAGAATGGATAAACTTTAGCAGAATGAAGAACTTTATTAAAACTACAGGGCAAATGTTATTAACAATGAACTTTAAATGTATATTATACAATTATTTAATTTTTGAGTCCTCTATGGGCTCCCGGCTCCTGTAATGGAAACTAACTGTAAGTGCCAAGCCAATGGACAGCAATTGCAACTGGATAAGATAAAAGATTTAAAAATAGTGATTTTGCATTTTTTTTGTTGGATTATAAATTAGTTCCAATTCTTTTTAACACACATAATTGTTTGGAGGCTTTCCTGCATAAATTTGCAATGAGATTTTCAAACTTGTGGATATTGTCTAGATCTACACGTAGGAATTTAACACAATTTCACACTTAATTTCTTGATTACCAATGTTAAAAGATGTACTAAGTTGACTTGTTTTAACCCAATAGATATAGCCGGAAACTTCTCAGGATTAGCCTTCATGTCATTTTCTGTGAACCAGCTTATCCAAATTTGGCTTTCATTTTCTAAAACTTCTTTTTTAGGGAAATTGCATTTTTACTTACATGTGACATGATATTATCTTCTGCATAATTCTAGAGATTACTAGTTTTTACAAATCGGAAGATGTCAATTAAAAAAACATTGAAAATAAGAGGTCCAACAATTGTCCCTTCCTGAGCCTTGCCCAGCCGCTGACACTAGGACCAAGCCTGATCCACTGCTGTCTGTCACTGAGGTAGCTGCTGATCAGTCTCAATGCAGACTCATCCAGCCCGTAGGCTCGCAGCTTCTCCAGCAACAGACTGTGAGGAAGGCAGTCAAAAGCATTGGACAAATCCAGGGGAATGGCACCGTTATACTGGTTGTGGTCCAAGGCCTGACGACAGTCCTCAAGAAGTCTCAGCAGAACAGACTGGCATCCAGAGCCAAAGATTTAGACACAGTAGGAAGTACATGTATATTTATCAAGACATTTTTTTTCTTGCAAAGAGGTTCATTCTTTTTAAAAATTGGATTGACTTGTGACAAAACAGAAAATAAAATTCTAGAGAAAGTTAAACTTAAGGCTTCAGTGCCAGCTTTTAACATTTTGGCCGAGATACCATCTAATTTGGATATAATATTTGCCATAAAAGTTTCACTTACACTTGAAAAGGTAAAAGAAGGCTGGCCTGGACCTTTACTCAGTTGATCCTTAATGACAGCATTATCAGCATGGCTACAGAGATCAACATTTACTTCGTGTACCTTACCAATATTCCATGCCACATTTATGAAATAATCATTAAAAGCTGTACACATTTTGCTGGTTGGATATGATACGATTGCTTTCTTGCAGTACAGTGTGTTGGTCTTTCTCACACTTGTTCGATAAAAAGGCTTTACAGTTGGCCAAAAATCTTTTGAATTGGGACCTCCACTGCATCGCTAAATAAAATGATTTCGTACAGAAATACGCTTTATTAACGAAGTAACTCAGATGACGTGCAGCATCACTGTGTAACAATTAGTCCGCTAATTATTTATTGACCGCGCACTCAATTATCAAACCTTACAATTCACAAATTCGCTTTTTATTTGCTGCAAAATTGCTAAATCATAAAACACATTTGTCTTAGTAAATATTCAGTTTTTGGTATCTGTATCTGTATGGATACGCTGCTAGATCCCCAAACTTGTATAGTTGCAGCGGGGAGAGAGTGCACTAGAAGTGTTAGTCGCGCTGAGGGGATGCTCTGACCTGACGAAGAACGAGTTTTTATATTGTTGGCTGTTGGTATATGGAATGCTTTTGTATGCTGACACGCAGAACGTTCTACTTTGTTAATGGTTTGGTGGTATGGCTGGCACTAGCCCTTCAGTAATTTTGTACAAATATATGTATGTTAGGCGATAGTTCCGGCGTCGGTCGTGAAGAGGGGGAAGTAGTTATTTTAGCAGTGTGGATGTAATGAAGCCGTCATCAACGGATTAATCCCCGGTGATGAACCTGACTGTCCGATGCTGGATTTTCTGTAGGGAGCTAATGTCACCCTGCTGGTATGGGTAATTGCTCCATGTTCCATTATGGGCCGTACTAGGGATGTGTGCGCTGTCCACTTACCCTGTTGTGGGCAACTTCGCAGATTCTTCCTCAGAAAGACCATGGTAGAGTTGGCCTTTTTGGTAATTTTCTCAATGTGTGTTCCCCATTTAAGGTCGCTGGAGATGCTGATACAAAAACTGTATCTATGATGGGATAGCGTCAACCTGCTGAAGGGGGGTATTGTTGAGACAGAAGAAATGTTGATTCCGCATGCGTACGCTTAACAGGTAGCATTTGCGGGCATTAAACTTCATCCCCAAGTTTCTGGCCCAAGCCTCGATCTCATGGAGATCCTGTTGCAGGGTGATATGGTCTCTAATGCTATGGATCACATGGTACAGGAGGCAGTCATCAACGAACAGCCTGACTTGGGACTTGACACAATTCGGTAGGTAGTTTATATGGCAGAGGAAGAGTGTGGGTCCAAGGACGGTTCCTTGCGGCACACCGGATTCCATTGGTACTTCCCTTGTCATTTCCCTCTCTAGTGTCACTCGCATAGATCTTGCAGTCAGGAAATGTGTAGGCCATTCGTGTATGTGCCCTAGCTGTGATGACGTAAGCGCGTAGCACCATTAACAGCTTGATTTGTAGAATGTATTTTCCTTGATTATATAATATTTTCATCAACGGAAAAAGTAATGTAACTTAATAAACATAGAAAATGAGAAATTATATTTGCGAGAGTAGTTGATGATTCCGTTCAGTGGTGGATCCAGAGTTTTCAAATGGAGCTAAAAATCTAAAAAAAATCCCTTATTTTAAACCCAACGCAGATTTGCGCCAACTTGTACCGAAAGGGTGTAGTCAACCAGTCGTTTTTGGTCTCTTTACAGAGGTGGGGTGCAAGAGAAATAAACAAACTTTCTGAAGAGGTCAGCCGCATTCTATTTGGACCTGATGTTTTTTTTAGGTCACCTTAGACAAAGTCTCAAGTGACCTATTGCGATCGCAAAAAGGGTCAAATTGACTAAAATTTCAAAAATCTTCTTCTCAAGACCCAGATATGGAAGAATCAAATACTCTTCATAGATGGAAGGGTCTTAAGGTGCTCTACCAAAATTGTGAATTTCATGACCATTGGGTATCACGTTTCCCCCTGGGGAGGGTGTAAACTTTACTATAGTTTATATAGGGAAATCACATTTTGGACCAACATTTGTTTAATTTCCATTGGAAGTAATTCAATTTGGGTTAGCATTATCAGTATTAGGTAGCAGTTTGATAGTATGCACCTATGAGCCCTGACTGACCCCCAGGGGCTGATGGGTGGGGCCAAAAAGGGTTGAATTGACTGAAATTTCAAAAATCTTCTTCTCAAGACCCAGATATGGTAGAATCAAATACTCTTCATAGATGGAAGGGTCTTAAGGTGCTTTACTGAAATTGTGAATTTCTTGACCCTGGGGTCTCACGTTTCCCCCTGGGGAGGGGGTAAACTTTACTATAGTTTATATAGGGAAATCACATTTTGGACCAACATTTGTTTAATTTCCATTGGAAGTAATTCAATTTGGGTTAGCATTATCAGTATTGGATAGCAGTTTGATGGTATGCACATATCAGCCCTGACTGACCCCCCGGGGCTGATGGGTGGGGCCAAAAAGGGTTGAATTGACTGAAATTTCAAAAAAAAATCTCCTCAAAGACCCAGATATGGTAGAATCAAACATTCTTCAAAGATGGAAGAGTCTTAAGGTTTATGACCCTAGGTGCTCACGTTTACCCCCTGGGGAAGGAGGGGGGGGCAAAATTTATCATGGTTTATATTGGCAAATGCTACTTCGAATATTACATGTTAAAAACTTGATTTGAATTATAACTCTGAGTTGACAGTTTGATACTTTGAAAATTTTGAGCCAGCCCTACCCCCAAGGGCTGTAGGGTGGGGCCCAAAGGAGTCAGTATGCTAAAAAAATCATTTTTTCTTGTTTAGAATCAGAGGTGCTAGTTTCAAATACTTTTTAGTCTTAAATTTATATGCTAGATATTGAATAAGGTGGTTTTATTGTTTTTTTGTCACTGAATAATATTTCTGTTCGTGTTAAAAACAAAATCAACTCTCTGTATAAATATATCAGGTGACCGTTAAGGCCCATGGGCCTCTTGTTTTATGAAAAAGTGATATATTTGATTGATTTATTTCACGTTTTGACATCGAACGTATGCGTCGTTCGCGATGATGAACTACTCTATCGAATGCACCGCACCTCCCCGATCCGGAAGTACTTCCGGTGGAATCATGGAGGAGACTGAAGAATCCGCTCCGACTGTTGGATGCCAGCATTACAAGAGAAAATGTGCTCTAGTTGTAAGTTTGTTTTTATTTGGATGAATGCCAGAACTTGAAAAGATGTCTCCCGCATATTCTGTCATGGAGTTGTCCCTTTATTCTTGACACAATACCTTCTAATAATGTTGATAACATCACCAGTGTCGGTGTTGACCTCGAACTAACGTTACACAGGTCCAGTACACTCTGACGATTGAGCTGTATAGCTATAAAGACCTAAATAGCTATATCCACCTATAAATTATAACTGTATTGAGCTATATTTTCTCAGATTTCAATTTTCATTAAATTAAAGCAAAGTCGCATAAAACAAAAAATGTGTATGGTTATGTTGACTACAAAAAGCATACAATTACGGCCTACAATTACGTGCTTATTTTCATTTTTCATAAATGTAAAATTTCCGATTTTTTTACATCATTATTTTTTAAAAAGAATACTTATATTTAATGTCTTTTGTTATCAACCTCATGATACAATCTTATTTTAAAAGCGATTTTGTTTCGTTTTCCTTAAAAAAGAAAATCACTTGAAAATAGCTCAAAAGACCTATTTCAGATAGGTCAATCGAGCTATTAAAGATCTTCTGGGAGGTTGTTCCAGTGCTGATATGGGCGTGGATCGCTTTGCATTGCTTAATATTTTTTGGGACAAATATATATACCTGTTACTGATAAGTTTGAAGTGGAGCACCTTCCAAATTAAAAAAATACCCTAACTGTCTTTTTCATTATATAAATCATAGCCAAGCAAGGTGATGCGGGTGGTGATTGGAGTATGTTCCACCCTGACCCACCCAATATACACTCCATACATCTACAGAGAAAGAAAAAAATCCAATCTTCCCTGGATGAACAACTCACTCCGCTGCCTCTCAAACAAGTCTAAACGCCTCCACCATAAATCAAGAACAAACCACAAACTAATCCACACATACAAAACAGTAAAACTCTTCTTGTTCTGTGACATCAAAACCACAAAAAAATACCTCGTAGCACTACATAAAATAAGGTACCTCACATGTACAACAGACCCAGAAACAAAGCAAACCTACCAAATGAACAGTTCCAAGAAGCCTTCACACCAAAACACAACACAACAATACCCAACAAAGGAATATCGGCCCACCCACCCATGCCAGATATACAAAGCATCAGGCATATACACAGCAGAATACTGAAAGAACTGATGGACATCACAGCACCAATATTAACAAAAATATTCCAAACATCGCTCAATACAGGAACATTACCCAGTGACTGGAAACACGCCAATGTAAACCCCATTTTCATAAAAGGAGACAAATACAACCCAACTTACTACAGACCAATATCACTCACATGCAAACTTCTAGAACACATCATCACAAGTACAACCATGAAACACATAGAAGACAACAAAATACGTCAGGACCTACAACATGGCTTCCGCACATCAAGATCTTGCTAAACACAACTCATACATCAACGACTTCCCACAATACATTTCACACAGTACACAAAGACGTTTTGCAGATGACCGCATATTCTACAAAACCATCAATAACAAAGACGATAACAATAAAAGTACAAACAGATTTAGATGGAGCGAGTTAATGGAAAGAGGACTGGCTCATGAAATTCAACCCAGACAAATGCACCATACTCACAATATCACCAAAACGCACACAAATTAAACACTAATACACACTCTATGACCACATACTAAAATCTGTAACTTCTAACAAATATCTATGCATCATACTTCAAAACAACTTAAAATAGGACAAACACATTAACAACATCGCATCAAATGCAAATAAATCACTAGGCTTTTTGAAATGCAATCTAAAAATAAATTCACCACACATAAAAGATCACGCATATAAGGCCATTGTAAGACCAAAACTTGAATACTGCTTGGTACCCTCATTACACAAATAACATAAATCAATAAGAAAAATAACAAAGAAGAGCAGCATGATACGTCCTTAACAAATACCATAACACAAGCTCAGTCACAGATATAATACACAACTTACAATCGCCTACACTATACACACGCAGAACAAGAACACTTACAGCGGACCCCATCTGACGGAGTTATTGTCGCTTGAATAACGTAAAACGTCATTATCTGCTGCATTTCGTTTCCGTGCAATAACTACAACAAATTTTAACCAAAATTCTTCAAACTTGGTCACAGGGTTAAATGCCTTAAGGGCTCGGCCAAGTTCAATGACCATTTTCAGTGAACTTTGTTTGACGGAGTTATGACCCCTTGAATAACAAAAACCGTCATTATCTTCCGTTTCTGTTCATTTACTCTCGCAAATATTATCCACTTGTCTTCAAACTTTGTAACAGGGTTCAATGCCTTAATAAGGGCTTGGCCAAGTTTGACAACCACTTTAATCAGACTCAATTTGGTAGAGATATGGACCCTTGATTAACGAAAAATGTCATTATCTGCAGTTTCCGCTTAATAACTTGAGCAAATATTAGCCAAATTCCTTAAAACTTGATAACAATGTTTGTGTTCCTCTGTATTTCCACCCATCTCGGGCACTCTTTGTTTTTCGTGTGATAATTGCTGTAGATATTGTTCAGATGTTCCAACTAAATTCCGTATGCACATTGGACTCATGTTAAGTTTGCCAACCAATGTGATTTGTGCATATTTACGGATAATCAATGATGTATAGGTCTTTTTGTTTTTCTTCAAGTTTCAAGCTATACATTATGTCTCAACAGCACGATACTCACATGCTTAAACTTAACCTCAATAATGTTAACCTACAATATGTCCTGCAAGCGGGGGATATAAATTCCACGAATTTGCTTGTTTGCACTGAAGGGGATCTATATCACTAGAGTGTGGCACAAAAAGTTTGATATAAAAAAGGTTATTAAAACTGGGAAAAAATTAAAGGCCACATCCACATGATGTCCACCCCACCCCCTTCCCAATATAATACACTTTGCTTCGCATATTACGGCACATTTTCTGCCTCGGACATCCCTTGAAAATAACAAATAATATCAGCTTAAACAATTTCTGGGGAGAACAGATTACCTTTGACCTGTCATTACATTTAACTTAGGCTTCAGACATCAAACGACAGTAGACAATGAAGCTGTCAATAAAAACTGGCCAATCACCAGCTTGATGGGCATTTGAGTACATATCCTAGTACTAGTCATGGAAACATCACACAGACATTTCACTGGCTGTGCTATATGGACTTTTACCCAATCCATATTTACCAATTAAAGTAATTGTTCAGAAATATGATACAATACTGTGTTTAATACAAGTTTCTAGTATAAGACGGAATATGTCAATGTTTTGCTTTTTCTTGCAGTCACCTTGTTGCAAAAAGGTATATACATGTCGTGTTTGTCATGATGATGAAGAGAATCATCAACTGATGAGACAGGAAGTTCAGGAAGTCAAATGTCTACTTTGTGAAAAAGTCCAAAAGGTAAGCTGTTGTTATTTTGCCATAACTTTCCTCAATACACTGAACTGGTTGCTAATATATATTGTACTTAGGTGTTACTTCCAGAATTCAACAAAGAGTAGGACAATTTGACAGATAAATTAAAGATAACAATTCATTATAAAACCTTATTTATTAATATTGTTCAGAGAAATTGTTGTTTATTTGTTGTTTAACAATACATGTGTGTTAAATGAAAACATTTTTGTTCCATTACAAAATATATATATTTTAAAATGGAAGTTGTCTTCTCACAATTCTTGTGCCTTTGTCTGTTCTTTATATACCAGTTGAGTATATTCATGCTATAAACAAGGTCCTGTGTCTATTCTCTACATCATTGATATAACTACATGATAAACAAGAACCTGTGTTTATTCTCTACATCACTAGTATATTCATGCTATAAACAAGGGCCTATGTCTATTCTTTACATCATAAGTGTAAACTAATCTAACTATAAACAAGGGCCTGTGGCTATTCTTAACATCATAAGTGTAATCTAACTATAAACAAGGGCCTGTGTCTATTCTCTACATCATAAGTGTAATCTAACTATAAACAAGGGCCTGTTTCTATTCTCTACATCATTAGTGTAATCTAACTATAAACAAGGGCCTGTGTCTATTCCCTACATCATTAGTGTAATCTAACTATAAACAAGGGTCTGTGTCTATTCTCTAAATCACAAGTGTAATCTAACTATAAACAAGGACCTGTGTCTATTCTCTATATCATTAGTGTAATCTAACTATAAACAAGGGCCTGTGTCTATTCTTTACATTTTTAATTTAATCTAACTATAAACAAGGGTCTATGTCTATTCTCCACATCATTAGTCTAATCTAACTATAAACAAGGTTCTGTGTCTATTCTCTACATCACAAATGTAATCTAACTATAAACAAGGGCATGTGTCTATTCTCTACATCATTAGTGTAATCTAACTATAAACAAGGGTCTATGTCTATTCTCCATATCATTAGTCTAATCTAACTATAAACAAGGGTCTGTGTCTATTCTCTACATCATAAGTGTATCTAACTATACACAAGTGCCTGTGTCTATTCTCTACAGCATTAGTGTAATCGAACTATAAACAGTGGTCTTTGTCTGTTCTCTACATCACAAGTGTAATCAAACTATACACAAGGGCCTGTGCCTATTCTCTATGTCATTAGTGTAATCTAGCTATAAACAAGGGCCTTTGACTATTCTCTTCATCATTAGTGAAATCTAACAATAAACAAGGGCCTGGGTCTATTCTCTACGTCAGTAGTGTAATCTAACTGTAACCAAGGCTATGCGTCTATTCTCTACATCAAAAGTGTAATCTAACTATCAACAAGGGCCTGTGTCTATTCTCCACATCATTAGTGTAATCGAACTATAAAAAAGGGTCTGTGTCTATTCTCTACGGCATTAGGGTAATCTAACTATAAAAAAGGGCCTGTGTCTATTCTCTATGTCATTAGTGTAATCATACTATAAACAAGGGCATGTGTCTATTCTCCACATCATTAGTCTAATCTAACTATACACAAGTGCCTGTGTCTATTCTCTTCATCATTAGGGTTATCTAACTATAAACAAGGTTCTGTGTCTATTCTCTTCATCATTAGGGTTATCTAACTATAAACAAGGACCTGTGTCTATTCTCTTCATCATTAGGGTTATCTAACTATAAACAAGGACCTGTGTCTATTCTCCACATCATTAGTATAATCTAACTATAAACAAAGGGCCGTGGGTTTTTTTTTTTTTTTTAATAATAAAAAAAAAAAAAAAACCCACGGCCCTTTGTTTATAGTTAGATTACATCATTAGTGTAATCTAACTATAAACAAGGGCCTGTGACTATTCTCTACGTCATTAGTGTAATCTAACTATAAACAAGGGCCTGTGACTATTCTCTTCATCATTAGTGTAATCTAACTATAAACAAGGGCCTGTGTCTATTATTTATGTCATTAGTGTAATCATACTATAAACAAGGGCCTGTGACCATTCTCTTCATCATTAGTGTAATCATACTATAAACAAGGGCTTTTTTCTATTCTCTACATCATTAGTGTATCTAACTATAAACAAGGGCCTGTGTCTATTCTCCACATCATTAGTGTAATCTAAAATTTGTCTTTGATGTTATCAGGTGGCAGAAACATGTGAAAATGAGAACTGTTTGACCGTGTTCGGGACATACTTCTGTGAGAAGTGTAGGCTATATGATGACGACAACAAGAAACAGTTCCACTGTGACAAATGTGGTCTATGCAGGTATGTAATATGTACAGATAAACTCAGCAGTACTGTATAGTAGTGATAGGCAAAACAGTTTCAAATCATAATGGATAATCTTACTTCGTAATGGGGAGTAGTACGCTGATAAATGAACGATTGCATGATCAGTTTATATCTTTACGGGACTGAATACTGAATACTCAAATAAAATGAGAACACTACTGTTACATCAATAGACAGAGTTGTAAACTGTACATCAAGCTTCGTTCTTTTATAATGCAATTTTTATGCAGTTTTATTAGCTCACCTGGCACGAAGTGCCAATTGAGCTTATGCAGTGGCGCCTCGTCCGTCGTCAATATTTTACTTTAAACGACATCTTCTTAATAACCGAAAGGCCTAGGATGTCGATATTTGGCCAAAAGCAAACTGGAATGAAGGGCTACAAAGTTTGTTCAAATCAATGACCTTCACCCATATTCAAGGTCACAGTGGTCAAATATGTTAAAAACTTTAAACAACTTCTTCTCAATAACCAAAATGCCCAGGGTAATGATATTTGGCCACTAGCATGCTGGGATAAAGGGCTACAAAGTTTGTTCAAATAAATGACCTTCACCCATATTCAAGGTCACAGGGGTCAAATATGTTAAAAACTTTAAACAACTTCTTCTCAATAATCAAAATGCACAGGGTGATGATATTTGGCCTGTAGCATGCTGGGGTAAAGGGCTATCAAGTTTGTTCGAAAGAATGACTTTCATTTATATTCAAGGTCACAGGGGTCAAATATGTTAAAATCATTAAACAACTTCTTCTGAATAACCAAAATGCACAGGGTGATGATATTTGGCCAGTAGCATGCTGGGGTAAAGGGCTATCAAGTTTGTTTTGAATGACCTCCCCCTATATTCAAGGTCACAGGGGTCAAATATGTGAGAAACATTAAATAACTTCTTCTGAATAACCAAAATGCACAGGGTGATGATATTTGGCCAGTTACATGCTGAGATGAAGGGCTACAAAGTTTGTTTAAATGTATGACCTTGAATCATATTCAAGGTCACAAGGAGCAAATATGTTCAAAACAACTTGTTCTGAATAACCAAAAGGCTCAGGATGTTGATATTTAGTCAGATCAAGGACTACTATGTTTGTTAAAGTGAATGACTTTGACTTATATTCAAGGTCACAGGGGTCAAATTTGTCCCCTTTAAACGACCTCTTCTGAATAATCATGGGTCCCAGAATGTTGATACTTTGCAAGTTGCATACTGAGATGAAAGGCTATACAATTTGTTCAACATAATGACTTGGTCGACTTTCTAAGTAACAGGGGTGAAATGTTTTAAAATCTATTAACAGGGTCTTTTGAATGACTTTAATCATAAATACTGATTTTTTGCCTGTAGCTTTATTTTTGATCACTTTTAAGGTTGCAAGTGTGAGATTTATACCAGGTGAGCGATGCGGGCCCATTGGGCCTCTTGTTCAAGGTCACAGGGGTTAAATATGTTAAAAACATTAAACAACTTCTTCTGAATAACCAAAATGCCCAGGGTGATGATATTTAGTCAGTAGCATACTTGGATCAAGGGCTACCAAGTTTGTTTAAATGTATGACCTTGAATCATATTCAAGGTCACAAGGAGCAAATATGTTCAAAATATTTAAAGAACTTGTTCTGAATAACCAAAAGGCTCAGGATGTTGATATTTAGTCAGTAGCATGCTGGGATCAAGGACTACTATGTTTGTTAAAGTGAATGACTTTGACTTATATTCAAGGTCACAGGGGTCAAATTTGTTTAAAATCTTTAAACGACCTCTTCTGAATAACCATGGGTCCCAGGATGTTGATACTTTGCAAGTTGCATCCTGAGATGAAAGGCTATAAAATTTGTTCAACATAATGACTTTGTTCGACTTTCAATCACAGGGGTGAAATGTTTTATAAAAAAATAACAGGCTCTTTTGAATGAATTTTAATAATAAATACTGATATTTTGCCTTTAGCTTTATTTTAAATCACTTTTAAGGTTACAAGTGTGAGATTTATACCAGGTGAGCGATACAGGCCCATTGGGCCTCTTGTTGATTATGGAATTCAAAAAGGGAACAAGAATAGGCTGGAATAGTCACTGTGAATCAAGACAACTGACAACTTATAAAATTCTATGAAATGCATTGCACACTTTGTGAAATTTGTCCCTTCCTGTTGACATTCATATTAAATATATATGCCAATACAGTTAATAAATCAGCACATGAGGTAATTTTTCAAAATCAAAACTCAAAAAAACTTTCTCTAGCCAGACATAGAAAACAAATGTTGTGTTTTTGTTACAGAGTGGGTGGGGAAGAGAACTACTTCCATTGTGATACCTGTGGTGTGTGCCTTGCCAAGGAACTGAAGAATGCTCACAAGGTTTGTTTGTCCTGTGGATTACTGAAACATTCCGTCATCAGACAGAACAGTTATGCTTCTGAATGTATTCTAATTGATTTAGAAATACTTATGTACTAGTAAGTAAATGAAGCAGGATATTGTTATGAAAATAATCAAAAATATAACTACAGCTGCAACTACACACTTTTTTTTTTTTATATTTCACATTAAAAGCATATTGAACAGTTAAGAGCATTGTTCAGAAATCAATTGTAAACATGTGACGTATTTGTAACGTTAGTCTGTAGCCATATTTTAATGAAGCTGCAACTACACACTTTATTTTTTTTATATTTCACATTAAAAGCATATTGAACAGTTAAGAGCATTGTTCAGAAATCAATTGTAAACATGTGACGTATTTGTAACGTTAGTCTGTAGCCATATTTTAATGAAGTTGTTTCTTTACTGTTGTTTTTTCAGTGTATAGAGCAAGCTTCTCGCTCCAACTGTGCTATATGTTTAGAGGATCTGCATACATCAAGGATTGCTGCACACATACCCCCGTGTGGACATCTCATTCACTAGTAAGTAATGACCATATACCCCCATATGCATGTAGTAATCTCTTTTACCTGTAGGTACTGTCCACAAGGAAGTGTGATAATCTTTTTCACTGGTATAGACTAGGATTTTCTCAGTTTTAAATAAACACCTAACTAGCATAGAAAGCTGACCGGGACATTTCAGTAGCATTACCCCATAAAAAAGTTATGGAGTTAAGAGTTAAAATTTCTTTATATTATGAAACAAATACTGTAAACTAATAGATCTTTTTTCCCTGAGGCCTTTCAATATGCCAATTGTTGAATTTGATTACAAATATGTTATATCTAATAGTTTAGAACTTTGTCGAATTTGCTTATCTATACGCATTATATATCTAGTAGTTTTTTACCTTTGTTGAATTTGTCATCTTTTTTCAAGTGCTATAGGGCAATAGTAAGGTAAAAAGTTTGATATCTGTCAGTGTTGCAGTGTGTAAATGTTATTTTTTCTTTCTTTCAGTGCATGTTTTAAGGAAATGTTGAAAACCGGGTGAGTACATTTTTTTTAATTTTCATTCTTAAGTACATTTTGAATACTGATATCTTCAATTGCTGTATCTATATAAACAACATACCGGTATATAAAAGATTCCTGGCCCAGATATCACCAACACATTGAGTCTACCTCAGAGCATATATCCATGTTAAATCTGTATAGGAGACTTAGCTTGAGTTCAGGTTAAGTCAGACACAAAGTACTGGTTAAATTAGATCCTGGTCTTATCACTTGTAAAACAAGCAACATTCGTTTACCATATAACATTGCTGTGTTACAGAAACTATGCTTGCCCAACCTGTAACCAATCTATGGTGAAGATGGACAATGTTTGGGAACACATCGACGATGAGATTGCACACACGCCCATGCCTGAAGAATACAAGGATTACATAGTCCAGATCCTCTGTCGTGACTGCCACAAGGTCTGTTGACGATAATTTATGGTCGAAGATTGTACATGATTACAGTAAAATTAATGCATCAAAATTGTGGCCATCTTGAGATAATACGTAGGTCTTGGTTCAAATTAATGATGGTAGTATGCTAAGCTGTCAATAGATTTGATAGTTCGGTTAGAATATTTTTCTTACAAGATCTTGTCGCGCTGCTACGAAGTAGCGGAAGCGAGACTAAGGTGTTGCTTTTCCGACGGCGGTGTCAACATTAAGTTTTGGCGTTTAACTTACTAAAAAAAAGTAGTTTCACTGAAAGTTTAAGTGCTAGACAAACCAAACTTGGACCATAGATGCATCTTAGGTAGTACATCTCAACCCATGCATCAAATGCTGGATGCGGCCTACCTTTCATGGTCCATTGACTTTGTCAGCATCTCCATCAACACAAAGTTTTTGCATTTAAGTTAGTTTCTCTGTTATGTGTGTTGATGGTCAAAGCGGGGCACGGGCGAGACATACCAATCCGACTGGCTTGTTTGATAGCCTTATCGATAAAAGATATGAATGACTAAAAATGATGAAAAGAAACTGAAAAAAGAGCTACAATTAGTACTGTTTTTTCTTTTAGGGTTTAACAGTTATTGTTTATATGTCAACAGGAGAGCTTAGTATAGTTTGATGTGTTAAGGCTAAAACCGTTGTTATGTATATGTATATAGGAAGGATGGTCTTGTTTCTTGTGTTAGGACTAAAATAGTTTATATGTCAACAGGAAAGCTTGATACTATTTCATGTGCTAGGGCTGAAACAGTTGTTATGTATATGTATATAGGAAGGCTGGTCTTGTTTCTTGTGTGAGAACTAAAATAGTTTATGTTTATATGTCAACAGAAAAGCTTGATACTATTTCATGTGCTAGGGCTGAAACAGTTGTTATTTATATGTATATAGGAAGGCTGGTCTTGTTTCTTGTGTTAGGACTAAAATGGTTTATGTTTATATGTCAACAGGAAAGCTCGATATTGTTTCATGTGCTTGGGCTGAAATGCCAGGAGTGTGGATCATACAATACCTGTAGGACGGCAGGGCCAGAAGACGCACAGCAGGAGGACGACAAAAAACCAAGTAATACTGATGGATCGGGAGACTCCGCCTCCGCCAGTAATAATCCAACCACGTCTTAGAAGGAACAAGCGCTGTGATCAAACTGTTGACTAGAAACTGGAAGTAAATTCCGGAATATGTTAGCTACATCAGTGATTCATCAGTCTTCTAGGCCAAACTGTATATGTTTCAACTTTTTGTTACAATTAACGCCACACAAAAGTTTAATATATTGGCCTTTATTTTGCCTTGCATACATTTAAACACCACACTGAAGCAGAAATTAGTGGCCTACAGGATGTTTGGGGATAATTTACACCACACTGAAGTAGAAATTATTAGCCTACAGAACACCACACTGAAGTAGAAATTATAGGACTTCATGTATTTTATGTACGAGGTATAATTTACAACACACCAAAGCCTAAATATTGGCCTATATTACGTCTGAGATATAATTAAACACATCACACAAAAGCTGGAAGTTTTGCCTATATTATTTCTGAGGTAAAATTGACTCTAATATATGAATGGTGATATGACATTTCAAAAAGCCTATTTCACCTAAATGTTGAATAAGTCTTATCCTGTATCCACTCACAGAAATATCATGGCCATGATTAAGCATCTGATCAAAAGTGGGTTTTAAATAAAATCAAATTTCCGCATTTATTAATAATAATAATATTGTACAATATGCATTTTATATAAACTGATTTAATTCTTAAGAAGAAAGCATGATAATGTTATAGATTAACAGGAAGATATCTTAAATATCAGTTTGCAGATATCTGAAATGATGTGTTTGATCTGTTTTTATTATTCTGTGTTAGACAATCAATTTCACCATAAGCTTTAATAATCTTTTCGATTAAAGCAACATATCAGTGTAACTAGATAAACAGGTGCTTACACCAGTTAAAATAGTCCGAATTATTCTGATGTTTTATCGACTTTTTTCATATCGGTCTGTCGTCGATTAACGTCCGAACTCCGGCCCTCTATAATATGCGGGAAATATGCGACCCACCCCCGGAGCGCACTTCAAACTGATATTTTAGAAACAAATCGTCACTTTCACACACATGTCACACATAAAACGTCGGAATAATTCAGACTACTGTTAAAAGTGCTTAACTGTTACTGGTTTTATAATTGTTGATAAATATAAATAAATAGTATTGACTATTTATGAGGTCCTTTTGCAGTCCTTTACTCTTCAGAGGGACATATAGAGATTGCTGTTTTTCAACTTATGTATATGAACACAGTTTGATTAAGTTTAATATATCACATGTTTATATGTATTGCTACAAAAGTTTTTCAATTTAAAAAAAAAAATGTGTTTCACCCTCTATGTTTGCAAGATATCCATGTCTTTGTGGGAAACTTGTGTGTGATAACTCTATACCACATAGACATACCCAGTTCGCTGACCGCTAGTTTGGAAACAAAATTTTTCCAAAACCTGACTAGGAATTGCATTTAGAAATATTCAGTTCCTTAAAGTTGGCTGACATTCTGAAATGTGACGCCATTTCAGGATGATATGTGATCTCATTAAAAGATGTGTACTTAATTAATGAGCAGAAGGCTATCAACCTCCAAACCAAAGTCAGCTACTGGCATTTCCTCATGGTAATATTACAATTATTTAACTTACTGTGAAACTCTTGGAAACTATTTTAGGGTAATTTTAGGGATCCATTCCGAGGACCACTTTTTGCCCCCTTAAAATGTCATCTTGATATTATTCTGTTAACTGAAAATCTACTATGTACTAAGTTGCATTTACTGCCAGTATCATTTTTTACCAAAATTCCTGATAAGACAGAGAGAAAAGAGTCTATGATAATTCAGTAGATATTCCCGCACGTGTTAACATTCTATATCCTCCTCACGTAGATATGATAAACTTGATTAACTGTAACAGGAGAGAAAAAATGAAAGACCAGACCGAAATTTGAATCCAAACTCTAGGTGGATGGGGGTATTATGGTATGGGTTCAGCCGGCCGGCTTAAAATTTTGTTTGTCCGGCAATCTCCTCCTACATTTTTTGACCGATCTCCTTGAAACTTGGTATGCATTATAATCATGATATGAAGTTGTGTCTCACTTAAAAGAATTTTGATTCAACAATTTTTCAAAAAGTAATTGCCCTTTGTTCATTTCAGTATTTGATTTTTTGTCTGGAGATCTCCTCCTACATTTTTTGACGGATTTCTTAGAAACTTGGTATACAGTATAATCATGATATGAAGTTGTGTCTCCCTTAAAAGAATTGTGATTCGACGATTTTTGCAAAAGTTATTGCCCTTCGTTCATTTCAGTATTTGATTTTTCGTCTGGAGACTTTCTCTTACATTTTTTATAGCATGTCAGCTAACCACTCTTAGAATGATGCAGATCTTATGTCAATGTAAGAAAGTATATAACACTATATGGCATTCGACGGGCGTATATTGTTCCGCCTCACGGTACTCTTGTTATTTCTAAGTCTTCTTCTCAGAAGACAACTCTATCTACAACCCAAGTTTGAGTATTCCCTTGCCAAGAGTACACCCAGTACTTGAAACAAGGGTTGTTCATGATCACCTCTAAATTTAAAATGCAAGCCCAGACCAGTATTCAAACCTGCGGGCGACCCAGTTCAGTTGGTCAAAGAGTGCCAATCATATCATTTTGAAGCTTATTATAGAAAAAATCCATTAATTTCATCAATTGACGGGAAAGCTTAGTCTGGCTACCAAGTACATTTCATTGAAAGGTGTGATTTGAAAATGCATGTTCAATAGAGGAGTGTAATGGTACATATATAGGTTTCTTCAGTATGAAATGATCAAACTGAATTTTGTATTTAAATGTAGAAGGCATTGAAATGCACATCATCGTAAGTCTTCTGATCAATAAATTTTAATTGTGCAAATTGAAGTTTCTGTAAGCTATGTTCTATTGCAAATGTTTTAGGTGCTAATTTATCAATGCACATACCGGTATCTATTAAAATTTGATAACGCGCTAATCAAGTAATATTTGATCGTGCTAAAGCAAAAGGGCCTTTACAGTTTACATGTTGATGTAATTAATGCAAATTTTAAGGAAGATGTATATGATGTATTTTAAACACGTATATTTATATTCAGCGTGTTGTGACAAAGCTTTTCACCTGGTGTGTGAAAGGTCTATGATAGAATAAGAATGATCTGTGTTGACTTCTACTTAAAAAGTTTTTAGTAGCCAAGATGTACGGGTAGATGTTTATTAATTATTACGTTGAATTATGGTCTGTGCTATATTTGAAATTTTTAAAAAAAATGTATATTTAAAAAGAATTTAGTCTAAATTTTTATAATTTCTAATTTTCGATATATAGTTGCCAGATTTGCATTTAGCCCTACATGGATTATCATCATGTGCAATGAAATATATATGCTGTGTAAAACGAATTATAGTTCAATTTTAATACAATTTCTATAGCAAGCACAAAAAATATTTATTTATTTTTTATTACCCACCTGTTTGTTACTGTTTAAAAAGATTATTGTATTTATATGAAGTAATCCACATATTTTTCAGTTTTAGCTAGGATTATTCCGAAGTGTTCTATATACAAACTTATATACACCTACACAGCTATGAATTTCTATTTCTCTTACCCTGGACAGGTGTATCTGCACTTTTACTGGTGTAAGTTTAATAGAATCTCTTACCCTGGACAGGTGTATCTGCACTTTTACTGGTGTAAGTTTAATAGAATCTCTTACCCTGGACAGGTGTATCTGCACTTTTACTGGTGTAAGTTTAATAGAATCTCTTACCCTGGACAGGTGTATCTGCACTTTTACTGGTGTAAGTTTAATAGAATCTCTTACCCTGGACAGGTGTATCTGCACTTTTACTGGTGTAAGTTTAATAGAATCTCTTACCCTGGACAGGTGTATCTGCACTTTTACTGGTGTAAGTTTAATAGAATCTCTTACCCTGGACAGGTGTATCTGCACTTTTACTGGTGTAAGTTTAATAGAATCTCTTACCCTGGACAGGTGTATCTGCACTTTTACTGGTGTAAGTTTAATAGAATCTCTTACCCTGGACAGGTGTATCTGCACTTTTACTGGTGTAAGTTTAATAGAATCTCTTACCCTGGACAGGTGTATCTGCACTTTTACTGGTGTAAGTTTAATAGAATCTCTTACCCTGGACAGGTGTATCTGCACTTTTACTGGTGTAAGTTTAATAGAATCTCTTACCCTGGACAGGTGTATCTGCACTTTTACTGGTGTAAGTTTAATAGAATCTCTTACCCTGGACAGGTGTATCTGCACTTTTACTGGTGTAAGTTTAATAGAATCTCTTACCCTGGACAGGTGTATCTGCACTTTTACTGGTGTAAGTTTAATAGAATCTCTTACCCTGGACAGGTGTATCTGCACTTTTACTGGTGTAAGTTTAATAGAATCTCTTACCCTGGACAGGTGTATCTGCACTTTTACTGGTGTAAGTTTAATAGAATCTCTTACCCTGGACAGGTGTATCTGCACTTTTACTGGTGTAAGTTTAATAGAATCTCTTACCCTGGACAGGTGTATCTGCACTTTTACTGGTGTAAGTTTAATAGAATCTCTTACCCTGGACAGGTGTATCTGCACTTTTACTGGTGTAAGTTTAATAGAATCTCTTACCCTGGACAGGTGTATCTGCACTTTTACTGGTGTAAGTTTAATAGAATCTCTTACCCTGGACAGGTGTATCTGCACTTTTACTGGTGTAAGTTTAATAGAATCTCTTACCCTGGACAGGTGTATCTGCACTTTTACTGGTGTAAGTTTAATAGAATCTCTTACCCTGGACAGGTGTATCTGCACTTTTACTGGTGTAAGTTTAATAGAATCTCTTACCCTGGACAGGTGTATCTGCACTTTTACTGGTGTAAGTTTAATAGAATCTCTTACCCTGGACAGGTGTATCTGCACTTTTACTGGTGTAAGTTTAATAGAATCTCTTATCCTGGACAGGTGTATCTGCATTTTTACTGGTGTGAGATTAATAGAATCTATCACCCCCTTGAGGGTGAGATAGGGGAATCTCAACCCGAGAGGGGAGATTCTTAAGTTGCCAAACACAATGCTTTGCCGAGTGTTTGGCAACTTACCGGGTAAGAAACTTTCCCCGAGGGTTGATATTCCCCTTTCTCACTCACAAGGGTTAAGAGGGTAAGATTCTTAAGCTGTCAAACACTCGGCAAGCCTCGTGTTTGACAACTTAAGAGTCTTACCCCTCGGGTTGAGATTACCCTGTCTCACCCCCAAGGGGGTGAAAGATTCTATTAGTCTCAATAAACTGTTGTCAGATATTGAATATGAAAAATCTGATTTATATTTTTTGGAATTAAACATTCCAAAAAATATAAATCAGATTTTTCATACATGTTTCAGAAATTTGATTATATAGAACATTTAAATGTTAAAGATTTGTTTGTAAAGAATGTTTAATGTAAAGGAAAATATTATTGAGGATGTTTGATGTAAAAATGTACAATGCTTTTTACCTGATTTCTTACACTGTAAGCAATTTCCTGAAATAAGTTCTCCACGGTAAAACATGTCTATAAAAAAACATATGGACATCAAAATTTAGTTCTCTATTGAAAATATGTTTATAACAAAAACCCAGAGGACATCAGAAATAAGGTCTCTATTATAAAGCATGTTTATAAAAAAAAAAAACGGACATGAAAAATAAGTTCTCTAGAGTAAAAATTAATTACAACCAACCCAAGTGGACTTCAAAATTAACTTAATTATAAGTCATCAGCAGAAAACAACAAACAGCAGAAGACATCAGAAGTTCTGTAAAGAAAAAAATCATTCTCATTATAAGCCTCACTTGAGATCAGAAATGAGTTCTCAGTAATAAAGCAAGGGACACAACTCTTTATTACATTTATTACTAAAAATATTTGCAATGATTTGCAATGAACTTAGTTATTTATGAAACATATCACTGATATTAATTTTGTCTGAAATGTTCTGGTAATTATATCATACTGGCAATAGAAACAACTTTCACTTCTTGTTATGGTTTATTTTAATTCAATCTTGGAACAATATTATTATTTAGCAAATGATAGTGGCAAACAGTGTGTAAAACATAAGGATTTTTTTAAGAAAGATCTGTACAACCTAAATAAACGTTTATTTGTTTGTTCAATTAGATAGTACAGGTGTGTAACAGTGCCTCTGTGTCATGAACATTTGAAAACCTTTAATTTTATTGTGCAGTCAATATTAAAATGTACTATGTTTGACCAATATCTTGATTGCAATATGAACTTGTTTGATAAGCTAAAATACATGTATTTATTTTCATTAGACTTTAGATTTTACTCTACAAATGTACTTGAATCAGCTAATTAAAAACATGTACTATAAAAGTGGAAATTTTTCGTTATGTGAACACACTTCTTCGCATTGAGTTAGTTAGAATGAAAATATCCAAATGAGAATATATTAATGAATTATAGATATAGATACAGCTAAATAAAGAAAACTTCCACCATTGATCAGTTTAAATACAAGAATTTCCACTTTTGCAGTATTTTATATTTAAATTATATCATATAAAAACCATCATTTTAAATCCTTAGATTTTCCATACTACTCAATATAAGCTAATTGGAATTTTTTTTGTAGAAGTTAAATTCTTTGCAAGACTTTAGTCCTAACTTATTCTGTATCAGAAAATTAATAAATTTGGGACATTTATATTTTGCTTATTTTTTCATACCAGTAATAAATATGCAAAACAGTTATTTAGTACATTAAATTTACATTAAGTGGCATTAAACGATTGCTCTCATTGTTTTCAAACATATGTGTTTGTAATGATTTACTTTAAACCTAGTTATAATGATATCTGCTTTTCATGTACCGGTAATATACCAATATCTGACATCTCGCAAGTAGTTTTTCAATACCTTTATACAAAATTTTCTAAATGTATAATAAATATCTTTTATTTTTTATGTTAATTATCATTGTTAATTGGTCATTAGATGCAAAATTAGAAGGAAAAAAAGGTTTTCACAAACAATTCAGTAATTACTAGTTTACTGCTGTGGTTATATCAGCTGTCTTTGTATCAAAGAGTAAATTATAGCATAATATATAATAATAAAAGTTATTAGTAGATGAAATTATGTGCTCATTTTTCTTATTTGTATGTCATATCAACCTTTCTTAGAATGAAAAGTTTTGAAAACGTTAAATGTACATGTGCTGTTCTTAGCTCACCTAGCCAAAGGTCAGAGGTCAGCTTATGTTATGGGGCAGTGTCAGTTTGTCCGCTGTCAACTTTTCATATTTTCAACTTCTTCTTCAGAACCACTTTACCTAGAGCAATGACATTTTGCATATATCTTGCTGCTAATATAGTGGTATCAAGCTAGTTCAGATAAATGCTCTTGAACCAATTTCAGTGTCATAAGTTTTTAAAGAGTTAAAAACTTCATGTAATTTTTTTTGAGGAACCATGATAACACCTAGGGTGATGATATTTGGGCCTTAACTTGCTGGGATGATATGCTATTAAGTTAGTTAAAATGCATGCCCTTGACCCACTTACAAGGTCATATGGATCAAATGTACTTAAAAATTGAAAACTTCTTCAGAACCATGATGCCTAGATGGGTGCTTTTAGACTGCAGCGTGCTGAGGTGAAGGGATATTAAGTTTTTCAAATGAATGACAATGACCCATTTTGAATGTCATATGGGTGAAAAAAAATCCAATCGGCACACAACGTCTGCTAAAGAACCAAAATACCAAGCGTGTTGGCAGTATTTTGTTTCTCGATGGTATGAAGTGGTGTCAAGTTTGATCATATGAATGACCTTGACCCACTTTCAGAATCTCCTTAATCAAATGTGTAAAGAGCAATGACAAGTAGCTTGCTGGGTTAGATGCTAATAAGGCAGTTAAATGAAATAGACCCACACTCAGTGGAAGTGGTACAATGCAATAAAATTAAGAAATTCTAAATGGCATGACGTTTTATTAATGGTACATGTATGAAGTTCAAGTTTGTTCAAATGAATGGCATACCTCACTTCCAAGGTCATATAATTAAAATATGTTAGGTTCAAAACGATCAATGCTAAAGAACCATGGTGTTTAGAGTGATCTCCTTTTTCAATTCAAAAGGATCAGTCAGATTAAATATACAATGTCGTGCATAATCTATATAGCAGTATTTGCAGCACCACTCCTTAACTTCTCCAGTATAGATAGGTTACACGCACAGTGTATGACCAGGTGTGCGATACAGGCCCATTAGGGTGCACACGTTCTTACATAATTAGTCTCCAACATGTACAACTTCAGGGGATTATAGGCCTTCACTCCGCCCGTCCATCGATCAGTATGTGTGGCACTTTATCCGGGGTTAAGCTCATTTACTCCGTCACCTACAACTACTAAATTCTATATGTAAATACATTGAAATCAGGGCCCGTATTCGTGAAACTGTTCTCATGCTCAAGCATGAACTCTGTGCTCAAGCCAACCTTTTTGTAATATGGTACAAACGTTACGGTAAGTGTTAACATAAGTACTCGGTTTTAAGTCTCTCAAACGTCTTCCATATCATTTACAAAACATGTTTTTCTGAATTAATCACGGGAACAAGAAAGTGGGCTTGAGTATGGAATCTGAGTTTCATGGATATGGACCAAGATCTCGTACTTCGGGTCTAGAAAATATAAGTTCGTTCACTGGAGTGCTGCATACGTAGCGAATGTGTTGCCCTTTATTGCAAATTAACACAAAACCAACATTCATCAGCTGCTGGTATGTTATAATTTCATTTGGTACAAAACTAAAAGCTTGTTTATCTTAATTTGAAGTATAGACAGTGCATACGTAATGTAAGTGGAATTACATATGTACACCTAAGCGTTGGTAATAACGGAAATATATTCTGGAACATGGTTTGTTACTTACTTCTTTCAGACTTATATCTATAGGTATCTGCTGCTATATGGTGTACCACCAATATAGATTGGGGGCAATTATACCTATCTATCTTACTCCTTGGGTATAAACATTATATATTGATGAGTATATAGGATTACTGCGTTACCACAATTATGTATTGATGAGTATATAGGATTACTGCGTTACCACAATTATGTATTGATGAGTATATATGTTGACCATATAGCTGGTAACAAATGATATAAAACTCTGAACTTTGAGAGTAAATAGTTTTTTACAATCCACACGAAGTTTAACTCATCGACGATTCACCTTCCTCTGTTTGTAACTCACAGCGTATATATCTCCGTTCACACTGTGTGACGTGACGCACGTGTCTTTTACCGCGTTGGATCGATTATGACGTGACACTTTGAAACAGCCGGTGTCGTCAGTGAACGTGGTTTGGTGAGTCTTTGTCAGCCCTCTGGTATGTTGTCGGGTTCTTCCATTTGTGGAAGACCGAAATTGACTCCGGGGAATCGACATGTCCTTGTTGGATATGGATTTTAAAGACACGTCACTCTTGTTTGATACATCGTCATCTGTGGTGGACTCGGAGAAGTCACCGTCGATATTGAGGAAGAACGGATTTCCGACCTCCACGGGTTCTATCTGAACGCCCTGTTGGGATTCCCTTCTGCTTGTTTCTGTAATAGTAGCTCTTGGCATGTCCTCGTGTTTGGTCTCCATAGCTGATCGATAGACAACCCTACAAATGAACAAAAATGACATCAATTTGGTCTATTTAATGTTAACCCCGTCTTAAATCGTTGTTGACTGAAATGTTTTCCTGTAGTTGAAGGAAGACATGACATGGGTCATATATGCAATACTTCCTAGTCATCTCGTTTGCATTTTTTCCCACTGTGGTCATGATGTGTTTCCCTTTGTTTTTGGCATGTCCTCAGCTCTTTTTAGTGTGTTTCCAATTGGTTTCTAATTCTGATTCTGTTCTTACGTGCCGACGCATATTTGTTTTTGTTTTTACAGCAGATCAATCTGAATCCCTTCAATTTGCAAACAAGCAAAGGTTTTACAGAGTTTGCCGCCTACGATACCACAATGGTGTACAAATATGCTTATTACTTTCACCGAAAATTTCCGAGGTTATTTGAGTTACAGAATCGACAGTCTATTAATTACCAGTGGCACTGTTGTATTGATATGGTGATACATTTCTAGGCTTGGTTATAACCGGACAAATGACGTAAAGCCCCACCAATCAATCAATAAATCAATCAATCAATTATCGAACTTCTCACATTTTATCAAACAGTTCAATAAACCCTCACTCAAAAAAATAACAAAACCAAAACATAATGAAACCAAGTGCTCTGGTAGTTTTGCACCCGTCATGATGTCTCCATTCATAAAAAATAGTTATATGATGGTTTCTGAGTCCGTGATAACAATAACGTGAACGACAACGCAAGCTTCTAGAGTGTGGTATTATTGCTGGTAATGAACTCACCTGAATATCATGACCAGTAACACTGCCACAATGATGGCGAACACCCCGATTACAATACCAAGCGCAACCTTGGAGTCCGGCTTATCTGACAACAAACAAACAAAACAAGTTTTTAAACAAATATGTTACTTTTGTTTACAAAAAGTACGAAGAATATCTTGTGTATTATCAAATTCCATTTCTTGATTTGTTTGTGATTCTGAAATGTACAAAACGCACAAAATACCCTGGTACTGTAAATTTGACATTGCTGTAAGTGTGTTGTTTTGTTGTCACTACCTCAGTTCACGCTATAACGACGTGACATTTCTTGCATTTTACCTAGATTTACATGACGGCTGTCGCCAACGAAGCAGAAGACGCAAAACCTTCTGAAACACATGGTCTCATGCTCCATGCACTTTTTTTAAATGTCTCCATTTGAATCGTTCTTTTATTGATATTTTACCAAAGTTTTATTGACTTTGAGTTCGAATTTCTTCATACTTTCGTATTTCCTTGTTGTCTTTTATAAAGTTAAGATAAATTCGTGCTGTGATCATAAAGTATCTGGAGTATACCTTCGACGTCTACTGACACCGTGTTGTCTGCAGTGTTCAGCGCTGGTACTGAGAAGTAGATAAACAATAAGAAATTGATTATCGGCGACACTTTGTTGTGTCACGAGTATTAATTAAGATATAACACATATTTAGTCAATTATCAATGTTGTTTTTCTTGACATTCTTGAAATAATCAAGTTGTTGCTTTTGACAGGATTTCAAGATGTTCTTAAACTGAACAGAACTGCGTTAACAATGCATTGGTAGATATTACTATGTTAACTGGTGATTTTTAATAACCGTTTGGTAAGCGTCACAAATTATTTCTCACAATTGTAAATTGTAAAACTGCAGTTTATTATTATGAAAGTTAACGATAGGCATGACAACAGGATATTTTACAACAAGTAATATACATGCATCTCAAATACTCAAAGTATTTCATATTGGTCACTAACATTTAAAGATTACAAATTTGACTTTAATTCCTATTTCCTTCTTCTAGAATCATGTACCTGCAATGAAACTAACCTTCTGTTATATAGGAAGAGCTGAACCAATTGATGGAAGATGTGGTCACGCTATCAATACGAGCACTGTCATTGGCCGGATGTCTTACGCTTTGTGATTGGAAGAAACTGGAGCGTGTTGGTCTTATACTTTTTATTAGATTTTCATTGGGTACCATCCCTGTCGTCTGCTCTCCATGTAAAGTCGTCTTACTTTCCAATCTATCATTTGAGTTTGAATGTAACTTTGCGGACACCGGTACCTCTGTTATTGAATGCGAATTTCCTGAACTAGATAGAACGGAAGTTGAAAAATGTTGCCCCTCTATTGCGTCATGCATTGTCATGTGACTTACAACTACTCTTGTTGACGTTTCATTGACGACCGAAAACGATGGCAAAGATGAATGTAACAGAGGGATTAATCCTGTTATTTTCAAGTCCAGTTGCGATGAGGATGACAAGAATGATGAGCTAGGTATACTGGCTATGGTTGCGGTGAACATACCTATACTTGTTGAAAGCAGTAGCACTTGTGAAGGCGGTGAAAGTTGAGATGTGGTTTCCGTACTAATCTCATTGGAACATCTTCTGCTCACATCTGTTTGAGTATGAAAAGTCAAATGATTTTTCTTCTTCTAAATTATCAATGATTTATTAGGACAAATATAGCGATTGTTCATATCGGTTGCTTGATCTTACGTTGACCGCTCCTCCATTTTAAATTTTATATAACATTTATGTCATTATATCAATATCGTTATAAACAATGCCTTACGTCTCAGATATAATTATAAACAGAAATTAGGTAATGGCATATTCCTATATAAATATTAGACTATACTATTTAAAAAACCCACACCAGAACGACATTGCAATATAAAAAAAAAATGGGCAATGCCAATGTTCCTTAAATAGAATATAAAAATTTCAAGAATGATAAAGGGAAACAACTCATACCATAGTGAAGATGACATCCATTTTGAAGTGACCAGGACCCATTTGATTGACAAGTCGTCTCCTTACATCCTTCTCCGCCACTGAAATGGTCACATCTGACATACACCACATCACCAGGTGTGTATATCTGCCTGTCCCGACTCCACCTGTCTGCCTCTATCGTCCTAACATCACAGTAATAACTCAAAACCTTTATGCTAACACTTCCTCGGCAATTAACACCATGCCCATTTTCAATCATTTCTGAAGTAATATTTAGTTTAAATCCTGTCAGTGTGATGTTCGTTTCAGACTTGGACTCGCTGCAGGTATCTATACAGTCAGAGTTCTGGACACAGACTCGCCAGCAGCAACCGGATTCGATTTGATCACTTCCATGCTTGCTATGTGCTATACTGATGCCAAAAACTGCAGAATCAAAGGTGAGTTGATATGTCCGATGGTTCATGGGAAGTGGCATATTAAATAATTCCTTTGGATATTCTATATTAAACGCAAGAAATTCCCTGGTGATATCTGAAAAAAATAATTAAAAAAAATAAAATAATATCGGATCTTATTCGTTTTATTATGATGCTGATATAATTTAGAATATAAAACAGAACCCTAGATTTTCTATAAACCAGACATTTTGAATCATGATTTAAACGAAGCAATTCAAACATGTAATCTGAAAGAAAGATAACATTATGTTATCCGTATGATGTTCGTTTTAGAAAGGCTGTAACATCTCTTTGTCATAGCATTCTAGAGGTATTTCACCATAGATGAGCCGTACTTTAAAAATACGGGCCCATAACAATAAGAAAACAACGAACACATTTTGTGCAACGAACCCGAGTGTGCTGGTTCTCCTACTGAAGAAGGGGGGTGTACTAAACAAAAACAGAACCCTGCTCTCTCCTTATCTTATAATCACTAATGTATCGTAATGTATTCCTAAGTTACACGCATTTATATTTCTTCACCGATGTCGAGTTAGTAAAGACTTGAAATATGGATGCTGAAACGAAAAGCTTCCTAAAAAGAGCTGAAAAACGGAAACCCATTTTCAAAATTGAAAGAAAAAACATCAATATTAATGTAGCACGTTTCGAGCCAAATTAAAGATCATAACTTTAAGAATCGTGTTTGAATAAAATACCCAACGAGATATTGAGATATGTGAATAATGACTTGAAACAATGAATGAATAGCAGAAATGATAATTAAATATAAATTATTTGAGATGAACTTTTAAATTTAAGTAATTCAGTTTCCTTGCGCAACGTTATTTGGTCACACAATACAGTTTTCGGTTAATTTTAAGTGTGGATTAAAGAGATTCGTATATTTGTTTATTTAGAAAATGGAGAGTAACCAAGATGTCACTTACCTGCGTTAAGAACACATAAACTGATGAAGAAAAGTAGAACCCAAACATTTGTAGAAATATATTCCATATTCACGTATATATCACATTGAGTAACGCAGGTAAATGCATATATGACTGGTAAGACATTGATACAAACAAGGTGTCTAAAATAACAGTCTCCAAAGGATTTACGTTTCACGGCACACACTAATGATGTTCGTTTAGTTCTTTTCATATAGTGAAGTGATAATTAAAACTTTGTTGTAGCACAACGTAACAGTGATCACGTGACATGATAACATATCAACAACCCGCCTACGTCACCCCCTCTCGCGTGCAGGTGAGGAGATATCAAACCACCTGTAGTGTATTCAATGGAGGTGACGATAGTACGTGTTTAGAGTCGATAGAATGATGGCAGGACAGAAGATTACACACCAGGTGAGGATTTTCCACAGCTGATAGATTTAATGCTATCTTGTCTCAATTTTCTTTTCTTATCAATCACTTAACTTGACTGCAATGTATTTAAAGATTAAGACACTATTAAAACGACAATGAATTGGTATTTTTGCCTCTTAAAGGAAAACAATATTTTTGTTGTGTTATTAAGCTTATAACGCTCGGTAAAAAAAATAGAACAATTTATATGTAAATTATCAACTGAACTATTAGTATTACAGTCTATTTTGAGGTTAAGGAGCAATGCTTTTTATTTAGTTTCTCTGATGTTCCTATTTCTGTTTACTCATCTTAACTTAATATACAATATATGACAAGTTCAGTTGTAATGAGTAAATTAGAGAAGCATTGGAAGTCTCATTGTACGTCGTACAATATAAAGCTCAATCAATTATATATAAAAAAGATATCAACACCGAATAACTATTCCACCATTTTATTTTGAGGATTGATCATATCAGTCAAGTTTGCAACTGTGTTATTTATTGACATGTCTTTTAAAACTGTTTAGTCAAGAATAATCTCTTTTATTTTAACACTTGTTTCGACACAAAGCAATTAATTTTAACACTTGTATAGACACAAAGCAATTAATTTTAACACTTGTATAGACACAAAGCAATCAATGTTAACACTTGTATAGACACAAAGCAATTAGTTTTAACACTTGAATAGACACAAAGCAATTAATTTTAACAAACTTTCATTGATATCTGTGCCAATACATTGTTCAAATACTACATATCGTTAAAGGAATAACTAATGATACGCATGATTGAAAGTATGTTTTTAAGCACTTTTGTATATTATGCGAAATACAGAAATCAGATGTCAGAATAATTAAGTACTTAAATATAATACTAAATTAAGTTTCCTTAAAGTTTTGAACTATAAGCAACATACATATCAGAACATGTGGTAAAATATTGGAAATACTTTCTGAATATATTTGTACATACTGTCAAAGTGGAAAATTTCGTGTTTTCACTTTAAACGATCATTTAAGGTAGTTACGAAATCCTACCACCTTTTCATACAATAATTCTTTTATTCATCGGTACCAAATTTCGTGACTTGAAATGAAAAAGAACTGATTATTTATGGGATTCATTTTTTCTCAGATGTATGTTTGTAATATGACACTTCCTTTGCCTCAATTTCAGTAATATGTCTGTGATACGATGACTTCCTCTGCATATTCTCAGAAATGACAAATATATTTTTGTTGATGTTTTTTTTTTCTCTCAAAAATATATCACAAGTATAGCGAAAATAAAACCATGCAAAACATGGTAGCTTTACAGCATCTCAATCACAGTGACTTATGAATGGTCAGGTTTATATACATATACATGTAACATGTTTGTAATGCAGTCAGATGTCCCATTTATCCCAGCATTGCACACACATATAGCATTCAATGAGCTTTTATGGAGAAACGCATTCACATGGAAATAATTTTGTCAAGGGCACTTTCCATTGTTGGGAATGTCCTAAAACAAATAAAACGTTCCATCAAAATTTCATTCGGGAATTCCTTCAACAGTAATAATCATAGCTACGTGTCTTTAAATATGGCTGCCAGTGTTTTAAAATAAACTGTTTGAGAATTATTGTAGTACTTTGACACTCTCATGTCAAAGACTAGTGCTCTGAAACGTTGAAATACTAAGGCCGTTTACAGTTCGCGCAGGTTGAAATGTTTAGTACGCTTGCGACATATTTTTCAAATAATAAAAAAACAATAAAAAAGACTTGCCTGAGTTTCTTATTCAGGAAATACAACTCCAACTTCAAGCGGCCTAGTCTTTTCTGATTATATTTCATATAAACATTTTTTCTTGTAGCATTGTCTCGCCCTTGACCGGCATAACGACTGTTGAATAGATGGATGCCAATTCTGTTCATCGTGATCTGTCTCAAGTTGTGTCTTCACCAGATCTGTTTCATAGAAAAACACACATTGTTCATATGGACACATTGTTTCATTATCGATTTTTTTTTCGAGTTTTTCCGAATCCGAATAACCCAACCCTTTTATAGATATATGGACATTTTTTTACCATGACTTTGTAATAAAGATTAATTGCTAATTTCGTTTACTGTGAAAATAATATTAAACAATTTGTTCACAAGCATCCGATCATCATGATACAGAAATGAACAATAAAAATAAAAAAAATAAAAAAATTGATTTAATCAAACTATTATACCGATGAGCTTTGTGCACGACTTTCGACATTTTTTGAAAGCATGGTACAGCTTCAGGATGGTAGCCTGGTCGCCGTACGCATGTAGGCAATGATGGAGCAGGTTTAAGATCAGCCTGGTGGTGATCCATCTCGGCCAGTTCTATGTGCTCCTGTGCCACGCCCAGCTCAATGAAGATGACGAAGTAAGCTTTGAGTATTAGGATGCTTATGGATTCGAGTTCATCGGTGGCTGGACGTGAGTTCAGAATTCTGTCCGGCAGTCCGACATCTGAAATACACGTTAATTTGGTTTAATTATGATATCAGCTGTTATATATAGATACTACAAAAGTTGAAACTTCGTATTGGCTTTAAACTACGATTCTACACTTGTATGGACTAACCCAACCAATATACAAAAAAAGGAATATAATGGTTATGTACGTAAACACTCTAACACAGGAATATAGGTTTCGATGAACTGAGAATACATTTTCAAAGCTTTCATCATTATTATAAGCAATAATCATGATTACATAAATCCAAACATGACTAGCTTTTAGCCCATTTTCCCTCCATGAATGACTTCGATCGGGATCGCGACTTCGTCAGCGTTTAATCTAAGACATGTAAACATGTCGTTTGAACCACCATATAGTTCCAAGTGGAGTTTCGTCATGTAAACTATACGCCACTCTTTGCAAATACAACAATTAATAACAGTTTTTTACTTACAATTGTCAATAAGTGATGTGATTTTCAGTTCAGAACTAAATCTCAAGGTAAACTCAGGTATATATATACATGTGTGTGTGTGTGTGTGTGTGTGTGTGTTTGCATATGTTATTCTCTACCAAAAACACAAAGTACTCACTAATATGAACTCAATTATTATATAGCATGCATGAATTCATTTTTTCTTCTCCTAGCACAACCATTTTAGTAATTAGTACACCTTCGGACAGTGTCATCCGATCGTTGGGCCTCATAACCCTGATATCTCCCAACAAGACTTGGAAATCTAAATCACAATCTTCGAATGCATTTTTGATTTCATGGAAGGTGGCTTTATCTTCAAATTGGTTTTTCCAGGCGAAAATAATCCATGCCACCTGGGAGAGGAAGTCCCGTTTGTTCTCGTGGTCCCGGCGGATCTGTTCGACATACACGTCAATCATGCGAAGCTCGATAAAGAACATACTGTAATTGTTCCCCACGTGTTTTGCAATTCGAATGACTTCTCGTGGATTCGGTGTCCGTTGCAACATTTCTTGATCAGATTCCTCTGAAGCTATGATAAGGAAAACATATTTTTATGTTGCTCGAATGTGAAAAAAATATAACTGTGTGAATTCTGATATTGAATTGTTTTTGTTTGTTTTATGTCGATGATTTTACTTATGAAAATCGTTGGTAGTTTCCTTCACATATTATATAGAAAAATACTTTTCATATGTACGTTTACATTTTCATTGTTGAATTTATATAATAAAAAAATATTTGACTATATTCGTAATAAGCGTTAAACCACATTTAATATAAGTTGTAAAGGTATAATTATTTTTACACACACATAGTTATATTATTGCTTACAGTATGTTTGGTTGCTGTGTTGTACTTACTTGTTTCGGTTGAATCGATCAATACCTCTGATTCAACGATATATCATTCTGCAAACAAAACGTGTTGCTGATGACAATGGATTGAAAGAAAAAATCAGCATTTAAAACATGTGCTAAACTCTAATGTGTGTTATACTATTTTATTATTAATGTTAAACTACCTCTCGTTCGGAGAACCACAAAGCACTAGCTTCGGGTGTCAACTGCGTGTTTTCCTCCTTTCCTATCACCTCGAAGTCATCGCTTATGAAGTTGGAACACGTAAGATGACCCTGGTTGTTTCTCTCCAACGTTGCATTAATAATGCCCTCAATGATGTTTTTAATCTTGTAACCGTCTCCTTTTCTCACTTTCTTGGCTATGTCTGAGAACAAGGTGATCTTGACCTTTGAATTTTTGCATTGGAGCACCATTGTCCAGTAGTGACTTAGTATGAAACACCCCAAGTCTTGTTGGAGGCAGTATTTGTCCAAAGGTCCGGGGACAGACATCACTTCAAACCGGTGGATACATGAAGCAAAAATCTTGCTGTGGACTGTAGGTAGAATGAAGTGTCCGTGGAAATCGAAGCAGAGGGTGGGAGTTCGGATAATCGAGAAATTTTCAAGGAGAGGTCTGATCAGACTAGGGTTCGGTTCCGTCAGTAGGCATGGCACAATGCAGTAGTCGACTGACGATTCCCCTTCCGAAGTGGCATCACAATCAACTCAAGACGGTCAAGGTAGAACAGGATGGTGTCTCGGAGTTCAAGGAACCTTCCTGTTTTGTCATTGGCCCAAGCTGCCTCAATAAAGGCCAGCGTGAGTCTTCCAGTCTTGCCGTAGTTTTCCAAGGCGTCCGATTCATGACACTGTTGCTGAAATTTCACCAGGGTCGTCACTATCAACTTGAATGCCTGGATCAACCATTGAGGGTCAAGGATGATTTCATCATCTTTATCTTCTAACTGGAAACATAGGTCATTTCGGATCATATGCAGATACCTTAAAAAGAAATTGAACATCTATGAAAAAAACGGATAACTCATCTTTAACATTTTAATATTCATAACCAATGATTATCCAATGAAATCGTCTCTAAACTTGTTATTAAATCATTAAATAGTCAAATTGTCTCAAGTAATGAATGGTAAAATGTTGACTCTTTCACTCACTCTAGCATGGCGATAACATCTTGGTCATCTAATGGGACAATAAGTTGTTCTGATCTAGCTTTGGCTTCCTTCAGGGTCATGACCTTCACCCCCTGACCTTTCAGGAACATCAAGTCCCGCTCGAGCGTGATCCAGCTCGCCGGAAGTAGTTGTCCCCAGTGTGACTGATATTGTGCGGCTTCCAATACTAGACGCCACACCTTATTGTATGCTTCTGTGTCATCCAGTGTGTTATCAACGGTAGTGAATGCTATCATGTGCTTGCTGTAGGCTTTTGCTTCATTTCGACTCTTGTTTATTCGGTACAGAACTTTACCCTTGACCAAAGCCCGTTCTTTCTAAAAAAAAAAATACACTAAGATAAATTATCAATTATGAATGACTTTTAAACAACTCGAGCCATCCAGGAATGCCTAACATTCTTCTATATTTATGCTTATATCACGCGACTTACGTACGGTGATAGAAATAGACGCATACAGTTTGAACACATCTGTTCTATACTCCTTCGAAATGTTTGACAGAATCGATAAAAGATTTTAATGATAAAAGAGTAAATCTGTTAACAGTAATATCTTGCAAACTGAAAGGGTTCGAAGGCAAGCCGAAATATTATTCAGCCTTACGATACACAACTAAATTAACAGAATAAAGATGATAACAAGAGTTACTGTATTATATCTGGAAATGTGATGTACCTTGATGAATCAAATACGCTGTCACATTAAATGAGGCAATTAAGAAGATTTATAGTACCTCGGGCACCTTGTCTAGGTGAGTACCCACCAGGATGACTGGGGGACGGTACTTGTCGTCTTTGTCAGAGAAAGTTGACAAAAATCTGAGCCAGAAAGAAACACGTTCTGAAACATTGAGAAGAATTACATATCAATCAAAATATCAACATAAATTTATCAAAGTAATTTTTCCTGACTTGGCAAAACTGAGTTTCCCTCAGATTTTTAAATAGTTTTAGATGTCTTTTATTTTAGCTGTTTCAATTCTCAATTTATGTTTCACTTGATATCGATAATATAACAAACATGCATTTTCTCATAGTGTTAATATCTGTACACATTTTCCTAACACTGCCAATGGCATTTTCATATATATCATATTATTAGAAATACAAATCAAATTTAAAAAAGTGTTTCAACACTGAAACATAGAAAATGTTCTCGAATGAGCCTTGTGATATAAATAGATAATGTTTACCTAAGATCGCGTCGTTTTGAAAACAATTATGAAGGCTGAAGCACATCAGTACCACGGCACTTTGATTGAGGAAGATGTGCTGAAATGACGAGAACAATATCTCTCCTCTAAAATCAAATATGCTGACACAAGCTTTCATTCCTTTCTGACCCAAAGTCTCCGTCGGACCAATGGACATAATGACTGCAGCCTCTTTGTCCATATTGGATTTTGTTATATTTGTGAAGCTCTGCGTACCGGACAAGCTGAATCTTCTGACTCGATTATTGATGGCGGGCTCAATTCTTAATGGCGTACCGGACAAGCTGAATCTTCTGACTAGATTCTTAATGAGAAAAGAGCATAGAACATCAGGGCACACTTATATAGAACATCTCAACTCTTGAGATTTCCTCAAGTCTAAGATTTCCCATAGACAATACATTGCTTGAGATTTTCCCTTATTACCTTTCGATTTTATGCCACCACCTTTCCTGTTTCAAATTTTCTTTATGCCACCATCTTTCCTGTTTCCATTTTTCTAATTTTTTCTAAATTTATGCAACTTTCTTTGTGTGTCACTCAAACTCCTATATAGCGCTTGATAATGGGTAACAGTATAGCGAGGTGTTATTGCATATCATTTTGCAAATTAACATCACACAACATCGTACATTTTCTGAACATTTATTTGTATAGGACAAGGCATTTTATTGTTCTAAATAATCTTCTTATGCAGAGCCGCAATTATCTACTAACCTGTGATCTTAACCGAAGTGGATGGTTTATAGGATGGTTAAATAACTGTGATGGTTTAGAATAAAAAGGGAAGTATATTACAAAACTACTGCACGGATAGTGCGACAACCGGACCAGTGTCAGCTGGATTAGTGAGACTCTTATATTCCGTCTTTGCGTATTGCAGAGTTATCTTCTCTTGGGAGCAGGTATTAATTGTTACGTCATTGGTTTGTGCGAGAAAACTACGTCGTCGTTTTCTCAAAAATTGATGACGTTACTCTCACAAACAAGTGACGTAACAATCAATCCCTGCTCACAAGAGAAGATAACTCTGCAATACGCAAAGACGGAATATAGGTATGGATCGCATAAAGCCATACTCCCAGTATCACAACTGTTTCTGAGACATTACGAACTAGGTGAACAAAATGTCAATCTGATTTCCTGGTACACTTTAAAATATATAAAACTAAGATTAAGATTAAGATTGATATATGAATTTATATATCTTTATCTAAAACGAAACCACCACCGCTTTCGCACCAATGCAATACAAACTGATGTCATAAAACAGATCCCAAATTAAGAAACTCGACTAGTTAAAACCAATTCTGTTTAGAATAAACTAACGAGCAACTTATGTGTAAGCTTAGCAAAGAACAATAGTGTAGGTTTGTATAACTTGTCTTGCAATCCCATTGCACTCGATTATCAAACAATGTGTTTTACCCGTTAGTAAAAACAACAAAACAAATATCTCATCATCATGCATGTATGACAAAGTTGTTATAGAAAATGAAATAGTTTGACTTTCACAATGTTTATTTCATATTTACTATATAAAATGTCCCATATAGTGTTATATACAAATGGATATTTACATGTGATGTGAAAGTTTTCTATTTTCGACGACTGCTTTTGAAGCATTACGAATAAAGATTATCGTGATTTCTTTTGTTATTTATTTTCTTTTCGAAATGCATTCATTGGCGAAAGTAATAAACATTTTTGTCCCACACGGATATAGGTATGAGTACGCGAACACACACGCATCCGTACATACACACGAACGTTTTGTCCCACACGGATACAGGTACGAGTACGCGAACACACACGCATGCTTACATACACACGAACGTTTTGTAAACACATAAATGGTTTAAGATTAATAATTGTTTAAGCCTGTACATCATATTTATTATGGCGTCTGAAGGATTAATATCCGCGGTGTTTAGAGTATAGCTGTATCTAGTTATTGTTATCATTGCAACATTCACATTACCATCTTATTTTCATTTTTATATATATGTCAATTCATGAACAACACAAGAGAAACATATTCCTATGTTGAGGCCTGCAAGTACTTACACATTTCAATACATACATATTCATATAAATGTATTACATTGATCATATTCACATACATACATACATACTAATACACACGCATACCTATAAAAAGTTCGTGTAGTACTATATAAACATACATTGTATGTAAAACCTATCAATCAATCAATCAAAAACACAAATGAGATGTTTACCAATGTTTGTATACTGGACATGTAACGTACATTCCTTGTTACTGTACATAAACATTAATAACTGGTATTTGCATGTTCGACAGTTGTCATTACCGACGGTCGAGAAATAATAATAATTTGACCGGTGTCAATACCGGCGGCCCCTTTCCATTGCCATGTTTTGTCCATTGTACACAACGAGCGGTCTCGTTGTATTGGCATCTCTGATCGTTGCCACCACTGGCGTTCGTTATAGTAAAAGTATCCGTTGTCAATACTTGCAATTGTTTATCATTTATATTTTGGTCGTTGTCAATACCGATGGTTACGTTACATTAGCACCCTTGACCATTGTAAATACTGGCGGTATTTTGTAATAGTATTTGTGGCCGTTGTTTGTAATGGCGGTCATGTTGAATTAACCTTTGGTAGTTGTCGATACTGCTGGTTGCGTTGCATTAACACCTGTTGTTGTTGTTAGTTCTTACGGTGGCGTTGTATTGGTTTCTTTGACCGTTGTTGTATTAACATTTTTATCCGTTGGCAGTGATGGCGGTTGCGTTGTATAAACATCTTTCATCGTTGTCAGTTCAGGTGAACGCGTTGCATTTACATATTTGGTAGTTGTCAGTACTGGCGGTAGTGTTGCATTACCATATCTAATCGTTGTCGGTTCAGGCGGTTGCGTTGCATTAAATTCTTTAGTAGTTGTCAGTACTAGCGGTAGCGTTGCATTTGCATATTTTGTCGTTGACTGTACTGGCGGTTGCGTTATATTAGTATCTTTAATCGTTGTCAATACTGCCATTGGCGTTGAATTGGTATCTCTAATCGCAGTTGTATTGACACCCATATTCGTTGTCAGTGCTGGCGGTTGCGTTGTATTTACATCTTTGGTCGTTGTCAATACTGGCGGTGGCGTTGAATTGGTATCTCTAATCGCAGTTGTACTTACACCCATATTCGTTGTCAGTGCTGGCGGTTGCGTTGTATTTGCATCTTTGGTCGTTGTCAATACTGGCGGTGGCGTTGAATTTGTATCTCTAATCTCAGTTGCATTGACACCCATATTCGTTGTAAGTGCTGGCGGTTCCGTTGTATTAGCATCTTTGGTCGTTGTCAATACTGACGTTTGTTCTGTGTTAGTATCCGTGGCTGTTGTCAGTGCTGGGTATTGTGTTGTACTAGCATCCCCGAGGGTTGTAGTACTGGAATGTTTAATCGTTGTAGATGTAGACGGGTGGTACGACGTTGCATGCACAGTAGTTGTTACGGCTTGAGGGAGTGTTGTTGTTTCTGTTGTCATTGTAGATGATTTTGTTGTCACTATCGGCGTGTTCGTTGTTGTGAATAGTCTGGAAGACGGGATGTCGATTGGAGCATAGGTGGCATCTAAAACAGAAATAAAAATAAGCCACCACAACAGTAGTACAAAAACATAACCAAACTTTCATAAGCCATTCTGTGCAAAAGAAAAATAGTAATGCCTCATCAGAAAGAAGCAAAACAATAAATGAGAAATTACTGGGTTGGTCTTCTATGAATACAGCGCAAATGTTCCCTTAAAAGCAAAACTGTTTGTTGCTATTATTCTGGCAGTTATCTTTGTGAATCATATAATTTTACAACAATAGGTCCCGTGAAAACATTCTTAACGCATCCAATCTTCTTTATAAAGAAATTATATCTCTGAAAATCATCAGTACCTTATCTAGAAGCCACGAGCAATTGTGCTATGGTTTAAGATCACCACTTGTACTTACAAATACTACTGGAATTACACTTACCACTATCAGGACCGATCCCTTCTGTCTGATTAGCTGTGGAAAATATAAGATTTATATGTCAATATTAACATAATTTGTGAACCGCTTTGAGACGAACTAAGAACGATGTTGTGATAAAGCGGTATATAAGAACCTCGAAGTATCATTATTATTAATTATAACTATTCCTTTATCATTTGTTAGATTTACCTTCCCTTTGTCTTATCCCTTACACAAACGTACTTTCAAACCCCTAACCAACACACTTTTGTGTCTCGCAGCAATTGTAAATCGTGAAATATAACTAACAACTCCTGGAAAATTCCAGAATCTCCAACATTCTAAGTGCGAGAAATACATTATTTTTTTCTGTTTATAAAAGAAGCATGGAATATGTCGATCGAACAGGCATGATCTGACTCTCCATTTGCGATATGAAGGTAGATGATTTTGATAATGCTTATCAAATAAGTAGTGTGTCGTATGGGTTTGTTGGCAATACCATGGTTTCCACTTCGAAGACAAGCAATAATTTAAACTAATTAAGCAAATTCAGCTAGCTTGACTTAAATTTACAAACTATTTGTTGGGAATGGAGCAGGAGAGGAGAATCTAACCCCCCAATTGGGGTTTTTTCCGCCCATAGATATGTTTCCTTGTTGTGCTGTTCTTCACCTAATAACGTATCAAAGTGAAAACCAAGTACTTCAATACACAAGAACAATACTTGAACCAGAACTTAAACTTGCAGGTGATAGGAAAAAGGAATCGAGGAGACACCAGCACCAATACAGACGACCCCAGTCGCTCCGGAAAGGTAAAATAAATACCAAGTTATGATTAGTTTGGATTGCACACTTGTTTAACGGTGTAACTGTCTCAAATTAAAAGTGGGAAATTACTGTTTTATTTACTTACATGCTAAATAGGCAATCATGCCGATTGAAATTCCTACTGCGACCAATATCAGTAGAGCTATGATGCATCTAGTTTCCCTCTTGGTGCATGCTGAAACCAAGGTTAAAATTACAAAATTATTTTAAGTACTTCTTAAAAGTAATTTAAACATGATGATTAAACATGACGTTAGAGCCAAAAAACGAAGATAAATCAATTGATTAAGTAACTAACATATGTCCTATGATGCAAAAGGAAAATAAAGACATGGCAATAAATAGAAAAAATTGAGTATTTAATTGCTTGTATGGATGAAAGGAAGCTAGTCTCGTGCAAGTTAAATGAACTGTCATTATTTTGCACGATGCTCATATCCCTTCGTCAGGCCATACAAGAAATAAAGTCCACATTCAATCTTCGAATCAAAGCCTATTGTAAGACACATTAAAAATCGAACTGTAATATTATTAAACATACCCTGATGTAATGCATTAAGCCAATTACATGAGTTTCGTTGCATCAAAATTGATGTAACGTGTAAATATATGTTTTGTTTTTAGATTATCTTTGGCGATTTAATATGGAAACAAATGTGTATTATGAAAATATATGTACTGGCCACATTGAATAACAGGTATCAATATATGTGATGATTGTCGTTTTACTTACTTGTGGAATACTCCCCACCCTCAAGGCTGTACTGCCCAGTCATTTCCAACGCTCACAGTTGACTGAAATCTAAAAAAAAAAAAAAAAAAAAAAAAAATTATTCATTTTTATAGGATTTGCATGATAAAGAAAATATCTTACAAATCATATACATATTCATGCTATAGGGCCCTGGACAGCAATGGAGCAGTTTATGTTGATTTTACGGAGAAATATAAAATTAAAAATTGCGAAAAAAAAACTTAAGTCAACTTAACATTTATAGACATACCGATTTTGCATTTCATACAATAATTAAGAAATCTTATATAAACAAGTATATCAGATAACAAAACAGACATACAAGTATAGGATGTCACGTGCACATATATTCATAATTAACTTATAGGAAGCATGTCATACAATATGGAATATCTTGTTGCTTCACTACCCTGGGTCTCGTGATATTACTTGGACATGACCAATATCTGCATGACGAGCACTGTCGATCAAACAGACAACTCTAACCCTTCTTGCACACATAGCCTTATTCTTGTACGTTTTCCAGAGCGTCCATGTCCCCCTAAATGAGTTTAACTTTGATAAGCTGTCTATGAATAATGTTAAGTTGGCTTGTCATATAAAACACTGGTTCCTGTAATACCAGAGTGATACATTGTATAAAAAAATAAAAATTGCCTTTCGTGTACAGTTTTGTATCATGATATTTTTTTCTTCTCTCATTTCGTTGTGTGTAAGATAGAGCTGCCCAGGGTAAGAAAAGGGTGTACGAAATGTATTTCTCCCTTCCTTCACAGGTGTGTCTCCCGTTGTAGCGGGGAATGATCAGCTTGTCAACCCCTAGGGGCAGATAGCCTCGTGCCAATTAGCACGTGTTCAATTGTGACTTCATTTTAATATGTCATCGATAATTGTGACGTCATCACAAGTGAATGTCGATATTCATACCCCACATGTGTTTTTGCTTATAAACATGGCAGAAAACTGTCGGTGGAGTTGTGACTGAAATAATAGGATGGGAGAAAAATAATCATGACCTACCTTGAGGGTGTAACAGAGAAATCCCCAACCCTCGCGGTGATTTTTGGTTGTCTTTCCTCTTGGGAAGGAGATTTCTCTGTCACACCCTCAAGGTAGGGGAAGATTAATAGAATCTCCCACACTCTTGGAGGTAATGTAGGGGAATCTCAATCCGAGGGGGAAGATTCTTATGTTGCAAAACACGAGGCTTAGCCGAGTGTTTGGCAACTTAAGAATCGTTTCCCGAGGTTTGAGATTCCCCTATCTTACCCACAAGGGGGTAAATGATTCTTTTCCTCTTACCCTGTTCTCCCTATGTGTATCATATACACAATTTAATGATAACGTTGCATGCTAAATTCTGGGTTGACGATTTATTGAATAAACAAGATGAGATTATTTCTTTCTGTGCAAACTACGTTTTCAATATTGTGGTATGTTAAATCTCGCTGACAGATTCGTTTTCGTCAAAAAGTTCAGGGGAAAAGTTGATATTTACAAGATGGTAGCCAGTCCAAACGCATTTTTATGGTTTCTGAACTTATACTGGTTGTTGGAATGACAGATAAATAATCTTTCATGCCCAGGGTGTAGGATAGGGAAATTTCATCCAAGGGATTTTCAAAGGCAAAACCCTCGGCACAGCCTTGGGTTTTTCCAAATTTGAAACCCCCTCGATGAAATTTCCCTATCCTACACCCCTCAGTATGAAAGAGTCTTATAATCATTTGCTATATACATGGATAATAAATTGTGTTGAATGTAAGGGTATAATATGGATTGTAGTACAATACAATGATTGTAATTTGATAAGGGTAGCTAACATGTTTATCGTCCCAGACACGCTCTGGGTAACGTGGAACACATTATCATACGTCAAGCAGGAAGTTACTGTGAAATCTTACGCCGATTCACATTTTTGAGGGTTCTTATTTTCATACAGACGTACCTGTAACATAGATATATTTTAACTGTTTTGCTAGAGATAAAATGTAGTTTGCCAATAAAATAATATGGAAATTTAATTTACACGAAAAAGATCTTGATATACCATCTATGTTATTCAAATGATATTGACAGTCTACTCGATCTATAACCCGTTAAATCGGTCAAATTGTGTTCTGTAATTTTTAACGATAAAAACGACATAAAATAGCACTTTTACAATTAAGTATAGCCCATATAATTTGTATTCAGAAAGCAACACTTTCGTTGCCAGATCCCTAATATTACATTATGTAAAATTATATATTATGTACAGCATATTTGTAAATAAAATATTGTTTAAACCAACACTTTCGTATTGTCTACACGTCTGAGTACTAGAATGTCAGAGGCGTAGCAAATACTCTTTCGGAGTGTATGCTTACAGGGGGTCGAGCGTCCGAATCGCATAGCGCCGGAGGAGGGGGAAGGTATGGGAGGGGGAGTTCCCCCTCCTATAGCGTGATTTTTTTTTTAGAATTATACTTGGTCCTAGAAGCAATTTCTCGTATTCTGGGAAATCCTTTCAGTCTGATAATCAACAAGTAAAACACGACTTTTTATATGAATAACATGAAATTTTGTACTTCACAAACTAGTTTTTGATTTAGAATTTTACATAAACTTCTGAGATTTTTTTCAATGTTTCTATAAGACTAAAATTTACAAGAAGATTTTTTTTTATTTTATTCTTTTCTTTCTACGATTGATGCAGACGGTCCATATTAATCATTAAAAAAGAAATAAATAAATACATATATAGGATTAAAAAAAATCTTGAAAATGTTAGTGTATGCTTGAGCATACAAGCATACATGTATGCTACGCCACTGAATGTATTTAAAGTCCATGCACTGATGGAACACTAGTTATAAACGAGCAAAAGGTCTCAGATATCTTTCAGTCACTGGGTATAATATCAAGCATAGTGTATTTATTTAAAGATATACTATACTTAGCATTGTTACTGGTTTTCACATTACCTATGCTGTTTTTGCATTATTAACAATTTCATCGTCATTTCCATTAAAAATCAACTTTTACTGAGGTTACTGAGGATATATAGAATTGTCTATAAATCACTGTTAATGAAAAATGAAACAGACTTTTAGAAAGGTAGGACTATTTTGTCTCGTTTTAAGATGTATTTAATACGACTAACGTTAAACAATATGCAGGATCTTGAAATCGTGATATTAGCATATTCAAGGTGAGACAGAATGTTCCTTGGTCAGGGTAGGTTGTTAGTGGTGTTTCATTACATGCATAATTTACTGAGGAGAGGTATGTTATACAATATGAAAACTGCATATTAAGACGGGGACTTAACGTACATTAAGCATGTATGATTGATAATGAATGTTAGGAATCATGATTTTGTCTCGAAAACATATCACGACCTGTTATCAGATGGTTTGAAAAGATTGCATATTCATTTTTACACACAGTACGTATTACAAACAAGTTGATAATATCTACTAGTACTTTGCCATTCTTAAAATAAAACTCTATACAAACTAGTGTCACACCATTTTCAATACCAATGATAAAAAGCATAATTAGTTACTTGAAAACATATTTTTGAATTAATTTACGTTAAACAATATGCAAGTTATAAGTCATATTTATATAATACTTTATAACAGTTTTAATATAAAATGTGTTAAAACTAATTATTTAATCACTAGCTTATAAATTAATTGCAAAGTGTGGTTAGTACTATGTAATATACAATATACATCGTAGAAGCCAGCAGCAGATTGTTGAAAGTAGCAGACAAGGAAGGCATAAACAAGACCACAGTAAATGTTAATTGACATGGAACATTTAAAACAAAAATATTAGAACGATTTGGATGTTCATGGCTAGTGAAGCGATAACGCCATAAACGTCATAAAACGTTTGTAAAATATATCAATACGTATCAAACATGTGAACTCACCTTAATATCTGCAATGACCAGTGTGAGTGACGTCTCGATTGCTAGATAGACCAAAGGAGTGGCCACAATTTTACTTCCGGAATTCAGGATCCCATCATTGTTGCAAGGACATTATTCTCCGCACGCACATACTTTACGCAATTAAAAACTTTTCGTGCTTATTCAGGCGTGGCGCTCCCACAATCGCGTTGCATAGAAGGTATATTTTTTACTGAAATCCGATGAGAGGCATATCGTATATTTTTAAACATGTCATTCACTCAATAGGACTACCGCTGACCGAGTTTTAAGGTGAGGCATTTATACCTGGTTTATTTTTATGTATTTATTTGAATCAAAGTTATGACGTATATCGTAATAGTATGGCGACGCTACACCTTCGAACTACATTACCCCATGTTGAATTCCAGATTTTTCTTTCTATTAACATTTTGATATTTCCATATAGTTACACCTTTATGAAAGTCCCTATTGTTTCAAAATTGCACAAGTGTAAAAAGAACTGACAAAAAGCACACATGCACACACAAATGAATAGAATGATAAACGGAATTGAATCAATAGCTTTTCATATTTTGATAAATTCTACAATTAATCCTCATTATGATGAAATCGATTAAATGCTTGTTTTACTCGTGTTGTCTATGTAGCTTCATCTTTCACATATATATTAAAAATAATAAAATATATATTGAAATCGTATACCTGTATTTTAATAATTTGCTAACAATAGCATTCTGATCAAGTGTTGAATTTTCATCGACATTACTTCAGAAAGCTTTATGTATTTGGAGTTTTGAAAAGTCCTCGAACAACACTATATCTAAGAAAAAATAAATTAACAGTCGTCATCACGACTTGATTTCAAACGTATTTTTTTTGATTTGCCATGATTCAATACCTGTTCTTTATGTCCTGAACGGCAACCATTACTAAAACTGGTAAGAGCATTTGAGAGGGAAATTCTATTCCTTCCGGAGCTGATGTTTTTAGGGATAGGTTGATGATGTGTTTCCAATATTGTATTGTGTCTCCTTACATCCATTTCAAATGACTTTTCAGGATTCGTCCTTAGGTGCAGACGTCGTGGTGTGTTCTTTCTTTTTAACAGAACTAGATTGGTATCGGAAAAAGATTCCCTGAACGGACGGATATTTGGATGTCTATTTTGACCAACACTGACCTTTGGGAAGTGAAAAAATAACTTTAGCTTTGTATGAACGGAAGCAAAAAAAGGTAAAAAGTTCGAGCGAGCGTAGATTTTATTTTACAATTTTAATTGACCAGATATAATTTTATCAAGTATCGAACTAGTCTCAAAGCTGCTAACTGAACAGCTAATGTAAGTAGCTGGTTTGTAGAGCAATTTTGATTTCCAATCAACGAATAGTTCTTTCGAGAAACGTCGGATTGGACCATTAATGAATCTCTTGGTGTATCAAACACGTATTGCAATACACCAGCGCTTTACTGAGAGAACTTCTTGTTAAAAGGCACTCTGTCGAAACATTTATTCAAAATAGTAACTGCTAGTAACTAATAGTGACGGACTAATAACTTATTGGTATAGCACATATAGACTTCGGGTCTTTAATGAGGATTTTTGCGAATTCTGCTGAAATTCTGGAGAATTTTGATTCTCAATCATTATTTTGAATAATTTTGTTTGATTTCTTCATATTCTATACCACCACCTTTTTAGCATTTTGAACTAAAATCACGTTTCAAAGACTTAATAAACAAGCCCTTCACTCTAAGCTTTGAACACTAGAAACGACGCTAATAGTGTATAAGCACTACACGACTGGTAAGACAAAAGTCACAGTGACATCGTTCGTATTATCAAAGTTGGTTTGTATATTTCATATTACTGGAATTCTAATGGGGCCTGTACATGTGTACCACTTCCAGTCGAAGTGCTTTGTATTCTTTTGAATTTTAATTCATGCTGGGTCATTTGAAGGACAGAGGTAAGATATTTGCTTATCCTTTACTACAGGCAATAATAGTATTTTGTAGATATACAGGTGATGTTTTAAACCTGACTAACAAAAGTTTTGAAAAGTACTTGCATCTCAAGTATTATCGTGAATCTTTAAATTAGAAATACCAGATAAATGTACTCATTTCTTCATCTTCATATATTGGCATTTACACAACATTTACATATAGTATGACAATAATAGCCACTTCTATTCCATTCTTTTGAACAAACTTAACTCCAAATCCATGATTGGTAACTTTCCTTTCCTCCGAAGTATCAATCCACAATTCCCGGTGTACATTCCTCAGCCGACAAGTTGACGCTAGCCTGATTTATGTTGACGCTAGCCTGATTTATGATGACGCTAGCCTGATTTATTTTGACGCTAGCCTGATTTATTTTGACGCTAGCCTGATTTATGTCGACGCTAGCCTGATTTATGTGGACGCTAGCCTGATTTATGATGACGCTAGCCTGATTTATTTTGACGCTAGCCTGATTTATTTTGACGCTAGCCTGATTTATCTTGACGCTAGCCTGATTTATGATGACGCTAGCCTGATTTATGTTTACGCTAGCCTGATTTATGTCGACGCTAGCCTGATTTATGCTGACGCTAGCCTGATTTATGTCGACGCTAGCCTGATTTATGTTGACGCTAGCCTGATTTATGTTGACGCTAGCCTGATTTATCTCGACAGATACGCTATGTCGACCAATCATTTAACTATAGTTAAGGTTTCTTTAATATACCCTAAAGGAATTTTACAGACGTCGTGAAATTAAAGTTGGAATTTTACATGAACATAATATATAAATAAAGCTGGTGAATAAAATAATATGAGATGTTTCCAACAACGAATTTCAGTATCCACTATGATAAAAAAAAATGTTTTAGGTGTCTTGAATCATTGGCCACATACAAACTTTCCTAGTTTTGATGAGAGGCACCATGAAGGGTAATCCACGTAGTGCAGAAAACGTAAACCCTTTCACGTGAATTTCTTTTTCCATATTTGTGCGGAAGCAATTTTATCCTCGTGTATTGTCGGTGAGTAGCGATTTTGTCCAAGTGTATTGTCGGTGAGTAGCAATTTTGTCCTTGTGTATTGTCGGTGTGATATATTTTTTGTTGTATTTTACAAACTATATGCAGTAAATTGTATACTCCAATAGCCAATATCTAACCTGCCTTCTGTTGTACAAAAACACTGAACCGGTAAATGCCTTCAAAAAGTGTATTCATCATGGTACACATATATTTAATTAAAACATAATCATATATTTGTATTAATATGTACAAATAGATCGAGACATTTACTCACATACATAAACATCGTTATGTAGACTCGTCCCGTTCATTTCATCATCAAACTTCCTTCACTTGGTTTTCATAGGCAAAGCAACATCATATAATGAAACATAGCTTGTAGCTGATTGTTTGAACAGGGTGAACTTTACAAAAAGCTATTACTAAACAGATCCTAATTTGTCTCTCATACTAGTAATAAATACAATTAATCTTTGAGAACATTGGAACATCAATCAGTATTCTATTTTTGCGACATTTTCAGGACATTTCAAAAGAGTGCATAAAAATCCTTTTTTGTGTATAAAATTGAACTTTAACCCAAGTGAAAAAAACACAATCGCATTACCTATTCGTAAGCAAAAATGAATCGGTAACTTTAGGCTAGGTTTGTGTACCACACCATGAACACTTAGTATATACTATTGTTTCGACTAACTCACAAAGCTTACGGAAGCTACTTCAAAATCTCTTACTAGTTTTGCGACATATAATTTTTTTGACATTTTTATAAACATCGAAATAAATCACAAAATATATATGAACACTTATTAAAGCTTATAAAAAATCTAGTAAAAATAACCTAAAGAAAATATCATTTTTTTTGTGTAAATGAAAATACATCTATTGCAAAACTGTTAAATGTTGCTTACTATTTAAGTAAAACCTTCAAATTCTGCTTGTCATCACCGTTACCTTTTCAAGACTTAACCTGCAATACTTTTTCGGTATCAAACAACCCTTACAACCGACCATATTCATACAATGCTTTTAAAAACATATATCCGTGACATATTTCTTTGACTACAGCTATTTTGTTTTTGCTTCTGGTCATTTTAACCATCATGGGTAATGCTAATCAAAGTAGTTTTCGATATATGCCTTTTGAACAAAAGAACACACAGGCATTTATCATTTGTAAAGATACTAAAAAGCGATGACAACATAACAAACAGTATATTAATCTACATAATCGTGACATTTCAAAGCATGCTCGAGACTTGTTTACCACCTGGTAGTGCATTGTTAGTATCGTTCCATAGCAAAAGAAATAAAATAAAATTATGATTATGTTCACGAAAATGGGCAAAAGCATCAGAAACTTAATCCTTTTAAATTATGAAGAATACCTCTGGTCAAAGTGTTTTCACTTCATTCTGAATTTAGGATGTATACTGAAGTTCATAAATATTACAACTTCTTTCTGAATTTTGTATACTGTAGTTCTTGAATATCTTCCAAATGTATGAAAAGGCACACATTGTTTTACCTACAAGATATGATAATTTAAACATAATTTCAAGAACATTTCTCTCATCTCTTCATTACCTCCCCCTACTAATTCAAATATGTTGTTGTTTTACTGGAAAAGTTTATATATAGTGATGTTAATTTTTGTGGCTGTAAATCTTTTGTGTTATTAGTATAAATATAATATTTATTCATTTTACAACAATATAATATATTCATTTTACAACAATTATGAAACAAGTTATTTCAACTGTACTCTTGTTGGCCCGGATGATAGTGCGTTGAGAGTCTAAATGAGGGAGGAAACCGGAAAACCCGGCGAAAACGCACATGGTCAGGCAGCTGGTGACTCTAAACCTTTTCACGTCTGATCGGGGAATCGAACCCTGGCTGCCTTGATGAAAGGCAAGTGTGTCATCCAATGCTCCACAATACCACCCAAGTGTCATGAGTGCTCCAATGGAGAATTTGTTTTCAAAACAATCAACATTTATTTATATAACAACATATTATAATTTACAATCATACTAATTAAAATGACATGACTGTCAATAATTAACCATTCCTACAACATGCCTCGAGAAATTTGTGAATACAAACATACACTTAACATACCCATACATACTGCTAACTTACTTTTCATTTCCTTATAAATCATTAATAACCTAATGATAATTAGGAACTACATAGGATTGAGTCCTTTGAGAATGACAAGAATTATAAAGTAAATCATGATTAGTGAACAAAAACATTAATGTAATGACTGGTCTTATTTATCACAGATTAATAGAATCTTCCCACACCTTGAGGGTGTGAAAGGGAAATCTCCAACACGAGGGGTATGTTTTTTGGTTGTCTAACCCGAGGCACCAGGCTATTTCCCCCTAGGGGTTGACAAGGTGATCTTTCCCGGCTAAAACGGTAGACACACCTGTGAAGGGTTGGAGAAAAAGAAATCATGGACATCTGAGCCTATATTCATAAAACCTTCTTTATCAAACTCAAGTTGACTGCTCAAACCCACTATTTTCTAACTTGTCAATGTCTTTGCCACGAAAGTTAAATAATAATATGGTAATGGTACCTAGCAATATGTTAAGGCTGGGTAGCTGTAAGATATCAAATAATGTGCAATTACAAAAAGGTACCTCCTAGTTTTAACCCTTTCACCACTGTAGACCATAATGGACTCTTCCAGATTAATGCATGGTAGAGTTCAACAAAGTTACATAGGGCTGGGGTGAAAGGGTTAATGAGGATATGGGATTTGAGCAGAGATAGTCAGTTTTGGCACAAGAACAGTTTTATAAATATGGTCTGGGTTCTCAATAATTTTACATCGTTATCACATTAATTTGAATACATATGCATATCAATGCAATCAGAGCATTTTTAAAAGAACTGAAACATTTGGCAAACAATCTAATATCTACAAACTTACCATTTAACACAGACTGTAGTCATCATATGCAAACAGTCTCAGCTAGTTCTGATAGTGAGATAAACTATCAGCTAGCCACCTGATACAGCAGAGATAGGGTGACCATTATTAGCAAACTATCCTGGTAAATTTTTATGTTGATACAACCTACACAATAGTCCTATATCTAGTATTACCTGGCTTGACCGTGAAATAGACCGTACATCAGACATTAAAGGCAGTTGACCAACATCATCAGTCTCTGTTATATAATACTGATGGCAAACAAAAATGCAGACAAGTGGTCTGAGGCATAACAGTCGGAAGTCATTAGCGTTGACAATTTTATCATCGCCCATGGTAGTACAATACTACAGATTTATCTTTAGATAACAGTAATTTCATTTTATGTCAGAGTTTAAAGTGAGAATGTAAGCTCTTTCCAACTACTCATTTCCAAATTAAAATCATGGAAAAAAGTGGAGATGAATTAAAACAGGTTTGCTAACTTTAAGAAATTTTCTGTATCTTACACAACAGTAGTATTTTGCTGTTAATTTAAAAACCTGACATCCAGTTTTTACACTTTATAAATGTTATATATTTCTTTTTCTTAATAGGTTGTTGGACAACTTGGTTTACTGTAAAGTATAACACAAGCCATTCGGATCGATATGACTCGTCTACATGTATGCCCCGCTTTGACCGTCAATGCACATATCAGAAACTAACTTAAATGCAAATACTTAATGTTGATGGAGATGCTGACAAAGTCAATGGACCATGAAAGGTAGGCCGCATCCAGCATTTGATGCAAATGTTGCGTTACACTACCTAAGATACATCTAAGGTCCAAGTTTGGTTAGTGTAGCACTTAAACACAAAAACTCTATGTTGATGCCATTGCGGAAAAAGCAACACCTTAGTCTCGCTTCCACTTTGTGGCAGCGAGACAAAACAATCTTTGTTTCAAAATAACATTTGTATGGTGTTCAAGTTTGTTTATGTTTGGGTCATTTTGAAAACTTACTCATAGTTTTTGGCGATGTGTTCAACATTTTGAAAATATCCCCGAAGACAAAACATTGTTTTTTTAAAACTAACTAGGCTTGGAGTTCGGCTCTGAAAATGTGCAGCAATCTCACTCAACATATGACATATTTAGTAAGTAATTAAAATCCTGTTTACAACAAAACCAATTACTAAAATGTATAGTTGCAAGCAACAAAAGGGTATGACATTTCTGTTATAATTGACTTATGCCATATATTTAAAATATATTTCAACAACATTTTAAAACAACAAAAAAGCTTTTATAAATATATCAACAAGAAACAAAAATCAAACAAATTCCATCAATTTTCATAGCTTAAATAAGAATATCCTGTTAGCAATACACAGTAATAGGGACAGATGTAGGATGTAGCACTACCACAATGTAACTGGTTAATCTTTAATCATTAATGGCAGCTGACTGACTCTCTCACTCAATAAAAACCTTACCTAAATCTAGTAACAAATTGATAACATGAACAAACTCTACAATTTAATGACAAAAAGGAACAATTTCAAATTGCAGTAAAATGCTAATAAACATACACAGATAAATATAAATGACTTGCAAAAATCGAAAAAAATATTTTTTTTAGTTATTTCAGTACAAGTAATACTATTTCAGGCAATAATGTGAAATTTGAGGAAATGAATAACAAATTGTGAACATTTTGTGATAATTCAAATGTATAAATAAAGTAATTACCAAGCAATCAAAAACACTTCAAATCTAATATCTACACCTTGAATATCGTCCTAGCTCATAGTGGCAACTGCTGTATTTAACTGGTGCCTTACTATGGGAGATGGGCTATTTAAACAAGGCTTCCACCAAAATCTGGAGAGTGGTAGCTATGAACACAAACAAAAACAGAAATGAAGTCAATATTTCATCTACCGTAAAACCCCATGTAATTTGCGCATTAACTTTTTGAGGCTGAAAATCCCCCAAAAAGCTTCTACTCAAATATTTTGCGCACCAAAAAAAATGAAAAAAAAAAAGTTCAAGTTCTGAAAATCGATCTCTGAAAATGAAAGACAAACCGCTTGGGATTCTTAGGATTTTTGTAATTTGTTTATTATAAGTAAGTTCATAAGTATTGTATACAGGCACAATGATGTTAAAACTATATATGATTTCATTTTTTTTTTTGCCTTTTTGTAAATAAAATTTTGCTTTTATCATAAAAAAATCTTAACCATGTAATGATATAAAAGATGACTTTTTCTACAATTTTACTCTTGTTATAAACTATATATTGCAAAAAAAATGCTTTTTATATTGCAGGTAATGTATTATATGTCTAAAGTATATTGCAGTAGGTGTTTTCTCATAAATATACAAAAAAATCAAACTCAATAAAATATCATAATCAAAAATGAATTGAAAGGAACACTTCTAATATTTTTGTCCTTAAAACGTCAAAATGTTCAGGATACCGACTTAGAAATGTTGTGATTTTTGAGAGTCAAGCCAAAATAAAATACAATGTATCAAGTTTTACAACACTATTGTTGATCATGTTGAACATCAAGTGTTTTTGCTACTTTTGTGGTATTTATTACAGAATTTATTGATCAGTGAGATATTTCTTATACCAAATAACACTCCTAGTGAAAACTTCCACTTTTAAACATATATTCATATAAACTATATCAATATCAATGAAGTTTGAAAGAGGGACTTACAAAAATATCACCAAAATGAATTCAAGACTGGATAACAAAAAAGCGAAAAAATCTTCAAAATCTTCATGAAATTTATGAGCTTCAATGAAAACAATGAATGTTTTGCTACTTAAATCATGAGGCAAAACTAAGTAAGGATTTCAGCAAGCATTCTGTTGTTATGTCAGTGATTGGCCCAACTCTCACCACTGACCTCAAAAACATTACAGATCAAATCATTCAGTACATCTAGAATGATGTTCCTCTTGAAAACAGCCTGTTACACGACCTTTTCATTCCTATGTAACTTTAGTAGACTCTACCATGCATTGGTCTGGATGTATTCATTATGGTCTTTACAGTGGTGAAAGGGTTAATGATGTTTTCAGTCACACCCAAAACAATACAAGATCAATATACAGTATAACCTTGTTATACTGCCACCATTTGTCCAGAGAAATTTTGGCGCTATAAAGGGGTTTGGAGATAAATTGAGGGAAATGTGTAAAGGAATTCTGATGAAAACCAGAAAAAAGGACATTAAAAAAAAGTTGGCATAATCGAAGTACAAATCTAACGAGGGGCATTATATCAAAGTTTTACTGTATAGAGGTTACCCAGGGATTAATGGTTGGTGATCTTGTTTGACTTTTCCCGACTCACTGTTCAAATTCTATCTGACAGAATTTTTACCACTTCTTTTGCTCCAAATTATCTCCAAATTATCCTATAGGAGATCAATAACCAAAGGTCGTAACCAAAGTTGTGAAACCTATATCCTCCCACAAACACCATGCATATCTATAAGCGAAACCATCTTTTCATGCATAAATGTACGATTTCAATCTGATCACTGTGAAACATGATGTCACAATTTGTATCATGTACACAATATTGTTACTTTATATGATATTCATCAGTTATGGACTTTTGTTGGGGTTAAGTTGAGATCAATATCACTTTCTCAGGTCCATATAACCACCTATTCACCAAGTTAAAAGTCTTAATTGTTATATTAGATGCTAAATAAGGTTGAAAAAATCATTAAAAAGGATATAACATATGAAAATTGTCGGGTGGAAAATACTGCAGTTGGTAGAGAGCAGTGTGACGTCACAATTGAAATGAAGTCCTAAAGTGAATATTGACCTTCTTTTTCTAAAAATAGTAACACCAAGTCAATATCACAAATCAACGACCTCAACATAATTATGATCCAACCGTTGAGGATGTAGGAAAAATGTGTCATGTAATATTATGATAAAAAGTATTAACCCATTCACCCCTAAAGTCACATTTGAACCTTGCCTAATCAAAGACTGGGCAAGTCCAGTTTAGATATGTAGGGGTGAATGAGATAACCAATGAAAAAATATACTAGTACGTTTACAATTGCTTCAATGTTGATAACACAATACGTTTACACAACACCTTAGAAGGCTCACATGGCTCAGCAGTGAAGAAACCTGTTACCTGGTATAGCATTTATGGGAGAAATAATGGAATAAAACAATCTTTCTATTCCGGTTATGCTACAGGTAAATTTTCCAGACTAACAGGTGATCAAATTATCCCAACAGTTACTGTCCACATCAACAGATTTATGACTCAAGTCATATTTTTCAAGATTTTAAACATTTCAATTTTGACATCTTCCTTCAGAATTTTTTTATATATAACAAATTATTGTATACACAATATCGAAATTTTAACCTACAAAATAGTGCTGTTCCTGCATCAGTATTCAATAATCCTTGGAATTTCGTTTTGGAACAACTTTTCAGTGACATATAATAACTCTTTAAATCTAGAAATTAATGGGATTTTTTCGTAATTATGGTTTCCTGGAAAGCAAGAACCCATGAACGTAACTTTAACAAACATGAGATCAACAAAAAGCATTCAAATAAACATCTACAAAACAACATTACGAGAAGTTTGAACAGAGCTGGGGTCATTCAATCCCCTATATGGATCGTCATCATCATTTTCATCGTCATAATCGTCCATCAGTGGGACGGTGTCCTCCCCCCGGGTCTGCAGTTGCATGTAAGGTTTGGCCCCTGTGGGAGAAACAGAGAAACCTGTTTATATCGACCACTTGTCTAATATAACATATAATGTGTGTATTCTAACCTCTGGTCAAACAAAGGTAGCCATGTTTCTGAAGACTGGTCCAAATCTGGTTTAAACTGACCGTTCACAAACATCAAAACATTTCACCGAGATCTGGATACCAAACATTACTTGTACATATTCACTAGCCATTATCATACTATCACGACACAGGAATTCGGTGTATGTTGACCATCTGTCAAATCCTATAGATAGACATATGAATAAGCTGACAACTTGTAAAACATTACACTGACATAAGTGTATGATGGCTGTCCTTCTGACACTGTACAGAAACCTAAACATATTTACTGGCAGATTCTACATAAACTTGTCTAAACTGACCATCCCCCAGACATCATATAGAAACCTTTCTACACTGATCATCCTGTAGACACCATATATACACCTGTATATATAGACACCTGTCTATACTGACCAGCTTAAAGAACTATACAGAGACCTGTGTATTGATCATACTATAAGCTTTCTATATATGAACAGACCTGTGTATACAAACCATCCTTCAAACACTATATAGAAACCTGTTTATACTGACCAGCCTTCAAACACTACATAGAAACCTGTGTATATTGGCCATCCTTAATACACTAAAAAGAAACCTGTTATACTGATTATCCTTCAAACACTATATAAAAACCTGTGTATAATGACCATCCTTCAAACACTATATATAAACCTGTTTATATTGACCATCCTTAATACACTATTAAGAAACCTGTTTATATTGACCATCCTTCAAACACTATATAGAAACCTGTGTATATTGACCATCCTTCAAACACCATAAAGAAACCTGTGTATATTGACCATCCTTCAAACACTACATAGAAACCTGTGTATATTGACCATCATTAATACACTATAAAGAAACCTGTTATACTGATTATCCATCAAACACTATATAGAAACCTGTTTATAATGACCTTCCTTCAAAAACTATATATAAACCTGTGTATATTGACCATCCTTCATACACTATTAAGAAACCTGTTTATATTGACCATCCTTCAAACACTACATAGAAACCTGTGTATATTGACCATCCTTCAAACACTATAACAAAACCTGTGTAAAATGTTACCTATCAATGCTATATAGAAACCAATATATACAGATCCTTCAGATTACATGGAAACCTGTGCATACTGACCAGCTTCAAATACTCTATTTAAACCTGTATATATGGACCATTTTCAATTTTATTATAGAGCTTTTTTTTAAATGATATAGTATTATCTGATTGAAACGATTGGCAGGAAAAAAAAGAATATAAAAAATTAATTACATTATAATTATGAAAATGTCAGATAAATGATGGTCCATCAAATACTTCAATAAAACTTAAAGAAATAAAACATATTTTAACATGCAAGTAAAATGTATTAGTGGCATTAGTATAAGGAAAAATAGTAAGAAAACGAAATAAAAAGCAAAAATAAAAGCCTACCACAGGTTGTCCGGTATACAATACTTCACAACATCCACATGCAGGCAAGTAGGTCAAAGTTGAGGTAGACGATAAGTTCACAGCAGTTTGTATATGTTGTAGGGGAAGGGGGGG